TGATTTAGAGCAACAAAAATGAGATTGAGATTATCACCGCTAAGCAAGTGTGGGCACGACCGTGCGGTTAGCTCTGCAAATAGTGCTGGTGATCGACGGAGCGCGATGGGGCGGTTAATCTGCGCAAGGCCAGTTTGACAGCTACTTAGGGGTTCTGCATTCAGTCTAGCACGTTGCATTGTCAGAGTATGCGCTTTTCGTGTCATATCTATCATATGTCATGTCTAGAGCAACGCATAGCATGCAGGGTCGTTGTGATCGGTCTACACGTGCGAGCTAATTATCCGATCTGTCATGCCTGGTGACAGTCGAGAGGTCAACTCACACGAGTCATGGCCGAGTTCCCCGCTGAACTTGTATACTTTGTGTTCGACAGAGGGGTATTCAAGAAAGTATGATGCTGCAAGAGCATGACAGCAATTCCCTAAAATTGCCTAGTCTTTGTTTCGTGCGCTATGAAAGTCATGGGAGGTTGAATATGACAGGGAAAGCCACCATGTAGATCCACATCAACCCGGTTGCATAGCGCTCCTCTCTCACTCCTGGGTCCTGGAATTCTAGGATGCTGGATACATGATGTACAGCTACAGAGTACCATGTACAGAGTACATTGTACGGAGTACAAGGACACCATACATCTACATCAAGCCTGTATATCAATACAGCCCAAAAATACCAGCTAATGGAGACGAGGTGGAGAAACCATACACCTCAAAAAGGAGCACCACGGCGATCAGCGCATATAATGCTACTAAAGTGCTTATGTATCTCCATAAAGTAATCCACCTGCGCGCCCATTGCCCGGACGTGCACGATGGAGTCAGCGATGTGCAGTAATTTCTCCTAGCGCGGCGTGCGGTCCCCAAGCTGGCCTGTCTGATTTCCCGGCCGTGCCATTTCGCACTAAGCGTGTGGGACGAGGACCCAGTGTGGGGAAGGATTGACATGCCATGGGCATGGGCATGGGCATGGCGCTGGAGCGCGGCAGATGCTGCTATTCACGCGATGGGCCTAGACAGGGAGAGGCGAGGAAAGTGGGAACAGGGTCATACAGTCCAGACAGTACAGTATGTACTATTTCGGGTCTTGCAAGACTAAAACCCATCAGGATATGCTTGCCCGGTACGTACTATACCGAGAAAAAACAAAGGTCCAGACCTTTGAGCCAATTTGACAAGACAAGCCTCGTCAATTTCCCGGATATATGCTCGTTGGTCGTTGCTGCGGAGAATGGGGTTAACTTGTTAAGAGCGGGCTGATTTTTGACGCCACCGGAGGATTATCGCGGGAAAGAATTGGATATTACATCCCTATTCAGGATAAGACTAGGCGCCGTGGTTGGGAAAGGTGGAATTATGGTTTCCAGGCACACGCATCTGCCGACCGATCCAGAGGCAGTGCAGTGCAGTGCAATACCGGAATTGCAGAAATTGCTGGTTCCCTGGGAATCCAATGGATCTCGGACTAGAAGCGACTGGTCTGCCCTCTTTCGCCGTCAAATCTGCCAACGGGGTATGACGTGCAAAATTGGGGAAACAGAAAAGGAGGAGAGGCAAAAGCTTATGCTGGGGTGAACCTGAAAAATGCAAAAGCTGGTTTCCATGGTGCTGACAGGAAAAAAACCGTTGGAGCGGATCGACGTGCTCGGCAGAGAGTCGATGAGCCAATCATCGATGGTCGTGACTTCGAGCCGCGGCCAATCAACCAGCTTATGTCAGCATCAGATCGCTCCCATTGGACGTTCTAGGGTTGAGGCGAAAATTAAGAATCGTTTGGTACGCTCAGGGTTCGGTAGTTGTGTTGCCGATGAGCTTGAGTCTGGAGTATGGGCTTGCCGAAGAGAGGAATGCTCTGCAGATATTAGTTTCCATGGATGGAGATCTTGGAGTTACCATCAACAGAAGGTCGTCGGCAAGTGAAGGGACGTTTGGACCTCCGTTAAGGCTGAGTGATCGGGGAGTGTTGATGTGGGAGAGTTTGCTTAGGTAGTGAAGACTGATCATATAAAAGTGCGCTATATGAAGTGTATTATATGGAGTAAGCGGAGTACGGAGCATAGACGGAGGAGTTAATCCTCCGCTGCCCTAGAATAGACCCAAAAGCCCTAGCGATTAACAGCGTCTATAGCGGTAACCTTTGTATTTATTCCCCTACTTTCATCAATTATCAATTTTATTGTAGGACCTCGGCTTGGCAGTACACATGTTTACCCAATATTCCAAGTCTCCACCGAACCAGCAGAACCCGGGAAACCCGTTCATGCCCGTTGCTGCAGGACGCATCGCGGTCCGGCTGGAGTCCGATCAGGAGTCCCGATGATTCCCCCCTCCGCGCCGAACCATGGTCCACAATTCACCAGAAACTGCTTCTATGGCATATCAATGGATTAATAAATTTGGAAAAAAAAGGCAAAAATCATACAAAACTGAAAATCAGAAACTAAAAAAGGGGAAAGTTTATCTCAAATGGAGATGGGAACGCGTCTCCTAACTTCCAAGACTATCCGGATGCGCCCCGCGGGCCTCCTAAGAATGGACATGTTTCTGATTTTGTTTACTCTGAATGGAGCTTCAGACCTTGAGAGCCTAAGAGGGGGGGGGGGGGGAGGTTCGTTAGTGAAAGTCTGTTTATCTTCCGAAGGTGGCCGTTTATAGATTTTAGGAATTCCACTAAGAAGAAGGAAAAATTTTACCATAGATTCCAATTTGGTGGCAAGCTGGCAGCTGAATACTGGAGAAGGTTGGAAAGTCAGGGCTCCACGTTAGGACCCGTTCAACTGGCCATTCCAGGGATTACCATGTTTACCATTGAGCCACCGTATAGAGACAGACTGAAACTTCGATCCTCCTCTTCTCCAAGGGGGGCCGAAGACTGCTGGAGGAGCTCGGATATGCAGCTAGTAAAGGCTAGGATGCAGGAAGCATGCAAGCTACTGTCGCTAAGCAGCAGGACTTGGGATGGGGACAAGGTAAGGGGGAGAGAATAAGACGAACCCGTCTGTCATCCCAGCCACGTTTTTGGGACCATGCGGGATCGAATCTTCTTTTTGTTTTCTACGGCCAGTGACCATGTGGTGGCCCGTTATCTATACTTTTACTGGACGCCTGTATTATTGTATTTATCTTGATCTCTTTGCCACCGATCGTACTTCTAATAGTGTTTGATTGATTCGTATAGTCCCGTAGTTCTGGTTGCTAATAATCTGTAGTAGTATAGTAGGCCACGGAGCCTTACTCCGTATATGCTCAAGGTCCAGCCCTACTCTCGCAGGCCTCCAAATGACGATTCTCTCTTTTTTTTTTTCAGGGGCCACGGTCGCGACCCAAGTTGCGCCTCCGTGTCCACTTAGCCGGTCCTCCACTCATTTCTCCGAATCCATGGCTCATCCATTCGCTAGCGCTCCAATTCGGCATGCTCAGTGGACCCGCGATCGCTCTCCAGAATACAAGCGTGCCTGTCCCGGTCCACCCACGATCGTCATTTTCTTTTTTTTTTTCTGCTCTTTTTTTTTCCGAACTAGAGACCGCGCCGGCGTAATTAACCCGGTCCATCCATCCAATCGTAGTAGTCTCTTTCCCTTCCCCTCTCCTCCCCTGTCGCTCCTTTCAGAACATTCAAGCATTCCATACGATAGTCATACTCTACTGTACTGCATGTACTCGCGACCTGCAGTAGTACAGTACCCCTGTCCTGGTCCTGCCACAATTGCCATTGTTGCTGGACGGAGTACTCTGTACTCTCGACTAGCATACGATTGAAAATTCCCAGAATTCCGGTGCTACATCGTATCGCTACTCTCCATACTTTCGTATTGGCAGTATACTTTACAGCCCTGACACTTGACTGCTACTCCGCCTTGGAACCCATTTCCACCTTTGGCACAACCTTTCCTTCCTAGGCTTGGACGTCTCCCTTTTGTCGGAACCTCGCTCCTTCATCACCACTACTACTCTCTCTTACTGTCTTTTCTCTTTAATTAATATTTTTATATTATTATTATTTTTTAGACTTTTGGGGCGTCTTGTTTTTTTCCCTCCCCTCGAAAGTCGCTGGTGGTTTCTTTCTCCTCCTTTCTCTTCCCCCCCACCTTACCATCTCCCTCTTGGGTCTTTTGGGAGAAACCCCCCCATGTGGAAACCTCGACTCTCACCCAGATCGGAGTCTAAATCTGGGAGCGATTCGAATCATCTTCATCTATCTGAAATTGGCTTCCTAGGGCGATCCAGGAAGAAGAATCTCGCGCCCTCGTCATCGTCCGGTGAGTTCCCTTTCACTTACCTCCCCCGTTACTCCCACGTTCTGCCCCCATATCAGATCAATGTCGGCCCGGTTCTAGCATCTGAAATCCGAGACCTTGAACAACGCCGGGTTCTAGATGCGCTCTATCGGTGCTAGGTACTGGGTCTCCTTGTCTCCCCTGGACCGTTTTACCTAAAACCCATCTGGTTGTGCTCTTCTTCCCTTTTTGTGCTTTCTCTCTCTCTCTCTCTTGCTCCTCCTTCAGCCATACACACCCTTTTCCAATACGGCCTCCCCCTGAAGTTTGGAGCCTCAATTCCCCAACACTTGAACAAAAAAAGAGCCCCTCTCCCGTTCAATCCTCACATCATCATTCTCCAACCCCAATTGGTGGGCCCTACCCAATATTCCACCTTGGCAAGCGCGTGGTATCGTTGCATCGTGCATCTCAGCCCGTCATTTTGGCCCCCGCGCATGGCTAACGGAAGACCTGGTGACGTCCAGAATTTCAATCGCGGCCAGATACATCCTCCCGCTCCGCGTTTCGCTCCCTTCGCTCCTTTCGCAGCAAGTCAGATCGTCCTGAGAGTCGTGCCTCCAACTACACAGACGCCTCCCGCCCAGCTACTCGCCCACGAGCTCCCTCAACTGTAGCCGACTCTATACATTCTCCCCACCCGGAGCCCGCCTGGCAATCGGCGCATTCGAATCGTTCTCGCGTCTCTTTTAATTCTCGCTCGGGCAATTCTTTGGCCGGTGCAATGGAGGTCGATCGTTCCCGGACACGGAGGGAGAGGACTTTTATCGGCAGCGAATGTGCCGTCTGCGAGGAGCCGCTCGAGCATACCTTGCGTGGAGAGCGGGTCCTTCAGTTCTCCTGCAGCCATGTCTCCCATGAGGCGTGCTTCTACGAGTTTATTCGGGAGTTTGAGTCGCAATACTGCCCGACATGCAATGCTCCTTTAGGATTGGATACGAGTCGAGGTGGAAATGTCTTGGATATCGGTTCGTTTTCTCTCTTCCTAATCGCTAGCCCTTTCCCCCCTCCCGGCTTGAACACGAAAAAGGAGCTACCTAATTGGAATCACATGTCAAACCGTCCAGAGACAAAAAAAAACTTGGAAAAGTGGATATACTGATGAGACCCTATTAAACTTACAGAAAAGATCAGCAACATTGTGCGCTCAGTAACTATGAGCGATACGGCCACAACGAGGAGTGGCCTGACCAACCCAACCCCAGCCCCGTGGGAACAACAGTCGATTCGGCGACCGCCCAGCGAGACGGGCAGCCGTTACAACAACGCACAATCCACCTATAGCCGACGTGATAGTCGCGATACCACTGGCCAGCGGGAACGGGTCGAACGGCTAACTGCAGGCGCAGCCTCAGCCATTTCTGACCCTCGTCAGCGTCAACCACACTCTCGGAATGGCAGCGCGGCCGGCTCGTCGGGCGACTACCACGATGGTCAGCATACCAGCAGCGGGCGACGTCACGACTACGATGTACAGGCTATGGAATCAGACTTGAGTCCTCGCCCCGGTGTCACCAAGAACCCTATCCCGGCACCGATTGTCACCGTGCGAAGCGAGTTCCCTACGATGAACCGATCCCGCCAACAGCAAACCCTGACATGTTTGATCACGGTGGAGGTACCGGAGGGCAATTGGCGCCCAGACGCGGACGACCTTCGACACCCGCCCTCGGGCCAATCCCAGCTCGATGAGCCATATACGGGGCGATTTGGAGGCTCACAAGACGCTCGGTCTATTCAGTACGAGCCGGTGGAGAACCTGGATGAGATTGCGGAGGATCTGCGGAACCGGGTCGACAATTGGCATGGCCTTGAGTTCCAACGGTACGTCCTTGGGAAACATAGGCTATTGAATTCACCGAGCAATACTAATTCAGTTGTAGGTTTGGCAAGTTGCGATTGCATGGGCAAATGCGCGTGGGCAAGGACCGGGAATCCTGGCAGGAGTTGGAATGCTACTTGTTCGCGGAGATGCTTATCTGCGTCAAGGAGAAGAAGATTCCCGAGTCTCACCAATACGATGAGAAGCGCAAGCCCACTCGCTGCACCCTCAAGGGTTCCATCCTGATCAAGAAGCACTTGAAGTCCATCGATGCTGGCTCTGATGAACCAATCCTCTCTCTTAACCTTTCCGTCAGCGAACTCCCCTGCTTCTACCTGCGTTTCCACAACCGTCAGCAACTGGAGACGTGGCACCGTGCATTGACGAACCTCCACCAGGTGGAAAACGTGTCTCGACAACATAATGATTTTGATTACGAGCACTTGGGCGCCGAGGAGGAGGATTACCGGACCAGTCGTATCCAGCGACAGGCATCTCTCAACTCATCATATGGCGCGGGCAAATCGAATAACACCGCCATCACCGATTATACCAACCCCGATACGGAGAAAACTTCTATCGATTCATTCCACATTCCGCTTGATCTCGTCGTGGTCATTCCCGTCTCTTCGTCGATGCAGGGATTGAAGATTACGCTTCTGCGTGATGCTCTGAAGTTCCTGGTACAGAATCTGGGCTCGCGGGATCGGATGGGCTTGGTTACGTTCGGCTCGAGCGGTGGTGGCGTGCCTCTTGTGGGTATGACTACCAAGTCTTGGAATGGATGGAACAAGGTTCTCGATTCGATTCGTCCTGTCGGCCAGAAGAGTCTGCGCGCGGATGTGGTGGAGGGTGCGAACGTGGCCATGGATTTGCTCATGCAGCGCAAATTCAACAACCCCGTCTCAACTATTCTCCTGATTAGCGACTCGTCTACCTCTGACCCCGAAAGTGTTGACTTTGTTGTCTCTCGCGCCGAGGCTGCCAAGGTCAGCATCCACTCGTTCGGCCTTGGACTGACCCACAAGCCGGATACCATGATCGAGCTCTCAACTCGTACTAAGGGATCTTATCTCTATGTCAAGGACTGGATGATGCTTCGCGAGTGTGTTGCGGGATGCTTGGGTGCTATTCAGACCACTTCTCACCAAAATGTCAAGCTGAAGCTTCGTCTGCCCGAGGGCTCACCGGCCAAATTTGTTAAGATCAGTGGCGCCCTTCACACGACGAAGCGCGCGACTGGTCGGGACGCCGAGGCTGCATTAGGAGATCTCCGATTTGGTGACAAGCGTGACGTCTTGGTACAGCTGGTCATTCAGCCTGACAATGCTACGCAAGACAACATGCCCCAGGACCCATGGGAGAGCTTGGTTTCTGGATTGGAGGCCCTAGGCGGGGGACTTGATGGTGATGAACAGCGAGTGCTGAGCGTCGAGGAGGTTCCGTTGATTCAGGCTGACTTGACGTACGGCGATCTTCTTCGCGATGGCCATCTGACCCACTCGCCGCGTCCTTCACTGCTTGCTATCACTATGCTTCCGCCGAACCCCAAGTCTCGGAACCAACGACCCTCTACCCCTCCTATTCCCCCTCACCCGTCTATCGTGCAGCGCCGCATGGAGCTGCTCACATCCGACATGTTGACTCGGGCACTTACCCTCGTCTCTCGCGGGCAACACGATCGTGGCCAACACCTTCTGCACGAGACTCGCAGTATCCTCAAGGGTCTGGGCAAGGGTGGCTTGCCTCCTTTGCCACCCGCAGCCCCCCGACCTTCAGGTACTAGCGACGCCGGCAGCCGAGGCGACACGCCAACCTCGAGCTCCCCCAAGTCCTCTACTTTTGCGGAAAGCCATGCTTCTTCCGCGTCCGAAACCGCTACTATTACACCCTCATCTGCCGTCGACGCACAGACTATGAATGCGCTCAACGCGGATCTGGACTCTGCTCTCGAGTGGATCAACCACCCTGCTGTCTTTGGTCGCGACTCTCGCAAGGCCGTGCTGCAGAGTATCGGTGTGATTTCCTCGCAGCGTGCTTATACATTCCGTACACCCTCGGAAGCACACTGGGCTCAGCGGATCTCTGGTGTGCGCCGTCTGACGAATAAGTCCAAGGATTGGCGAGAGATGGGTGATGATGCTTTGACTGAAGAGTAAGGGAGATCGAAAAGCATCGGCCTCTCTCTCTACTCAAAGTCGGCTTGCATTTTCTCTCACTTTCCATTCGTATATCTCATTTTTTTTCGGTTCATATATCATTCCCCCCGGAGTCGGCTCATGACATGTTCCTTGATTTTCCATGCGTGCCCATTCCCCCGACATCATACCATCATCATCCCTTTTACCAGCCTATCCCATCGTTGACTCTTTTGTTTCCTTACTCTTGTGCCTTGTTTTGCTCAATTTATTTCCCCCCTATGATACCACTTTGTTCCCGCCATGACTGTGCAGCATGATACCAGGGGCTTTGTTTGCGATGTGTTTCCGCTTCCGCCGATCCCGTCTTACGTGTTCTCGTCTGTCTGGATTTATTGGATTTCTGGATTTGTGCCTTTTGTTGGGCGTACATCTGATACATTCTGTGTTCTCTGCTATTTGCCCCGAAAATGGTTCCGAAAATGGTTTCGGGGTATGGTGTGCGGATGGAATGGGGTTTCGTTTTGTTTGAAAGACTTTTGATTCTCTTTGTTGCTTGAGATCTCGTTTGGGTGGAATACTGTGCTTTTATTCTGTTGGATTTGGGTTCCAAGTTGTTTTTCCCTCCATATTTTGGCATTGGCTGAAAATATTTGATGACCCCCCCTCTTCTTGTCTGGACTTGACCTGATTTTTGATTGACTCTATACTGATGCTTTCGGACTGCACTATGTTGATATAGCCTTTTGCATAATTCTATTGACCCCCCTTGTGAATAATGACAATGCACGTGTTACATATTGAGATTTTACTTTCAAAGATAATTTTAATAGACTGTATTTCATATAGAGAAATTATTCGTACCTTTCTAGAACTTGATGTCATTGATGTAGGTGCTTCTCTAGCTCTATCGCCGATAGCACCTTCTTATCGCCGGCTCGGCCGCGGCCTCGACGGCCAACCTTCTCCAACTCATCCTTGACTCACTCTCACAACTCCAGTCCCTCGAGACCGACCTAATACTCCCATCTCTTGTACATACCATGCAAACCACCAGATAGCCATGCTCCGCCAATCTCTCCTCGCCATGCGCACCGCGTGCCCACCCATCCCCGCCCTCCCACACCCATCAGCGCATCCCAACACCCTCCCACGCGCATTCCACACACACCCTCGCACACCTTCACGACGAACCTCAGCTCTATCCCTACGCCCTCTATCTCCAAAACACAATCTCCCAATCCCATCCACCCCCTTCCCTACCGCCCCTTCACAACAAGCCACCCCCACCGCGCCCGCAACACCTACAACCGCTTCAACTCTTCCTCCTCCTCCTCCCCCCGCCAATCCCTCTTCCACACCCTAATAACCCGGTCTAAACCGCACCACTTCGTCCTAATAGGTCTTGGCCTCTCGGGCGTGTACTTCTACAACACCGAGGTAGTCGAGATGACGGGCCGGCGCCGGTTCAATTGTGTCTCGCATGCGGCGGAGTTGAAGATGGGGGCGCAGAGTTATAGGGAGGTTTTGGCGCAGTCGCAGGGAAGGGTGTTGCCTGATAATCATCCGCTGGCGCAGATGGTTAATCGTGTGCTGCAGAGGCTTATTCCGCAGGCGCCGATTGAGGGGGCGGATTGGAGGGTGCATGTTATTGTTGATGATGGGAATGCTAATGCGTTTGTTCTTCCTGGGTAAGCGTTTAGTCTTTTTTGAGTCTGGATTTGGTACCGAGGACGGTTTTTTGTGGGATGGTTCTTGCTGACGATGTTTTTGTGTTGGTGCAGGGGCAAGGTCTTCGTGTATACGGGTATCTTGCCGATTTGTCAAGATGAGGATGGTCTTGCTGCGGTGTTGGGACATGAGATTGCCCATGTTGTTGCGAGACATCCGGCGGAGCGTATGAGTAATAGCTTTTTGACGCTTGGGACTGTGTTTTTAATTTCGTTGCTGTTTGATGTCTCCGGGAACTTGTCGAGCATGCTGGTGAATCTTATGTGGAGTTTGCCAAACTCAAGGACGCAGGAGGTAAGTTTGTTGTGAGTGATGTTATTGTTGAGTTGGTAGCTGATTATAATGCTAGGCCGAGGCAGACAACATAGGACTGAGTATGTGATTATCGTTTGGACTTGGAGGGGAGTATAGCTGGAATACTGACATTTCTCTTTAGTGATGATGGCCAAGGCATGCTTTAATCCCGAAGCTGCTGTGAGACTGTGAGTGGTCATTCAATCGGTCTCGAGTACTGTATACTAACCCTTATTAGATGGCACCGAATGCAGGAACAAGAGAAATCGGCACCGCCGCAGTTCATGTCTACTCACCCTTCGGTGCGTCTCCAACTCCAACCCTACTCTTCGGTTTATCTAACATTTATCGCAGAGTTATAACCGCGAAGAAGCTATCCGAGGATGGTAAGACACGGCCAAAGTCATACTCCACATGGGGCTGCGAGTACTAACGATGTCCAGGCTTGAGAAAGCCGAAACTATCTACCAGGATAATGGGTGCAGTACTTTTGGAAGCTACAGTAAGTCTCAGGTTGTGGCTATAATATGGTATGATATACTGACTGTTTTGAATAGTGCCTAGCTTCAAGAAGGCGTACCAGACACAGAGTTCGTATGGTTGGTGAAAGTCTTTCTGAAGACTTAGGTTATCCTTATTGTATCAAATATTAGATAATGCATTGAATACCCATCTCCTTTATTCTCAGGTCATACATTCTCGCATAGATAGGATAGGCTTGTTACTAACGAGGGTTCCCCCGCAATGGGCTCTTCCCCTAGGTACATAGTCATATTGACATTATTCATAATCATTCTCAAATCATTCAATTTTAATCATCTCCTGTACACGATATTTCTAATTTATTTAAAGAATTAAGAATCTCCTCGTGTTACACACTGCTCCCCCCAAGCGGTGAACCAACTGGCGGGTCCCCCTCGTGCAAACAACGCAAACCCACCGACCCCCGTCGAGCTCCAAAAATTCCCCGGCACAACTAAGAGAAGCCCATCGACTCCCTCCCTCCCAACCTTCATATCCAGTCGTATCCAACTCGGACGCGACCTCTCACAATGTCGCTATCCCTCCCCGGGCCCTCCCAACAGGGCCTCTTCAAAGCCGGGTACCAGAGGTACGTCCAAAGCCGCTCGCAAAGTCCCAACATAGCGGGCCCATCCCACCGCACCGGAGACAACCTCCCACCTCCTTATCTGCCCGCCGCACCGTGAAGCAAACCCCCCGTTCCATACTAACATTTCCTCTTCGCAATTCTAGCCACGACGCCGAAGATGGAGCCGTTATTCGTAACATCGAGGCTTGCCAGGCTATCTCGGGAACTGTCCAGACCTCCCTGGGTCCCTATGGCCGCAACAAGATCGTCATCAACCACCTGCAGAAGATGATTTTGACTTCTGATGCTGCTACGATTCTTCGCGAGTTGGATGTTGTGCACCCCGCTGCTAAGCTGCTGGTTATGGCTAGTCAGCAGCAGGATGCTGAGATGGGTGATGGCACTAACTTGGTTATTGTCTTGGCTGGAGAGTTGTTGAAGAAGGCGGAGGAGCTGATTCGTTTGGGATTGAAGACGAGTGATATTGTTTCTGGCTATGAGAAGGCTCAGAACTTTGCTTTGAAGGTTCTTGAAGGTATGATCTCGTGTTGGTTGGCATTGGTTAGGGATAGTTGGGGGTAGTCCGTGTGGAATTGGTGCTGATTATGGTTCTTTTCGATGCAGATCTCGAGGTCGATCGTCTGAAGGAGATGCGTTCAATCCCAGAGCTTAGCAAGGCTCTTCGCACAGTCGTCGCCAGCAAGCAGTCTGGTACGGAGGATACCCTGGCCGCTCTGGTCGCTGAGGCAGTGCTCGCCGTGTTGCCCAAGAACCCTCTCAACTTCAACGTGGATAACGTGCGTGTCGTGAAGATCATGGGTGGTAGCTTGGAACAGTCCAAGGTTGTCAAGGGTATGGTCTTTGGCCGTGAGCCCGATGGAATTGTCAAGCAGGCCCGCAAGGCCAAGGTCGGCGTGTTCAGCTGCCCCATCGACATCTCCCAGACCGAGACCAAGGGCACCGTTCTCCTGAAGAATGCCCAGGAGATTCTCGACTTCACCAAGGGCGAGGAGGACCGCCTCGAGACCGCCATCAAGGAGCTGTACGACTCCGGTCTGCGTGTGGTTGTTGCCGGTTCCACCGTCGGCGACCTGGCCATGCACTACCTCAACCGCTTCAACATCCTCGTGATCAAGATTCTCTCCAAGTTCGAGCTCCGCCGTCTGTGCCGCGTCGTCGGTGCCACCCCCCTCGCCCGCCTGGGCGCCCCCATGCCCGACGAGATGGGCCAGATCGACGTGGTCGAGACAACCGAGATTGGCGGTGACCGTGTCACCGTTTTCCGTCAAGAAGATGCCAACGCCGTGACCCGCACAGCCACGATCGTGCTCCGCGGCGCCACCCAGAACCACCTGGATGACATTGAGCGCGCGATCGACGATGGCGTGAACGTCGTCAAGGCCATCACCAAGGATCCTCGTCTGGTGCCCGGCGCCGGTGCCACCGAGATCCAGCTCGTCGAGCGTATCTCCAACTTTGCCGACAAGACCCCCGGTCTGCCCCAGCACGCCATCCGCAAGTACGCCGAGGCCTTCGAGGTGATCCCCCGCACCCTGGCCGAGTCCGCCGGTCTCGACGCCACCGAGGTTCTCTCCCGCCTGTACACTGCGCACCACCGCGCCAACGCCGATGAGGAAGAGGGCAGCTCCGAGGAGGAGGAGCCCTACTGGACCACTGGTGTGGATCTGGAGATTGGTGACTCCGACGGTACTCTCGATGCCGTGGAGGAGGGTATTCTTGACCTGATGGCCTCCAAGAGCTGGGCCATCCGTCTGGCTAGTGAGGCTGCGCGCACCGTGCTGAGCGTGGACCAGATCATCGTTGCCCGGCAAGCGGGTGGGCCGAAGCCTCCTGGTCCTAACCCTAACTGGGATGAGGATTAAAGAATTAACGGTAAACACTTCGAGACCGGTTGCGTTGATAGATCCGTATGATATCACGAAAAAAGTCGCCTTGTTGGTGTGTATAGCTGAGTACGATAATACAACACTGAATTCTGGTCAATCATTACGAACACATAAAATAACTAGAATTGTTATTCGATTTAGAATTTGTTCTGTTAGAAGTATTCTGGTTGTGATTGGGAAGGTAAAGGCATGGGATGAATCGGTAGCTTCTCAGAGAGCTGCACTTCGAGCCTCTCCATGTCAAACGACCTTAGAAGTTGTATGCCACTGAATAACAAGTTCAATTTATCGAGAGCAGTGAAACAATTTCTCCCAAAGCAATAAACGGGGCTTATGTGCATGCTATCTCAAGCTACCTAGAGATATTGTCCCGGGGCCATTGTATACGCTTACATAAGTCAGCCCACGTGACACCTAGATTTTCCCCGAAACTCTTGCCATTCTTTTCGCTCGCTATCGCGGTTGAAGCAGTGTTGACTCTCTCCCTTTCTCCCTCCACGCCGGTTTTCTTCTTTTCTTCCACTCGCCAGGCCACCTCATTCTGCCCTTCACAATGTCCTTCCCTATCCAGGCCGCAGCTCGTAGCTGCCGACAGCTCTCCGGCTCCGTCCGCCCATCCTCCCTGCGCATTGCGACTACATACACAGCCCGCACGCCCAGCTACCGGCGATGGGAGTCCACCGAGGCCGCTGCTGCTCCTATCAACCCTAAGATCGCACAGATTGTTGACCAGATCTCCACGTTGACTCTGCTGGAGACTGCCGACCTCGTGTCTAGCTTGAAGGTGAGTGTTCATGCGAGCCATTGATTCGGCATTGCAACTCCGCAATGTGTCAATTGCTTGATACCACCAAGCTTTTCTCCTATAAATGCATTTTGAACATCATCCCTAACACATGCCCTTCTTTAGACCCGCCTTAACATCCCCGATCTCCCCGTTGGTGGCTTCGCCATGGCTGGCGGTGCCGGTGCTCCTGGCGCCGCCGCTCCCGCCGCTGAGGAGGAGGAAGCCGCTCCCGCTGCTGCCGAGAAGACCCTGTTCAACCTGAAGCTCGAGTCCTTCGAGGCCGCCTCCAAGCCCAAGGTCATCAAGGAGGTCAAGAACATGCTCGGCCTGTCTCTGGTTGACAGCAAGAAGTTCGTCGAGTCCGTTCCCAAGGTTATGAAGGAGTCTGTGCCCAAGGAGGAGGCCGAGAAGATCATCGAGACTCTCAAGGCTCTCGGTGCCAAGGTTATCATGGAGTAAAGGGGGCGCTGAAAAGCGAATTGGAAAACAAAACTTGGAATAACCTGGCGGATGGAGCTTTGATTTCCTTTTTCCCCCCCCTCTTTCCTCTCTTGCGCGCTCTCTATTTCTCCCCTTCTCTTGTTGTTTTACTTTCATGGCTTGCGCATGTTGTGGAGTGGGGGGAATTTCGAATCTGGCTTCAAGGGTGTTATACTACTTGTTGAGCGTTGTTGGCCTGGTCGTGTGAGGGCAAATAAATGTACATTATACGTATTGTGTTATGGACCCGTCTGGTACAGAGGGCTCTTTTTGGTTTAATTGATCATTGAGCATATATCGTGGGATGTTTTGAGTAGTTTAATGTAAATTTTGTAACTGTAATAAGCTCTTTCGAGTGGGTATCTGCTATGTTGGTGGTAATGGAGTATTTTCGTTGCTGCCAAAGCGGACCCAAAGGTCGACCTCCGCTTTTCTCCAATTCCTCCGCGACTTTCGATCCAAGCTTCCACACCACCCACTGTCTTACGTCGCACACTCCTCGGCCAACTCGCATAGCGTCCTCCATGTCGAGGCCATCTGCTGCGCTGCAGCAATGGCTTAAATTCCGCCAAAGTCTCCCCCACACATCCCCCAACATGCTGAACCTGCGCGCGAACAACCTCCTCACGCCAGCAACCCTACTCGCCCTCACGACCGCTCGCAATGGCACCAATACCCCGAGACGACCATTCCATACCACGCAATACCGACCTTCCAAGGCCCGCCGTGAATCTGCAAGACCAGCGCCCGCCCTACGGAGGAAGAAGAAAGACTCTGAAGCTGGGAATGACGCCGTCCGGTATGCCGCAGATGGTGTCGGTCTACTAAACACGAAAGGCTTCTATATGGACTCTATCTCAGTGAAAACCGAAAAACTCATCCCAGTTTTTAAGACACTATCACAATCTATCTACGACGAGGCAAGTGTTGATGGTCTTCTTCCCGGTATCAGTTTCCGGACATTCGAGGACACTGCTATCAAGATCTTCAAGAGTATTCAAGGGAAACCGAACCCGCATATCATTCGGTCGATTTCAACGGGTAAGGAATTTACAATTTACAGTAATACCTGGGGCTGTCTTGAAACTAACCTGTTGACTACCAGATGTCGATGCCGTCTTTCGCATTGGATTCCTCGCCTCCATTATACATGGCTCCATTGCTGAATGGATCATCTCCGCATGTGCGCTGGCAGGCGCACGCCAGCCAATCGTCCTATCTCTGGCCAGGTCGGTCACTTGGACACAGAACACCCCGCGCACCAAATGGACGGACTTGGTCGAGCAATTCTCAGACGAAGGGTTTCCACCCGCGATGATCCTCCATGCCAAGATCCTCGGTATGCGCGGGGAGTATGAGAAAGCCTTTGAGCTGATGGAAAAGCGAGTGCTGCCATTCCTCCAACCAACACGCCGAAAGCCTACCCTCTTCCTCGATATCGCCATGGGCGGGGTGTTTGAATCCCCATGGCGGGTATACGCGCTACTTCATGCATCGTACGACGCACAATTTGACTCGCCAGAGAGTCGACAGAAATCAGATGATGCAACTCGCATTGCGGCACTAGAGTATAACGAGCCAGAGGCGTTGATCGAGTATGCCTCGCTTATGATGAATGAGAAAAACTACGATAAATACGAAGAATGCATGTGCAAGGCTGCTACGTTCGGGGAGCCAAATGCCATCCTATACATTGCCAACTACTACTACCACATCTTCCATGGCAGATACCCCACAGCCGGGGAACGAATCGCCCTCGCCAATGCCGAAGCCCAGGGCCTACCACCGCCTACTATCCCAACACCCCCTTCCACATCCGAGACCAAACAAAATTCCACCATTTTCACGGCCGCGTTGGACTGGGCCTCGTCATTCTTCAATCAATCCATTCCCCGCGAGGACTACCGCAAACTAGCGATGGACTGGTACGCCTTGGGCTATCACTCTGGTATCCCCCAGGCTACGTTCATGTTAGCTCTGATGGCTCGTGAACAAGGAGATGAACTTGATGGGAGTATCTTCATGGACTATGCCAGTCAGGACTTGGAGAAGGACCCTGAGTTTGCGAAGAAGATCCAGGAGTTGAGGGATAATTGGTATGATCCGAAGTACGTGCCTAGACTTTCGAGTAAGATGTTGGCCGTTCGGTAGGTGGTGAAGTGGTGAGATGTATGAATATGTATAGTCGTTGTTGTAACTATATTTTGTGTGTGTGTGGATGCAATGGAATCGTTTCCAAGAAGGAACGAAACCTCGGGTCATGTGTAGATGTTGAAGTTCTGTCTAGCGTATTCTGAAGTATATGACTTTTCATTGATTCCATTGCTGCAATTGCCCATAATGGAATTAAATAGAGAGATTGATAGATAGCCCTTATATGGGAAACGAATTCGAATAACGGACCCTTTGCATGATATCAAGTGTCATCTCTAAACCGTGCGAGATAGCCTATACTTCCAAAGCACAAACTCACTATAAGACTCACTAGCACTCCAAACACTAGCGCAAACGATAGAAAACAATTTCATAAAACATCAATCCAGATTTTATTTTTCTATATGCACCAATTCCCCTGTCTACCAGTCAATCTGATTTCCCTATTCCCTATTCCAAATCCAAATCCCAATCCCAATACAACCCGAATCCCTAAACCATACCGGGCACCCCCCCCCCCCCCCCCCCCAAAAAAGCCGAATTCACAGATGCACATGGCTTGCAAGAAAGAAAAAAAAACACATGCAATGACCCCAATTTTGAGAGAAAAGAAAAAGACCATAAGCCATGAAAGGAAACAGAAAAGCACAAGAATCATTCTCCCTCGTCGTTCGTAGCTCATATCACGAGACGGGGGAGAGTAGAAGAAGAAAAGCATCAACAACGAGCTTGCCAAAAGGAAAGAGCTGTCGTTAAACGGGAACGTGGAAGAAAGAGGGAATAGAAACGCCTCGTCCCCGTTCATCAACCGTCCTGTTTTTTCAAGTAACAGCAACATTGCACTCCTTAAACCAAGAACTGAACACACCGAGAAGTCAACAAGCCACGGAATTCAGAAAAACTCCAAAGCTGGAACCGCAACAAAAATCCAAAAAGATAATGCATAAATGCAGGGAAACAAAGAGCCCTCAAGCCCGGAATGGAACCTGAAAAACGAAAGCGAAAGCGAAAGCGTAAGCGCAAGCAAAATCCACCGATACCAACGCCATACCCAACATTTAATTGTCACCCCTCTTCCTCCCCTTCCCCTTCCCATTGCCCCTAGTCTTCAACTCCACAAACCCAAGCTCCTTCAACCCCTCCGCAAGAATAGAAGAGTCCCGCATCCCAGGAAAATCCTTGGCTGCATATACCCGAAACGGATCGGACCAAGCTTCCGCAAGTATAGGCATAGATTGGCCTGTATCCTCGACGGAGCCCCAATTCATGAGTCGGAATTGGAGTCTATACAGCCCCGCTGAGCGGATAGATAGGTCTGCGAAGATGAAGAATGTGGCGGGTTGATTGAGTTTTGATGCATTGCGGAGGGATGGCGGTTGACCTTGGTCGTGGGTTGGCGGGGAGTTGAGAGGGTGGAGGGTATCGTCTGAAGATGGGTGGGTAGGTGCGGAGTTTGGATCTGGGTCTGCGTCGACGAAGAAGGGGGACATGAAGGCTTTGCCGGAGAGGAGGGGTGTAGAGAAGGAATCATCTACGCGGGCGACGCCGTTGGCGTCGCGTTCGGCGGATTGGATGGTTTCGGCTTCTGATGAGGGAGTCCAGCTGTTCGAGTCTGAGACAGGGAAGAGTAGACAGCCCACTGTGAAGCGTGGGTCTTGTAGGACGTCGCGGTCGTCCTGAGATTCCGCGTCGAAGTCTGTCAGGAGTATTTGGACGATCGGGGGTGGATCGACGGGGCGTCTGTCTCTATCGCCGGCGCCGCATGCTCGCGCGGCGATGGGTTGTTGCCGGACATGGAGATGATAGCGGGATTGCGTGGAGGGTCGTCGGGGCGGGGGATCTGGCGATGATTCGGGTTCGTGATGGAGGAGCTTGTCGAAGCCACGGGGCATACTATAGCTAGGGTTTCGTGGAGGCTGGAGCGTTTCATGGTGGACGCTGCTGCTGCTGGCGCTGCTTATTGGCGGCGGGCTGCTCACGAAGGCTGCAGGACTCTTCTCGGAGTGGATTGGGCTAGCCAGGGCCGTGGAGGTACTACCATGACTGAAGAAAATTTTGAAGCGTCAGCATAAACTGTCTAAAAGCTTCGTATCTGTGACAAGCAGCGATTCCACCTAGCTATAGCAGACTGAGGTGCTTGGTCACCCAAAGAAAGCACACCGCACGAGGTCGGATGGACTGACAGGTATAAAGACGGGTGATTCAATCGATAAGAATGGGAGGAAAGAAGGGACTTTACTAGGACTCCACGTCGTATGTCCGCAATTGATGACGAACATTATCGCCGCCATGGCTCAACATAGGACTTGATCGTTCATCGTAAGAGGTAGGGCCGCGATATCCGCGTAGATCAGCCACGGGTGGGCCATGATGATGATGATGCTGCTGCTGTTGATGATGTTGCATTCGCAACGGAAGCGTCTGTGGCAATGGCTGGCGGTTCATGAACCCATGATCTGATGATAGCATATACCTCGGATCCGCATTTCGTTCGGGTAGATGTCCCAACGCCGGGAGTCGATGGGGATTCGGTGGAGTGGTCAGCGCAGGTCGTTCGTAGCCCAGATCCGGTGGAACGAAGTGTCGAGGTTCATACAGCGGGTATGGCTGATGATATGCTAAAGGTATTTGCTGGCCTGGATGATGTGAGCGAGAGACTGGGTCGATATGAGGCCTGTCTGGTGGTGTGGTATGCCCACATTGCTGCGACGGGGTCCTCGACATCTAGTGACGGAATCGCGCTGGCGCCAGATGGCGGGCCGTGGCGCAGCTCTTATAGAAATGCCGTATCTGGACGCAAGCCTTTTTTTTTTTTCTTATTTTTGTTTTTTTCCCCTCAGCCCTTGTTTTTATTTTTATTTTTTTTTCAGCTGGGGCGTTACGCTTTGCAATGCGACCCACGAAGCGGTCAGGTCAGCCACACCCACACGGGAAAGGGAGAGGGGGGACTTCGATGTCTCAGATGTAGATTGTGGGGTTCGTTGGTATCTCGGTGTTTATATATACTTTATCCCGGTGCAGATGATATCAGTCGGACTATCACGTCAATCGGTCCATCGATGCATATCCTGGATCTGTTTGCGAGCAAGCAAGGCATCTGATAAACTGCATGTGGATCTGCGGCCTGTCAACGGAGCAGCACCATGAGGAGCGGATGGAGGAGGTCCGATAGTATTGAATGAGAGAGAGAGAGAGAGAGAGAGGATCGAATGAAAACACCGGTGATCGTGGATAATGATGCTCCGTGTGTATCTATTTTTGTTTTGGAATGATTCTGGTGGGATCGTCAAGTGGTCGATTCGTCTGCACCAAATGCTTCGGATAGCAGAAATTCAGCATCAACTTGAGGATGGTAGAAAAAACCGTCAAGGAACATCGGATTTTCTCCCTCCCCGGTCCCCCCGAGTGGTCCAATCACTTCAAATTCCGAAGACAGGGGGGGCCAAATGGAAAAGAAATGGGGGATGGGGGGTGAGTGGGTTTGGGAGATGTTTGGAGTATTTTTCTTTTTCCCTGTGAAGGACTGTTATTTCAGGTATCAGACTCCAACTCTTCTGACTGGCCGGGGGGGGGGGGGGCCAGTTGACGGTGGTCACCAAGTGTGTCAGTTAGGTCCGACTAGGGACCCAATTGTGGCTCCGTTCGAACACGATTGGCCCACCACGAAACCACAGTGAACAAGGGAGGAGCCGGGGAACGGGCCGAGCGGGCTTTACCACGAGCGAAGGGGAGGTGTGTGCGGGTTTTGCAGCAAAGTGGATTAGAGAATTGGAGGGCCTAGTGTGGAACTGGATGCGCTTGGTGGTTGGTAATAATAATGTTGGGAGGGCAATAGAGTGAGGCTGTTGACACTCATTCGTGCCTTGACAAGCTGTTGGATTGGTTCCTGACAGCAACTATCGCCCGAATCTCGGACTACTCCCTGCGTTTGGCGACACAAGAGACGGTCAAGGAAGCAGACTTTCGACTTGGAGCCGTTAGCGCTGCATTGTGAGGTATGGGATCCACCGTAAACGATTTCCTGGGACTCGAGATCCTGGACTGCAGATGATGATCTAGAGCTCGAGGTACATGCAAGTGTGCAAACAATAGACCAGCCCTGGTTACCTCGTTGATGGAGATGTGCGAGTGAAGTGGAGGTTGGGGGGGTGTTGGAAGGTTGAGAAGAAGGGAGAGCGGTCGACGGGTATCACTGAGAATGGACTCGGCGAGCATTCTCACTACAACCCTCCACAACTCCATGGACATAACAAGTACATTTTTCTCATTATATTTCATACTTAGCTAGTATGCTAGTCAGTATCCCTGCTGCGCACAGGGACAATGGCTGTAGCCAACAGCCACAATTTACAATGCGATCGGCCGCGCGATATCGAACTAATGCCTGTACCGTACTTTTAACTATGTTGCTATCCTTGCTAGCACCGATTTATTTTTAATATGGACTCTGTACGAAGTATTGCGGTAAAAATGAACCATTCATCCTGGATGTCCTCAATTTAGGAAGCTACAGAACAGAAAGAACTTTGCAGTAAACTAAAGCAAACTTGCAGATTGTTGACCTGACCCATGGAACAGTGTAAACGGGCCCCAGGATTAGTCGAGCCACTCGAAACTCTGGGCTCCGCTTTATAGAGTAAAACAATAAACAAAATAACACCAAACTGGACCAGCCCACTCAGCTCATACGGATTCATGAATCCGTAGAATCTCAAAGGAAGGGCGATCGCATTTCGATAGTCGGAAAGGCGTTGAACAAGAACCAGGAATTGAAAAAAAAGACCCTCGGGCGGCAAAACGGGCCAGTGGACCAGTGTCATGCGTTCGTGTTCGAATCACGCTCATCACTAGGGATCGATCCCTGGCGATGATTGGCGTGGAACTAGCGGGGGCTCAGCAATGGCGATCGTCTCGAACCCCACAAAGAAGGATCTAGCACTGCGTCAGTTGCAGTTCACGGTGATAGCGGGCTTGAATAGTCGAGTCTAGTCTTAGCTCTGCGTGGGATATGACGATGGTGGTGCATTAATTGGGGGGCACGTAGAGTCATAGACACGGAGTACGAGTGGACTTCGAGAGTGGGCTTGGTGAGGACAAGAGACGCCTGCGTGAAGTATCGAAGCGGCAGGGAAATTTCTAGAGACAAATAATCCCTTCCCACGAAAAGCTAGCGGGAGCTAGCAGACTAAGAGAACTGTCGGTAAGTCAAAATCCCATGTTTTCCAGGAATTCAAAGTAAATTAGCGTTTCACGGCAGCGCACTCCGGCCATCCCTCGCATGGCAGGCCCCGGCATGGCACCGCGGAGACGCGGACTGGTTCGGCGACCTTCGGGGTTGTTGCGCGGTTACACCAGTCGTGCACTCTGTATGGTCCGACGCAAATCATCAAATACGTGGTACGATCGCTTGTCAGATCTGATCGGCAAAAAAGGAGGCAGCCATCGTCGAAGCGGACCACAAGGTTATGCACTTCTTTTGCATCTGAATGGGTCGGATGGGCCCAAGCGCCGAGGCAACGCAGGCAATCTCGTTAAAAAGGCACGAATTTCGTACCCTCCCCCCAAATTCGATGCGCTTGATGCGAGATGTCGTCGAGACCGTTAGACGCCATAGTGTAGTGTGACCATGATCGATAACGAGAGGCTTTCAATCTAGACTCGAATGACGCCGTTAGTGTCCATAGCTCAACGGCAGAGGGATGCTCCACAATCATAAAAAATCAAAGCTCGCTAGTGGGGACGTGCCCAACAACTCGTGACAACTCTCTATATTGGCATAGGCACTTCTCAGCCTGTCGTCGGCAAAATTGAGTGTCGTGGAGCCACTCGGTCAATCCTCGGTCGAACTCCACCGCTCATGCACCTGAAGCTCGCGTAGAGGTGTCGGAAATTGGCGTCGTGATGGGGGGAAAGTATCGGACACTGCGCCCCCACAAAATCCAAAAGGAAGATGGCGGCATCAAAAATACAAAAGCACGAGGCTCGGATTGCCCCTCCAGCACGGACAGTGCTTTGTGTGCAGAGAAGAGAGAGCCTTGCGGACGAGGCATCCACAGCTGCAGGACTACTGCAAAGACGAGAATGGCGGTGGTGGAATTGAGACTCAGAATGTCACTGGATGCACTGGACGGGGCGGGGTTGGAACTGGAAGAAACGTTGGGAAATAGATGATCTGGTGTTGAATCGATAGTCCAGAGTATATCACGATTCATAGTCAGGCACAATGTCATAGTAGTCAATGGCTCAGCTGAGGACGAAACTGGAAGCCTCCCCAGACTTCCCTGAGTCAGGCAACCTCACGCACAATCCTTTCAGGTGTCAAGTATCAAGCCAGTTTTCTTTTTCTTTTTTTTGTATCCTTACTGTCGATCCAATCCTTAGCCTTTGCATAAGAGCTTGTGGACAATTCGGGGGTCAAGATGCGAGGGCTTAGTGGCTTGATGGCTTTGTGATAGGAACAGAGATTGGGTAGCGGGACATCCCGACAATGGTAGGGATCCATATTTAGAGGCGCACAGAGAACCAAAAGCTGCTTTATACTCATCTGGAGGTATTGGCGCTGATCAGAAGGGCCCTCGAATCGACTCGATGGAAGTGAAGGGAGTGATTGGAAGATGTCGCTAGGAATATCCCCGCAGAGCGGCGACGCGGCCGTCAAAGTAAGGCAGAAACCAAAGTCAAGGCAACTCTAATTGATTGCGCCTACATTCGGTTGAATTCGAAGTCAAATACGAAGAGACATCTTACAGGGCTACGAGTTGATCAAAAGCGGGTCGACAGAGAATGTATTTTCTCTTTGATTTCACAATCACATTATACATGTGCTTAATGGATTTACACGTGAGATCGGCGCTCACTAATGCCAGAACGGCTCTTTCCTGTCTAGACGAGCGAGTGGGTTTTCAACAGACGCTATTGTATGCAAGACGAATTGTCGGGTCGCCCTAACGAAATCCCAGATCGGGACTCGGATCAAGGTCCAGATAGTACGATCTCGCTGGGATTCGAGAATGTCGATCAGAAGGCGAGCCCACATCGCGAGGCACATTTGCTGGATGGATATGCACAATAGCTCCAAAGGGGGCGTCCGTTGGTGTCGAGCCACGATCAATGACTCCGTATCCTGCGCCTACGAACACGCCAATCATCTCGCCGTATTGTCGGTCCCAGGCTACGATGTACCCTGACCGGAGCCAAGAGTCCTCTACTCCAAAGCGCATGTCTAGGGTCCCCAGCTGTATCAAATGCAGGCATTTGTTGTTATCCTGGGGCACACCGTTGACCGTCGCACGAGCCCGAAGCAGCCCTAGCGTGACGGGCGTGCATTTTGCAGAACGGTCTGATAGGGCTGGAAGAGGACTCTCAGAGAATTCGAGAGGCGAGTGCTCTGGATTCCACTGGAATTCAATGGACGAGAAGTGGGATTGGTAAAATTCCTGCATATCTCGCCCAACGGGCGAGACGGCCACTCTCTGGGGGGCGCCGTCCTGCTCATTTAAAACATCAACGATCCGCAGAAGATCATTCCGAGATTTGGAGCAACCATGGGCTCGAATTTCAGACCACAGTCGTACTGGATCCTCATAACCAGCGCAATTGCCATCAATGGTGAGCAAAGGTTGGTCTTTGAAGACTGTCCATGGTGAGTCTGGCGTTACCCCAACATGAGCCTTGCTTTTGGCTTGCCATTGGACCTCTTCCCATCGGATTCCCAGTCTCGACTCCATGTCCACGAGACGAGTTTCAAGAAGCGCTTCATATTGGCGACCTTTGACCAAGTCTGGAAGGGCTTCGCTAACCATCGGGTCATCGAGAAGAGCCTGTACATTTCGTAGTGTTGCAATATGTGGCAAGTTATCCTCGCTGCGTTGGGAGATATCTTCCAAAAGCACTGCAGCTTCATCTGACCGTCTAGATCGGACTAGGGCTAGAATAACATTATAGGCGAGGTGACATGAATCTTTCTGAGTCTTGTCGAAGTCGGCCATGTATTGTTTCCACGAGTTGATCAGGGCATCGCGACTGTAGAGCCTTGCAAGGACACATAGGTATGTGGTCCAATTTCGCCGGTCTTTACCCGGGGACTCGTGGAGGACATCATGTAATGTAGGCCGGTCTTGAGGGGTCTGCTCCCCTTCGCCCGTGAGGCTGGCAAGGACATAGCTGGTATCGTAATTGGGGCGTTCAAAGAGTACCGACTCGATTGAGTCGAATAGCGCGTTGATAACGGAGCCACCATTGGAAAAGCTCAGCGGGGGGATGTAAAGCTCTTGGCGATTGTGCAAAAAGTGCTGGAATGCAGGCATTGAAAGATCTAGTGCAGCATAAGCAAGGCTATGATCAGTATTCAGCCGAGGCAGTTGGAGACGGACGTGTCGAGTCGCGATGTCGCTCAGAACCGAAACAAGCTCCGAATATGTATTGTTCTCTTCACAACGTTGAAGGGCCCCAGTAGCAAAAAGATAATGGTTAAGTAGCTTCACGCCTTGCTCGTCTACCACCAGTCTCTCAACAACGGACCTCAATGATGATATATCATTGACGGAATGAAGACGCTTTGCTTCCTCTTTTCGAGTTGTGGGGTGAACTCCCTTGAGGGCACACCATAAGGCTGGGGGTGGATTTCCTGAAACCCACTGTGTATCGATAAGTGACAAAATTCGTTCTCGCAGCAGTTTATCATTCTCAGTCTCAGTGTTGAGAGGATTTGAACTTGTGAGAGTATATCGGAGTAATTGCGAGGGCGATGGGTCTTCCATCGGAGGATCAGCATCGAGAGAGACTGATGAGATACCACGCGTAGATGCCCTCTTGGACACATGACATGATAATTGCCGCCTGAATCCCAAGAGGATTCGTGATGATGGGCTCCCCATCTTGGGCAACGAGTCAACGCGAATGCTCTTAAGGTAATGCGGAGAGGCCACGACCCACGGGTGGAGATGATAAACAACGATAGATAAGGGGCGTCTGGGGTGGCAGTTTTGGGCGGTGCGACCGGGCGGTGAATTTGATGTCATCTCGTCGCCAGACTCTGCGGTTGAACATCCACTCTAACACTTTCATTACCCACACCAGCTGACTTAGCTTTGCGGAGTTGCTCTGAAATTCGAATCAGCATGCCTCAAACACCACCGGCATCCACCTCCGTGGAGGCTGAGCCCAAAGTTGAGCAACCTGAGCAGGTCGAGACTGCCGACAAAGAAACCTCAAGCTCGTCAGAGGCGCCTGCGCAGAGCAAAGAAAATGATGCTGCGGCTAAAGCGCGAGAGAGGATGGAAAGATTCAAGGCCCTGAAGGCCCGAGCGGTAAGTTTTATCACCTCTGGCAAATGTGATATTTCAGGCTCACCAGCCCCTTCTATGAAATCGCTATACTAACTGCTCGCATGAAGAAATCCGGCACGGAACGCAACCTGAAAGAAACAGCAGCCGAGACACAACGCCTAGCTACCGATCCTGGACTGCTGAACTCGCTCTCCCGCAAGCACGCCTTTGCCTCTCACAACCTCCTCAAAGCAGACACCGAAGCTGCTGGTGAAGACTTCGAACGGAAGCGCGCCTGGGACTGGACTATCGACGAGTCAGAGAAATGGGACCGACGCATGGAGAAGAAACAGCGCCACCGTGATGATGTTGCATTCCAGGACTACTCTCAAGATGCCCGCAAGGTGTACAAGCGCCAGTTGCGTGAGCTCGCACCCGACCTCGAAGCATACGAGAAGGAGAAGCTGGCCGCTATTGAGAAGGCTGCTGCTAACGGCGATTTGGAAATTGTCGAGACGGAAGATGGCGAGATGATTGCGATCGACAAGAATGGCAGCTTCTACTCGACTGCGGACAGTGTGGGCTTTGCCGACAACAAGCCGAATCGCGCCAATGTGGATAAGCTGGTTAGTGATCTCCGGAAGGCGGAGGAGGTCCGCTTGAAGAAGCGCAAGGAGCGTCGCGGAGATGAGGAGGGCGATGTGACCTACATCAACGAGAAGAACAAGCAGTTCAATCAGAAGCTGGCCCGGTTCTACAACAAGGTATGCATCCCACCTATGCCTTCCTGTTTAGCCATTGGCAGTTGCTAACTATTTTCCAGTACACAACCGAGATTCGGGACAGCTTCGAACGTGGTACCATGATCTAATGCGAAATGAAAAGAGCAATATAATACATGTGGTGGAGATTGGGGGTTACACGGGGGTGCATGACAACTCATTCATCGAATGAGATCCTCTGCGTTTTCATTCGATCTCTCCCGGCACAAAGGTCGAGGAGGTGCAACCAATGAAGTCTGCGTTTCATGCCCCTAAAGCATCGTCTTCCTCCAGGCCTTTGTCGCCAGCTGCTCAATCTGCTTCGTTCCAACAGCTCCTCTTGTCGACTCATCTTCCAACGCCTCGATCACTGCCTCACCTACCACATCAACTTTCAGGGGCTTCTCGGCCATGGCTCCGAGGAATCCAAGTTTGTTTCCGAGGAAATTATTGAACTCGGAGGCCACAAATCCACCAAGGGCAATTGGCAATGTGAACTTTCTGCTTGAATCATACATAAAGCCTGGGCGAATAAAGATACTCCGCAGCTCGGGAAGCGAAGATGCAATGGTGGCCTCGGCTTCGCGTTTGGTGGTGATGTATCTAGCTGGAAGGACCGGCGCCCCAGCCGCAGCGGAGATATACACAAAGGTCGGGACATGCTCATTTGATGACTCTTGAGCGAGCGCGATAGCTGTATTAGAAGTTAGCATGCAAGCGTATCCCAAAATACAAACTTCGAGTCCCAATCAACATAATAAGACTTACCGGAATCTCTGTTCATCAATTCATAAGTCAATTGCCCATCCCTCTCCTTTGGCTCGAGAGCTTCGCCTTCCTTTCTTAGTAGCGGATTCTGGCTTCCTAGTTTAGACGAGCTGAATGCGCGCTGTAGCCCGCCGACAAGAGGTTCTCGCCCTTGTACGACACCCTTGTAATCGGCCTCTAGCAGGATACCCATCGTATGGACGACAGCCGACGCTCCGGTCAGGAAGGGCTTATAGGTTTCTGGCTTGAGGATATCGGCTTTGGCCCATTCCACCGAGCTGGCCCAACTTGGCCTCTCCGTGGAACTCGTGACGGTGTCCCAGCGCGGCTCGCCAGATCGACTAACGTGATCTTAGCATATCGTGCATGTAGAGGGACCCTTGACTCTAGCTAAGAGGTTTCAGGTAGAGCTGAGGACATACCTTAGCGATGTTACCTCCCAACCCCGTGCAGCAGCAGCTCTGCAAATCCGGGATCCTGTAGTATCGTGTTAGCTCATCCACACATGCATCTCGAGTGATAAAAGTAGCGAACCGAGAAAACCGCTTCCTCCTGCAACGACAAGTCTCTTAGCCGCCATTGTACATGTAAGGTTGCAATAAAAGCAGAAAGAAGAACTAGAATCGCAAGGCAATTCTACCAGGGAGGCAAAGAATCGCGATCGATCGATCGATCAAGCTTCCCAAGATTCAAGCTACTTGCAGCTCCGGCATGCCGTCACCGTGTCACGTGCACTGCCCGTTCTTTTTCCACGCGCCATTTGACATCCGCCCTGCGCGACTTACCTTTCCAAGAATCTCACTACACATATCTTCAAGCCATCACCATGCCGTCTGCAACGGGTAACAAGCGTGTCAAGGTCAGTCTCTGCTCTAACCAACTCATCCAGTCTCTACCTCAAGCCTAAAATCCCCTCCAGACCGTCTCCGTCTTCCGCCCATTCATCTTCGGCAGCGAAGCGCAACCTTTCGACCCCGAGAAACGGCCTGCCAACACCCCCGTTGACCACACCCACCAATGGCGCATTTTCGTCAAAGGGATCAACGACGAAGACATCTCCTACTGGCTGAAAAAAGTCCAATTCAAGCTCCACGAAACCTACGCGCAAGCCGTCCGCACCATCGAAGCACCCCCCTTTGAAGTCGTCGAGACCGGCTGGGGTGAATTCGAAATCCAAATCAAGCTCTACTTCACACCCGAATCGGGCGAAAAGCCCCAAACGCTCTGGCACAGTTTGAAACTGCACCCCTACGGCCCGGATGCGGAGGGTATGAAGGAGCGGCGTGAGGTGGTTGTCAGCCAGAATTATGAGGAGGTCATCTTTAATGAGCCCGTTGAGCCGTTTTATGAGTTGATGACGGGTGGTCAGCCGGCTGGGACGCCGGTGGCGCCGAGGGGGAAGGGAAAGAATACGAAGCAGCCGGGCCGGACAGCGGAGATTCCGTTGAGTGATTCGCCGAAGAATCCGTATAGCCGGGCGACGGAGGGGAAGGAGTTGGATCGCATGTCTGAGGCGATTAAGACGGTTGATCAGATGATCAAGGAGGAGAAGGAGAAGTTGGTTGAGCGGGAGAAGTACTTGGCGGAGCTAAGGGAGAGCGAGGGCGTTCCTGCTACCACGAAGAAGAGATGATTGCATCCCATGAGCAGGAATACTTTTTATCGTGTCGATCCACACTGGGATGCCGACTCATGCGCCGATATACTCCATACTTCGAACACCCTTCCGACACCATACGACCGGGAACGTCTGTTTTGAGGCTACCCAGCAGCAATACCTCCTACAAATATGGCCCTCTGGACGGTTATCATTATGAGAGCGCTGGATGCTCAAAGAGAGACTGGATCCAGGCTCGGGCTTCCCTCCCCGAGAGTATCGCCACCAAGCATCTGTCTCAAAACCACAAGTCTGAACCCCCAGACTCTCCCAGCAGAAGGCTGCCATTACCGCGCCAAGACCTGAAGACAGCCCGGGGACCGTGCGGACTGTTCTATAAAGAGGGAGAGACGACAGAAGGACGTGACGTATCTGGATCTGGATAGCAAGGCGAACCTTTGTGGCAACCTTGAACTACCTACTGTAGTCCCTTGAATTGAGGATATGAGAGAATAACACTGTCCATTCCGTACTGTTTCCAACTCAAAACCTTTCATTTAATCCAATTTTGCATACCTATTGGTGCCCAACAAGGAAAACATCGCGTACCATATTTTGCCCATTGCCCCGTGGGATATAGTTCCATCCGGCTCGATAGTCAGGTAACTAACAAGGCTATGACTCAATCGCTCTCCTAGATTTGACAAAAATAAGAATCTACTGCAGGGCACAGTCCGGCCCCCAAGTCGGCCCCTAATTAGCGCCGAGTGTCCACTGCAGATAATTCGCGCCAAGCTATTTTGGCCCCGAGTGCCGAGCCATTCTTTACTCCACACATCACCATCACAGCCTTTCCAAGGAAATTTTGAATCACTCACTGCCGCAGGATCATATTCCAAACCAAATAGCGGTGACGTGACGAGGCGCAGCGCTGCAGATATTCCCTGTCGTGTCTACGCCCAGTATATCCTGTACTCGGTGCATATACTTCACACGGAGAGTAACGAGTAACAAGTAACCTTGGTATTGTCTGTGCTCTATCGGTCTTCCGGACCTACAGTAGTAGAGTAGCATTGGATTCTTCACTTTGTATCACGCCAAGACACCTATAGCTTGAACCGAGGGTTCAAGCCTGGCGCTAAGAAGTGCGAGGCTGACTGGCTAGTGGATTGGGACTGTTAGCGTGGTGGACATCCAGGGTCTGCGGCTTAAACCGATAAGCCCTAGTCTTTATCAAGTCTTGACCCTCCGAGACCATAAAAGAGGCGCCATTCCCACTGATTTTTTTTGGGGCACTCTCATTTTCTTGCTGTACATTGTTCCCACTGCACAAGTGCCATACATACGGAATCTTATCTTTCCGCTGTCACAAAACTCAAACCACCTTCTGCATCCACATCCACATCCTCCAGCATTCGAATCATTATCAAAATGCATCTCTCAACCACCCTCCTCCCTCTCCTCTCAACCCTCTCACTGGCAGCAACCATCACGACCAGTCCCAGCCCCACCGCCACCAGCGCTTCAGGTCAAAGCACCTCCACCGGCTCATCAACAGTAATCTCCTTCTTCGACGCCAGCTACACCCTCTCCGACTTCCCAGTCCGCACCTCCACCAGCTACGCCGCCAGCGTAATCTCCCTCAACGCACTCGCAACAACCTACGAGATAAACTGTCTCGCCGCCGCCCCAACAAGCGACTGCAGCCTCGCCACCCCACTTACTCTTATCGCGGGCCCCAACACCTTCAGTTTCGCCGAGCCATTCACCCTCTCCGGTGAGGCATACGGCGTCACCGTCACCGAGAAGGGCAACTTGGATATGGCGTGCTCGTTTACGCACTCGTCCGAGTCCGCGACTTGCACTGTCAAGTATGATTTGACGGCTTCCGGCGCCGGCAAGACTACTTCGACTAGTAGCTCAACTAAGACGGGCATTCCGACGGATATGGTGCAGTATCAGGCGTTGACTGTTACCGGGGGCTTGGAGAGTTTTAATGCTCCCGGTGCGACGCAGACTCCTACTGGTAATGTGGCCGGGAAGATGGCTATGGTTACTGGTGTGCCGTTGGGTGCGGCTGCCGTTGTCGTTGCGGTTTTGTTGTAGGGGGGTTTTTGAGCGTGGTTGTTTAATTTTGGTATGACATATTAATGTTTGTATCTACCTCTCATGTTTATTTTCATGTTCATTTGCATATGTCTTTTGGAGGATACCCCGAGTTTTAAAGGAGAGGGATCAGCATCTACATATCCATTGTATTTTCACTATGCACATTACTACAATAAGGACGTTACAGTATTACAGTAGATCTCCACGCAAGTAGAATCTGTGTATTCCCGAGAGTCTAGTATTCCAGCCATGATTGCAAATTGCCTCTTATCAACTCTATCCGAAAGTAGTAACAATCGTTCAGACAAGCTCATAACGCCAAAACACCTAATCGCACCGCTATGTACCAATATGAACATAAACACGCAAGAAAAAAAAGGACGCCTTCATCTAACATGTAGCAGACTTGGTCGCATCACGAGTCTGCTTCAAAAAAGGAATCAAGCTCGTACCACCAGTTCCATACAATCCCGTGGGATTGGTCTCGCTCAAACCCTTAATCTGAGCACTGGCCGTAGCCAAGTTGACTTTGTCCGTGGAACCTGTCTCGACGGGTACATTGCTGCGGGCTGGCATGATGATATACCGCGAGACAATCTGGATATGAGCGTCACGGAAGGCACTCAATGTCAAGACGGCGGCATTGTATGCCTCCTTTAGAGGGGACTCGGCCTGCGTGGAGGTCACGTAGGATCGAACATTGGAGAGCGCGGAGAGAGTCTCCAAGAAACGCTTATGCGGGGCGGGCATGTAGTTTCTCATATCCTGTGAAGCACTTTTTCAGTATTGATAGTTGCTGTTTTTCCGTGTGGGAATTTAATCGTACCTGAATATAACTCGTTCCCGAGGACTTCATACTCGTACCCCCCGTCGCAGAATGGCTCACACCAAGGAAGATATCAAAAGTTTGAATAAGCGAGCTCTGCGCATTACTCCCACCACTGTACTGATGCCACTCGCCCTGGCCAGTACCAAGATCATAAAAGACACCATGCGGCAAACCAGCAGCAGCCATATTCTTACTCCCCGCCAAAAACGGCCGCAACTGGTGGAAGAAGACATGTGGGTTATTCTTCTCATACATGCGCTTCAACGTGCCAGTCAAATCTTGCAGACCGTCTGTGAAGCGGCAAAGCAGTGCTGTCAACCGGGGTGCGTCGTTCGCTGTAGCAGCGGCGATGGCATCGAGCATTAGTGGGACTAGACGGGCACCCTTGGCTTCGATGGCGACGGAGATGACCATGAACCATTCTTCGTCTTTGGTTCCTGTGAAGGAGGTTAGGACGGAGAGATGGTCTGGTTCTGTGAGGTCGAGTTCTGGGACGGTGGTGTAGTTCCATAGTGTGAGTGCTGCGTAGGTTGCACAGGGAGGGAGCTCGAGGTGTTTGGCGATCTCGAGGAAGGGCTTTGCAATGCAGGGTGGGAGGACCTGGATGAGAGGGTTAGCCTTGGAATGGACGTTGTGAAGGTATGATATTAGATGGATGAGATGTAAGATGCTGGAAAGAACTACTTACATCCTTGGGCTTCTCGCCTCCCCAGATATAGGCGTGTGTGAAGAATCCCAGGATGGAGTATGCACGACGCCACTCTGGCTCTGTTTGCAACCATGTAGTAGTGAGGACTGGCAAGGCATCGATTAGACGTCTGATCTGACCGGTCTGGATCAGATCTGGCAGCCGGACGGCAAGGTTCTCCCAGGAAGCGTAGTAGTCATGGGGCAGTTTCTGTAGGGGAAGACCACTTGGAAGAAAACCGTGATCTGGAGAGACGGCATAATCATCGAGATTGATCTCAGGTGAAGGAATCATGGTGGCAAGTTTTATTTTCCACGTTCCAGAGGAGGAAAGAACGGGGACAATGGGAAGAGATTTGGGCAAGGATGAGTAGGTGATGGTTTAAGTTGGAAGGGGGTACGTCAGAAAAAAATGGGAATTGATTGTCAGACACACTTCTGGCCTCATATAGGGGGGATAAAATAACTATCGATAAGCATAATACCACGCCATTATAGATCGTGGATGCCGGTTTGCATCGGGCCTGCCCAGGTATACCGGCCGGATGACAGGCGGATCGCTATCCGTGTTCCGCTTTTACGATAACGTTGCACTCGTCATACCATTATGAAGGGGTTGATCATTCCAGGAACCAGGAACACTGAGGGGAAATAGAATGTAAAAAGAAACTCGGCGATACAACAGGTTAACTTTCAATAAACTATACTTCACCTCGATAGAAAAAGCAAACCTATCAAGTTTAATGCACTGACACCCTGCATCCTTGTACGACGTGCATCACAATAGGGTTTATCACCAATCGCATACTCACACCGCCTCGACGTGCAGTATTCCCTCTACAGATTTCCAATTGGACCAAATCGAGTTCATAAATACTTAATTGGCATCCCTGCTAGCGATTGAGTAACGAAAACACAAAATTTGCAACGATAACCACACTAACCAGACATGTATCCAGCGGAGATCCCCGCCTATCACCGCAAGAATGTGGGGACGGATCATACAGGCGGATACGGATGCTCCTATCCGGACGCTCCTCCCTCCCTCTCCGATTTGATTAGAGCGAGTTATAAAATGGACCTGGAGCGTGCGCGTCTTATCTGCGTTTCAGTGAACTTCCCCTCTACTTAATAATTGCCATTAACCTCGGTGTGCGTTGCCAACGTCGCTCGCCCTTCCCTTTCTGTCTACATCCGCATTGACATCTACCTCCACCTCCACATCTACATCATGACGGGCGCCAACGGTGTCAACGGTGTCAAGGCCCCTAAGCCTACATTCCCCGCCGAGGCTGCGACGAGGGAATATGCCGCCTCACTAGACAAGGCAGACCCTCTGCGCGCACTCCGCGATGAATTCATCATTCCCTCCAAGGCCAATCTGGCCAGCAAGAAGCTGGCCAAACCAGGTATGAGCGCCGGACGTTTGTGAAATTTGCGGGGATTGTTAGTGGAACTCGTTATTGACTTTCCGATAACAGGTCTTTCCTCCGAGCCCAGTATCTACTTCTGTGGTAACTCGCTGGGCATTCAGCCCAAGGCCACGGCCAGGTACATGGAGGCTCAATTAGATACATGGGCGTCCATTGGTGTCAATGGCCATTTCACCAATATTGAAGATTCCCCGCTATCAGAGTGGCAGAAACTCTCTGAGCAGGCTTCGGCTTCTATGTGCAAGATTGTTGGTGCCTCGCCAGAGGAAGTTGCTGCTATGGGTACTTTGACGACGAACCTGCACCTGCTACTAGCCAGTTTCTACAAGCCAACGGAAACTAAGAAGAAGATTTTGATGGACTGGAAGGCTTTCCCTAGTGATCATGTAAGTTTTGATCATAAACGACGCTTTCACAAAAGGCAATGACTGATCTAGTACATAGTACGCCATCGAGTCGCACATTGCATGGCACGGCTTCGATGCCAAGGAGAACATGGTCCTCATTGGACCCGATGAGGGCACTTACGAGATCTCCACGGACAAGATCCTCTCATACATTGACAAGCACGTCAACGACGCCGCTCTTCTCCTTCTCCCCGGTATCCAGTACTACACCGGCCAGCTCTTCGACATCCCCACCATCACCAAGTACGCGCAGGACCGCGGCCTGACCGTGGGCTGGGATCTGGCACACGCCTACGGCAACGTCGAGATCAAGCTTCACGACTGGAACGTCGACTTTGCCGCCTGGTGCACGTACAAGTACGGCAACGCCGGTCCTGGTGCTATGGGTGGTCTATTCGTGCACGAGCGCCACGGCAAAGTCGACTACAGCGAGGGCGAGGACTCGCCCAAGTTCCGTCACCGATTGACAGGCTGGTACGGCGGAGACCGCTCAGTGCGCTTCAAGATGGACAACAGTACGTGATACATGCACCTCATCATGAAAGTACCAGGGACTAACACCATCCAGAATTCAAGCCCATCCCCGGCGCAAACGGCTACGTCATCTCCAACCCTTCCGTGATCGACCTAACAACCCTCTGCGCCTCCCTCTCCGTCTTTGACAAAACCAGCATGACGGGCCTGCGCCAAAAATCCTTCAAACTAACCGCCTACCTCGAGTACCTCCTCCTCAAGGACAATACTGATGCAGACCGCCAATTCACAATCATCACCCCGTCTGACCCGCATGCCCGTGGCGCACAACTGAGTCTGCTGCTCAAGCCGGGTCTATTGCAGAATGTGGCGCAGAAGCTGCAGGATGCAGGTATTATTTGTGATAAGCGAGAGCCGGGTGTTGTTCGGGTGGCGCCGGTGCCGTTGTATAATACTTTTGAGGAGGTGTTTACATTTGTGGAGGTTTTTAAGAGTGCTTTGTCGCAGTAGGTGGGAGTTTTGATGGATGGGAGATGGTTTATATGAGATGTTATGGAGATACCATAGATGAAAATAGCATATTCGCATGTCTTGCATTATAATCATATCCCGGGTAAACCTTCTATGGTGTAATGTTCTATCTATATTTTGCCAGATCGAGCATATCAAGTTAAGCAAGGACAACGGCGATTATTCAATATCTCACAAAGTATCATCTAGACAGCTCTATGGCTAGAAATTCCCAATATTAGTCCAAGTATCCCCACCCCTCAAAAACTCCTGCCCCTGCGAGAAAAAGTTGGTCGCCAAAATCGAAAACTCATCATTCGTCAACGTAAGCTGCTGCGGCGAAACCAACGACTGTCCCGAATAATCCGCAAACCCAGCCGCAGCACTAGCCCCAAAGCCACCACTGGGCGACTGCAAACTCCCCGGCCTCTCCTCGCCAATCCGCGTCGGCGCAGGTAACGGCGAAGTCTGCGAGACTTCCGGGTTCGCCGTGGACGGACCCGCGTAGAGCGAGTCGCCGAACAGCCGGCGGGCGGAATCTGCGTCGCTGTTTGAGGAGTATTCGAGGATTTCCCAGAATTTGGAGAGGTCGATGAGGAGGCTTTGGTTTTGGGCGTTCGGGTCGGATTGGTAGGTTGCTGAGACGGCGTCTTCGAGGTGTTGGAGGCGTTGGGCGAGGCGGGACATGTGAGGCCATCGTTCGCCGATTTGTTGGACGAATTTGACGCATTTGGTGAAGCGGTCGCGCTTTTGGTCGCGGATTGTTGGGTTTTCTGTGAAACTGAGTTGGAGTTCGATTGTGGCTACGACGGCGGCGCCGTAGCCTAGGAGGGGGTCGGAGACGAAGAAGGATTTTTCTTCGAAGTAGTTGATGAAGTGGATGATCCAGGTCGTGTGGGTGGAGATCAAATCGGAGGTATGTTGGAGGAAAATCTCGGGGATGGTGCTGCGGAATGTGCGTAGGCTGAGAGATAATAGGAGTGGATGGTTTAGTAGACAGAGCATGGTGTGGTATATGAATTGATTTAGGAACCAGGGTCCCCAGTATTCGCGGTGAGCTTGCAGCTCCTCTAGGGATCTGTCACTGAGGTTTGCCGGCTTGAATCGATGTGTGAGAGGCATCTTCGTCTCTAGGTCCATTTGCAGCGCGATGATTTTCGAATATTCCGAGTGAGGAGACCAAGGGGGCACATTGCTTGGTCGTCCATGGAGTCGGACATATCGTCCCGTCCTTGCGAAGGCCTCACTCAGCATAATGACATAGGCAAGAATACCCTGGTCTTGAATATCACTTCTCCGCGTATCCGGGGGTGTGGGACCCGGTGAGAGCATCCGCGCAGGCCGTGTCGGACTCTCAGGGTATGCCGGGCCTCCTCCTTCGGGTATATCGATCGAGAAGCCACCGTCGTGAAGTCGTTTCAGCAAGCATATGCTCCAGAAACAACGTCTGCGTTCCTCACGATGAATGTTGGTCATTGGTGCGCGAGGCTCCAGCCCGAGATTTGCGCATTGGGCTAGATTCATGGCAAGACTGCTGTGGATGCTAGAACGATGCGTATTGCCATCTGTTGTCACGCAGCTCTTAGCAAAGTGGTCATCTTGTCAGCCACAAAAGTACATACTTGTAAAATCAACCAAGCTCAACAGACAAAGACATTGAAGGGTCGAAACCTCGACTGGTCCTTCGGAGACTCGCTTCATAACCATGCCACGTGCTACTTCGGCATAGCTATTGACCTGTTCAGACAGAGTACGGGTATCGCGGTATGAGTTCGAGAACCGTAGACTCAAAGCTAACATCGCGTAGATGATTTCGATGTCTCTTGTTTGGAGGCTGCCGATGAAGCTGCTCCTGTGGAACAAAGGTAGAGGTTGGGATTCACAATACAGCATATATAGCTCGGCCAGAGGAATTATTTCTTCCCAAGGAGGTAGAACCACAGATACACTTGGACCAGACGTGGTCAGGCCAGTGGATAGTTGTGTGGTACTCGCTGCTGGCGGGTTTCCTCTCGAGCCGACTCTACTTGAATTAGCAAGTCGATGCGTTCGTCAACAGGCAGGCGAAGTTCATACCCTAGATGATCAATGACCACACCTAGCTTCCCTTCCAAGCTTCGCAATCGATCCTCCTGTCGCATATGAGTATCAACACAGGCTATCAATTTTTACCCTCTGAGATACATACCAGAGACTGAGGAGCTGTCTGGCCCACGAAATTGGGCCTTACAGGCTCCTCTGGGACTTGTGGCCGACGTCTTTCCTCTGCATAGATGCATTCTTGTCGCAGTCTGGCACACAGTGAGCAGACTGGCTGCTCACCAGGACATTTGGCCTTTTTCCGTCTGAACCCTTGTTAGCCTCGAAATTGACAATGAGGGGCAGCTGGTGTGGCTCTTACCTGCATGGTTCACATGCCTGTCGAACCCTTTTAGCTGGTCGTTCGGAATATGATGAGTCGTTATGATCCATTTTGAACGCGAATTCTCATGGTCGTTCCAAGTCATCAGACACACGTTCTATGACTCGGAGTTGCTGCTTGAGCTGGGTTTGATGGGTTGAATACGGGAATTTATATTGGCAAATCACACGGGTCAAGATTGTCATATCCAGTATTTGGCACAGAAAAGTCCATGAGTGGTAGATCATGAAAGCCACAACCAGATTTTGGTACCTCGACGAGCTCCGAACCAGCTGGAACCAGCTCGTCCTGAGTTGTTTGGGTCGAGTATGTCGTGGACCTGATGCTGCCTGGCCCTTATAGCGCTGACTAAGCACTTGGGACTGCCCGCATCCATGATTAGGTGCGGATGGTCTGATGCGGACATCAAGAAGTATGTAAGACTCGGAGTACATACGTAGATTGCCAGGTAAAAGTTATTCTTGAGCAGCATATAGATTTGAGTGTAATTCGATGACTCTAGATCTTAATCTGTTTGAGGTACCCTTCGGTAATGATTCCTGGCCAATTGTAGCATAGCGTATCTACCATGCCACGATTATTGACTAGATGTTTTGCTTTTGATAGGTAATGCGTTTTAGGAAGCAGGCCTGGAGCATTAGAGGAAGACAGGTAGCTATATGCTTCGCATGTAGCTTTTGGCAGGAGTTCTTCTAGAACACTTTGCAAAACTTGTTTGAACACTGATGTCCCAGAACACTTTGCAAAACTTGTTTGAGCACTGATGTCCCAGAACAAGCCATTGATTCAAGCTGACAGGAACCGCCAAGTTATGAGCTTGAAGAAAGTTGTGAAAAGGCAACAGTATTTTGATTGGTGCTTCGGTTTATGTACAGCCCCAAATCTTCAGTGTGCCCCGCAAAAGTCCATCTAATCCACCACCGGTATAGAAATACACCGCCAATATTGTGTCAATCCCAACATTGCAACATCAACTACCGAGCAACCAAATCGAAAGGAGGGTTGGTGTTATTTATTTGTCACCGAACCAGGTCTTCTTGCCCTATTCAATCAGTCAGTATGTGTCCCGGATTTCCAAGTATTGGTTACTATGCTCGCATTCGGCGAGAAGGATTGGGGCTTGGGGTAGACTAACGAAGACCATGCGGCACATGGCGTAGGTGGTGGCTATCGTAGAGTTAGCTTATAATCTGCATTATTTCTTCGATTCAAGAGAGGTTTCACTAACCAGCACCGAGGCCGTAGACGGAGATGAGGTAGGGGTACATGATGTAACCGCTACGGGAGGTCTGCGAAGCAATATACAAGTCAGAGAAATTGCCAATGGCTAGCATCGAAGTCATCATATCCGGATGAAGCTGACCTTCCACCATTGACGCTTGCCGTCGTGGTTCTGGAACAGACGCTGGTAGTAGGGGACACGGTTCTCGCGGAACACGAAACTATAGAAGATGAATACTTGTCAGTATGAATTCTCAACGTAGTAATGTCGGGCAATGCCTGTAGCGGTATCAATTGCAATGGCAATTGACCCAATCGCGAACGGCACCCCCGAGGGATTTCGAAACGAATTTCGGCCGGGCTCGGGCACGGCCAGGGATGGTTGGAGGGAGCTGAAGAGCATTGGAGTCGACGTACCCGGCCATGCGAGGCGCAGTGCGGAACATTTTGGCGGTTGGAAGCACGAAGCGAGGTTTGGGTGGGAGGAGAGAGTGGTAATGGCACGATGTCGTGAGGTTCGGGAGAGCTGCAATTGAGGGTCATGTGACTTCCCTCTTTCTTCCGCCCACTCAGAAGGTGCGCTTAGTAAGGAAAGTCCTGCTGAGTCAGGATCCTCAAAAGGGGAAAGCGTCATCGGCGGCTTTTGGCACGGAAGAAGCAAGCTTGGGCTGTTTTGTCCGCGCTGGTCTTTAATTCCTCATCGTTGAAAGAAGGATGGTGGACAGGTATTTCGTTGCCATCCTTCCTTGCACGACCAATGCGACCGGCTCTTCTTCGACTCCTGAAGAGGCCGTCTGCCATCTCGGTTCTCGACTCCCTCGCAGCAACACCGACCGGAATCGAGCAGTTGGAGTCAAGATACGCGCGCCTACGATGTCAATCACGATGTGCTCATCAAGGGGCAGTGGACGATAACGTGGGAGGTGGCTCTGCGGTGCAGGGAGTCGAAACTCGACAGCAGACTGCAAGCGACAGGCGGCCCTTCAGTTTTCCTATCTATGAGATCGAACCTTCGGAGACAGATCGATATCCAATTTCCTCGACCCTTACGAACCAAACGAGCGAGAAACACGATTCAAAATGCCCAGTCAAATCATTACGCTTACATCCGGAGAGACTGGAATTCGAATCAGACGTTGGTCACTGCAATGATATTGGAACACGCCTGGTCGACCGTGCGGAGAACATGAACGATTTTGAGCTTTGGGAGGAACTTTTGAAGTTCCGCCAGCGACATTATGGCGACAAGGGAACGCAAGATATATGGGAAGGACTGACAGTCCGTCTCCGCGGAGTCCGGGTACCGGTAAATGGAGAACGGGCCGACTTTTTCTGGCAGAACTTTGTGAAACTGGGGTTAAGACGAGATCTTTTCCTCATAGATGTGATGGAATATGCGATGGATCTACACAGACGAGAAGGTCAATCTTGGCCACGGCTCTACGAAAGTGTCGTGGGTGGCCTTCTTGACCGGGGGCTGACGAAGCGAGCTTTACGATGGAACAAAAAATTCCAAGCATCCGGCCTGGCTTCCCCGAACGATGTCCTGCAGGTTCTTCTGCCGGTTATTCGTCCCACATCCCTTGTGGAAAGCGCTCGCGACTGGTATCATGTCAAGGCTGTCAGGCCCTCCTCGCTTCTACGGACCTTTCGGCTTTTGTGTCGCTCCGCCGAAGGCCACGAGATCTATGGGCAAGTTATGTCGACATTGATTGCACAAGGCTATGGAGAGGGTGCAATCTCAATACACCCCTTTTTGGTCGCGCGCAACGATCACCCGAAATCGCGCAGCGAGATCCAGCCTCTGCTGGATTACGCCAGAAAGTATGGGTTCTGGGACGAAAATAAAAAACTCCAGGAATATGCCAAGAAACAATTCGAGTCCAAATCCAAACCAACAGATACACCCGGTGACGTCTCCGAGAACACAAAGGAGCATGCGCCTGATGGGACGCCTTTCAAAGATGACATTGGAGCTCGATTGCTCGCCACTCGCGCCCTAAACTTTGATATGGTACTCGGTGGGCTGAAGATGCTTGGCGTATCTGCAATCGGCCCAAGGAGCTTACGTGAGTTGGCCGTCAGAGCGCATGGAAGCCAGGATATCCTGGAGAAAATCAAGACACTCCGGCAGGCCGGTATCTCCATTGGAGACTCTGTCTTTGCTCGATTGGTCCAAAAATTGGCATCACAAAATCGTGACATTCTCCTTTCCGATCTGCTGCTGAGTGACCAACATCCCGATGTTCTCGAAGATAAGGCCACCCAAGAATCACTGCTCATTTCTTACTACATCGCTCGTGATGTGCAGCAGTACAACATGGCACTTGCGATACTTGCAGAGTTGCACCCGGAAGACCCAGACCTGTTGGATATCCATTTCCGCAAGCACATCGCTGCCAGTGATCTGGGAGCGGCGTCCAAGATCGTCGACGAGCTGACGCTGCGGGGAAAGCCTCTAAGTGAGGACAGCCTGGATTTTATGGCCGAAAAGGTTTTAACGCCTCGCCGACCTAATCATCGCCCAAATTCACCGCCCGGGCAGCCACTGGATACCAAGCGCGAAGTCATGTTCATCTTCCGGATTCTTCAGCGTTCTGTACCGCTGGGTGGCTATGTCAATCCGTTCTTCTGGAAGGAGATGCTCAAACGTCTCGGCATGGAAGGTCATTGGACTGAGCTTCGAGAATGTTGCTTATGGCTGGCTCGTCAATATGGGACACGGAACAGTGAATTCTGGGCCACGGCGCCCGCTGGGACACCAAAGGGACAGGATGACCGGATGCTGAAGCTCATTTTTAGCCCGCCAATGCAAACCGCGCTCGTGGCTTGGGGGTTCAAGTCTCAAGTGACTAGCGCGACTGCAGTCAAGGCCATCTGCTTTCATCCCACTACGAATGAACCTCTCATTCAATGGGTCCGTGGACTTCTCCTTTTACGAGAGCTCGAACAAGCTGGTCTCGTCCTCCAGAAGCGTGTCATCGTTGAGACCACTCGGCACCGCCTAGCAACTTTGTTTGGTCGATTCAATCTTTCTCATTCTCGCTTGAACCGGGTGCTGCGACGACAGAACCCGTACCGGTGGCAGCGCGTGGTGGGAGATATCTTGCGTGCCTGGGGTGATCCGTCATTCTTCGGTGGATTGGAGAAAATCGAGCCAACCAAACTGATGAATCCCGGTCGAACCCCGTCCTCGCTGCGACGTTCTGCTCAAACAGTTTGGCCGAGGAAACGAAGTCGAAATGATGTATAACTAGCGATCTTTCTTTCTGTTCATAGAGTAGTATACCCCCGTGATCTATGCCGACCACACTTGTATAATATGATGTACCTCACAGTAATCTCCCATATGCTATATCCCGCATTCTATAGTATATCGAAAACCCCAGTTTCAGAATGATCGCCACTACGCAGGGGAAACCTTGTCAGTCCCTCGCGTCCAGCGGGACAGAACATCCACATAAATACACAGATACGAATACATTCAGGCTGTGCCACACAGGACGTCAGTGTCTCTCACAGCCTTCCATCTGCGACTGGAGCCTAGAACCTTGGCTACTTGGCGCGATGGCAACGAAATAACCATCAAAATCCATTCAAAGGCCTCGCTATGCGCGTGACTTTGACCAATCAGCAGGATTGCGTGGCGGATGAAGATCCACGATCTAAGAATAGTTGAGACGGCAACGCGGCCTGGACCCGCAATGGATCGTCATTCTAAACATTGCATTCCATGACAGCCGACCCTTATTACTCTCCTTCTCCTTCTTTTTGTTTCAAATAGTGAGAAGAGGATTTACTGTCATTATAGACTGCTTATTCAAGTTTGCTATTTACTCGATATCATTAACGACCGGTCGAATTTTACAGCATGCGATTGCTCAACTATCTACCGCTGTTGCCCGCGGTGCTGGCTAACCCGCTCAATGTCCGGTCCACCGCCTGCAACAATTCCCCCGACCTCTGCGACAAATCCTACGGCGAGATTACGCATCTGGGTGCCCATGACAGCCCCTTTGTGCGCAGCTCGGATAGTGTCCTGGCTGGTGACCAGTATGTTTTGTCCTCCTGGAAGCGATCGAATCCAGTACCCCGCTTGGTGATCGCGAAATCAGCTCTAACATGTCTAACCTTCTTGTACAGGTACTACGATACCCCTACCCAGTTGAGCGCCGGTGTCCGCCTCGTTACCGCACAGGTACACAAGGATAACAATGAATGGCGCCTATGTCATTCATACTGCTCCTTGCTCGATGCAGGGCTGTTGAGTGACTGGCTGGCCAAGATCAAGTCATGGCTAGATGAACATCCCAATGAAGGTACGCAGCCTGCTTCATTCGCACGGGTACCATCAGACTAATTCCTCTCTCCTATACAGTCGTCACAATCCTCCTGGTCAACTCCGACAGTGCCTCAGCCTCTGAACTCGGCGCTGAATTCAAGACCGCCAACATCACAAACTACGCGTACGAGCCCGACTCACTCACAACCGCGCCCTCCTCCTGGCCAACCCTCCAAACGATGATCGACTCCGGCAAACGTCTCGTCGTCTTCGCCACCCCTTTGACCACCAGCACGGATTATCCCTACCTAATGTCGGAATTCGACTTCGTATGGGAGAACAACTACGACGTGACATCGCCCTCAAACTTCACCTGCGAACCCGACCGACCAACCTCCCTCTCGGGCTCCATCTCCACCGCCCTATCCTCCAACCGCCTCCCCCTGATGAACCACTTCCTATACTCCACCGATCTGGCGATCCTGGACATCGAGTACTCCAACGCAAGCTACGCGTCGACCACGAACGCGCCCTCCGGCGGCACTGGTAACCTCGGCAGCACTGCGACGAAGTGCAAGGCTGCCTACGGTGGCCGCCAACCTACCTTCATCCTGGTGGATTTCTTCAACAAGGGACCTGCATTGGATACGGTGGATAGTCTGAACAATGTGACCAATGCGGTGGGACGGACTTCGGTTTCTTCATCGTCGACTTCCTCGAGTGACGGGTCTACTATCAATAACGTGTTCAAGGGGCTCGTTGAGCTGGCCAGCTCAGCCAAGTCCGGCGCTAGCACGAGTATGGGGGATTGGGTCTGGGCTGGGGGAAACTGGAATAGTATCCTGGGCGGAGGTATTTCCTTCTAAGCTCAGGGGGTTCCCCTTTTCTCCATCCTCCCCCTTTTCCCCACTGATTCTTCTTGAATCTTGGCGCCATTTTTTCTTATTCGACTCTTTTTTGGTTTATTATCGTGCAGCGTTCTGTTGTTCTCGGACATTTTGAAGGGTTTACCGGTGATTGATTCCACTTCTTGCGAACATGGATCTCGCCTGGTTAGGCCCGTTACATAGAGCATGGATATGGGTGGTTCGGGCATGTCGATTACTATCGTGTGTTTTTGTGCTCTTTTATGGGATCCTTGGGCAAAGTGCTGGCGCATTGAATTGCAGATGGCATATCGCACCTATGCAAACAAAAAGGATACGGCGTTTCTGGGAGATCAATTGAATATCTCGGGTTGAAAATGACTGGAATGACTCTGATTTATAGCAAGCTGCTGGAAGACTTGATTTCCATCAGGCATGGGTCTTCGTGCTAGAACGAATTGAAATTACAAATTTGAGCAGACTACAAATGACAAGCAGTAAATCTCTCAATGATCTCCATTTGCAAGGCTAAAGGATTGATCCATATATGATCCCGCAAGGCTCTATCTATTGCTTATCCTGAGCCAGCAACTGCCGCACCTTATTCACCTTATCCTCAGCAGTCTGCTCCTTATCGGTCCTGTAGTCAATTTGACGGGGTATTAGTCCAAATGTTGATCTTACGTGCGTCACAGCTGAACTGGAGATAGATAGCCCAACAGCAAATGATTTACCCCGCCCCGGGGATAGCAGTAAGGGTGTGATAAGCATTGATGAGAGAGGGCATACCTTGATCCAACACGGATATCAGTTTGAATGCGGACAATGCCTTGCTTGTGCAGGAGCGTATGCGCCTGGCCGATCACTTGGTGAACTCGGTCCCAGGATCCTTCTAGAGTAGTTTAAGGAGAGTATATTAGAATAGGTATAGTGTCAGGATGGAAGAAAGATAGATAGATGTACCTAGGGTTGTGCCTGCAGAGTGCATGACATATTTCACGCCGGATTGCTCGATTAGTCGTTGGACGTCGGCTACCTGGGCGGAGACGGAGGCTGATGCTGTCCCGATCTGGAGGGGATGTGAGTTTATATGTTTCTAGAGAGATGAGTGTATCACTTACGGGGATCAGACAAAAGTCCGCTAGGCAGTGCTCCGGGGTGGGCAGGGTTGTGGTGTCCATTTTGAGGGATGTTGTTGGTGAGGATGAGGATGGAGAGGGAAATGGTGGGGAAGTGGGTGACTAACGGCAGTTTAGTTAAGTTAGTGAACTAAGTTAGTAGGCTGTCATATAGTTAGTACGAGGGCCTTAATGGGGCGATATTATCACTTGATACTTTATGGAGCTACAAACTATTAAGCTAGATTTATATCCTTATCCCATATGTTATACAGTTGACCAAATACTCGTCGGCGTCAATTCTTCCGCTTTTTGTTGACCCCGCGGTGTTTTTCGCTGACCGCCGTCCTGGACTTGGACTACACTTTCCTCGTTTCTGCTCTCTCAGTCCTTCCATTCCCTCGGGCCTGTCAATGCCCTGGAATCCCCTATAAAGCTATACATCTTCCTTGGAACATCCAACCATCGACTTGACTTGCCAATCGCCTGCCAACCCGACTTATCGGCCTAGCGCCACAGCTGCCGAGCTGAAACCCCCACCACGCGAACTAAACCCTGCACGACATCCGCCCCCCCCCCCCCAGTTTGCGGGCTCTCCTCGTAAGGCTGGTTGGTCTGTGATCAGAACGCCAGTTTTCCTTTCTTCTTTTTCCTTGCGAACTACTCCGCCACCCGGCGGTCTTTAATCGACTGGGTCTGGTGCCAAAAAGCTCGCTTACTGGCCGTGCGCTTTCAGCTTGTTTGTCTCGAATCTTCCTCACCCCCCCTGTTCGCTGGAGGCTTGGACTCGTCTACGTCCAGAGGAGATCAGCAACCAAGACCATAAGTTCTCGGTCCAACAGTTCACCGCTACAAGCTAGTTTGTTAAACCCCGTTCCGGATCCGCTTTAGCCCCGGACTCGAATGCATCAACGATCGATCAGTAGCTTGTCTCGACCAATCGAGGATTCCCTTCCAGGACAGGGCTACTTACCTCCACCGCTCTTCCAAAAACTCCATCGACACCTGGGGGTTTTGTCAAAGAGGCTGACTAGTTGCCTGTGATTTTAATCGTTTGTTCTTTCCAAGCGAGTCATGCTCCTTGTGGCCTCTTTGTGTTCCTTTTTCTTGTCATTCGCCACGAATGACCAAACCTAGTCTGCTTGAGCTCCCGCCGGGAGTTCAGCTCGTATATCTAGCCGAGGGGGGTGCTAATGTGGTCTATCGCTTCGTTTCGGCGGTGAAATCTCCCCTCGCAGCCAAGAGAGATCCTCGGAAGCTTTTATCCCCCGTTGCATTTGAAGCAGCGGAGCGGTTCACAGGGAAACTACTTCGTCTGCGCAAAGACACGGCCGCTAATGTCCCGTACAAAGAGATTGTGCAAAACTTCAATACCATTGTGCGCCCGCTCTTCAAGGCCGATGAGCTGGTCGACCAGACGCTTATCCGATTGCCAGACGGTCTGATCCACCGCTGCAATGAGCAGCTTCGCCTCGCCGAAGTGAGCGGTGGGAGGCCCAAGAAACGACATGGCGGGTATCTGAGTCTGACGGAGCCATTTGGACTCCTTGTCACCGATATGACGACCTTTGATGAACCAGGCTCGACTTTAGCAGAGCTGAAACCAAAATGGCTTGTCCAATCTCCTTCGGCGCCCACGACAGCACACAGATGTCGAACTTGCGCGTTGAGGGAAATGAAGAATTACGATGCATCTCTTATGGGGCAGAAAGAACAGCGATCCTTTTGCCCTCTAGACCTCGTATCCGAAACCTTCGAGGATGTCCTCCGAGCCACCACTTTCATCAAAGGATGCAGCGATCGAACACGGCTGGCTAGCATCTTATTCAACAATCCCACGCTTCAGAAACTACTATCACATCAGAGTGCCTACCACAAAGTTGGCCTACACGGACCTCCCCCGCAGTCCCGGGAGACTTCCCTCGATATGACGCTTCGAGATTGCACAATGTATATCAAGGTATGTACCTATTCTGATACACTCTCCAAAGATATCGTGGCGACTGACGTTAGGCAACAGATCCCTAAGGACGAGAAACTTCCCGTCGAAATCCGTCTCGGAGACCTTGACCTCAAAACGGGTGCTGGGGGCAAAGCCGAGTACTGGCGAGACATCGAAATTCAATTGATCGAAGGAGGCTGGTATGACGGGCTCAACAGTACCCAGGAAGCCAGTGAATGTGTTCTGCACATCTCACCCGCTATTCAGCGCCCGACAGCCTGAGAGTCTGTCCTATTGTTCCAATTACACTTTTTCTTCTCGTTTTGTCTTTTACTTTTATCAACTTTGGATGGTACTACAGCGTCGAAAGATCTATAATATCCTCGTTTGGGCGGGCGGTTGTTTGCTTTTGTTCGTTTTCGGGTTCTGTGTCTTTTTTCGGGTCCTTAGGGGCATTGCAATTCGCGTCGTTTATAATTCATGGTATTGGGACGGCTATCTGATATTCTAGCAACTACAATGTCAGCTACAGACATTGAACCTTTAAATTGTCCTTTTCATATTTTCCCACAGCCAAGGACTCTCTAGTTGGCCTCTCCACAATGGCAATATCTCCCTCCATTCTCACAATTAAACATCGTAGTATTAGTTATGTCAACAAATATGAGAACAATATTACATGGAAAAGAAATATAATCAACCCCGAAAATACATCTCCACCATCTCTCTTCCTCCTATATCTGCCAAACCCCCAATATGTCCATCAAAACACCGGTTTCGCTGACCAGCACGCTACTTCCGAGCCATACCCAACAAACTTCCCAAAATATCCTCACTCCCCGATCCACTACCCGCCGGAATGGCAGAGGTAGTAAATCCTGAAGGCGAAGCTGGAGTTGAAGCGCGATGCATCGAGGGGGCAGCAGTAGATGAGCCGGTAAACGATGAAACTGTTGGAGAAAGTGTAGGCCGGGCAGATCGAGACAGAGGCCGCCTCGCAGGGATGGAAGGAATTGCTGATGGAGCTGGGGACTGTGTGGGCCGCAGGTGCATGGCGGATTGGCTTTGGGCTGTGACTGTGCCGCTGAGGAGGGCTAGGGAGAGGGTTGCGATGATGAGTTTGAATTGCATTTTGGTGATAGTATATCCGGAGATGATGGTATTAGGTAGGTTTTGGTGGACGAGGAGAGATGCTGATAGCCCAGATAGAAAGCAGGAAGTAGAAATTGATGGATCGCCTGATGAATTCAAGAACCTGCGATACTTCCGTAGTAAATAAGCATTTTGCGCTAGAATCCCGATGTCGCGCCCCTGAGACCCCTTACGTGAAAGTGTATATTGATCTTCGGGAACGATGCAAGGTCGGCGGTAGATGACCTCATTTATTACATAGTGACAGGAGCTTGATGCACGGTCGGATTAATGTATCAAACCCACAGTGATAGTTTTTGATGATTCACCCGGTGATCTCAATTAATTATGCGGCAGGATGACAACACGACTTGTGCATTGCACGGCATGCTGCTCCCAGTAAGGATGTGATATAACGCAGGGCAGGACTCAACTCGCAGAATATGAGGGTATGAGAATGTGAGGTTTCAGATTTCTCATAGCTGCGGTGGGAAAACGGCATGATTGAATGTGGCGCTGGAATTGCTTCTTTTGACGGTGGGATTTGAGGTATAATGCTCTCCATGATCGCTAGTGCTGACAACGAAAGAAAAAGATGATAAGTTACATATCGGGCAGGAGAAATCATGATTCAAAATCCGAATAGATTCTCATCTTCCTTGTACCCCATCTCTTGCAATGCTGGAAGTACAACCTTCTGGATCATAGTTGGAGGACCGCAACGTAGCGCCACAGTCCCCTTCTCAGGCCTGAAAGTATACTTCTCCAAAATCTCCTTTGAAACATGGCCCTTTTCTCCTTTCCAGTCATCGCTAGGATGCGAAAGGACATGTGTGATCTGGAATTGATCTGGATGTTTCTTGGCAAACTGGTCCAACTCGTCTCTCAACAGAATATCTCCCTCCGTCTTGTTTGCATCAACAACCTTCAGAGCAGTCGTATCTTCATCCTCACCCAGATCTTTCGCACGCAAAATCCACGAGATAAGCTGGTATCCGGGCGTTATACCAGAACCGGCTAGTACAAGGCTAACTTTGTCGAAATGGTATTCCTTTTTATCGACCAGGAATTTCCCTTGACCGACATAATTAATCTCTCCAGTTGGCCTTTCCTCTCCCGGACGGAGACAGTCGAGGATGTTGCTCATTGTCCCGCCTGGCTGGGATTTGTCCGGGCGGTATGTCTTGACGACGAGATCAAATGTTCCATCTTCCTCTTTCTCGAACACCGGTCGCGTGGGCGTGTATGGCCGGACGACGAGCTGGTCGCTGAAGTGGAAGCCTAGTTGGAGATGTTGACACGTTCCAAGCCCAAGCTGCTTTGCATTCGGTGGGAGGAAGAAGGTATACTGATTCGTGTCTCCTGAAAGGGCTTTTTTCTTTGCAAAACGTACGGCATTCCAACTGTGGCAATCGAATACGGTTTCTGAATCCTTATTTGCAGGGTTGGCTTTTTCTTTGGCTGCATCTTCGGCTTGTCCCTTGATGAAACCCATTGCCTTCTCGGTGACCAGGCCCAGCCCGCATTCTATAACAAACCGGTTAATACATTCAAGAACAGAAAGAAGGTGATATTTATCCTACCACTCAACTTCTGCTCCGCATAATCATCATGGATACTCTCAAACTCGTCAGTGGTATCAACATGCACTTTACCCGCATGCGCCATAATCGGTGCCTTGCCACCAGGATGCCAATCAAGCACACTTGTCGCATCATAGACCTTGCCATTGATCACAATCCAGCAGTTATCTTCTTTGTTATGCTTCTCGATCTCTTCCCGGGTAAACTGTTTCTGCGGTGAGCCAACTTCGTGCTTGATTTTTTCAATTTGATTCTCCGTTGAGGGCTGCATCCAGCCTCCGTTTCCGGTGCCGGGCTCGCACGGGTGTCGGAAATAGAGGGTGATACCGTCGCTGGCATCATTGTGTAGGATTTCTGGGCGTACGGTGTACCAGCAATTATTCATCATACTGGATAATGTGAGCTAGATTTTGAGATATGCAAGCAGCGTTGGCTTACCCATTATGTTCCAGGAAGGCTTTTGTGGCTGTGTATTCTTGAAGACGTTGAAGCAGCGGACGACGATACTCTCGGCTCGAACGAGATGGGATAATCCAACATCCACCTGCCAGTGGAGCCATGTCCAGAATTTTCTCCCATGACGAACTGGGTATTCAGGGAACTAACAGCTATATGGTAGCGATCTGATGTGGCATCTGCACTAAAGGATTGAGATGCTCACTTTTCGGACACAGTATAACCAAGTTTCCCCGCCGTCTAAACTGACTTCCACCCTCTGAACTTCGTGGCCGCCGCCGTCATATGCGATGCCGGATATTCGGTAGCTTATGTTACTATTCACATCAGACAGCCGAATAGTCTCGCCATGCTCAGGCTTGACAATGATCGAGTTCAGATTCTGCTCGTTGCAAGCCGTACTCGGATGGTGGAACATGGTGTTGGCAAACTCTGAGTCCATAGCACGAATAAAACTTGGAAGAACACGATTGTCCCAGATATGATAATGACTATCATTCTCTTTGTCGGAAACCAAATCCTATGAAGCCATTTGACACAACGACCACCGACGAAACCAGGAATCAACAGCCGCACGGGGTAGCCGTGGTCTGGTGGTAGTGGGACATTGTTCATTTCATAGGCTAGGATTACATGGTTTTCAGGGTCCATGGCATATGCGAGTGGAATAGAGGTGGCGTATCTTCCCTCACTGAGCTCATTTGCACCTTCGAAATGTACCCAGCACCGAACACCGTTATTTTGAGTGCTCTCATCTTCAATGCCAGCAGCTTCAAGTAGGTCGCACAAGAGAGGGCCTTTCCAAAATGCGCAACTGATGCCACCAGCGCCCCAGTTGAACCCTTTGGATTTTCTGATCATGTTCAGCTCTTTTCGACGATTGCCGTCGCAGGCCAGTGCCACGGCGATGCTGATTGCGTCAAAGTTGTTCAGTAAATCATCCATCGAAAGGACGAGCTTTCCATCCTCAACGTCAATTCGATGCGTTTCCCAAAGAAGATGGGGTACGGGCCCATGATTGCATACGTAGTGGAGATGGTTCGGGGTGATGAGGCCCGCGTCAAAGAGGGCTGTCAGTTCAGGCTCGCAATTAAGTGGGTGTTTGCCCGTTAGACGGATGAGGTTGCTAGAACAGGGGATCCAGTTGTCCGGAGTGAATTGGTCGCTCTCATTGATGGAGAGATCTTGTTCCTTTGATGGTTTGATGGGAGACTCTACACTGCCATCGTTTTCTTACGTCGATCAGTTTGCAAGCCTCTAGCTCTGTACTAAGCTCCTCGGCTTCTCTCTTGGCCTGGGCCAGGAATTCTCGTTGCCGCTCGTCATTCCATTCATCTCCGGCGTCGGTGTATCCCGGATGCCGATCATTGCGATCGCGAAATCCGATACGGTGGCTATGAGTCTTGGTCCAGTCTAGTTCGTTTTGAATTTCATGCTTGGAAGAACCACCATGACTGCGGTCGGGGCGCGTGTGGTGTGGTTTTGTGGCCATTGTGTGATCTTGGAATCTTGGCGCAACGGGGGTTTCCACAGTAAGGGATGGTGAGAAATAGCTGCTATCTCAGCGTCAAGCTTTTACTTGGGCTATGTCTTTGTTCGATTGTTGGGGGCAAACAACCTATACAATTCCTGATGTCGCGCTCGACCTTCCAGATGTAAGAATGACGACCACCCTCTCGAAACTCTATCCATCAAACGTCATCTCCCCCACATGGAAAACAATGGTTCGAGATAGGACTTTTGTTTTTTTTAGTTACTTTAACATAATTTAATTGAGCTGAGAGTTCTCACTACCATACTAGATCCCCTTAGACAACTCCATTAACTAGGCCCTCTGCAAGGAGGAACCAGGTTGATGCCGTTATAATGAAGGGTTCAACTAAGTTAAGCTCACTAACAGTTGAGATGAAAATGCTATACTTTCAGAAGAAAATAGAGGGTACCTGGATCTGCTCAATTCATCTAGGAGGATCATTTACAGACTTCCCAGGATATGATTGCCGCAGAAGTAGTCAAACCTAGCAATGACTAGTGTGAAGGCCCTGCGTCAGACCCTGATTTTGATCTTCCCCCTAGCTAGTTCAGGATGTAATCTATAACTAACTACGCGGAGTAATTAAGCACTTTCCTCGACAAAACTGTATGTTAATATGTCCAGGTGATATACCAATAGCTTCATCAATGTCAGTTGAAGCTCTGGTTTCAAATGGAGAAGCTCGTAGTTTGACATCATAGAATATACACGATCGAAAATTATAGTATGAGCCGTAAACTGGTCGGGTTATTCGGAATCCCAGTCAGCTCTCAGACAATAAGTACCCCAAAAGTGCATCCAAACTCCAGCGAACTTCGCTTTGACACGGTGCTCTCTGAGGATTTGTATCCCTCATCAAATAGTATTGAGCATAACTACTGATTATGTTACCCTCCGGTACCTATGATGTAGTGATTTGAAATGACGTCAAAAGCCCACGCCGAGGAAGTCCCGCCTTATAAGTCGGCTTTGGTAATAGAGATCATCAAACATCAATTATGGACAACGACAAAACTTCTCGCAATTAGGCGTACGATTTATCGCCGGTGATTCTGTTGACAGGTAGGTGTAGATGGAGCTGCTTCGGCCGCAGCTGAAATCCCGGATCGTGGCTTCGCGCCTCTTCATGAAGCACATTTAGTGCCTGACAATGTGAGATGGCAATAGTTTCTCACCATATTTTCAGATGTAGAAATATCTTCTCTACAGCGTGATTCATTATGACGTTGAAAGCGTTGGGATAAGTAACCAAATGGTTCGGTTGGAGTCTCAGCAAAAGTCTATTGTAACTGACATGGCAATATACCGGATCAAGAGCACATTATATTGCTTTTGAATATTAAAAGCAGGGCCGATCGGTGTTAGTCGATTCCTCTATATGCTTTGTTTGACATGCAGCAGAGGGTCGTAAACTAGCTTCCGGTAGCACCAAAAAGGTTACAAAGGGCGTCTATCGGTTGTAATCAACAAAGACGCCCACCTTCTTGAATTGAAGTTCCTGTAACCTCGCATAATGAAAGCTTGGCTTGCCACAAACGATGCCTAATCAGGATAGCGCTTGGTCTACTCTCTGTTGTATTTCCTGGTAGAATTAGAAGTCCTAGCCCAAAATAAAACTCGAGAGGCAATACCAAGCGAATTTGGGAATGCATTTTATAAAAGGTTTGGAAAGATGTCTCCTCCAAGGAGTGGCAGTTCAAGCATATCTAGCTAAACTTTTTTCTTGTCGCCAGATTTAGACTTCTCGAAACTAGCCGAGTTGGGTTTAGTTCGTCTTGCCGCTTGACCCTTTGTGTGCCAGTATTGATCCTATATATGCCGGATTCTTGTAGTTCGTTCATTCAATATTCTGGTACATCGAAGATAACACTCATCACACCACCACAGTCTAATTCTTTGCAGAATGTAGGATTCTTTGTTTATAGCATGTATTACTCATGGCCACAGTCAGAAGCATTTTAAACCACCTTCTTCTTTCCATTTCCTTCATTTCAATGATCGATCTTGGTGTATATCTATTCCTTATATATCCCCTTAATGTATACTCGCATATTCTGCTAATGCCTTAGCGCCTTAGAACCTTACACCGAGCTGGTTACCGCCTCAATTATGCCAGCAGTATCATTAGAAGCTCTATATCATATATCCATTGTCCCGCCTTGCCTATTTGGGAATGATTCTCTCTTGTCAACGCTCACGTTCTCTCTCTTACACATCACTCCTTGACGCGTTTTGACTGTGCCCTTCTGTGACCTTTCCATCAGTTCTCATCGCTAAAACTTTGATGGTCAGTAAGATTCCGGCTTTATCTGACAGCTATTTTACTCAGAACTGCTTTAATTAATTAACTGGCTTGCAGGTATCGGGTGCACCAGATATCACCACTGATTTTCAAAGTCATCAACCAACTCGGGCTATATTAGCCCCTCGTCGTCTCCCCCTTCTGCCTGAAAATGCCCTTTTTGGCCGTTCCGAACGAGATTGTCCTCCTGATTGCCGAGGAACTCCAGTCACAGGCGGACCTCAGTGCGTTGGCGCAAGTTGATCGCCGATCATATCGCCTGCTCAGGGACGTCCTGTATCAATACAATCTCCACCATCACAACGGCGATGGCATTTTTCAGGCAGCCAAAAAGGGGTCAGCCTCTGCGGTAGCTCAGTTCGTTGAACTGGGTTACCCGGTAGGAGACCGCCCTACCCACCAGGAGCATCGACAACTGCCTGGTCAGCCACGGTTTTTGGGTCCCGCATGTCAATGTCGTTTGGAGCACCCAGTATTCTGCGCTGCTGAGCATGGCCATCCCGAAGTCATCGAATATCTCCTTGACATATCCCCCTGTGCAGATTTCGAGAACCGTGCTGGACAAACAGCTCTGCACTTGGCCGCCAGGAATGGTCATCTGCCAGCCGTGGAGGTCCTGATGAAAAAAAAAATGGCCCAAAGATCCCCGTGGAAGAAGGCACCAGGTTCCTTCCTGCTCCTATTCAACTGGCTGCTCTTCAAGGACATAATCATGTGGTTGAATACCTTTTGTCCTGCTCTCAAAGTCCACCCGGCGATGCTTCCATGTCTCTTCCACCTGCAGCTGAATCGGGTGATATGGCACTAGTATCGATGCTTGTGGAATATGGTGCAGATATCGATTACCAGCATAGGGATACCAGTACTTGGGACCTATGGCGTGCGCCAACGGCATTGTCAACGGCAGCTCGTCGTGGCCATCTAGCACTAGTCGAATTCTTGCTCGACAATGGCGCTAATATCAACTGCAGAACGGGGTTATCTCACTTGGTGTCTTCGCACCTTGGCAAGACTCCCCTAGACTTGGCAGTTGAAAACGGCCACGAAGATGTTGTCAGGGAGCTTGTAGCTCGTGGGGCTATAATTGACCCTGAGTGCCTACATATGGCCATTACACGGTCCTCCAAGAGCATCCTCGAACATCTCCTCACCAAAGTTGAGTTCGGCGACATTCAAAGCCAAATCGACTTCCTGGAGACCGCAATAGGCAATGATGATATGGAGGTCATTAAGATGCTATTGGATAAAGGGCTCGACCAAGAGCATGCTTTGGTGACCGCAATCACCCACGACAAAGAAGCCATTGTGACTCTTCTGCTGGAGCAAGGGACCAACCCGGATACACCCAGTGTATCATGGCCCCGCAAGCCTGCGATCAAAGCTGCAATTGGTCGTCGCCATATCGGCATCATTAAAGCCTTACTATGTCACAGAGCTCACGTCGATACTGAAGACCTCAGGTTTGTCAGGGACTCTGCCAATCATGTTCCCCAACAAATTGCAGAGTTGGTAGAACGGTTTCCTGTTTTCCGTTTCAGTCGAAATCTCGGATTATCCATCGGTCCACGTGGTTATCCTTTTTATTAACAAGGACGCGAGATAAGAATATTGTCGTACTCTCATACATCCATCTTCCTCTCTCTGAACCATCCAAGTCGTTGTAAAGAACTGTATTGACGAGAATGCCAGATACTTCGAAGGCTAGCTATTCCAACGGCTGGGTGTGGTCGAGGATGAGTTGAAACCCAATTATCAAGATTTCAGTCCTTGAGGCTTGTCTCGCTACACGATACGCTATTACTCGACATGATTAAAGTTTCACAGTCGGTGTAAATGTAGGTCTCTTGATCCATGGTAGGTGGTATGCGGCGATATGTTCGAAATTTCTTTAATCTGAAGCATACAGAGTAGACGGTAATAACGCCAGGCAGTCGATAAATACATATCAGGTAGGCTTGCAGGCCATTAATAAGTTCCACTGGGATCAGCCCAGGGCTGAGGTCATCTGATCTTTTCTTCGGGCCAAACTCTTCGATTTAGCAAGGATATGTAAGGGGGAAAAGCAACCTTGGTTGAAGTCACTGCGTATATAATACGGGGAACATTATGATAGAGAGATAATCTAGAACTTTGTATGAAATAAACTTGCAACGCTTGACATTAAAATTGTAACAATAGGAATGGGTTCTATATACAGTTCTGAATATCTTCTGGAATGCATCACATTGCGAAGGCCTGGTATGGGGCCATTGCGTATTTGTAGTGCAAGCACCAGTCCTTATTTTCTACTTTTAGATAGTTCATAGAAATAGCTCAAAGCTCTCCCTGTTTCCTCTGCGCAACGTAGTATGCCAGTCCGTACGTCGAAGTTTTGAAGGTAAGCGTCGTGTTGGTCGGGATATAGAGAATATCGCCCGGCAGAGCTTTCACAGCCTTGCCAGTAGAGTCGGAGATTTCAAATTCGCCTTCCAGTATGATTTTATGCTCATCGAAATTGTAGGTATAGGTCAGAGGCTGGCCTGCTTCTAGGCGGAATAGCCCTCCAGCGGTGGGTGCGGCGGAGTTATCTTTCTCGGATGAGAAAACATCGCCCAAATAACAATTATCATTGGAAATCAAAGGCGGTTTGAAGCCGGACTGGGCCTGCGAGAGGTGCTGGAAGGTCCGTGGAGCAGCCATGATGGTGAATTCGTAAGGGAGGAAGGCAATTTGAGAATCAGAAACAATTGTATGGGGAATGGGACTGTCTAATCAAGGGTAACATGCAGGGGCATCGATCTACATGTATGATATGTGTGGAATGGCAACATTGAATCTTTCTTGTTTCTTTGACGAGTACTCAACCTCAGAATTTCTTCACGATAGCACTTCCACAACATCGTGGCCAGCAATCCTTCCCAAAAAGGCAATTCTTGCCTAGAGATAACCTTTACTGCGGGGTTTCGGGAGATGCGGAGAGAGTTTCGGCGGACCGACAACATCTTGCCCCTCAGATAGATCTGTGCGTTCAACCTGGAACTAAAATTTCCTCATCGGTAAAAAACAGGCGAGATAATGAAATCCATCAATTGTGACTCAAATCAACAACTATGGCTTATCTCGTGGTCCACACGACAGTCTACACATATATTCTCAAGCACTCTTCTGGTGACCACTTGTCGCAAACGGTTTCACAAATAGAAGAAATCGTCCGCTAGTCCTCATTCACGTGCCAAAAATGCTAGCAGATCTGCCAAAAATAGCATCACAGTATTCTGTGATACCGACTGCCAAGTTCTTTGGCTTTGCCTTTATCTTAGCATCTCTGATTGGAATCACCGGTATCAGGGTAAGAATCCTTGTGGCCCACGGCAGTGGACTCTTTGCAATTGGTGTTTTGACATCAATATTCCGCCCACTTTGAACAGATTGCTAATACCACAGAGCTTGTAGGCATGGAAAATCATCAGAAGAAGGAAAGCCAGAAATCAACTTCCTCCAATTGAACCGTTGTACGGCTTTGATTGGAGAACACAAGAACCCCAAGAACTTCGCCCTTTCAAGCCAATCTATAACATGAGCATGGGTAGGTGTTCGTCAAGTATATTAGCTTGGTATCATTTTTGGTGGTAATCAATTAACTTTGTGATACACTAGGGATTCAAAACGAGCTCCTGTCCAATCTTATTACTGTGGACAAGCAATACCTCGATCGGACCACGATTCGACGTCATATTATATCCAAGTACAAGAATACAGTCTATGGCTACCGGCCTGGTGGTGAAGCCGCTGTATATGAGCTATATTCTTATGTGCTCACTCACCATCTCCCGAGCCGATTCCCAAATTCCTTCAAAGTCCACTCAGGAAAATTTGAGAATCTTCTAACGAAACAAGTGTTCCCGGCCGAGCCACCAAAGGATCCGGAAATTTGCCTGCAGATTCTAGGCGAAACGATAGAAGAGGACATTTTCCTTCTCAAGGAGACAGACTCCACACACCTGTGTCTGGCCTTCGTTTGTTGTTTCCCTACTGGTTTCGATCCTTCAACGAAACTTGGCGCAGATCTAGCAGCTATTCATGGGCCGGTACCCCATTACGATAAGATTGGTCCAAGCATGGAGAGATATTTCCGCAAAATCAAACCTGGGCAGGTTGTCAGACGCATGAATGTAAGTCCATGATGATAGGTTATGATGATAGTCGGGTGAAAATCGAATATGCTGACGCGATACAGTGGAACGTTCAAACTGGCGGGGACCTGATCAATGTCGCGGGCAACCACATTAAAGAAGGCGACGTCTTTATTCAGGACGAGGATGTCAATTGCCTAGATGTAAGTGCATTGCTCCGAAGTTCTACTCCAGCTGAATGCCATCTATCGAGTATTCTTGTATCGCTAAGCGTTCCTATATTCTGACGAGTTTCTAGGCAAATCTGCGAGTAGAGCTGCAATCTCTCACGCGGCTTCCTGAAACGGGGTTCCTCTTATTCTGTTTCAAGACTTACTTATACCCCCTTGAAAGCCTGAAAAAGGATGGCTCTGGAAAGGACTTAGCAGATGCTATTGAAGGATTACAGACAGGTAATGCTCCGGGGATGCATAAATATAAGAGTGCGATCCGATGGGGTAAGAGTGTGGTGGAATATCTGCGCTCCTAATTGCTCGATTCTTGTTGATAAACTAGCTTCTGAATCTTGAAGCCTTTCTACAGTAGCATATTTCTGAGGTTATTTCTAGTAATGAACTGCGACTTCTGGCGAAGATGTCTTCATCTCAACAATCCGATTCATGACCCGAATAAATATGTTTCTTGATGTAAAATAGGCCCAAGATCCTACCCTCACGGAAAAGAGACGGAAGACTTCGTTCGCGAGGTAAGTATGCCATATGTTTTAGTAATTCGCAAACTACTAAAAGAAAAGCTTCAATCATCGTCTCTAATTTCGATGTCATATGTCAGAGATACATCAAGCCGTAAAGACTTAGCTACTGTGTTAAATTTCCTCAACCTTTATCCCTACACTTCTTTTTTGAAGTCGTTGAAGTTCTGTCATTTACTAACTTGAGACAGATGTATTTCTAATATTCTGAATCATGAATGGTGAAATATATAGCGGCGCCAACATACGGCCAAGAATATCTCACCGAGAAAGAATATACACTAGTCACTCTCTCCCAAAACAGGTGGACCTACGTAGACTGAATGGAGTGAGCAAACCGCAACTCGAAAATTCCAGAACGACGTACCTTTTCTCGCGTGGATAATATACCACACAAAAGCCATCGCAGTGAGCCCTATGAAAACGACCGACGCGTAGTTCATGGACACCGGTGTAACTGGTAAGACAGACGGCAGGCTAAATAGGACAAGCTGAAATGCTATCCATGTAAGGGAAATAATATTCAGCGTTGAACCGAGAGCTCGACCACAATGCCACTGCGCCTTCTCCACCTCAGTTCGCCGATCTTGGAACAATGAAAGGCTAATCGGGATTGCATATGTGACAGCGAGCGCAATGACCCCAACAGAAACGAACGCAGTAAAGGCACTCGTGCTGCCCAGGTTGATCAACCCCAGCAACATTTGCACAACTGTCACTAGACCTAGTGCCCAAATTGGAACGTGGAAGCGCTCGTCAACATGGGAAAATAGCCGCGATAAGGGAATAGCCTTGTCCCTCGCGAGAGCCCAGGTTGTGCGAGATGCCGCATTGGTGATACTAATTGAGCAGAAAAAACCAATCAAAATGATCAGGGAGACTAGCCCAACTGCACCCTCACGGGTCCCAGTAACGCGGTGAAATATGTATGGTATAGGTTGGCCGCTCGGTGCATTGAGGATATCGGTCAAACTTGGGAGAGTGAAGCATAGAGGCATCACATAGAAAAGGCCGGTGATGCCACCAACTGGTACACACAGTGCCATAGCTCGTGGTACTTTAGTGGCAGGGGAGAGCACCTCCTCTGACATCGATGTGATCATTCCTATCGCACAGAATATGAAGGCCGGGGGCAGTAGGCCGATGAAGAATGAGAACTTCCCCCAACCCGACAGTGAGCTGTCATAGTAGCCTAGTGCAGTAGCTGCATCATGCCTTCCAGCCTTAGCTGGAACACAAATAACAATCATGATCACAATCATCGTCATTATAGTCCAACCGGCACATATAGTGTCCACCATGGGTAGAAATCGGTTGCCGAAACCACAAATCACAAAGGCCAAAATGCAAATCGCGTAGAAGACAAGAAGCAGCTGCCAGTCATTGGCTTCCCAATTCGAGAAGATTGACACTGTAGCAACTAGCAGTCCCGCGAATGCGAAGTTCACTGAAAGTGTCACAGTCCAATTTCCAATCAGCCAGATCCATGCTGTGACAAAGGACACAAGCTTGGAATGTTTGCCAGATAGTTGAAAAGACCAGTAGTATGGACCAGCAGAGGTTGGGTATCGAGAAGCAAGCTCAGCGAGTGACATAGCCACACACTGATCTAGAAGGCAGACCAAAATCCAGCCGACGAATATTGAGAGCTGACCTCCACCGTAGATTACTTGTATAAAGGTCGTGCTTTCTCCAAAGGGAACCGCGGCGATGGCCAGCGACTGGAAAAGAAGGGTAAACATTGAGCGATTACGGCGAAGCTCCGAGGTATACCCCATAGAACCAAGGGCTTGATCGGGGTCATCTTGATTATCACCCTGCTCGGCTTTTGAGAGGGATTTGTCATAAGTATGGTCAATGTCAGTCATATTGAGTTAAAAGGTATGGTAGGTCTGGAATCAGTATATCCCGGAGTGATCTGGAGGTGGGTCAGCAAGATATATCCATCGTGTTCTACATCAATGAATCAAGATCAGTCTCTAGCCACATGATACCAAGTTCCATGTATCTAACACGCGGAAATTATCTTCCTCGGAGGAGGAATGAGGGTTAGAAGCGCGATGAATTGCGGGGAAGCTCGGTTTATCTTTCATCTTCCCCGCCAACAGCGCGGTCAGAGATAAGATAAACGCATTCATATCCAATCGTACCCTGCAGAAGGATGAATTGGCCATGACGGATGATGGTGGATTATTGTAGTCTCCATAGTTGAAGAGTTGAACAATGCTTGATTGAGTTAGCGTGCGGGGCGGGGGCAAATGTTTAAGTTGGAGTCCTCTTAACCTTGCCCGATTAGGCAATTTTAGCCTTTTACCGTATCAAATTGCCTCTTGGAGTTTTGCTCCGCACTTTCGCACATCTCTCTGACACTTCATGTTCTGGGCACTCCGTCGACAACACATTTGTGACTGCCTTTCTTGAACCGCTGCTCCAGCATAGTGCGACATTCAATCCAACCTCAAAGTGGCTGATGAGCTCATCTGCGACGGGACAGAGACCAGGGGTTCAACGACGATCTCGAGGCGGCTGCGCTGCGTGCAAGGCGAAGAAAGTATGGGCTCATATAGATAGCCACTACATGCGAGCATTATGCTGACGTCATTTAGTTGAAATGCGACGAACGACGACCAGAATGTCATATGTGCCTCAGGAAAGGGCACCCTTGCCCGGGGTACCAGCGATCGCTAAGATGGTCGACAAAGCATGAGCGTCGGTTCGAAGACAGCAGCATATTTCTTCCGAGTACCCCACCTCATCGTTCTGGGGTAGATGTAACATCGAATACTGCCGCAGGAGATGATGCGAATGAACCGAACACGGTCACCGTTGAGGGTGTGGCTCAACCAGTGGAGGGTCTTGCTGGGGAGTTATCTGCTGCAACATGTTGGTTCCCTTGGGGGGACGCGGATGCTCCCTGTGACATCCGTAACTTTGAAAGCCGAAATAGCGGCCCGGCTTTTCTTGCGACGCTTGAATCACCCTTCTCTCCAGTCTTCACGACCGCGGAAGCCCCGGATCGCCTCGATCTGGATGGATTCTCGGTGCCTGCAGCATCAACCGCCTTTTCTCGAACTACTGGTCTGGGTTTTCTAGACGCAGAAAATGCCCTCGACAGAGAAAATCATAGCAATAAACTCCCGGCTCTTGTTTCACAAGGGAGCAGCATCTCCCAAATCACCGACCTCCCCTCCTTCCTCATCACCACTTGGTTCAATCATATCTGCCCTATGTGGTCAGCCTTTGATTCAGATGCGAATATGAATCGCAAGATTGTGCTCGAATGCTGGTCAAGCAATGAGGCCATTTTTTATTCTTTGCAGAGCATGGCGGCCGCGTACATGATTGACAGTCTTCCGCATCTGGCCTCAATGGCCAAACTCTCGACAAGGAGAGCAGTACAAACTATCAAGGTGGATCTCGCGGTTAGTCTAGCCTCACAGGATATTGATCGAATTCCCGTCGGACTAGCACTATCCTTGATCTGTTTGGGAACCTCCCTGTGCTGGACCGACTCCAAAGAGATCGGGTCTGCGTTCCTTCGCCAAACAAAGAAACTTCTCCAGCACCTAAACCTCTTTTCTGTTTCGTTGCAGGTACAAGAGCGAGAGCGCCTCTCATTTCTTAATCACAGTTGCTTCTACTGGGATATGCTATGCCGAACGGTTAGCGGTGATGAGGAAATCGGTCCAAGTTGGCAGCTTTACCAGGATCCTGGGGATTGGACCACCCAGTCGATACCCCATCCATGGACTGGTATATCCGCCATAACTCAACGCTTTTTCGCCTCGGCCATCTCGATATGCCGCAAATTCCATGCGAGAGAAAAGCGCCCACACAAAATCTCAGGGTCCTCCCTCCGAGGGTCATTGCAAGACATTGAGGATGCGTCAAGTCTAGAACAGCAGATTCGTATATTCCAGGGCTCAAGCCAGTCCGATCAATTGAATACCGGAGATATCTGCACGCCTGGCTCTCACTTAGTGTCTGTCGCGGAGGCTTATCGCCTCGCGGCTCTCTTGCAACTTTACGAGACGTTTGATGACCTGGCGACCCCGAAGGATCTTCATCCCGTCGTTTCGGGAAAGCAAGGAGGGGCATCTGACTGCAGACGCCTTTCCACGACTTTCAATTTGCTACAAATACTAGAAGGCATACCTTCAAATTCGGGTTCACGCTCCATACAGCCTATTCTTTACATCACAGCCAGTATCGGTTTGCGGTTTCGTAACACATCCAACACGACTATAATCGAATCAGATCCTTTTAAAGAAACATCTCTGGCGGATATGATCGGCCTCGAAAGTTCCCCATCATCGTCCTCGATGGCTGACTGGTTATCTACTGGCTCTGACACCACGTTGAGCACCGATGTCAGAATAAGCAAAGCTCGTCATTTTGTAATGACGCGGTTTAGTGCACTTGAACAAAGCTTGCCCTCGCGACCGATCAAAATTGCAAAGGCCTTGGTTAGTGAAATATGGGCGTCTTATGACAGCTTCCCGAATGAGACACACTGGCTAGATGTGATGCAGCGAACAGGTCTATATACCATATTTGGCTAGCAAGACCATCACTCGTGCAATAGTTCGCTGCTTTCGTCTTTTGAGGGCCGCTTTATATAGTTTAGGTGAATTTCCGTTCATTTCAAGATCGCCATAAGTCCCGGTCCCTCACTTCCTTGCTGCTTTTCTCCCAACTTTGATGAGCTAGTTTCTTTTTCAGTGCCCTCAGGTCATTCCAACTTTAGTTTTCTCATTTCTTAGTCATGGATGCCCTCATGAACGGACTCCGTGCTCTAATTTCCCTGCCCCACACAAAAACGATAATGGGAACGATGGAAAATGCCGACGCAATGCAAGCCAATGTTGTGCTAGCCCATTGATTCCCCAGGCTGGAATACATCTTCATGGTAGCCAATGGGAGCGTACCTGCGAATGTATTCTCGCCCATGGCAATGATGGCAATGACACTCCCAGCATACTTGCTATATGCGTCAACGGCATAGTCCGATATCCCAGTAACAACGACAATGCTTCCAGCTCCCACCATGGCGAGGCCGATTGCCAGACAGATCCACGGCAGAAAGGAGAAGGATGTCCGAGCATATACGAACATACCCCCCGAAATGCCTACCATGCCGCCAACAAGTGCCATGTATAGCCGAGCTTCTGGAATTGGCGCCCCAGGCACTTCGGTGTTCCTTGAGGCAGAAGCGAAATAAAACCTGGCTGATAGCAGCGTTCCTGCCCAACCGATCAATTCTCCAACAACAATTGCTGCTTGAACGTATCCTGCTTGAACGTATCCTGCTTGAACGTATCCTGCTTGAACGTATCCTGCTTGACATGGCGTCCATCCATATAAGCCGATAAACACTTGTTCAACGGACTGCGTAAAGAGGTAAAGTAGGCCAATAGTAAATGCAGACCAGGCTGTGAAGATGAATGCCACTGGCTCTCTCACAAGTAATGAAAGAGGTCGAGTCGCGCTTTGCATAATGATAGATGCGAACGTTGTCTGATTGCGGGCTTTGTCGATCTCATGCTGTGTATAGGCATTCTTTCCCTGCAGTCGAAGAGATTTTGCACGCTCTTGTAGGATCGTAGATCCACGGCATTCCCGAAACATAACGATATAGATAGGTAGTAAGGCTCCAAACCATATCAGCTGTAGATAACCTATCCACCTCCAAGATAGAAACTGGAAGATCGAATCTCCGACAACAGGGCCCATACTGCGCCCTGATAGGTATGAAACAATATACAAGCTCACTGGAATAGTTCGTGCGCGTTCCGTCTCCCAAATATTCCCAACCAATGCCACACACGTATTAGCCACAATGGCAGAAAAGCCGCCTGCAAAGAATCTCGTCACGATGAGAGTAGCAAAATTCTGCGCAATTGCTTGGGGTATGACGAAGCAAAAGAATGCAATGTAGGAGCCTATGAAAGCCCAACGTACGCCAAAACCCTCCATCAAGGGCAATATAAAGAGCGCGAAAAGTCCACCGCCAATTGTCCAGGATGTGACTGGCCAGTATGTGTTCGGGAAGGAGGCGTCAGAGATGTTGAAGTGTTGACTGACAGCATCGTGTGCGACGGTCATAATGGTACCATTCATCATTGTCAGGAAGGTTATCAGAGCGGACATGAAGGTCAAAGTCCATTTCCGTCGGATGGGCCAGTTGTATGGGTTTGAAGGGTCATTGGGATCATTCCAGGAAACAAGGAGGATTTCGGTAGTTCGAATGTCATCTTCAAGTCGTGTTAGCATCTGCGCAACCGTGTTCAGAAGCCCAACAATATCACCTTTGTCACTGCCCTTATTATCGAAAGGATTCCTACGACTCGCGGGTAGTGACCCCATACTGAATGTTTGCAAGGCTAACAAGCTTTTATGTGTGCCTGGTTAGGCAATTGACAGATATCCCGACGTTGAAGCAGTAGCGCAGCTCAGAGAGGAAAAGAAAGTTTGAAACACATATTACAAAGCTTGTCGGAAATTATGCGAGCAGAAATCTTCAGTGGGCCTCATAAATTTGAAGCGTGGAAAACTCTTCTCATTTTTCTGTCCTGAATCAGCTCATAGACTTATTATTGCCTGTTCGGGCCTAGTTTGTGTTGTACCTGAGGTCTACACCGTGGGTGCGTAGGGCCTATATGACTAGCTACAGTATAACTTCACCGATACTTGCTTGTCGTCAATCGATACTATCATAATGTTGAAGTTTTAGATTGAGGCATTCACGTAGCATGTTATTGTTAAGAATCGAATAGTCAGATAGAAATGCCTGACCCAAGACCCTTTGCAAACGACCTCATCGACGCCATATCAGACTAGACCTCGAACAAAAACCCTTCGATATTGCGTCTTTGTATTAAAGTTGGTTATTTAGACTGGTAGAACTTACTCTGCATGTATAGGAAAACGGTGGTTTTATAAGACATCCTCATTACTAGGCGTTGGTTTGGAACGTATTCCGAGGATCGTCTTTGACCACGGCAAACGGCTGGAGCTTCACAATCCATTTTCGCTTAAAGAGTTTTTAATACATACATGTTTCTAGGGTTGTTCAAAAGTGCCTGGTATATTTCCTGCCATGAAAGCGACCACGATGCAGGTATCACCTAGCAACCCGGGAGCAGTTTCGACAGTTTGCCACCTAGAGTGAATGTTTTGGGTCTCACTATTCTATGTAGTTTTGCATCTCCTTTTCCCTGTTCTCTATCATGATACGTATAGTGTACTTTATGATACCCAGACGATAGCTTCATTATACACGGAAATCAGGTCTCTGCTCAATCAGGCTCAGCAAAGGCAGGAATAGTTCTTTCCCCGTGTGGTTTGGCACAGAGCTCAGCTGTAATTGCCCTTCAGCTCGAAGCTCGTCCCACGAAGCCCACTCCCATGCCGTGCACTTCTCAGGTTCCATGATCTTGATACTCAGTCAGCTTGGCAAAGACAGAGGACTTGAAAAGTGGCATGGAGTGCAGCTTCACTTACCTGCGGCTGATCGGAATCATTGCTGACAACAGCACCCATGAAGATAGTAACGTAGTGTTTGCCTTCGGCTTCAAAGACGCTGTTCGTGGCAGTTAGAAACTGGATATCGCGAATTTGGATGCCTGTTTCTTCAAGAATTTCGCGTTCTGCGCAGGTCTCGAAGGACTCGCCGAACTCGAGATGTCCACCTGGTAAGGCCCAAGTATCTAAAAATAATGCAACAAGTTAGGGACTTGGTGAATCGCTTTTATTCGTACTTTATATCGATGTCCGATGCAGGGAAACTGCGTGGCTGGGAACAACAATCGAGTGGTGGGTTGACTCACTTGCGCCATGGCTGCCCTTTCGCTTTCCAAGGACAAACTTGCCCTCGGAGTTCATAACAAATACGCCAACGCCGATTCTGGGTTCATTTGCAGAAGTCATGGTGATCCTGTCTCGTGTTAAGTACGTCTGTCTTTGATCGACGATGACGAGTTTTGATCTGCAAGGGACGTGTGAAGTGGGGCACAGCGAGCAAGCGGGGTACCACGGCGGGATCAAAGGATAAGAAAGAAGAATACAGGAAAGTAGAAACAGGTTATGAAGCTACATGTTTAAATAATTAACGACTGATTTTATGTTACAGAGTAGTGGCTGTGCATGAGGCAGCAGCAAGGCCTCAAAGGTCTGACTCCAACCACTCAAGGCTGAATCACGGAATGGGTACTATCTCAGCCACGAGACGCCCGTCTCAGCCTTCATCCCTAAGGCATATTTACAAAAAAGAGCTGGCTAGGCGTCACCCGAACTACAATAATTTATGATTGAAAATCTATCTTCAATAAGAACATTAAATTGTCCATTGTTCTATAACAAAGCTATACAAATCAGACTGTGGAAAGACCGCTATGAAGTATGAATCCTATGAGGATAACCACACCAGGTTCTCGCTTATATCATAATCGAATAAAGAGAGATTCCGTGATATTCCAGAGTCAAGTTTACCTGACATGTTCTTCTTTATGCTGTTGAAAGACAAGAATGCCCAGAAGACCCGGTCGCTCGCTGTGCTGCATCGGTCGCTAGCCGGAAACGATATCCATGAAAGGGAAGCATCAATAATCATTAAGACACAGAAGCGCCTGAAACCGTGTTGATCCGTGTCTCACTGACATATAAGAAAAGATAACTGGAAGAAGAGTGGAGATAACCAACCCAAAAAGATCCCTTTCCTTCATATACTTTTGACTTCTTTACTCCGCCCCATAAGTCCATTCAAACATGATAATCGCAATCGCAGCCACCTACGGTCAACAGTCAAAATGGAAATTCCACCAGCAAACGTGATCAACAAACTCACCAAGGAAGAATCAACACCAGTCACAATCACCAAATCCATAGCAGGTCGAAGACTCTTTCGCCGTGACTTGGGCAGCAGAGCTAACGTATCGTTATGGTGAATACTCTCATAAACCCCACCAATCCTCCTATCTCCATCGACAATATCATATCGGGCCATAATATCACCACACGGTGATATAAGCAGGGTCATATCCTTATCACTATCGCTCTTCGTATCATTCGCAGCCATATTGCGAAACGAGAACTTCATACTCTTATTATTGTTCCCCCATCGCGGCTCTCCCTCAGCGATCTTGATATCACCACCTCCCGGCATAGTGATGTACCAGGAATACGGTCTACCAAGCGCGGTCTTCGTATGGAGTTCGAACAAGGGTAAGCCCGAGGCATCGTGAAACTCGCGACAGACGCGATCGCCATATTTGCGACCGGACACCGTGTAGACGAGCTCTTCTTCTTCTTCCTCCGTAGTGATTATATATGCCGCGACGGACTGGGCATTCCCATTTGGCTTGAGCACGAGAGTTGTCTTGGCAGGAACTATGGATTCTGTTCGAAGGGCGACCTGGCGCTCGGGTGGTCGCATCGATTTGCGAGGCTTTGGTTTGAAGCCCTTTGAATGAAGCGACATTCGCGCTTCAGAGTATGAAGTGTAGGACATGATGACGTAGGTAGGTATTAGAAATTCCTACGAAACCGTATCCCTCGATCGGACTGTATAGATGGTTTTATGAGCTATTATATGAGGATGGACGTTAAATGCCGCATGGGTTGAGGTTGAGTAGGATGTGAGGTATTTCTATGGTTGCGCCCCATGACTACATCGTTGGTTCCGGGGGCTGTTTTGATTCGTGCCCTCCTCCGTCCAGATCGGAGCGAGAAACAAGTTTCAAATAGATCGCTCGGGCGCATCCCTTGTCTGGGCAGTGCTTATCTGTCTTTCACAGTCGGAGTATTACTGAACCTATGCGGTGAACCGAAAGTATAGTGGTAAGTGGAGAAAGCCTTGTACATTGCCAAGAATAGCCTCAACCTGGGATGATCTTTACTGTTTATTTAGTATCAAAACATCGAGTACTAACGATCATCAACTAGGTCACTTTTTGAATAAGTTGGATTTATTCTACAACTTGAATCGTCTTCTCTGTATAGAGATACGCCTTTCTAGCTCCTCTGATCTAGATGATCCACCTCTTTAATATTGTGCCAGCATGTAGCCGATTTCGGGTATTGCGTCGAGGAAAACGGGCGGCTCGACGGGCCGATGACTAATGCGCCATTTTCAGCCCTGCAACCCATCGCGACTCTTCATTCCTCGGAGCTACCAAACTTACACATCTATCATCTAAAATGGCGGCTAAATTCGCAGTCAAGTCCTTAGACCACCTGGTTCTCACAGTGCGATCCATTCCAGAGACGGTAGCCTTCTATACTACCCATCTGGGTATGCGGCACGAAGTCTTTAGTTCACCCGCCAACCCCGCTGTCCAAAGGTTAATATTATTCTGACTATAAACAAAGACGGACCGAAACTAACTTCATTAGAAATGCTCTCATTTTTGGAAGTCAAAAGATTAACCTCCATCAGTCGGGGAAAGAGTTTGAGCCCAAGGCCCAGAATGTTAAGCCTGGAAGTGCAGACTTGTGCTTTTTGACGGATGAGAATGTCGAAAAGGTTCTGCAAGCTTTCCAGGATGCTAAGATTGAGGTAATTACATTATACATGGCTCATCGTACTCTTCATGCTAACTAATCTTTGCAGGTCTTAGAGGGTGCCAAGATTGTAGACAGGACTGGGGCTGTGGGCAAAATCCGCAGCGTTTATGTGAGGGATCCCGATGGCAATCTAATCGAGTACGTGATTCCCCTTTTCCCATTTTTTCCATTGCTAGACTAAATCCAATAACAGGATTTCCAACTATGCTTGAGTTTCCTCAGGTCATACTGCTGATTTAAAGACAAACTTGATTAAGCCTCGACCATAGACGCACCGATGAACGCTTCCATGAAATGAATGAACAATAGTTGCGACAGACGCATACATCAAGCCTCCTCAATCGAATCTCCTGTGCCTTTATCGTAGTCCTTTTCTCTGACACAATAAACAAGCTATGTTTCTCATTTAGGAAACCCGTCCTCATCGACAGGATACAAAGGAGTAAACCGATAAGTAACACCACCCTGCGAGACGACCCCAGTATTCTTGTCGACTTTGATACCCGTATCCACATGCTCCAAAAAGCCAACATATGGAGGCTCAACTGCGTCCAGTATCATCTTCTTCAAAGGGACGTCCTGAACAAGTTTGGTCATGATAATAAGAAGCTCCAGCCAGCCAATGAGGAGTCGATAATCCCGACTCACTGAGCAGTTATACCCGCGCCGTGTAATGACTTGATGAACACCCTCAGCTTTCATAGCGAGGACATCATTAATAAACGGCTTGATATCGTCAGTCACGGCATATCCAGTGCGTATGTTGAGCATGTATTGCGCTACTTCGACGAGAATCCAGAGTCGGGGCTGGAAAGTCGGATATCGCCATTCGAATCCACACTCCCGCATGAGAACGGGAGTTCGTGTAAGCATTCTGTTGAAGTACTCCTTTTCGGCTGGAGTGCTTGCGTTTTGAGGGAGACATGTCCAGTCAATCCAGACGTATGTCCATGATTGGGTAGAGAGGTCCTGGCGGGCGAGTGCAAAGTCTTCGCCTCGTGGATCGGGTGCTTCTCGGGTACGCCAGAGGTGGCTCACGTAGAAGCAATCTTTCTTATTAACAAAGCCATCGTCCATGGGTATCAGGATGTATTCTTCAAGGCGGTTGATATCAAACTTCATAAAGCGAGTCTCTTTCATGAATGAGTCTCGACGTTGGAAGAACCAGAACATTATCCTGGATCGGAAGAGATCGTCGACTGAGTTTAAACGTCTCAAGGTCGCGGAGAGTCTGAGAACAGAGCCTTTGACCTCTGTATCTGTAGCATATGCTAGAGAATTCCAGGCGGTGATGCTCCGTTCTACCAGGCTCTTGAAAGAGGATGTTTTGACCAAAGGTCCTTTGTTCGTAGCCTGAATATCGAGGCTTTTGTTGCCGCTTGGATTCGCCGTTTTCTGTCCAGTGGCTGGTTCATTCCGTGCCACTATTGTAGTTATACCCCTGCTACCGCAGTCTGTGCAAAAGGGCGTTGTGATTATTTTGTCGCATGGGCCACAGATGGTCTTCGGAACCGATGCCTCTACCTTTTGACCGCACATCGGGCAGAAGGGTGTTGTAACTGTTGTGCTGCACTTAGCACAGATAGAGGAGCCGGGGAAGCTCTGAAACTTTTTGTCAATGACGCTTTAACAGAACCCCCAAATTTACCAAATCAAAAATAAGAATTCCAGGTTCCATCGCCGCGAGTTTGTTTGGCAATGTATACCCGCGAGCCAAAAGGAGTGTCAGCTTACTTGGCTTTGATTGTTCGGCCTGTTCAAGAAAGACATTTCGTCGGATAGTCAAAAACTGATTTTGAACCTGGAGGGAACTTGATGAGATCAGAAGTCGCCTGGCCCTCGAGAGTGAGGGGCTCTGTTTTTATGGACGGATGGGGCTGAGAACTGCTCGTATTCTGCCGCGTCTTGCGTGGCCTTTCACTGAACAAGGCTAGTCGTGCTTAACAGGGCTGGTGGTTATCATGTATGCGGGGTAGATATTGGCTGTGCATTAGAAGGTAAATGCAGCTAGGCAAATCAAGAGGCACACGCTAGGTTCAGACTAGGTGAACTACAGTACTATAATGTGGCCAGGAGCCAATGGCCTTGCTAGCCAAGAGCGTCCTTGATAATAGCCTGCTTCCATGACGCGGAGCGTTTCGTTGGGGAATTCTTGAATATATTTTATTTTATCCAGGAAGGGTCCGTTCTTTGTTGCATCACCGTCTGGTTATCATATTTACTGTGACGACGACTAGCTGTGGGCTGACATCTGACAAAAGAATTAGATACTCCAACGTGATATACAAAAGTTGTGGCTATTATGGTCACGATCAATATGGTCAGAATTATGAGTACTCAGCATAGAGAGGATTGCCATCAAGCATACACGAGTAAATTTTTAAATTATTTGCGCTGGATCAGAAAGATAAACCAATAAAAAATCCATATGCGTTCATCAACCAAGGGTTAACACCAACTTCCAGTTCCAAAGGCCAACCCTCCGCGCCAGTAAACGTAATGTCCCTAGTGTGCTGCAGTTGCTGCTTTCAAAGTGGCGGACGGCTGCCGGGTCGAGTTATGAAGCTTGTATGGAGCTCGGCCAGGTAGTGGTGTGGAGGGTGGGGTGGGTGGGATGTAGGGGTCCGATCCCCCTGCGGGTAAATTTTTTTATATTTCGGTAAAATACTTTATTTATATCATTGTAATCAGCTAAACTATAGGAATCTGCTGGTTCTATTTTTGAAGCTTTCCAGATAGGTTGGTGGTTGTGGGGGGTGTTATGTGTTAGGTGTGGAATCAAGAATGGAACTCTTGAGCATCGAGGTCTGAACATGGAGCATTGTTGGAGCATCGATAACAGTTTGTATGGTAGAGCGAGGTCGAGGGTTCCATTCATGGAGATAGCATGTTATTTGCTTTACATCTTTTGCAGTTGTCGCTTTCTTTTGAATGGCCCCTGGATGACCCTTAGATCGATATCTGTGTTTGAGTCTACTTATACTTCCCGCCGAGGACAAGCGCCCTCGGGTCCGGTAACTAGTCCCCGCCCGAGAACTCCGAAGCCAAGCGGCAGCACAAACGGGAAGGAATTGGCGAGCAGCCGACCGATAAAATTAACTCGCACAAAAGTAATAACGAATGGATGAAAGATCAAATTGAATTTGACGGCGTGGTAGTTTACATATCAATCTGTATTCTTCATCCAGTAGTTCCCGTCAATCTAGAACTATACATTCGCTTGGCAACCATGGCTCCCTCGTATTCCCATGTGTCATGTCCCTCCAGACTAACTTTGCGGAACTCACATTCATGGATTCAACCTTTGTCATTTTTAACCACTCTCTATATAAATCTTGATCTCAGCCCACCCCCTGTATATCCTACACCCAGATCCTCCACCAGCAATGGAAACAGCACGTCTAAAGCTCGAGCCAATCGATCTCGCCCACCTAGAGGGCTTCCACCGTATCTGGTCAGACCCCGATACGACGCAATGGAGGTGAGTCACGACACCCACTCCTCCAACGACGTCCAATTCCTGACGCACTTCCAGCTCGCGAGGCGTCAGCAAGACTATGGAAGAAACCAAGGGCAGAATAACCGGAATTGTCCCTGACAAAGCCCGCCCCGGCATCGACAACTACGGCGTCTTCATTCGCGCCCCTACCAACTCAGACGAATCCCACGTCATCGGCATCGTAGGCGTCCACAAAGACGATCCCGTCCCTGAACTGGGATACCTTTTCCACCCCTCCGCTTGGGGAAAGGGATACGCGACAGAGGCAGTATCTACTTTCGTCCAGCACTATTTCACTCTCAGGCCAGAGGCGCCTTATATCGAGGCCAAGATTGATGCGAAGAATCTGCCTTCGATACGGGTGCTGCAGAAGTGCGGGTTTGATGAGATCGAGACGTTGGTTGGTGGGGCGGAATCGCCGTGGATGGATCCTCCTATTCGGGACTTGGTTGTGTTTCGGGCGATGAGGAAATAGAGCAGATGAATTATATCAAGGAATATACAGTATCAAATCGCAAAGGCTGAATACTAGGGGAAACTGATTAATATTAAGATGACTGCTTGTATGTGGGTATAGCCGTATATCCATTATCCCTACATCGTCTAGCTAATAAACAGAACCGCTCTCTGACGATAAACCCCCTACAGAGCAAGAGCAAGACCCAAAATACCAGCGGCCCCAACGATGCTCATAGCAACACCGCCAGTGGCGACGGGAGCACCACCAGTAGAAGTAGCAGAAGCATGAGCAGACGAAGCAGAAGCAGAAGCAGCCTTGGAGCTAGCAGCGGCCGAACCCGAGGAAACAGCACTGGTCACAGCAGCGCTGGAAGAATCAGCCGAGCCAGTAGCAGTCGCAACGCTGGCCGCAGTACTGGTGGCAGCGGCGGTATCGGTAGCGGAGGCCTCGATAAGGAGGTTGGCAAAACCACCGCCGGATGCAGTGGCAGCCCAGGCCTTGACGCTGCTAGGCAGGTTGTTGTACCAAGCGGGGAGGGTACCGGCCTCGATCTCGGAGATGATGGAGGAACGGGAGGTTGGGTCCAAAATCTCACTGTACCAGGAAGCCGGGATGGCGGTCTCGATGACGGTTAGGATGGAGTTAGGGATCGAGATGTCAGAGTCGTCGGACGAGGACGAGGAGGTGCCGGTGGCCTGGGGGGCAGCCAGGGCCGTGGCGGAGAAGAGGAGGGCGGCAAGAATCTTGAACTGCATTTTGGAGGTTGGGATATAAAACGAGTGGTCGGACTCGAGATAAGTGTCCAAATTGGATAAAAAAGAGTGACTGTTTAACGAAGGACTGAGCTTGAAGAACTAAGGAAAGAGAGAAAAACAGAAAGCTCGTCCGGGGTTCCAGGGTCCAAGGCTTATGTAGAAACTGGGCCACCGGCCAGAACCCTAGTTGAGCCTCGTTTTGCCTCCATGGGCGTCCATTCAGGGTCTATTGATTCATCTTTCCCAGTCAACGGGAAGTCTTGGTGAACTGGTTGGCCAGGAAAACCATTTCCTGCAATCTAGACGTCTCTTTCAGGATATTGTGGCCGAAGAGAAGACACTGAAAAGGGCTAAAAATACGGCTATAACCGTTAGCTCCGGGTCTAGGCCAATGGGAGAGGTTCTCGCCTCGATTTGCCCTCTATTTGCACCAAAGCCTTATCCTGTTGGAGATTAGAAGTCAGCAGCCACACGCCTGGGTTTAGACCCAGTTTTAACCAATCCCGGGTGCCACAGAAGTCGGAGAATCGGTATTTCCCCCTTTTTCCTGCTGCATGGCGCAACTTGTGCCGGGTTCGGGTAAGATGCGAGTCCGATAAGCTCTATTCTTGGCTCTGCGTGCCAAGATTTTGTACCACATGGGTGCAGACCCTGGAATTCTTGCAGTCCCTCTTGGCAGGGCGATATATGATATTTAGTTCATGTCCTCATTTTTAGCACCGAGGACGGGACTTCTGATATCACAAAAGAACCGATCGACAAGTTCAAAGGATCCTACCCTGAAGAGTCTCTTTGGTATGTCAGCGATTGGTTAGCGCCCGCAGATATTCTCCGACTGTAAAGTACGGAGTCGTCAAGGACAATGCAGGTATACACCAGCCTGTCGATCAAATTTGGTCATTTTCAATTGTAGAGGAGGATCGACTGGATTATTAAAGTATAGACATGAAATGTTAGTTGATCCTCCATTCCGTCATCCGATCGGTGGTGTTTGTCAATGCTGATTAAATGGAAAGAAACTTTCGGATTAATCAGCGTATACTGCCGTAATTCCGCATTTAATATGCTGCCCACCACGAATCCCGGAATTAAGTCTACTTCGAGTCTCCGCTATACTTCCTGCTACTCTAGACCATCACTTGGATATTTCAAACCCTTCGTCATCAATTACTCCCTCCTTAGCCAAGCACGCCCGGGCCTATTACCAGAAATAATCTGAAACTCGACAACGCTAACCAAAACCAACAACCACCTTGCATATAAAACCACTCTATCCCTTCATCCAACACCCATCTCAAAAAAAAAAAAAATACTCTACAATGGCCTCTCGCACACTTCGATCCGCTTCCAATCTCCACTCCATCTGCCGCACTTTCGGCTCCACCCCCTGCACCCGACGAGTAATTGGATCTGGCCCAACCCCGCCATCACAGATAAAAGGACAACTGCCCCTCCAACGACGATCCTTCACCTCGTCACTCCCCAATTCATTCTCCTCCTCCCCAGCAACAATGTCTACCACCGACGCCCTCGTCCAAGCGGCCCAGTCCCGCCGCACCATCTACAAGCTCGGCAAGAACAGCCCCGTCGCCGACTCCAAGATCGAAGAGCTCGTCAATGCCGCTATCTTGAACGTCCCCAGCTCCTTCAACACCCAGTCCACCCGTCTGGTTGTCCTGCTCCGTGAGGAGCACGATAACCTCTGGGATATCACCATTGAGACCTTCAAGGGTCTCGTCGCTACCGGTGCCGTCCCCGAGGAGGTCTTCCAGAAGCAAACTCTCCCCAAGCTGCAGGGTTTCAAGGCTGCCTACGGCACTGTATGTTCTTGTTTCGACCGAAACGACATCAATTGCAATTGGGAGCATATATACTAACCATCAACCTCCACGTATAGATCCTCTTCTACGAAGACCCCGCCCACATCAAGCCCTTCCAGGAGAAGTTCGCCACTTACAAGGCTCACTTCGAGCCCTGGGCTGAGCACTCCAACGCCATGCACCAGTACTTCCGTAAGAACCTCCCCCAACCTCAACATCAACATGCACAAACCCCAAGCTAACAATCACCCCCTTCACCAGTCTGGACCGGCCTCGAAACCCTCGGCTTCGGCGCAAACCTCCAACACTACAACCCCCTCATCGACGCCCCCGTCGCCCAAAAGTGGAACATTCCCACTGAATGGCGCCTGATCTCCCAGCTCGTCTTCGGTAGCCCCGAGGCCGCTGCCGGCGAGAAGGCCCAGAAGCCCATTGAGGAGCGTGTCAAGATCTTTGGCAAGCAGTAAGCGGGACTTCCCCCTTCTTTCTCCCATGCTCCTATCTTTTCCGAGCTCCGGTGGGCAATTCGGCCGGCGTTGTATCATGTTTTGATGAATTTCCTTTTGTTGATTTGATGCCATTTCTCTGCGTATAGACGTATATCCGGAATAGAGGCTAGAATTTAGATGTGAATGGATTTGGTTTATACATTCGCTGATGCGGTCTGGACTGTTGATGTGCCAATTGGCGATTTCGAGATCTTATAAAGAAAAAAAGTACTAGTTTCCTCTAGGGTGCATTGGCGTGATCGTCCAGGTATAGTACTAAGGCTAACCAGCAGCTGGACGGCCTGGGGGAAATGTATATTCACCACCCTCCCGGCTCATGGCTGGCATCAGCACGGCCCAGCTAGCCCAGAAGTTTCGGAAGGCATGCCAGGGAGTTAGAAGGAGATTCCTGAGTTCGCTGCCGAATTTTACCATGGATTGAATCTGTTGAGAAGCAAGAGGTGGAGTTGATGGACAAAATTAAGGTTATGACAGGTGACGTAAACTGAGAGGCGTGCGCCACCTGGTCCAGCTTAAGATGGTCCCGAGGAAAGAAAATCCCATTTCGCCTATAAGAATAGTTCAATATAAGAATGTACAATGCTCGCAATCCCTCAGTCCTAGTACTCGATCTTCATAATCCCAAGTAGAACCGCCACTTCGACACCACCCCATCTACACCGATCTATACCAAAACTCCTCCGGATGTCCCAAACACTCACCAACAGGAACAGCTAACCCCAAAAGTCAGCACTAACATTCCAACCCACAGAAAACAATCAAATCCCAAAAGCAATAAACTCACCCTTCAACCCCCTCCTCCCAACCTCCCCAATCATATCCTCCACCAACCTCATCGCCGTATTCTCCTGCGAATCATGCGCAAGCACAATACTCCCACCACCCTCCAACCCCTCCCTAAACAACTCAAAGCTGCGCCAACTCCTACTCGGATGATCATTCGTCTTGTCATCCGTCACGATACTCGCTCCGATAACGTGGTACCGTAAATCTCTCAGTGCGGAGAGCACCAGCTCGTTGACGTGCAGCCAGGGTGTGCGGGTGTATGTAGGTGTGAAGCCAAGGATGTGGTGGAAGGCGGATTCGAGGGTGAACATTTGGGTGAGGATGTCGTTGTAGGGGAGGGTTGTTAGGTTTAGGTGGTTCCATCTGTGGAATGGTGGATAAGGTTGTTATTGTTAGTCTGAGGATGAGGTATATTGGAAGGGCAAACGTACGAGTGAGAACCTATCTGATGTCCCTCCGCGAGTGTCCGCTTGACTATATGCGATAGCTCGTAGATATTGCCTTTCCAGTCACCGTTGAAGAAGAATGTTGCGTGGATGCTGGCGTTGGCGAGGATATCGAGGACTTGTTCTGTGTAGATGTAGGGTCCATCGTCGAAGGCAATTGCGATTGTGCTTGGGACGGTGCAGTGGTCAATGACTACCCCGTAAGGCAGCTGAGTTGTGTTGTCATTGTGGGTTGTTTGAATTGGCAAGTTTGGTGCTGAGATTAGGGATTGAGGGATCGCTGCTGCGGAGGATAGGGCTGCCGTGGAGAGAAGAGCGGCGAGTAGGAGATTGAGTTGATGCATGGTTGGTAGCAAGGAATGACTTGTGTAGGGATGAATAGAATGAGTGGGATGAAGTTCGCTGGTTGAATTGAGTAGAGGGTATCTGAGGCTTTAGGACTACGAGATAGAAGATCAGGCAAGTACGGCCTGGCCACTTCCTACCAGGAAAGACCATTCTGAGCTTGAGAAAGCATGAAATTAGAAGAAATTCTCATTGAAGATTAACAAGATTAACAATTCCACCCTCCGTTGCCAAAAGCGACAACCAGCCACCGGATCTGTCGACAAATAGTATCAAATATGAATACATCCTGGGGAGCACAAAGGTATCAAAAGGTAAGGCAGAGTAAGACAATTCCCCTCGCTTTTGTCGCCTTCTGTCCAAACGAGCGGGAAAAAGAAGGTGAACGTTTCCCCAGATCCCCGTCTCCATCTCATATCCTATCGCCTCTCACTCGGGCCCAACCATGTAGGCTCAATTCCTCGATCATATCAAGTTTAACCCTTACGGGAGTACTTCTTCATCGACTTGCGCTGGCCCTTCTGGCTCTCACGGTCAAGGTACTTGCGCTGCTCCTCGGCAGTCATGCCACGGAGCAGACGCTCACGCTCCTCCTTCTTGAGCTTCTCGGCCGCGAGCTTGCGCTCCTCGGCCTTCTCCTCCTCATCGGCACGGCGGAGCTTCTTGATCTCCTCATCGCGGACGTTGCGAATCTTGCGCATCACCTCACCGCGCCAGTGGGCGACGGAGACGAGCTTATCGGCGAAGCGAAGGAACTGGTTGAACAGGGGAAGGGTCGAGGAGTAGCCGGACGAGAGGTTGACGGAGAGCTGGATGCGCTTCTTGGGGACGGTCTCGTCGATCCTGATTGAAATTCTTGTTAGCGGATGGACTACGGATATCATTGGCTGATAAGAGGCTCACTTGGTAGGCTTGTCAATAGGCTGGTCAGTTATAATCAAGAACTCAAAGTCATTGCCAGCCTGCTCAATAGCCTGGATCAGCTCCGGGGTAAGCAGAGTATCAGTGATCTCAGCGCTCTCGCTCATCACGGTAACCCAGGATGGGAGCTTGGGGTGATCCTTGGAGAAAGTAATGGAGGCATCATAGCGGTCAGTGCGGAACTTTTGCATGTGGCTCTTGTGCACAACGGCCCAGATGAAGCCATCATAAGTGGAGTTGGCAACCTTGACAGACGAAGTATCCTTGGCGAGGACGGGGACCAGATCCTTCTCCTTGCCATCGAAAGCGTACATCAGAGCCTCGTACCTCTCAGCGGGAGTCTCCCAGCTCTCGAAGAAGAAGCTAAAGACATACTCCATGATGTAGGTAATAGGGTTGTAGCGCTTAGGCATGGTGAGAGCGACATCCAGGAAAGCCACGTTCTGACGACCAGTCGCATAAGCGGCGAACTCGTGCGCCGACTTCTCCTTCAACAGCTTCTCCGGGTTGGTCAGCTCGACGGTGACCTCCTCGGGGCCCGAGCGGGAGATACCATCGAAGCCGACGACGGCAAACTCCTTCTGCAAGGCCGGGATATGAGCCTTGGCCCAGTCGCGCGCCTTGCGGCGGTTCTTGCGCGTGCCCCAGAGATGGAACAGGACGACCACCAGGATGAAAGGCATGATCATCGCCTCCTGCATGAAGTCGCTAGGCGAGGTGCGCTCCCAGATCCGATACCATTTTGTGTATGGGACGGTACCCTGCGTGCTGAAGGCGGGGATAGTGGTCGTATCGGCGACGAGCGATGCAGGAGACGGGTTCGGGGCCTCGACGAAGTCGGCGAAGTCTATGACAGGTGGTTAGTCTTGGGGGATTGCCATTGCAATTGAAGGGAGGGTCAATTGCGCCCAGAGAGACATACCATCTTCTGGGTTAGCAGCTCCCGAGGGCTGAGAGCCGAACACGTTCTTGAACACGCCCGCCATGGTTTGGGATAGAGGATGGTGGGTGGAAGGGAAAGGAGGTGGAAAGAAATGAAGTGCGGAGCTAAAGCTGGGCTGGCTGTTAGCGGCCCCACGAAATCTCCGGGGGGCAGTTTTAGGCGGTGCTGCTTACGAACTTACGATAAGACCCAGTGGTTGCCAAGGTTTGGGTCGACTGGCAGCTGTCAAGTCACCTACTCAAAAAGTACGTAGTAAAAGAATACGGTTGGTTGAATAAAAGTGTGAAATTTCCATGTTCCAATCCAATACCTGTGTATCCCAACCTGTATCCCGAATCCAACGATTGTACAAAAGTACTGGTGGTATCCCGCGAAAAAGCATCAAAAAAGTAGAAAAGAAGAATCGACGCCAAAAGTTTCGCAAGAACCCAAATTTTTGTACAATCCCGCTCCCAAGCAACGCAAGAAGAAGAAAACAAAAAGGAAACAGATTAACAAATAAAAGTCGTAGCGGTCATTAAAAGGTCGAGTCTTGCTCGAGAAGGAGAAGAGAGGAGGAAAAAAGAGTAAGGAGCGTGGCGATGCGTGGCGCATCGAAGTTAGTGGCCATATGCCGGGGGAGGAGCATCGTCCTGGGCACGAGACCAGAAGTTGCTGCAGGCGTTGTTCGCCATGAGTTTCTCGTCACGGATGCGACGAGCAATCTCGCCAGCCAGTCGCTCGACCAGAAGAGGGTCGACAGTGTCGCCGGTTGAATTGTCTTCCTTGGTGAATGGAAGAATGGTGGCAGGCAAGGGTGGCCGGGCACTGCCCGAGGAGGAACCCGCCTCAGCCTTTTCGTTTTGATATCCACCACGCACAGTAGCACGGGGAGTTGCCTCCACATCCTCGGCCTTGGGAGGACGAATGGTCTCAGTGGAGTAGGATGGATCCTCGTTGTCGCGAGTCAAGGTGCTGCGACGAAGGGTCGGTCGCGAGATACTGGTCCGATATCGCTCTGGAATCATCGGCAGGTGAGAGTCGGTCTCGGGGGACAGAGGAGGGGTGACCGGGTCGTCGGACTGCTCGTTCACAATCGGCAAAGGTGCAGAGTAGATGGATGGCGGACTCGAAGACTCTGTCAAGGCACTGTCATCGCTCACGCTCATGGCGTCATCGGTCGTCTTGGGTCGACGCAGGTCCACGACACGCTTCTTTCGTCTCCGGGAGTGAGCCTTGGAATGGCGCCCAGTTCCCAAATTCAACCCATAGCTGCTGAACGAGTGTGTGGATGACAAAGAGGGGCGGCTGTGCGAAGAGGTGACGCTAGCAGTCTCGTGAATCGACGAGGCCATACTGCCAATTTGCGAATGTGTTCGGGAAAGTGCCGGGCTGAGCGGGGAAACGATACTGGCGGCGGCTTCGCTGGGGTCGACAGGCGATGTCCATGCGCGATACACGACTTCTTGGATGGAGGGGGTGAAGAGCGACAGCGTTCGTTGCGAGTCAGTCAGGGCGGCGAGACGGAGGAGGTTCTTCTGCGAGAACAGCGAATGGGTCTCGACGGAGGAGTCCAGGGAGAGGGATGCGATCTCGGATTCATTCAAAGCATTGCCCATCGCATCGACTGGGTCCTGCGGGGGGCTTGCCAATGGATCTTGGCCTGGGCCCTCACTGGTGGACTCGGTATTGTCGTTCTGGGTCTTGACATCCTCCCCAGCGCGATATTCAGGAACCCATAAGCGAAGCGACAATCGGTGAATGATGGCGGGTAGCTCGTCCATGAACAAGATGCGGAGTTGAGCTTCGATTTCTTTCTGTAGGAAGTCGCGCACGAATGGGATCGAATCGAACGTGGACGAGACCTTGAGAGACTCTAGGGGATCATTGCGGAAGACGACCGTGATACCTTTTTGTTTGGAGAAGACGAGGATCACAAAGCCGGAGAGTTTGAAATCGGAGAGAGTAATTTGGAGAGGGATGGTGAGAGGAGTTCTATAGATGATTGCGAGAGTTAGGAAAAGGGAACAAAAGACCAAAAATAAACCGTGCGCCCGTAGCGCAAAGGACTGTAAAGCACTTACGCAGCGGCAAGAGGCTTCGGCGATGCAAATGCAGGCCTTGTGAGGAGGTATGTATTGAGTGGGTTGGCTTGAACGCGGGTCTTGAGGGTCAAGAAAGCGTCGCCGGAATAGGACATCTTGAAGATGCCGCGAAAGCGATCCTCGGCCAGGTCACCGATTTCCAAAATCTCCAGATTCGGGGGCATGGAGCCCAGGTTGAGCTCGGTGACGATAATATCATCGACGATGATGGGGGGTTTGGGGGATTTATTGAGCGCGGCAGTAAGCAGATCTTGGGCGCGAGTGTAAAAGCCCGCGTCCGCCATCAACGGCGACCAGTTGAAGTTGAACGCCATGCCCGCGCATTGAGAAAGAAGGAGGTAAGCGAACCGAGTCGAGTAAACAGAGAGCAGGAGAAAGGAATAAAAATCAGTATTGAAAGGGGAGAGGGGGGAGGGTGAGAGTGGAGGCGAAGGCGAGAAAGCAAAGGAGAAAAGTGAATGTGAAAAAAAGGGCAGAGGCTTCCCGAGGGTCACTCGGTCTCAGGCCCTCGCGTGCCCCGACCACACTTCTCTTTTTACTCCGTATTCTCGGAACTCGCGAAACCCGCGTTTTCACGTTTCCTTTGTTTTTACAAGCTCACTTGACCTTGATGATGAGTTCCTTTTGAAATTCAAATCATTTATGACTATAATACTAACGGAATACAGGCTTGTCTTATGGCGACTTCATATATCCTGGTTGCGCCCGGATCGCTCTAAGTGTACGTCACTTGGCTCAAGACTTGCCAGGGCCCACCCTTTCCGACCAGCCCCGAAGGCATTCCCACTTGGAGTCTTCCCATGGCCATTCACGTTCCACCCCCCGGCTTCTTTTGCATAAGTGCTTCCACTGGCGGCTTCAAGTCTTTGACTGGGTCCCGCACCATCGCAGATCGGGGAAAAGGGGGGCGGTTATATTCCGTACAGGACTTTCATACGGAGTACGGAGTACAGTACTTTGATAATAAATCGACGCGACGCAAAACAAAAAGCCCTGACCAGCCTGCCCTACGCGGTGCAACGCGGGCCAGAAAGGGCCAAGTGCCATGCCGATCGGGCCTACGGGGTATACAAGTTGAACTCCGGAGAGTCCAGAGCCTAGCCCACGGGCGGATGGATCATGTTTCTGACCTAGCGAATGATTGCCGGAGTGGAGCGTAAGGGGGGCGGATCCCGTTATGCACGACTTAACGCTCTATTCTCGTGCAAGTTGCCCTCGTTGTGCCTGCAGCTCCTTCGGGGAATATAGACGTAGTACATACTGCACTGCGGTCAGCAAGACTTGATTATGTACTGTTCATAGATAGCTTGGAAATGAACAACAACATCGAAGCTTCAAACTAAACTTTTGTTTTACTTTTTGCATCATAGACGAAACCGGTTCCAGCGGGAACAAGTTATATATCGTAGACATACCTGACGGGTACTGAGTAGGGATTAATTCTAAGGTTTGTCTTTATGATTGGATCATTGTACTCCCTGGGGTCGAGGATTCGGCCATCTGCGCAAAGAACCTCGAAAGATAAGAGATAGTCCTTAATAAGATCTACTGGAGTTGATTAATTCAATGTTGCTACCGATTGACAGGTTCCATGCCCGGTTGGCGCGCGAAACGCAAAGCGCTGACCTGCGAAGGCCCATAAAAAGTGACTGTTTTATCAATATTGTCAACGTTCCATGGTCGGAATTTTATTGAAATAACAACCATCAGTCTGGCTTCGCATACCCCTCAAAGGTTTGAGCTGATAGTGCTCGTGGCAAATTCCAGTGACGCAAAGATGGCAAGTATACTCCGGACCATCAGCGCAACCCGTGATTGGTCACATGCCGAGCTTGCTCTTACCACGGCAACAATCCGCTAAGCCGCTTTTGGCTAAACGTCAATACGGCCTGACTCGTCTGAATCCATCGAAGATTGCTTCATTCGACACCCTCTTCTGGCCAGTTTCTTCATAACTACTCGACAAGCTGAGCCCCATAAATATACCGGAATACAGGATCTTTTCTCACCCTAGGGATCATGTCGACCCGAACTTCATCGTCATTGACGGGTCACGCGACATCGATGGAGCCCCGAAAACCCACCACCAGGACGGTCGCGCAAAGAAAGGTCTACGGCAAAAGACGAACCAACGCACCGAGAGCTGTCTTCGATCAGAAGAGCCCAGCAAGGACAAAACTAGCATCCGCGGATATGGACGACACCGTCGAGGCTCTTCAGACAAAGTTGGCCAAAGTGTCAATCAAGGACGAGCCGGTCCCTGAGCAGCAGAAATCCGACACCACAGCCCAGGCACAAGAGGTCGAGCAGGAAGCAACTACATCAGAACCTACCAACACATCCAGCGAAAACTCATCGCCTGAAGCGCCACCACACACACAAAAACCCTACGAGACAATGGTGGAGGTTCGAATCTGCAATCAGCTTGGAAAGAAGACGTCTGCAAAAACCCAGCAGCAAAAGGAAGACATTACGGCTACAGAAATGAGAACGCCAAGGAAGAAGAAAACCAATCTGACCACGCGAAGATCGTCTGGCTTTGTCCATGACACCAAAGTAAATGCCTACGTCCGCCCTATCCTCAACGAAGCCCTATCATCCATCGCATCCCAGAGTATCCAAAGGTTCAGCACATGGGCCTCCCGCTCCGCAACAATGTTCCACGTCGCCAAACTTGCTGAAGGCTCCTACGGTGAAGTTTACAAACTCCACCTCCGTGACGAAGCTTCCCGACCACCGGTCTCCAAGTCCAAGCTGGCCAGACTCCGTGCATACGGTGACGGGGTCTTCAAAGTGGTCCCGCTCTGCGCACAACGCGGACCGCGCTCGAAGAAATTCACGTCCGTTGCAGAAATCGTCTCCGAGGTCAAGATGCTGAAGTACCTGGACCCGATTCCCGGATTTGCACGGTTCAGGGAGATTCACGTCGTGCAGGGTCGTTTCCCGGAGTCTTTCCAGAGTGCGTGGGATCATTATAAGGAGACCAAGGATGATTGCTGGAATCCCGATCCCTCTAGTAAGAAGGCGTATCCGGATACCCAGTTGTGGGCGATTATTGAGATGGATGATGCGGGGTGTGAATTGGAGAAGTTCTCTTGGTCCTCGATCTTCCAGATCTATGATATCTTTTGGGGGGTGGCGATGGCTTTGGCGCGGGCTGAGGAATATGCTATGTTCGAGGTGAGTCTTATCAAATTTGAAACGAGCTCAATATTTTTGTCTGACAACTGGCTAGCATCGCGATCTTCACTTGGGCAATGTGTGCATTCGCTCTACGCGGCCAGATGGCAACATGGAACCACCAATAGAGCTCGACATTGCGCGCCAATCTTCACTAAGTGGCTTTGGTTATAGTTGTCTCGAGACTACTATCATCGACTATTCGCTCTCTCGCGCTGATCTGCGTCTAGCTGATCTACCGGATGATCCCGAAGGCGTTGTAGAGATCGCATCATCCGACCTAGACAAGAGACAGATTTTCGATGCAGTCGGCCAAGATGAGGATGAAGCTCTCCTGAGAGACACATACCGCTATATGCGGGCAACACTATACACCGGTGTCCCCACTGAAACAGAGAAATCCCCAGATGTACCTGGTATCTGGGCCGAGTATGCGCCCCGAACAAATCTCGTCTGGCTTCTCTTCCTGCTCAAGAACCTCTTGAAGAACCGCAAAGCCGAACCTGCACAGCATACGTCCAAGCCAGAGCGAAAGGCTCTTGCGGCCTGCTCGCCAAATCGAGCATTGATGAGCCCGCAGTCAAATGGCAAGACGATCAAGGCAAAAGAAATCAGCGCTGAAGGTGACCTTCTCCGGAAGCGACAAGCTAAGGACATCCAGTCCCGAGTCTCCCAGCTAGAGCAAACGCTCGAGGATAGACTGAAGTCCGTGCTTGATCTTTTGGATCTCGAGAACGGCCATGAGGACATGTGTTGCGCGGCGGATCTGGTTGCTTACGCGATGGACTCGCAGTGGTTGGATGAGCAGGATTTCTTCTGAACCCTGTGATAAACATATCATATTTGTAGCAATATTTTGCATTTCGTTAGGCGCTTTCTGATTTTCTATACCTGGGAGGAGTTTGTGGTGAATTTTTGGTGCATGGGCTATGGGGTGGATATAACCGCTTTAGCATATAGAGTTTGCATTTGCAGACCGGTATCAATCGGACATTTAACTGGCATGACCATCTTTCCTTGAACTACATATTTGTGTTACTCGAGTTCCCCAAATACGAAGGAATCTGTTATACACTATCATGCTCACCGGGTTCTCCGACGCCCAGACAACGCTATCCAATCGGTAAGAAACACCCCATGTAAACAGTCACAGGCACAGGCACCTGGGCACCCCGCACAAGTTTATCAGCCGTGCTCCCCACTTTTGGAGATTATTCTCGACGTATCTTTGTCGATGCGATTATAACCACGAAGGCAGAGTCATTATGAGCTTCGGCTTTAGTATTGGCGACTTTCTCACGGTCTTTGAGCATGCCAATAAGCTTCGAAAACGATTTGTTAATGCGCCGGCGCAATTCGATGCGCTATCCGAGCAGTACGCTTCTGACCTCCTCTTTCGAATTATTCCATGGTCTCTGTGGAAGTGTTTGTGTTTACTGACCATTTGAAAGAGTTCGGAACCTCTCTATTGTGGTTCATGACGAAGATCTCGCCTTGACCAATGCGGTCCTCGACAACCAGCTAAAGGCCGACATAAGAAAGATAGCAACTAGCTGTGGAGATGTTCTCGTCGAAATTGAGAGCACTCTTGAGCGATATGATGAGATAGACACGGGCCACGGTGTCAAGAAGGCTTGGAAACGATTGAGATGGGACCAAGAGGAAGTCCGTGAGCTTCAGGATCGTGTTTGTTATAACATCAACCTCCTCAAGGGGATAAATGGCCGTATCACTCGCGACAATGTTGTGGAACTGTTGGAACACCAAAAAGATGAACAGCACCAGGCTTGTTTAGATTGGTTGTCGTCTACAGGTTATGCAGAAGTTCAAAGCGAGTATGTTAGTCAACGTCAGCCTGGGACTGGAGAGTGGCTTCTCGAATCATCCAACTTTCAGGACTGGGTAGCGAAGCCTGGAGCGACTCTATTTTGCCCAGGAATTCCTGGAGCTGGAAAATCGATTCTGGCGTCCGTCGTCATCGAAGAGCTGAATACTCGCTACGAATTTGATTCGACGGTTGGAATTGCATATTTCTTCTGCAGTTTCCAGACACATGATGACCAGAGCCAGAAGATAGAGACCCTACTCGCATGTTTTCTTCGTCAATTAGCTCGGAGTCTCCCACAAATACCAGAGAGCCTCAAAGCCCTGTTCCAGAAGCACAAGAGTCGAGGCTCGCGACCGTCACTCGACGAATACTTTGCCAGCTTAAGGTCTACTATGAAGCTGTTCTCGCGGACTTTTATCGTTATCGATGCACTGGATGAGTGCCACTTTTCGACGATAGCGCGGCTGTTGGATATGATATTGGAGCTTCAGGGTCCGGGCAACCTCAACCTTTTGGCAACTTCGAGATTGATTCCTGAAATAACTGCCAGGTTCAAGAATAAGCCTACTTGTGAGATTCGTGCTGCGATGCCGGATGTCATGGAATACCTCTGGGGTAACTTGGGCAAACTGCCTTCATTTGTATCGCGGGATTCACAATTGCAAGAAGATGTTGTTCATAAGATCACTGACGCCGCCGACGGAATGTGAGTTCATCCTCAGACTTTAAATCATTGTGGATAGCGCTCACGACCAATTAGGTTCCTTCTCGCACGACTTATGCTGGAATCCTTGCAACACAAATCGTCACCCAGAAAGATGAAACAAGAACTCAGTGGCTTGACAAGTGTTGCCAGCCACTACGATATTGCATACGACACGGCATATGACAAGGCCATGGAAAGAATTCAGGGCCAAGTCCGAGACCAGCGAAAGCTAGCGGAAGAGGCCTTATCGTGGATAACCTGTGCAACACGACCTCTCACAGCCCTGGAGCTACGAAACGCTCTAGCTGTGGAAATTGGCGAGTCGGAGTTCTACGAGGATAATATGCCTGATTTGGAAGACATCATATCTGCATGTGCAGGCCTGGTCACCACCGTCACACGTTCTTCGGGCGACGTGATCAGGTTGGTCCACGCCACGGCGAAAGAGTATTTTGAGCGAAAATGGACAATATGGTTTCCAGATGCGCACAGCAGAATTGCCACGACATGCGTCACATATCTGTCTTTTGATGTCTTCAAAGACGGCATCTGCTCCAACCAGACTGATTTCGAAGCACGGCTCCACAAATACCCTCTGTACGCATATGCCAGTATGAATTGGGGTCACCACGCTCGCAGTCAACCAATAGAAGAAAGTCTGATGATTGAATTCCTTAGCAACAGACTCAAAGTCGATGCTAGTGTCCAGGTGCTCTTCTATCTTGGCGGGTACTTCACGCATAGTGGGTATAACCGCAACGGACCCCCAGGGTTCACGGGATTACATCTAGCAGCATACTTTGGGCTACTGAGTGTGGTGAAGTCTCTACTCAAAAAGGATCCAGGTCTCACTTCAACCAAGGACTCGATGGGCCGAGTGCCTCTAGCTTGGGCAGCGTACAAAGGCCATGTCAAAGTGATTGAGGTTTTCATGAATGACGGGCTCGATGCGAACCTCAAAGATGGGACTGGTCGGACACTAATATCGTTGGCAGCTTCGATGGGCCATCCTGATGTTGTGAACTGCTTCTTGGAGCAGAAAGTCGACCCAAATATCAGAGACACCGACAATCGAACCCCTCTTTCATGGGCAGCTTATCGAGGTCATCTTGAAATTGTCAAATCTTTGCTTGAAAATGGAGCAGATCCCGAGGCCAGAGATGAGTATGGCAGAACGCCTCTTCTATGGGCAAGCTACGAAGGCTGGGTCGAGGTCGTCAAGCTACTTCGGGAAAGAGATGTGGATATCGAGACTAGTGATAGGCTTGGTCGGACTGCACTCTCGTGGGCCTCGGAGAATGGACATGTGGTCGTGGTAAAGCTGTTGCTGGACAAAGGAGCTCGACTTGACTCGAAAGACGAACAAGGCCGGACGCCTCTATCCTGGGCTATCCGGAACCAGCAGGAAGCAATATGCTCGCTTTTAAAAGCAGCAGAGCAATCGGAAGATGAACGGTCTCAGTCCCTTGATCTCGATACGAAGCTTGACCCCGGATCAAACCATGCACCTCTCAATTTCTCTGCTTCACTCGGCACAAATGACCATCAGGTACCAGCCCCAAAGCCCACAGAGCTCAATCAGACAAGTGCCGACGATGGAAGGTGTTTCCAGTGTCCATTGTGTAATCGCTCTTCATTGACGTCGAACAAACACGTCCTCCAAAGACATGTGAGGGATCTGCACTTCCCTCGATTTAGATTGGTCTGCCCAGAGTCCAGTTGCCCAAGGTCGTTCCAAAGGAAAGACAAATTTCTGATCCATATGAAGGATCAGCACCAGAGGGATATTCAAGGGGAGGAAATGAATGCATGCCAAAGAGAGGAGCCACTTCCGGAGGGTTGCATTATTTGTGGGAAGCAGGTTACCTCGTGGGAGGATTTCTATACATGTATTGAAACACACATTCAGGAACCATATCTTGTCCAAGAAACTCCATAAGAGATTCATGGGATATAAATTCAATACCGGAATATTGAGTGGTGAACCTTAGCAATCGATCTGATATTGTACTCCAGTCCATCTTCCATTAGTTTGTACGAAGCTTGTATTGGTCGAAACTAGCCGAGTCAATGAATTTGCTTCCATTTGAGCCTTCACAGTTTAATAAGCTTACTTGAACTGGACATCATATTTAAAGTCATTATTTTCAATTCTCCAACCAAATTGTATAAATGCCATCTCCATACATAGTCACTAACTTGCCCCACCGTGTTTGTCCTGTTTGCACTGTGCTATCAGACCCGCCACGAAGATCCAGGGCAACTTCCCTGTAGATTCTCAACTTCAATAGAACAATTTTAAGATTGTATAATATAAATTTCAAGGTGTGTCTTTGATCTCTGTTATTTATGGACGTGATGCTAACCAAATTTCAGAATTAAAAACGGCCTCGCCATAATAGCAGCCGATATAAGGCAGCTGAAAGACACCCACTGCTCTCACTTACGTCCAGGCTCAAACTCCGAACCAATTCATTGCTTGTGTCCAAAATCACTCAATATATCTATCTGGCTCAAGGATCTGTGGTAGCAACACATACTTGAAGATTGCTGGGGTTCCTCCGCATACCAGGATCTCCATCACCACTCAGGTCATCCTTCTCCAACCAACCGCCAACCTTTCTCCAAAGATCCGACTCAACCTGGTCAAATCTCTCCAAAATGCCAATCACAGGGTAAACTACACCTCTATAACCAGCGTCTTCTCTCCTCAACCCCAACTCTAACATCAATTCCAGCGTCTACTTCATACCCACCAGCCCAAACGCAACAACAACCCTCACAACTCTAACAGAGCGCCTCCGCGCCTCCTTCACAGATGAAGACCTCATCCCCATCGGCCGCTGGCTCCTAGACCACAAACTCATGCGCGACACGCCCGGCCTCCTCCCAGCATCATCCACTCAAGGCCAACGCCCCACAAAACCACGCTACATGCAACTCCTCTCACTGTCCCACTACCCAACCCACGGCTTTATCTACACCTCCGAACCAACAGAGAAGCCCTTCCACCCGCCCAGCGCGGGCCCACCCGTCACAGCGACCTCGCCAGCTACCAGCGCCGCGTCTCCAGGCCAGGGTCTCGATGCAGCGCAGGGCGCGAGCGCGGTTGAAATGCCCATGGTTATGACTACCGTACCCCCGCCAGCGTATAAGACGCTCTTCCAGCACTTCACGTACGCGTGCCAGCCATTCTGGTGCCACCGGTTGACTGTCACGGTGCCGAACGGGGTTGTCTACGATGTAGGCGATTTCCGGGTGCGAATGGGTGATGTGCGACAGACGGTTCCGAATGTGCGGCCGCGCGGGACGATTGTCGAGATTGAATGGCGGGGGCCGTCTGTTGTGGATTCGCTTTCTGGGGTGCAGGATCGGCGAGCTGCGATCGGGGCTGGAACTGGTGAAGATGTGGACTCGGGCATTGATGTGTCGTTTTGTGCGCTGGAGGAGGCGGATGTTGATGCTGAGTATGTGGCGACTGCGTCGTTGATTCGGGAGTTTTGGGGTCGGTTGGGGATTACCGGGGCTAAGGAGGCGATTCTTGTTCCCGGTGTTGGGAAGGAGGTTAAGGAGAAGTTGGGGAAGTTGAGGAAGGGGGAGAAGGGTGGTGAAGGGAAGGGTAAGGATGAAATCTTGGCTGGATTGGGGAGTATGTCGTTTGAGGATGATGTTGATCCTACGGCGGGGACTGATGCTGCCAGGCAGTATATGGAGGTGTTGCGGTTTAATCGGTAGAGGGAGAATGCGCATAGATATCCTCATACGGCTAGTTTGGATGATAGAAGAGCCTAGACTGGGAATACATTCCATGAATGATCACTACAAGGAATTGAAGATCTGCAAGAAGCATAACGATCTAAGAGCAAAGGTCGGAATAGAAAAGAATCAGGTCCATAGTTATACACTATGGAAACGCAATCCAGAGCGCTGTCCCAATCAATCCACCGCATCCAAAACGTGTTATCTGCATTTCAAGCACGCTTGATCATGAATCATCCAAGCCATAGCTTCGAGCCAGCATCGACTATAGACTACAGAGACTGGCATCGGAAAAGGAGAAAGGTAGACATGGAAGTGAAAAAAAACATCCTCATTGGTGGGGAAACACCGCGAGTTCAACTAAAGACGGAGAAACAGGGCGAAAGAGGGTCGTTTATTTTTGCATCATGAGCTGGACGAACTCGTTGTCTGTGAGAGGGTGATGGTTAGTATATGCAATAAACACTGGAACTCGATCCGAATCCCGTGCATTGCGGGGGTTGGGTAAACGTACAGTCAATGCGACCATCGCCGTCCTGGTCCGCCTCGCGGATCATCTCGTCCACCTCGTCGTCAGTCAGCTTCTCGCCGATGGAGGTCATAACGTGGCGCAGCTCGGCGGCGGAGATGAAGCCGTTGTTGTCACGGTCAAACACCTTGAACGCCTCCCGGATCTCCTCCTCTGAGTCGGTGTCCTTCATCTTACGGGCCATCATGGTGAGGAACTCTGTGGGCGCAGAAAAGAAATTAGTTCCGAGCTAGTTCAGTAGAAGCAAAGAATAGCTTGAGACATGAATGGCGTACCGGGGAAGTCGATGGTGCCGTTGTTGTCGGCATCGACCTCGTTGATCATATCCTGCAGCTCGGACTCGGAGGGGTTCTGGCCGAGCGAGCGCATGACAGTGCCGAGCTCCTTGGTAGTGATTTGTCCTAATGAAGGTATATGGATTAGCTATTCTGTTATAGAATTCTCACAAGATCCAATGGCTCAAAGCATGCTTCCTGGGATAGAGCGCCCGAGCTATTGGAGAAGACTGCACTCACCATCGCCATCCTTGTCCTGGTCACGGGAAAAGCGGCCTTGGTCAGTCTACTGTGTTTTTCCCCGATCGGAATTGTCAATGGACGCGTCGGAGAGCACTCACAAACAGGGAGAAGGCCTCCTTGTACTCGGAGACTTGCTCTTCGGTCAGAGAATCGGCCTATATGCAGATGCAAAGGTACTTGTCAGTTCAGAGAGTCTTAAATACCAGGAATCGCTGCCCCGCTTTGCGGGGACGTTCGAGTCCAACAGATTCGTGTAGATAAGGGGGAAGGGGCACAAAAGCGGAATCAAGGTTAGGGGGTGGCCGTACCATGGTGAAAGTGAGAGGTGGTTGAAGAAAGTCGAGGAATAGGAAGGAGAGATGAGAGTGAGGGGAGTGGGATGATGATGGTGGGGAGCGAAGTTAAGGGGAAAGCCGCTGGAGCCAGCCTTACACTTCTTGGCCTTACTGCCTTACCGTGTGTGTACACTTAGTTTACACCGTGGCTGGCCTTCCATACGAGGGGTTACCGCACATGAATGAGTGTGCCTGGACTATACAGCCAATAATACGACACAAAGTGTCAGGCGGTCAGTCCATCTCGAGGAAAACAATGGGTAAACACATGACAAAAAAGACGGCGGTGAGGAAAGCGGTAAATACAATACCAGATAGTTGCACTTCTAAGTTAGCAGGGCTGAATCCGAGCTCTGCACTCGGGTCCCTCTCTTACACTTCTCAGCTGAAAGGTGGGACCTTGACAGCTGCAGGCGCATCCAGTTTAGCCCCCGGGTTCGCGAATCTCTCTGCCTAGCACTTTTGCCGGTCTTTCTGCATGCTGTATCCTCTCTATTTGTGTAGCAGGCCATGCTCCAACCTAGCTCTCGGCTACTGATGACGCCGGGCGGAGTGCAAAAAGCTTGGTATCGTGGTCCTTCCAGTCGTGTAAACTTCACGTAGCTACTCAGCTACTCGAGTCAAGACACTTGAGATCCCCCATGCCTTGATATGGTGTCATTTGACCCCGCGTCTGACGGCGCTAGCTCTTAACATGCGAGGTTAATGCAAGCCCTATCTACCCAACCAGTCCAGGGAACATTCGATGGTCGTGTGTTGGGCAGAATCGAAAGTAGCCTCAAACTAACTAACATAGTTAGTGCCCTTGAAGTAGCACTACATCCCGAGGCTATACTTCTGGATAGCGCTGTCTTTGGAATTGCCGAAATGATGCTTATACATGGCGAGGAAACTAAGCCTACATCTATCTAGGACAATGGAACATTACTAAACCCATAGTCTTTTGCTCATCTTTTGCGAAGTAATAAAGAGTACTGTTTGTGAATATTATACCAGTGTACACGTTGGCAAGGAATGATGCTTCTAGCTTTATGTCCACGTCACCAGCCTTGAGCCTCTCTCTCCCCCCCTCTGGCAGTACTACTTCTCTACTACGAGGTTCTTTCTAATTGCAAACACAGGGTTGGCTAAAATTCCACCCTTCGAAATACATCATAGTATTTCAAATTGGCATCTTTTCAATCTTGCCCACGTCTTGACCATAAAATTCTGCGCTATACTTCCAGTGAAAGGCCTTGGGATACGGGGGACGTTACCTCATGCCCTTCTGACAATCGTCTCATGAGTGCCTTATTGATACTTCTCCTAAATATGCTTCTAGTCAGTCACATTACATCATTTCCCCATTTTTGGCTACTGAAAAATAGATCGCTTAAAGCTTTCGATGTCTTATCTCCGGCATGATATCATGGTATTACGAAGGTGAAGACACAGAGCGTTGGCGTCCGAACAGCTTGGGCTATCCAAGTAATTAATATTGATAATTAGCATCTAAGATATATTAAATAACTCAGAAGATGTGAATAAGAATAGTAATTTTGGTGTCTTAAGGTTCAGATTGTCAAGTGGCCACGAGGAGTCACGGGGAGTCCGGGGAAGCATAATTACCGAATACCGTACCTTTCGGAACCCCTGCGCAGTGGAGAGCTTCCCGGATGATTCGACTCCGCTGACTATCGGGTTCATCATTCAACACGACGACCCCAACTTCCCTCAAGGGATTCTCGCCCACGCCCCTCTCGCCAGTCGATCATGAAACTCGCATATCCCACGCTACTCCCCCGATAAACCTCCCACACATACCCTCCCGCACTCCCTAGCCACGATGTGGCGGGATCGCACCAACCTGTACGACTACCCCATATAGCTCCCAGCGGCCTGCGCCAGGCCTCAAGAAAGACATTAATGCTAACTCAATTGCGCCTTTCCCAGCTACATATCCTACCGCCAATCCTTCGCCCACCACCCCGCAAAGAAGCCACGTTTCGGCGCTTCAAATGGCTTCGACGCACCCTCCCAACCGGAAGAAAGCCGGCGCCTCATCTCCGAGACGGGCGGGTTCGAAGAAGATGGCGACATGGTGATCGAGATGGATCTGCTACCGCCGCGCTGGGTCGACGTACAGGAAGAAGTCTCGGAGCTATTGGCGGATATTGCGCAAAAGTCCGCGCAGCTGGATAAGCTGCACCAGAAGCACCTGCTTCCCGGATTCGGCGATGAGGATCTTAGAAGACAGGATGAGGGTGTTATTGAGGGCCTGACGCAGGATATCACGCGCAGCTTTCATAATTGCCAGAACTCGATTAAGAGGATTGATTTGATGGTGCGCGAGTCGAAGCAGCAGGGCGGAGTGACCAGTGGAGAGGAGACTATGGCGAAGAATATACAGATCTCTCTCGCGTCTAGGGTGCAGGAGTCGAGTGCCCGTTTCCGAAAGAAGCAGAGTACTTATCTCAAGAGTAAGTCTGCGCTTTTGGTCTTTCGGTTGTCGGCGAACGAGCAAGCATGCCCTCACGGGGTTGAGACCATCGAGCTTCAAGCTAACTGGTGATGCGTCCTTAGAACTACGAGATCTGGAAGGCCTATCAACGCCATTTGACCGCTCACCAACCCCCGTGCAAAATCCATTCACAGATCCCTCCCTGATGGAATCGGAAGTGGACAAGTCCTTCTCTCAGACGATGTTGATGCAGACACAACAACGTGCCACGGGCCAAAACGACGCAGCCATCGCGCAACGAGAACGCGAAATCAATGACATTGCAAAGGGCATTATCGAGCTCTCCGATATCTTCCGCGAGCTGCAAACTATGATCATCGATCAAGGGACGATGCTGGATCGCATTGACTATAATGTGGAACGGATGGGTACCGAGGTCAAGGCTGCAGAGAAGGAATTGAAAGTGGTAGGTTTTTGCGTCCTTCGTTCCTCCAGCAATATCAGATGGTCAAAGTGTGGAAAGAGTACTAACATCGGACCATAGGCTACGAACTACCAACGACGTACCACAAAGCGCAAAGTCATGCTCCTGTTAGCTCTTGTGGTGATAGGTCTGATCATCGTTCTGGTGGTGAAACCAAAAAAACACAGCTCCCCGTCCCCGTCGCCGGAACCCGAAGAGGAGTCCTCGAATAATATCAGGTCTGTGCTGATCTCGGTTGACAGAATGAGAAGACATCCGACATCCAGGCGGTTCTCTCGAGATCGCTGGATAGATCCGGATATATTTCGATGATTCTTTCTTTTCAGCGTGCATGTCTGCAACTACCTAATATACCAATGGGAGAACGATTCTCATGCCCTGCTACTATTCCAACAAGCTATATGATACGAGTAGATTTCACACAGCAAATAAAGTATTTTTTACATCAACATGTATTCAGTAAATACCTAACACAACTTGGATATCTTGAATCTGACTCATTCGAAAATGAACAACCCTCCGACGCTCGAAAACAGGTAGAGACAGAACCTGGAAGGTGGAGTACAACCTTTCCATAATACAAACAATGCGAACTAGACCAAATGGCCAGATGAAATTCTCTATGGATCACTGGTTTCCTTCCTGCGCAATCATAGCCGCTACATCGGCATCCAAATCTCCACCCGCAAACTGTGCATAGTCCTCCTCGTGCGCAACCTTGCGTCTCTTCGCAGCCGCTCCAGTTGCAGCGAGGTCGAAATCGTTCTCACCACCAGGAGAGATATTGGACGGATCGAATGACATATCATTGTCCGTGTCAAGGCTGAGGCCATGTGGAAGGCTTATCGGCGCGTCCTCCGTGAATGGGCCATGGCTGGCCTGCGGCTGCTGGGGCTTTGGTGATCCAACGGGCGTAATAGCCTCGACAGGGGGAGGAGTCAAAGCTTCAACTTCAGGACGAGGAGGCTCTTCGTTTCCGTTGCCCTGACCAGTAGCAGTAACGGAATCGTCATCTTGGTACCCACGCATAATCAGATCCTCGACCTCTCGTCGCTTCGTGTCCGTCTCCGCCTTCTTCTCTCCAAACTGCGCCACGAGAGACTCTTCCTTTTCAAGCTCGGAGCGGTTGGTTGCTAGGATTTTCTCGAGCCCGTCAATCAGAGCGCGCCGCGACTTGATGACCTCTGAAACGGAATTCTCGGCATGCGCGAGGGCCTTCAGAAGAGTGCCTAGGCGTGCGGCGAGCACCGGCGGGGTCACCTTTGGGCCTTGTGGGTCGTTCAACTTGATATACTCGGTGCTGGCAGTTGTGGCCGAGGTGTTGGAAGTCATGGCCGCTTTTGTCAGGGCGACTTGCAGGGGGACCAAAGGTTGGAGTTCGGATGGAGTAGATCCCGCAGAGGAATCCTTGAAGAAAGAGCCACCGAGAGGTTGTTTTTTGGTAGTAAGGCGGTTCTTGTCGATATCTGTTGATGCGATAAAGTTAGTCGCGTGATCCAAGACGTATGTCCAAGAGAACGAGGGTTTGCTGATCTGACCATTCACGCGTGCCTCCACGGCATCCAGGATCGGAATTTCGAAAACATGGCGCTGTCTCCATACATCCACAACTCGGCGGATCTTCTGTTGAATATCATTCGAGGAGCCTTTGTATGCCGCCGCTGTAGCCTCCGCAACGATCTAATCCGATATTAGTTATGCGCCTGGCGCATTGAGTGACAAGGTGGTGACTAACCGGCGAGAATGCGATGAGGAAGTCTTCCTTTCCACGGGCCTTTGATTGCTGTGCAACCTCTGCAACCAGGTCAGCTGATTTTGCGAAGCTTGTCTCGGGGGCTTGTTTACTTACCATTTGCCAGGTAAACGAGATTCAGACGCTTAGGGGGCGGCGAGTCGCGAATCTTCTGGAGCCAGATCTGAGCAGTCTTCTCGGCATGCCGCCTAATTAAAGAGAGCACGATTTCCCATCAGCCCGTTTACTTCAATATCAATGTCATTGTTTGGGCGTACCTATGGAACATGACCCATTGCGCGACGGTGACAATGCTCTCCTGGGTCTCGTTCAGAGCTGAAAGCTTTGCTTTCACAGCATCGTCTGTGTAGGCCATGATTGGAGAAGTTTGAAGCAGTTCAATGGCAAGGTTCGGGGGAAAGGAGACTGTTCAAAGCGAATGGGGAAGGTTGATGTCCGATTGATGTCGCAGAGGATGCGATTGAAGCCTGGTGGTAAATTAACGAAATGGGAGGCTAGTTTGAGAAACTAAGCTCTGAGCTACGCAAAGCAAAGCGCCTGCAAAAAAGTCAGGCCACAATATTTTCTGCCTAGCAACTGTTGTTGATCGAGGGCCAGTTGAAGCTCCAGGTGAACCTAGCTGGACTCCCAAATCCCAAGTTCCTCACCGCCGTCCCCACCGCCTTATTGTTGTCCCCGAAAACGTACAAAATTGCCACTCTATATAGCGTCAAGAACATAATTTAAATGATCTTCTAGATGTATGCTGTGTAATATGTAGATAGGGGTCTATTTATAAGCTCCAAAAAACAAAATAAAAAGGTGTGATGGTGAAAATAGGGGAATACTTTGTCCGGCAGAATATTATGTCATCATCAGGGAGGTAGGTCCAGGTCGGAAAGAACACACATCCACTTTAAGGTTAGTGTAGTTTCCTCCTCTTGTCCGGTGACTCTCCGCCTTTCCCACCGCCTTCTTATCTCTCCTGGAAACGTGACTTCTTCCACATCTCCCCGGGATATCACGGCCCGTCCTCACCGCCTTCTCCCCTATCCCCAAGCTTCACCGCCTTGGAATAATGGCAGTAGATCGGACTCTCAGGGCCGCACCGGCAACAGCTGTCAACAACCCGCGACGACTTCACGCTGTCTCTCCCTCTTGCTTCATCCTTCCTATTTCCTCCAACCCTCGAATCACAATCTCCAGGCCCAGAGAATTCCAGTCGCCATACATATCCACCATGGCTGATCGCTTCCCCTCCTTGGAGGACTTCTCTGAAGGTACGCTCCACTCATTTGCAGGCCTACCGCCCTCATCCGCGCAATCAATCACCACTAACGCAATGTTTCTAGGCCAGACTGAGGTCGTTGAGAGCAACGGCGCTTCCGAGGATGACTTCCTGGCCCGGGAGCGTGCCGCTCTTGGAGAAGATGCCGACCAATTCGCTACCCCCCAGGACCACGTTGCGGCTGTAAGCGGCGGAGACGACCTTCTGGGTGGAGGTGACGATACCCCCGCAGAAGAGATTGGTCAATTCGAGTCCTCCTTCCCTTCAGTTGAGACTCAGGCACAAAACGAGGTAGGAATTGGGACCTTGATTCTTTGGAGAAGCAAAGTACGCTAATTTGGTGGTGTCAATGAACAGCGAGTTGCCCCTGGCGGTACGATCACCGGAACCGGCTCCCCCTTCCCTGCTACTGGATATAGCTCTCAGCCAACCGAGGAAGAAGAGCCTGAGCCAATTCGGTAAGTGGCATACTCTCAAACCTCCTCATGATACGGGCGCATGACGTCGGCCGCTTATCAGAGTACCCCTCTCATATTCAACGTCCTACTAACCATTACGCTCAATCAATACAGTCTATGGCGCGAGAAGCGGGACGCCGAGCTTGCTCGTCGTGAAGAGATCTCCAAGGAGAAGAAGGAAGCCACCCTCAAGAAGGCCCAACAGGACATCGACGACTTCTACGAATCCTACAACAACAAGATCGACAAGACAAAGGCCCAGGCCCGTGCTGAGGCTGAACAGTTCCTGGCCAACCGCGAGAATACCTCCGCCGGCGGTACTGCTTGGGGACGCATTGCCAAGCTGGTCGACGTTTCGGGTGTGGGCTCCGCTGGCGGCGCCAGCGGCTCGGGCAAGGAGCGCTTCCGCAAGCTGCTGATCGATCTGCAGAAGGACGAGGAGGCTCCCGGTGCTACTGGTATCTAAATAGGAGCGTCAAAAACATGTGGAAGCTCAGGGGCCTGAGGATGCCGGGCTTGCAGTAAGCTCCTGATTTCCACCGAAGTTCATGCCCACGAGCATGCGGACTCGGGGCTTTTTCACGATCTTGTTCTTCAGTTTCGGGAGCCATACGTCAGTCACGGATCTTCTCAAGAGGCTCATCTTTGTTTTTCCCCCATCCACCTACTTCATCCACGATTTTGTTTCCCTCCATTTACCCCTTTCGCCCATGATTTTCTTTCACTCCATGCAGCGAACTAGCCCAGGAGATCAGTGTAAATTAGCTATTTCAGACTGACGGCAACGTTAATACCAAGGATTCCCGTATCTCATTGATGGCAACGCTAATAATCTTAGATGCTGCAAAGCCCCTCTACTAAGCCTGGGCTCAGTAGAAGATTATGACTTATAGACAAGGACGTGGTACTTGATTCAATGCTAATCGCAGTATATCTCATAATTTTGTAAGGGGTATTCTGATTTTAGTCCAACTCGGTTACATCACCGCCCGGCTCGCCAACATCCTGCTTAGCCTCTGCCTCAATCTCGGCGAGCTTCTTTTGACCTTCCTCCGTGGTTCCATCAATGATGCCCTCCTCTAGGCTGAGCATGCCGCCATTGCCCAGCTGCTCGACGACAACTTCAGCCTCCTCAACGGACATCTTGCCGAGGACCTTGTTGACCTCATCAAGAGATTCGGATGCCAGTGCCTTCTGGAGGTCGGCCGAGAAAGACTCGAAAATCTTGCGGGCCTCGACTTCCGTAGGATCCTCGCTGTTGGCGGCGGGAATATTGATGGTAATCTTGGTGTTGGGGTCAACGGCATGCAATTGGATCTGCTCAACGCCAGCTGGGTCATTGGATGCAGAGTTCTCCTTGCTAAGCTCAGCCGCACGGGTCTTGATGCGGTTGTAGGTGTCGTTCACATCATTGGTGAACAGGGTCGCGGCGCGATGCTCCTTGGTCGTGATGCTGTGAAAGGATATGTTAGCTGGGTTCTATAACAAGCAAGGCGATGTTTTACATACCGGCCGAAGAACAGCTTGATGCCGTCGGGGCCGAGAGAACGGCAGTACTGCAAGAGCAGACCCTGGTGCACACACTGGCGAGCGTACGCATCCTCACCCTTCAGTTGGCTGTTGAAGGCCTCGACCAGCAGGCCGTCCGTCTCCTTCTCAGCGACGATTTCGGGGTGCTCGGTGATGAACCGCTGGTATGCCAGGTAGTCATTGGACTTGAGCTTTGCAAATCGCTTGGCCAATGGGCTGATCTCGATGTTCGCCGGGTCATCGTCATCGTCCTCATCCTCAGCCTGTGCGGCCGAGGAGCTTCCAGCACCGGGGTTCAGGAGCTCCACCTCAGCTTTCTTGGCTGGTGTAGCAGGTTTAGGCTTTGGATCAGCCTTGGACACATGTGAAGTATTGAATCCATCGTGAAGACCTTCGCTAGTGATCTTGCTGCTCTCCTCCTTCTCCAACTGAGCCAATCTCGTCAACAGCTCCTTTTGCAAGCCCTGCACCTTGTCCTTGTGTCCTTGCACGCCCGTGATATAAGCCTTGAACATGTTGTCCGGCTTGGAATCACCAAACTCCTTCTTGACCTGGTCTACCAATGCACTCATCATCGCCGAGTACTTGGGTTGTTCCTTCTCGTGAGTGTGAACACCCTCTGGAGGTGGCGGGGCTTGGTCTTCGGTAGGGTCGCTGGCGAACTCCATGATGGTCTGGAAGATGAACTGTTCAGGGAGGGCCGAAGAGTCTTCATGTTGCTTGAGAGAATTGAGGAGCTTATCGATACGCGAGAGTAGGCCATCATTGATAATGCGCTCATACTTTAGGGTCTTGATATCGTGACGGCGCTGTTCACGTTGCTGATGAATCTGAGCCTGCTTGGCCCGGATGAAAGACCGCTTATCGACATTAGGGTGCACCTCGATATCCGAGTCGTCGGATAGCTCCAGTGCATCCCACTTGCTGTAGTCAAGCACCATCTTGCACGTGGGGAGTAAATGTAGTGGGGTTGTTGAGTGAGGCGGGGTATCAGTGTAGAAAAATGTTTGAAGGATTTAGTGAGAAGGTGGTATTTTTGATGACTGGAGCAGCCAACAAGGAAGTTCAGAGGAAATGTTCACCGTCAAAATAAGATTCCAACTGCAGGAAGTGGCTCTGAGAAGAGGCTCAAAACAAGCGCATCGAAAGCTCTCGAATAGCTTCCATGGGCGGTGGTCATTGGCAGAATCGGAATCCGGTCTGCCGACGGAGGACGGGGGCGTGCGATCTCGCATCTCGCATCTCCACATGCTTCGGGGAGCTGACCTGACGCCTGTGGAACATGCAATATCGCTAATTCTTACTCCATATGATAATGGCTTTCTTTGAAATCTCTCGGTGATACCATTTATCTCCTCCCATCCACTGTCCAATTCAATTCCGAAAGATGCGCGGTGTCCGGCTACCGGCCTGGGCTCCGGGCGTCAGCCCTCGGCCGGTCTTGAGGCCGCAGAGCGCCGTGCTTCGTGACATCTTTCCTCTAGCAAGCCGAAGCTCTTCTCGATTTGCCGAATCTAACAGCGCCAGTCGACTTTACACCACTGCCTCAGGAGCGCTCCGCGACAAAGCCGGCAGTTCTGTCCGACCAGCCGAGGTTCCGCTTCTGCTTCGCCAACATAACTCCAAATATACCCCATTTACATCTCGCATTGTTTCTCAAATACGGTCTTTGAATTCATCATCGCATCTCTACCAAGCGAAACCGCCATCATCGCCCTCGCAACCCTCGAATAGCTCCGCGGCCAGCGGCCGTCCGGTTCCGGGAAAAGAAGTCGAAGATGCTGAGGATAAAGGGTTCGAGCTGTCGGAGAGAGCCGCTCAAGCTGCGCAGGTCAACCTCCGGGCCAAATTGGCTAAGGATGGCGCATCGGGCAAGAAATCCGGCTTCGCGGAAATCTGGCGGCTGTTCAAGATTGCGCGACCCGAGGCGAAGGCGCTCGGGTTCGCATTCTTCTTCTTGCTGGTCTCTTCTTCTATCACCATGTCGATTCCCTTCTCCATTGGTAAGATCATGGACGGAGCTACCAAGAGCGAACAGGAGGGTGGTGGCCAGCTGTTTGGCTTGAGCATTCCCATGTTCTACACTGCTCTTGGTGGAATCCTGCTCGTGGGTGCCGCTGCCAACTACGGCCGTATCATTATCCTTCGTATCGTTGGTGAGCGAATTGTCGCGAGACTGCGCTCCAAGCTTTTCCGTCAGACTTTCGTCCAGGATGCTGAGTTCTTTGATGCCAACCGGGTCGGTGATTTGATCTCTCGCCTGAGCTCGGATACCATCATTGTTGGCAAGAGTATCACGCAAAACTTGTCCGATGGTCTCCGTGCCGGTGTCAGCGGTGTGGCTGGATTTACCCTGATGGCCTATACCAGTCTCAAGCTTTCTAGTATTCTGGCCCTGCTGCTGCCCCCAATTGGTCTGGGTGCGCTCTTCTACGGACGGGCTATTCGCAATCTCAGTCGCAAAATTCAGAAAAATCTGGGTACGCTGACCAAGATTGCCGAAGAGCGCCTGGGTAACGTGAAGACTAGTCAGTCATTCGCGGGCGAGATTCTTGAAGTCAACCGATACAACACCCAAGTGCGCAAGATCTTCGACCTTGGTAAGAGGGAGTCTTTGATTAGTGCGACTTTCTTCAGTTCGGTATGTTCTTTATCTGTATCGTTTACTATCTTTTGCTAATCGCTCTGCAGACTGGATTGATGGGCAATATGACTATTCTCTCTTTGCTTTATGTCGGAGGTGGCATGGTCCAATCAGGAGCCATAAGCATCGGAGAGCTGACATCATTCCTTATGTACACTGCATATGCTGGTTCCAGCATGTTTGGCCTTTCCAGTTTCTACTCCGAGCTCATGAAGGGTGTCGGTGCTGCAAGCCGATTGTTCGAGCTGCAGGATCGCCAGCCGACTATTCATCCGACCAAGGGTCTCAAGGTTGAATCTGCACGGGGACCTATCCGATTTGAGAATGTCTCCTTCAGCTACCCAACCCGACCTGCCGTGACTATCTTCAAGGATTTGAACTTCGAGATCCCACAAGGAACCAACGTCGCCATTGTCGGCCCTTCGGGAGGTGGCAAGTCCACGATTGGCTCCATCCTGCTTCGATTCTACAGCCCTACTGGAGGTAGGGTCCTCGTTAACGGCCAGGATATCAAGGATATGAATGCCAAGTCCCTCCGACGAAAGATCGGTGTGGTCGCTCAGGAGCCTGTTCTTTTCTCTGGTACCATTGCTGAGAACATCTCCTACGGTCGGCCTCATGCCACGCGATCTGAGATTGTCGCTGCAGCTCGCAAGGCCAACTGCCAATTCATCAGTGACTTCGTAAGTTAGCCCATATTCACAATTTGTTTACAATTCTAACACCTCATCCAGCCCGATGGACTCGATACCCACGTGGGAGCTCGCGGCGCGCAGCTGTCTGGTGGCCAGAAGCAGCGTATTGCCATTGCCCGTGCTTTGATCAAGGAGCCCGATATTCTGATCCTCGACGAAGCTACCTCTGCCCTTGATGCTGAATCGGAGACATTGGTCAACAGTGCCCTGGCCGCTCTTCTCCGCGGCAACAACACCACTATCAGCATCGCCCATCGCCTTTCTACCATCAAGCGGTCCGATAGGATCATCGTGCTCGGCCCTGATGGCACTGTCGCCGAACAAGGCTCCTACGAAGAGCTCAGCTCTCGCCCCGACGGAGCTTTCACTAAGCTTATGGAGTGGCAGATGAGTGGCGGAGACCAAGTCCCTCCTCCCCCCACGCGAGCAGTCCCGCCTGAAGAACTCTACAAGCTTGAGAAAGAATCGGAGCCGGAGTTCGAAGAAGACGAGGAGGCGGAGGAATCCAAGTCCCAGAAAAAGGAATAGACTCGGGACTTAATGTTTACATATTGGTATACCCCAGCACCCAGACTCCATAAAAAAGGGAAACGCTTTGGGGGGTCTCATACATTTACTTCACAACTCCTCTCATGGGGACCGATCTCTTCTCGTGCATCTTTTGCATGTTATGTTGGATTTTTGGGCGATAGAATTTAAATGGAGCAATGAAGATATTGTATAAATAGTCAATCAGACACGTTCGAAATTAACCTCTGTTGTCTTTTGATCGGTCTGTTCAATCCTGCTTTAACTTGGGTCTTCCATTTACAGTTCGCATTCTCCGCAATTAGTCACGAGGACCCGCTCGGGTCCGGTCTCCGCTGATTCACCCAAGCTGCATTGAACCTCACCTAAGCACCTTTACAGCTCTCAGGAAGAGCTGCTATTCCTCACCATTCACGTCCCGCTACAACAAGTAGGGGCTTATACCAGTTTGACAGCATGAACCGAGTCCGGAGACTATTCTCGGACGGTGTGGCCTACGAGCCGCTAGACGATTCCGCGGAGGTAGATGCTGGCGAGCATGTACACGACCAGGAGAGAGCGCCGCCTCGCTTTTCGCGGCTGGAATATAGCGTCTTCTTTCTCCTGGGAGTGTCGATGCTATGGGCATGGTGAGTGCTTCCGGCAGGAGAATCCTCAATGTACTAATCTAACTGTCGGCGTCCGTCTAGGAACATGTTCTTGGCCGCCTCAACTTACTTTTACAGTCGCTTCGAGTCAGATGAGTGGACTGCGACACATTACCAACCTTCGATCCTTACGGTCTCTACCCTCACGAATCTCGGGACCGTGTACACTTTCGCAAGAATTCAGAAGCGCGTCTCGTATCCGTGGCGTATCACGCTCTCGCTGCTAGTAAACTGCTTCGTCTTCACCCTGCTGGCATTCTCGACCATTGCTCTGAAAGATATCTCGGTGCGCGCATACTTTGGGTTCTTGATGGTGATGGTCTTTGGCGCCAGCTTTGCCGCCGGGCTGAATCAGAATGGTGTCTTTGCATACGTCTCCGGGTATGGCAGAGAGGAGTATACGCAAGCCATCATGGGTGGACAGGGCGTTGCGGGTGTGCTTCCCTGCATTGCCCAAATTGTCTCTGTACTGGCGGTGCCAAAAGTGAGCAGCGACGGGCAAGGCCGGGACGGCATGCAGGGGTCGTCATCGAAGTCGGCATTCATCTACTTCTTTACGGCAACGGGCGTGTCAGTCTTGACGCTACTCGCTTTCCTCTATCTTCTTAGGAACCGGCCAAACCCCAAGCAAAAGGCAACTGATGAGGATGAAGATACTCCTCTTGCTGACCGTACCGATGATAAAGCGGTCAGCTTGTGGACGCTGTTCAAGAAACTGCGGTATCTGTCGCTTGCCGTCTTCGTGTGTCTCCAGGTCACGATGATGTTCTTCCCTGTCTATACCTCCAGGATCTTGTCGGTCAACGACCCAGCATCGTCCCGGATGTATGACACAACGGTCTTCATTCCCCTAGGATTCCTATTCTGGAATATTGGCGATCTCGGGGGAAGATTGGCCGTTGCTTACCCCGGGTTCTCTCTGGCACATCGTCCTCGGTTGGCCTTCATTCTGACCGTAGCACGTGTCATTTTTGTCCCTCTATATCTGCTTTGCAATATTGATGGCAAGGGAGCTGCCGTGAAGAGCGACTTCTTCTATCTCTTCGTCGTGCAACTGCTGTTCGGTGCCACCAATGGGTATTTAGCATCGAGTTGCATGATGGGCGCGAGTGTGTGGGTATCAGCAGATGAACGAGAAGCTGCAGGAGGATTCATGAGCATGATGCTCATTGCAGGACTGGCCGCCGGTAGCTTCTTGAGCTTCATCGTGGCTAGCTAAGTATCTCGACCGTGAGATGCTTTGTTCATACTATAGATTGTGTATTTATTAGTGACGACTTGATGAATCTCGGGGTTTACATATATTTTATAAGCTTACATATACAAATGAAGATTCTTTTTCATTGATCACGCACTGCTCAGATTCTGTAGAAACTCTTATGTTCACAGGGTCGTGGTTTAGGTGGGATCGAACGAGCGAGACATTTGCAGGCTTGTTCCTGCAAACTTTTGTATACTCATCCTTGAAGGCGGTATATAAGATTGCTTGTAGCCGCGAGAGTTTCGTAGACCAATGCTAAATACCCTCCCTCAACGCGAATGGCTTGCTCTTTTTCTTTTTCTCTTTCCCTTCTTTTCACTCTCCTTTTTTTCCCCTCTCTCCCTCTTCTCCCTCTCTTTGGAGCGGCACCTTCCCCCAACTCAAAATTTGCTCTGGTACGACCTACGCCCTCACATCACCCGCTTATATAACAATCTAACCCTTTGGATACTTCTCTCCAGGATTACACTCATTTGATGAACTATGAGTTCTAATCAATTCCCCGGGGTAAAGAATCCGAAAATCAATCTTAACCCTGCGACCATGGACCTGGATGGGCCCCCGGGTTTCAATTACGAGGCTTTGCTTCATGGCATCTTCCTGCTGGTGAGTATAGACTTACCAGATCTCCAAGAGATTGTGAAAATAAGATTCGAAGCTCATACATGCCAAAGCCATTTCTCTATTTTGCAGGATGGTCTATCTACAGTCTTTACTTCCACCCACTGAGCCGCTACCCCGGTCCCAAGCTTGCAGCAATTTCCCCCATGGTCCACATTCTATGGGATATCCGAGGCAAGCAGCACTCGGTAGTGAAAAGACTACATGATCAGTATGGCAGTGTTGTTCGTATCGCGCCCAATGCACTCGTTTACAATTCCGCCGCCGCTTGGAAAGATATCTATGGACACCGCAAGAAGGGCCAGAAGCTCTTCGTCAAGGATCCGGCCCTGTACTCGCCGACACCCAATGGGACCAACGCTATAATCACTGCAAATGATGAGGAGCACAGCCGAATGCGTCGTCTACTTGCACATGCATTCTCGAACAAGGCTCTCCAGGAACAGGAACACATTCTCCATGTCTACGCTGATATGCTGATTGACAAGTTGGCAGGCATTCTGCACGGAAGCCAACGGGCAGTTGTTGACATGACTCGCTGGTTCAACTTCACCACCTTTGATCTGATTGGGGACCTTGCATTTGGTGAACCCTTTGGCTGCCTCTCCGAGAATGAGTACCATTGGTGGGTCATGGTTATCTTGGATGCGGTCAAGGCCAGTGCATACCTCAAGGTGTTTTGGTTTTATCCGATTCTACTTCCATTGTTCATACTTCTAGTCCCAAGGCATATGTTAAAGAAGCGCAAGGCTAGCTTCAAACTGAGCGTGGAAAAGGTCCGCCGACGTCTAGCACGCCAGACTACCCGGCCCGATTTCACCTCATACATTATCAAGCATAGTCATGGAGGGCGTGGCTTGTCTCTTCCAGAGATTGATGCTAATGCGGGTGTATTTGTACTGGCTGGAAGTGAAACAACTGCTGCTCTGCTTACTGGTTGCACGTATTATCTTCTCAGACATCGGGAGAAATATGTTCGGCTGGTTCGTGAGATTCGCGGTGCCTTTGCACAAGTATCTGAGATTAAGCTTTCGGCTCTTGTAGGCCTTCCTTATCTTAATGCTGTCTTGACTGAAGCTCTACGAATCTACCCTCCTATTCCTTCTATGCTTCCACGTCTTGTGCCTCAGGGTGGAGCGTTTATTGATGGTCAATATGTTCCCGCCGGAGTAAGTTGCCAGTCTAGTCGATGACGGACTGTATCATTCTTATGCGCCCTCGAAGTGCTCGAGGCGTTTGCTTTCACGAAGTATAAGGCTAACCCATCCCAGGTGTCGGTTTCGATCTCGTTGTACTCGGCTTTTCATTCGAAGACCAACTTCAAGGATCCAGACTGCTTCATCCCCGAGCGCTGGCTTCCCGGTCCTGAGTCTGCTAGGTTTGTTTCTGATCAAAAGGATGCGCTTCGACCTTTCTCATATGGACCACGTAACTGCCTCGGTCAACAGTAAGTCAACCACCTATCGATCACAATGTTGACTCTCTTTCATTGACCATTAGCTAACTCCTACACCCTCTGGCCCAAAGCCTAGCCAATGCCGAGATGCGTCTCATTCTTGCCAAGTTCCTCTGGCACTTTGACCTGGAGCTCCAGCCCGAGTCCCTGCACTGGTCTGTCCAAAACTCCTTTGCCCTTTGGAGTCGGCCTGCTCTCTGGGTGAAGCTTCGCCATCCCGGAACCGCTCTGTGAACCATCCCTCCATCGCCATTCCGTTCCATGAACTTTAATATCTAATTTCTTTTCACCTTATTGGGTCACTTGGAGGAATTTTGGACCAATGTCTAATACGGAGGTGCTTTGCACTGTTGCATACCCTGTCAATATTGCATCTATGATAGACGATACATACACTGTTTGTGTCTGGCTCAATACGGAGCCCCCTAAAAGTTAATTCTGATCTTTTTTTTGTGTTTAATATCCTCCCTTGGCAGTTATTCGACTGTCAAAGTTAATCATTCTTCCAGAAGACCTTCTCCCAATCCTCTTCTAGACTTCACCCCTGGTATTAATTCTCATTTTCTTCAATCAGCCTCTTACACATTTGTTTCAACTTGTAACGACAGCCATTATCCACCTACTTTCAGTTGCCCGAGGGCCTAGGCCAAGAGTCGGCTGGAGGCCCTTCTGGACCCATATTGGCTCTAGGCAACGAGATCCCACCTGGATACTTTATGGTTATTAGACTACGGCAGCTTCAAGCCTAGTGGCGAGGAGATCATCTATAACATCAACCAAGTAAGTAGATATTGCTTCGTCTACAGCCATGGCGACAAATCAACCTGGTCACTAACTACGGAAAAGGGTCAAGCTTTGAGGGACCATAAAACCGGAAAACAATTAAGACCCGCACTAAAGGCGCTTCGCCACGAAATTAATCATGAAAATGGATATTCGGGAACGATCGTCTGGTTTATCTAGCTGGATTGGGGTAAGATCAGGGGATGAGTGGAGCACCGGAGCCCGTATGTCTCTAACAGGGCGGGTGGTATTAGATACATACCCCGCCCATAGTGTTCCACTTGTATCAAAAGGTACCTGATACTTCCTCCAGTGCCTCTCTTCCATACTTTGGCACTTCGTACTTTGTCCTCTCGGGTCTAGAACCACAGCTAAGAATACCTGCTTGGACCCTGAACGCCATCGCCCTTACTCCAACGGGTAACATATCAATTTTTCCCTTCTTCGGGAGCCACATTGTGGCCCCTTTACATGCCAGATCTCTCCAATCATGGCCTGATCAATCCAGCTTTCCCCCATGGACGCGTGTCAGAGGTTTTATCAGAGGTCCGTCCTCTCGACGATCATCGGAGCCTTGCACTTTCTGTTGATCGGTTGACGGGAAAGTAGTGGGTTTGACGTGATTGTCCCACATGGTTGCACCTCTTTCTCTCTCCAGTTATCATCCCTGGCTTTTGACAACACTCCCTTCCTTGAAACCCTGCCCTACTGTAGGCAGAACATCATCCATGAGGTCTGATAGCTCGTCAACCTCTCTTGTCCCTCCTTGGCAATCGTTTGTCTCTCTTTGAATACTTTTCAAGCTATCAATGGCTTAGTCTTTCCTTACCCGCAATCTCCATTCCTCTATGAGCGTCACTCCTTCTCAAATCCATTCTATCTTGTCTCCCCTCTTAAAACAGGGTCCTTATTTCGCAGTAACACCTGCATTATGATCTCCAATCGCAAAGGCCGCTCTCTAACAACAACAATTGTTCTCCTTATCACTGCATATCTCTTTCTAGTCTGGTTACCACTCAGTCGACTTCATGCCTGGCAGCATAAACACCCAAGACCAACTCCTATACAAAACACGATCATCTCGCAAGACACGATCCATTTAAACACAGCGACCGAGAGGTACCCCGTCACCTCATACATTCCTTTACCGACATCTCCATCTCCAATTCCCAAAATCCAACATGACTTTCCACGCGAGTCCAGACCCGAGCGCAAGGCAAGAGTCAAGAAACAAAAGGCCATAAAGGAGGCTTTCATGCACTCCTGGAATGGCTATAAAGACCATGCCTGGATGCGAGACGAGGTCTCGCCCCAGACTGGTGGATATCAGGACTCGTTCAGCGGGTGGGGTGCTACCCTGGTGGATTCACTAGATGCACTGGTTATTATGGGCCTGGATGATGAACTCGATTTGGCCCTGGAGGCTTTGAATGAGATCGATTTCACGACCACCCGCAGCGCCCAAGTGAATGTCTTTGAAATCATTATCAGATATATGGGTGGTTTTCTAGCTGCTCACGATCTAAGTAATGGCAAGCACCCGATTCTCCTCAAGAAAGCCGAGGAACTGGGTGAGATGATCTTTAATGCGTTCGATACGCATAATCGGATGCCCCAAATGCGCTGGGACTGGTCCAAGTACGTCAATCTACAACCAGAAAATCTGCAGACATCACGAAACGCGACGGATAATAACTGACCACCCTGCAGATCTGCCCAAGGCGAAGAAATCGAGCCATCGGAGCGCACGAGTCTGGCAGAGTTAGGCTCTTTGACCATGGAATTCACTCGCTTGTCCCAACTAACCGGAAATCCCAAATATTTCGACGCCGTCCAGCGCATCACAAACGAGCTAGAACGCGGCCAATCAAAGACCCGAATCCCCGGATTATGGCCATTATACGTCAACGCAAAGGATCTGAAATTCGACTGGTCTCAATTCTCCCTCGGTGGCTCTGCTGATTCGACGTACGAGTATCTACCCAAGGAGCACATCTTGCTTGGTGCGCAAACGGACCAATACCGCAACATGTACGAGGATGCTATCGAGGCGATCAAGGCCAAGCTTCTTTTCCGTGCCATGACCAAGGACGAAGACAAGCAGATCCTCTTCACTTCGAATGTCCGTGGACTGAAGGGAGGAGCCCTCCATGGCGTGCAGTATGTTCAAGATCACCTAAAGTGCTTCTTGGGTGGCACCGTTGGTTTGGCATCCAAGATTTTCAACCGAACTGAAGACCTCTCTATTGCTCGCGGTCTTACGGACGGTTGTATTTGGGCGTATGACTCGATGCCAACGGGCATTATGCCCGAAACGCTAGAAGTCAGTCCCTGCGAAGAAATTGAGAAATGCCCATGGGATGAGGGTAAATGGTACGAAGACGTTCTCGGCCAGCCAATTCACTCGAGAGAGCATCTCGAGAGAGCGCAGCAAGAAGTTGAACTTGAAGGATTTCCGCCCGGTATTGTCGGGATCCCAGATCCGACATATAAGCTTCGGTTCGTTCTTTATTCTGCAACCTTGACACGGTAAAATGCTCAGCTATACTAACTGCTCTGCTTAGACCCGAGGCTGTCGAGTCTATCTTCATCATGTACCGTATCACTGGCGACAAATCGCTTCAAGATGCGGCGTGGCGCATGTTCCAAAGCATTGACAAGGTAACACGCACAAAGTATGGTCACTCCGCTATTGAAGACGTGCGCAACCCTCTGCCAAAGATGAGCGATAAAATGGAAAGCTTTTGGCTTGCCGAGACGCTCAAGTATCTGTACTTGATCTTTTCTGAGCCTAGCCTTGTCAGCTTGGACGAGTATGTTCTGTACGTGGTTCTTGGTCCCTGCATAAATGGGTTCTGTGCTAATTGTTTCTACTAGGAGTACCGAGGCGCATCCATTTAAGCGACCGTCTTGAAGAGTATTTAGAAAATTCTGCTCACTTGTTTCTGTTTATTGCTCGTGCCTTTAGCGTTGGGATAGACTGTTGGGATATGGCGTTGCGGAATCTCTCATAGGCCGGTGTTGAAATGCTTTGCCAGACCACTAATTCAGTTTTTCGAAATGGATCCTTTCCATGGAAAATTGTAAAATCCTTGGAGCTTCGGGTTTAGTTAGCTAATGGAACTTTGGGGCTACCGGTAATCATGCACCTGTCAAAGGGGCTCACGGGCTTAGTTGGTATGTTTCAATATATATTTCAAGTCCTGGCTAGACCCTACATATTTCAGCTCTACGGCCCGGTATGCCCTGCCACTACGATTTCAGCGCAGGGAGGTCGGGCAAATCCCTTACCTCCAAAGGTTTATGTAAATATAGTAGAGTCCAGCCCTGTTTGATACTTTACAACTCTAAGTAAACAGGAACAATGATGATGAGATGCTGAAATCTAAGGTCCCTCCCCTGGTACCTATCGATCATCTCAATGATAGATCAACCGGTTTGGATCGCGAAGAGTATAATATTTCTGTAGCACGTCACCAAATAACTGCCTCCTAAGGAGGAAAAATCATGCATAAGATCATTGCTGGGCGGAAAGTGATCATGAAATCCAGCCAGCATAGCATATGTTAGAGAGGAGCCAATCTAATTTGGCGTACCCATTTTGTGAGAAGACACCCGAGCTCCAAGCAAAAAAGAACCAGCACGCCCACCACGATATCAGTGTGAGATTAAGAGAAATGGGGGTCTAAGCCACCTGTCGAATATCACCTCACGCTAGCGGTTAGAGGGCATTGCGACAAACTCTCTTCATTCGGCAGAGATATAGAGAACTAGCGTAACGAAAAGATGTTAGATTTTCCGGATATACCCAAGAAACCCATATCATATACGCACCATTGTTTCCTCGCACAAAGGCGTCTCCGTAGCTGCGACGGTGCTTGCCGTTCACGTATTCCTCGGTCTTCTCGAGGGCAATGTTCATGTAGCCGTCAACCGATTGCAGCTCACCTGTAGAGTCATTAGTAAAGCGGCCTGCGATACGAGCTCTCAGAACGACCATACCCTTGTACACAACACCGGAATTGAGCTTCACGATCACCGGGGCGCCGATGATCTCGCTGAGGAAGGCCGAGGGGTCTTTTCCCTCTGAGGATGCGCCGTTCTCCATCTTGAGTTCTGGTCTACCGTCGCGGGGAGATAGGACCTTGATATCTGGAAACACAGACAGAACCAATCAGTAAGAAGCGATTGAATGTGGGCACTGAGAGAACATACCTGGTGGAGCTTGGAGAAGAAGCGGGGGATGTTCGTGGTCGCTGGACGTGAAGCAGATAAAGATTCCGAAGGCGGTAAGGCGCCGACAAAGGCGCCAGAGCGGGCTGAAATGCGGCCGCGATTGATCGCAAACACTCACTCTCTCGTTTATCTTCAGACGTCCCTCGATCGTTGTACGACCGTGCGACCTCGAGTTTCTACCTACTACGATGCGGTCCTTTTTCAATAAGCCCGCCTGGGCTACCAAGACAGATGACTCGGGCACCGAATTCTACCGCCGATCTGGACAAACGTACTCCGACATTGTCGCCGCAAATCGTGAAGCGCACAGGAAGCAGAAGCTCGCAGCTCAGTTCGCGGAAAGCTCACCCTCAACGACTGCTGAAGAGAGCCGAAAATCCAAGCGACCACGAAAGTCTGACGAGCATGAGGAGAAACCGGAGACGGAGGACGAGGAACCCGAAGCTACGAGCACACCCAAGTCGGATAAAGAAAGCGAGCCCGAAGAAGATCGCAAGCGTTCCCCTTCGTCTCGTAGTGAAGAGCGTGGTCAATCTGAGAGTCTTGAAGCCAATGAAGATGAACCTGAGCCCACGACGGTTCCAAGCCCTATCAATCTTGACTCGACGAAGAGTCCCTCTACGGATCACTCACAAACCTCCTCCTCGCGCCAGACCCCAGATTATCGCCCCGAAAGAACTCAGCAAATAACGGATTCAAATTCCAGGGAGACGAGCAGCAATCCGCCTTCAAGACACTTGGCCACTGGGTCTAATTATCAAACTGTGCAACCAACGCCCACCCCTCCACCAGCAGAGGACCCAAGAGTGCACATCCTTATAACATCCGAAATACCAAACACCAAGCCATTGATTGTCCAGCGCAAGATGTCCCAGCCACTGAAGGACGCTCGCCTAGCGTGGTGTGAGCGACAGGGCTTCACTGAAAAAGAAACATCAACCATCGAACTCTACTGGAATGGCGTCAGGCTATTTGACGTGTCAACATGCAGGAGATTCGACACGAAGAAAGATAAAAAGAGCTTTTTGGATATAGAAGACGATCCCGATGCAGAACAGACTGAACTGAAAATCCACTTGGAGGCGCTCAGCACGGACCCGCTCTTGATGAATCGTCGTGGTCCCTCTCCAGATGTCGGCGCACCATCACCTGCTCCTCCCACTCTGGAAATTGATCCGGAGAACGAGCCGATGAAGTTACTTTTGAAATGTCCCGGACTGAATGACTTCAAGATCAAGGCTAGACCTAAGACCTTGGTGTCGAAGATTATAGCGGCTTTTCGAGCGAAGCAGAATATACCCGAGGATAAGACGGTGCATCTTGTCTTTGATGGTGATCGACTTGAGCCTGATACTTGCCTAGGTGATAGTGATATTGCTGACCTCGACATGCTGGAGGTGCTTATTAAATAATACTCATGAGAAGGCCTGGAGAAGGAATGGGAGCTACTGGCCCTCAAAAGCCCGGTTTGTCTCCCCGCGTCTGCTATCTATCGTCCTTATGCTCTCTTACAAGCAAGGATCAAAATTCTAATATACGATCCCTCGTTCAATCAGCAGATGACTCTTATTCCAGGTAATTTACGCGTAACACTAATCTCTCGATCTACCAGTAATCTCAGACCTAGAAGGTCGCATTTACTTACTGACTTGACGTCTGTTTATCTTGCCGCAAGAATCGGCACTTTGGCATGAAGCACGACCAGTATAGCTATGACTTAAATTGAAAACAAATTCCTAAAGACTACTCCGTTGGTATCCATACAAGTAGTTCCAACGTTGGTCAGTGACTGTATACTTCACCCACCTTATCGATAACGGATCACATGACGTGGGGCTCCGCGGGTTTTTTTCTCGACTCGAACTCTTGAATTATTCACAATCAATGCGCAAAGAGACCAATTCTCTTTTCTAGACACAATAAAGCGGCGAAAGACGGATAGCCACGAGACAAAACTCGGTCTACTGTCCAAATTCCGGAAAACATACCGCTCAAGCCCAAACAACAGCAATACACACTCCTCCCACCTCTACCTCTACCTCTACTTCACCACCACCACCGCCACCATGAAAGTCATTACAGCCAACTTCGTCACCTGCGCCGTCAAGGAATGCAAAACCTCCGCCGCCTCCTTCCCCCTGCACTTCCACGACGCCGAGCTCGAACAACAGGAGCTAGACTTCCAGCCTGAATTCATCCGCAACGTTCTCCCCCGCATTGACTGGGAGAGTCTACGAGTTACTGCCAACGAGGTACGTTCACCAACATACATACATACCCAATCCCAATCCCAATCCATCCCAAAATGGGTGTTGGTATTCTCTCGAAAGTATTTCCAGCTAACCCTTGGACTTTGTCACAGCTCGGATTCCCTACTCTGCCCGAGACGAAACCGGAAGGCGATGCGCTGAACGAGGAACAGACGTTGAAGGATCTACACCGGCTATTGCTGGAGACGCAGGTTATCGAGGGGAAATTGGTTTGTGGGAATTGCGGACATCAGTATGTTATTAAGGAGGGGATTGCTAATTTCTTGCTGCCGAGTCATTTGGGTATGTCTTCCTCTTCCCTGGTGGTTAATGATTTTGAATGTTTGAAGTATGAACGATGCAGATACTAACGGTTATATATAGTCTGAGGAGAAATGTTCGATTTAATCGGGCCGATTCTTTTTATATTTTGATTATATACCTTCTTGACATGCTATTTTTCAATTCAATACCCATTCAGTGCCATTGGCCATACGCAGTATTCATACCGATATCTAGACGAACTTGCAAATTGGAAAAAGTTGCGAAGTGGAAAGACAAAGCTACGACGCTGTGTTTCACATCTCATATCTACGGACAACAGGGCAGAAATCGGATCTTACAAAAACATTGTAGAATTCTACATATTGTACATGAGGGCTGTAGCGCTTGAAATCACGATTCCCAATCATACAGGTCCTTTGAATGCACCCACCCTCCGAAACGCCCAACCAGGTTTTAAACGCCGCCCAGAGAAGGTGAAAGAAAAGAGAAAGATAGCGTAGTTGAAGATGAATGTGAGGATGGGGTGGCCCGGCGGGCAAACAGAAAGGTTGTAGCAATAGAGGTAGTGGCAAAGGCATGTGGCAGTGCCTTAATTGAGGAAACCCTTGCAGCCGGTTGAGCCGCAAAGACATGGGATGCGATCGTCGCTGTCCCATTCACGTTCGAATTTGTAGTCGTACGTGAGTTCCTCGTCTGTGAGCAGATATTAGTCAGTCAAATGTTTCTACGGAGGGGTTGCTTTCAACACGGGTGTCAATACGTACCTCGTTCGATGTCCCGGAGCGCGTAAATCACAATACGTTTACTGCCGTCGACCTTGATGATCTTGGCAGTACAATTTGGCGTACAGCTGTGATTGATGAACCGCGCAATTCCACCACGTTTGGTCGCATCGATAACCGTGTTCTCGTCGATACGGAACAGATAACTACTACCAATTCCGCTCTTGAGATACCGGCGTTCACGCATATCTGCCACTTGCTGGCGCACTTTCTCGCCAACGTATTCAATGATCATGTCGTTGGCAGTGATATTCTCCTCGGCGTACAGTCCCCAGTTATGAATGGCGGACCGAGCAAATCGCACAGGCTTCTTCCGCTTCTTAAGCTGGTTGAAGCGTAGAACGTCGCCCTCTCCACTGCTAGTGGGTAGGGCTTGCTTCTGGGCATTGATGTCGGCAACGAGTCGACGGTTGTTGACACGGTTTGACCGGGACGAGGACTTGGAGATGACTTTGGCTGCTGCAATTCTGGCCGCCTCGGCAGCTGCAGCTTGGGGATCTGCCTTGGCCAAGGCCTCGCGCTCCTCGCGGGCTTTCTGGACCTTGATACGATGTGGAAGGTACTTGGACTTCTCGGCTTCCATGATTCTCTTTCGGCCTTCTGTTCGAGCGGAGCCAGTAGAATTGGGTACGTAGTAACCGCGGATGCCGATGGCTTCAGTGCTAGGTCCCTTGGGTTCCGATTGATTGAGAGCCTTGATCTCCTTCTGTCGCCACGCCCAGGCGTTAAGGTCGCCAAGATTGGAAGCAAGCTGGTTGGACAACACCTCCCGAAGGAACTGGAGGTCTTCATCATCCTTGATCAATTTTTGCCAACCATCCAGATCCAGAATGATATTTTCATCATCTTCGACGGTAGCACGCGGCTCATGGTGAGACACGCCCCAGTCGATTTCAGTCTTTGGCTTTTCAAGATCTTCGATCTCCCATGGCTCCGCAACCGAAACATCGTCCGGTGCGACACCCTTGCCGGAGACAACTTCAGAGTATTGATCTGCAGGTAATTTATCAGGGAGAGGTATTTCATCCTGAGCGTGAATGGTCTCTCCTTTGCCTTCAACGAGATCAGCCTCAACGCCGGTCGGGGTCTTTAGATGTTCATCTTCCACGGTCCCTTCTGATGGCCCGATACTAAAGAGCTCATCGTCCTGCCGTTGCCGTTTGCGAGCATCCAGCTCCCCGGTCAACCGCTTCCTCTTCCGCGAAGTGGGTGAGAGAGACTCCCCTTCTAGGAAAGCGTCATCTGCGGTTGTAGCACCGCCTTCATCGAAGGACTCAAGTATGTCTGATTGATACTCCTCATCCTGCTCGGAGGCAGAGGAGACAGAAGTTGCACGACTGGGCGGGCGACTACTTCTCTCCTCGGTATCTCTCGCGAGTGGAGTCCGCTGATCATCATCCGAGTCCTCGTCATCATGCAATTGTTGCAACCGGTGATACAATGGGCGGACCTCTCTCGGCCGCAGAGGCTGCCGACGCCGCTCGTCCACAAAGGCCGCGCCTCCACGGTCAAGACCATGGGCCTTCCGAATACGCGGAAGAGCAAGGACGTTGAGATTCGTGGATCGGAGCGGGTCTCGCTGATTGGACAGGTCGGGCCTCGAGTCTGGAGTGCCGACAGAACTATCCACGCCGATTCGGAAAGCGGGCCGCTTGGTACCTTCTGGGCTTGGGATTCCCAATTTCTCCCGTCTGGCTGCATGCCGACTGGGGTCAAGGTAGTCGTAGAGAGTCGGCGCCGCAATACGGGACTTGACGTCTTCAAGCAGCTTGTCTCGCAAATCCCGAATGATGACCGCCAAAACCTCCCGACAAGGGTCCAGATCCAACGCACGCTGTTTCTTCTCTTCTTCCAAATCCAGCTCCGCCTCTTTTTTGATTCTCTCCTGTTCGGCCTTTTGTTTTTGTTCGGCGCGGAGGCGTTCGGGACTCGGGCTGCGCACGTAATTGGGGTTTCCGTAGGGCTGACTTTCCATGTTCATGATGTAAGTGAACAAGGGCTCCATGTGGCATAGCCGGAAGCATCTCTCGGTTTCCTGTTCACCGGCGCGGGAATTGTGGAAAATAACGTAATAACCTGTCTTGTCGCAACGGATGGATTTGTAGTCGAAGATCTTCAGCCGTTTCTTCAAGTGGGGGACGGTAGTGCTGAGAACTGGGACATAGCAATGAGCAATGAAAATGTACGGTTCGCGCTTGATCTGGCTGAGGATCGGAGTCTCCTCGACAAGGGATTGTACAGACGGAGGCCGGAGACCCGCACGTGGTCCTTCCGGGATGGCAAGTCCAGGTCGCATGGCGGATCGACCAGAGGGGCCTTTCGGTGCAGTTGGTGGAGGTTCATTTTTCTTGGCCAAGAGCTCGGCGGATTTGGACTCTGCAGCGGCTGCAGCGGCGGATGGGGGTTGGATGGACATAAATTGAGACTCGATCAATTTCGAGGCCATGCGCTCTGACAAAATCCCATCTCGATCTAACTCGACCCGGATTCGACGAGTGCCAATCCGTTGCTCCTTCTTGCACTCCATATATGCGCGCCTCGCTGCGCTTGAAGCGGAGAGTGGGCCACTTCCGCGAAACGAGACACTATCTTTGTATTTGATCGAACAAATTCCCAGGAACCGGCCAGTAATCGGATCCGTTCGATTGTTGATCTCGGCGATTTCACCAAAGCTGGAGAAAAGCGCATTAATGGGAGCGGTGGGAGTGAGCGGGTCAAAGCCGGTAACGACGACCTGCACTGGAGGACCGGGTCCAATGCTTGTCGCGGGGTCATACGGCCATTGCTTCAAGGTGTATGGCGTCGGCCGATACTTGGTCTTTTGCTTGCAACCCGAGCCACGCGTGTAGTTGGGGATTGCTAGGCGGGGGTCAGGGGGAGCACCCTCGCCATTCGCAACGATATCGACGTATTCGGCCTTGCGACGCTTGTCCCTGGATGGCCGCTTGTCCAATTCGGGGTCATAAACGATTTTACTGCCTGAGACCACGATCTCCTGGCGGGGTTGCGATTGGGGAGTCGGTGGGGTGTGAATGGGGGTCATGGACGATTTGGTAGGTTCGGCCTTTGATTGAAGGGCCGTAGCTGGAGAGTGTTTGCCCGCGACCTTGGGAGAGCCGGTAGCTTTGCCAGGTGGAGAGGATTCTGCGATGGTGAGAGGTGTGAGGGTGTCGACGTGAGAGGGAGGGTGAGATGCGGCGATATTTGGTGGCAGGGACCCATTGAGCTCTGTATCATTCAGTGCCATTGCTGGATCCCCTACCGCCGTCCCGGTTGAAGATTGAGTGATATCTCCATCCGCAGCAGGGTCCTTTGATACCCCACCCGTCGCAGATGCGTTGGGCGCGGTGGAAGTTTGGGGATCGGATGACTGTGTCTCGCCATCGCAGCTTTGGCGTCGCCGATCCTTAACCTTGACGCGCTTCTGCGACAGAACAGATGGCGCGGTGGGAAAAAAGTCCGCAAACCCGGCCGAGGCGCGTGACATGGTGTGAGATGTGGCTACACGCCCAAGACGGCCTTTCGACGACCAGGCAGCATCCTTGACCCCGGGGGTTTTCGGTTTTCTCGAAAAGATAAGAGAATTTCCAGCCCAGATTGATGAAGGCGAGGTCGAGGAAAGGGCGGAAGGGGGAAGAGAAGGGACACGGCTAGGAGGAGGAGATGGACTTTTGCCCATAATTCAACGCGAACGTGAGTTTTGCAGGGGACCGATGTGACGAAAAGGGTAAGCGGTGAGAGCGAAGAAGGGAGGGCGGTGAAGGAGGTGGAGACTCGGTTTTAGATGGGGAATTGGGAGCCTAATTCCTAAGGCCTTAAATGGACACCTTGCAGGAGAACTAGGAAACTACGTTGTTAGCAGCAGCATGTCCGTTAGCATTCATTCTATTTTCCCTTGCAGTGATAAGAAATTTTACTCTGGACATTTCCATGTAACAGTTGGTAACTAGAATCACTCTTGAGACTTCTACCTTGTGTAGGTGGGACCAATACAGGGGACTTCAAGATCCTCATCCGTTATACAATGAAAGACAAATCAAGAGATATTGCCTAGGCTATCTATACACATAACCTAGGATCTTTAGAGAAAGAGGTTAAAGTATGTCTGGCTAGACGTTTTCTCCAATCTCTGGTTTCAACTTTTTGAACTGGCACTGTACATACAAGTTCTCTACAAGCACTATTCGTATTCCAAAGCCACTTCCAGTTAAGCATAAACCATATAAACTGAGTGCATCCGCAGCAGGTACAGGTGACAGCTGCATTATTCTGTACGAAGGGGCTTGTGGTACAGCCCACACGGAGTATATTTGCCAAAGCTAAAGCGGTTAACCCACTGTTCACACTCTCAGTGGTAGGATACAGGGGTATTCACCATGCTGCTAATTGGTTAGTTCCAGGACACGGGGGGCAAAGAACCTAGAAAGATCTTCCAAGACTTCCATAGATAGTGGTCCAAGTAAGGCTGAAGAACAGGTATGTAATGCCGAATGGAGACTGCTAAACTAGGGGGGCCAACGGTATGAGGGTTGTGGCTGAGCAGGAGCCGAGGACAGCCAAAATAGTCAAAAATAGCATCCGAGAGTCAATAGTTTGGCACTTGGATTGTGAGACCCGGTGGGAACGGGAACGGGTCGGCGTCGGAGAATGCCCACGGTAAAAATAAACATCTTTGCCCCTAAATCTGCTAGTTCGCTAGCACACTAGCCTCTAGCTTCTAAGCCAGCTTGGCCCCGGCTCTTCGGAGAAGAAGAGACGAGCTATGAGCCTACAGTATGTGTGTTCAGTTGCCCCCAAGATTATTCGTAAGGTATGAAAGGCGAGGTCGACAGTAGACTTGGGGAGTAACCTGTGCGGGATGACCGAGACTCCACCACAGTAGCCTCCTGCAGGGATCTCTGAACGTCTGGTTCGTCGCCACCAGCTTCCTTCGCGAAGCCACCACTTTAGAGGTACTAAATGCTATATGCCCAGGGTAAAAAATGGCGATAGCTCACAGAGAGGGTACCGATTGTATCACCATAGTTAGGGAAAGGGGTAGTCTTATGTCATGGTGAGTTTCAAAAGAGGAGCTATGAGTAAATCTGGGTTCGTTAGTACCCTCCTAGTCCACACGTTCATCCATCGGTCGGTCAAGTATTAGGAGCTGAAGAGCCTGAGGATTTTTTTTTTCTCCATGATGACAGTAATTACCGGATTGAGAGATGTAATGTGGAGGGGCAATATTAATGTATATGGGGGACGGTGTACTCCGTCTGACGAGGTCTGCATTGTTCTCATCGTCATCTATTATGATGAATACTCTGCTATAAGGAGCTGATTGTTATGATTATCCTTCTGATTCCTATTATTATGATGTGGGACGATTATTTTTATTCCTAGCAACCAAAAGAAAAGTGGGGTACCTGAGGCCACCCTCCTATAGGCTCGGGCCCTGCCAGGACGCCCCTCTTCTTGGGATCTCCAGCCATGGAAAGGACGAAGAGGTGAGACATGATCGGTGACGGGGCTGACGCATTGGCCCGGCAGCTGGCACAGTGGAAAAAAAACTTAGGGACACTTTGCATAGAACCTAGGTTCTGACTGACAGCGCCCAGAGAAAAAAAAATAAATAACACATGGGAAATATTGGAAATTTTGGGGAGAGTAGTCAGAGCTAAGAATAAACAATAGACTTGCTCGAAAAGAGGACAATTAAATGGCCAAAAAAATAAATTAAATCAATGTTTGGTTAGGACGATCTATTATTATGGAGGAGTAACCAGGCGGTGGGCATGTTCAGATCGTTTCCGATCCACACCCCTCCCTTTCCTCCATGCCTTCCCCTCTATAAATACGATTCAGCCTCTCGCTATTTCTTGCATCTTCCCTTTCCTCCTCTCTCCTCTCCTCCATACTTTCCCCCCCTCCTCCTCCAAACAAAAAACCACTCTCTCCCACTTCTACTATTCCCCCCTTCTTCCAACTACTTCAATCGCTTGCATCGTCTATTTGTTTAATACTTGCCCATCATGTGGTACGTGGCGCCTTCCCCCTCCTCCCTCCTCCCAACTTTGACAATCGAAGCTTTACTCACATCTTTTGCTCTGTTTCTAGTGGAATCTTCGGCTACATCAACTACCTGGTCGAGCGGGACCGCCAGTTCATCATTGACACTCTGCTCAATGGTATGTTGCAACACCCTGGCTTCTCTTGCTCGAAAGTGGGGAACCGCTGCTAATCTGAAACAACACCACATCAGGCCTCTCCAGACTGGAGTACCGTGGCTACGATTCGGCCGGTATGGCTGTTGATGGTGACAAGAAGAACGAGGTGCAGGCCTTCAAGGAAGTCGGCAAGGTTGCTAAGCTCCGTGAGCTCATTGCCGAGACCAAGCCCGACATGACCAAGACCTTCGAGTCTCACGCTGGTATTTCTCACACCCGTTGGGCCACCCACGGCACCCCCTCCCGCCAGAACTGCCACCCCCACCGGTAAGTCAATTCCTGGACAAAGAACACACCCGCCATTTCAAATCCCTCGATGGCAACTCCAAACCCCCCCAGATGAAAGAAGGGGCAAAAATAAAGAGTTTCGAGCTAATACATCCCTTGTTCACAGATCCGATCCCTCTTGGGAGTTCTCCGTGGTCCACAATGGTATCATCACCAACTACAAGGAATTGAAGGCTCTGCTGGAGACCAAGGGATTCCGCTTCGAGACTGAGACCGATACCGAGTGTATTGCCAAGCTGGCCAAGTACCTCTATGACCAGCACCCCGACATTGAGTTCACCGTCCTCGCCAAGGCCGTCATCAAGGAGCTCGAGGGTGCCTTCGGTCTGCTCCTCAAGTCCGTTCACTACCCCCATGAGGTCATTGCCGCCCGTAAGGGTTCCCCCCTGGTCATCGGTGTGCGGACCTCCAAGAAGATGAAGGTGGACTTTGTCGATGTCGAATTCTCGGAAGACGGTGCTCTTCCCGCGGAGCAGGCCTCCCAGAATGTCGCCCTCAAGAAGTCTGCCACCAGCCTGTTGGCTCCCCCCGACAAGTCGCTGCTGCACCGTTCCCAGTCGCGCGCCTTCTTGTCCGACGACGGCATCCCCCAGCCCGCCGAGTTCTTCCTCTCCTCCGACCCCTCCGCCATCGTTGAGCACACCAAGAAGGTTCTCTACCTCGAGGACGACGACATTGCTCACATCCACGAGGGTCAGCTGAACATCCACCGTCTGACCAAGGATGACGGTACCTCCAACGTCCGTGCTATCCAGACCATCGAGTTGGAGCTCCAGGAGATCATGAAGGGCAAGTTCGACCACTTCATGCAGAAGGAGATCTTCGAGCAGCCCGAGTCCGTCGTCAACACCATGCGTGGTCGTCTCGACGCCGTTAACAAGAAGGTCACTCTGGGTGGTCTTCGTCAATACATCTCCACCATTCGCCGGTGCCGTCGTCTCATCTTCATTGCCTGCGGTACCAGCTACCACTCCTGCATGGCTGTCCGTGGTGTCTTCGAGGAGCTGACTGAGATCCCCATTGCTGTGGAGCTGGCCTCCGACTTCCTGGATCGTCAGGCTCCCGTCTTCCGTGACGACACCTGTGTGTTCGTTTCCCAGTCTGGTGAGACTGCCGACTCTCTGATGGCTCTCCGCTACTGTCTGGAGCGCGGTGCCCTGACTGTTGGTATCGTCAACGTTGTCGGTTCCTCCATCTCTCTCCTCACCCACTGTGGTGTTCACATTAACGCCGGTCCCGAGATCGGTGTTGCCTCTACCAAGGCCTACACCTCCCAGTTCGTTGCCATGGTCATGTTCGCTCTGTCTCTGAGTGAGGACCGTGCCTCGAAGCAGAAGCGCCGTGAGGAGATTGTCGAGGGTCTCGGCAAGGTCTCTGACCAGTTCCGCCAGATCCTGAAGCTCAACGAGCCCATCAAGGAGATGTGCGCCAAGTTCTTCAAGGACCAGAAGAGTCTGCTCCTGCTGGGTCGTGGTGCCCAGTTCCCCACTGCTCTTGAGGGTAAGCCTTTTATTTCCTACCACGAGGATGGTCTGATGAGATGCTAACCGATCGTTTTTATAGGTGCCCTGAAGATCAAGGAGATTTCGTACCTCCACTGCGAGGCCGTCATGTCCGGTGAGCTGAAGCACGGTGTTCTGGCTCTTGTCGACGAGAACCTGCCCATCATCATGATCCTCACCCGTGACAACCTGTTCACCAAGTCCCTGAACGCCTACCAGCAGGGTGAGTTATCTACTCCTAACATTGTCATTTCTCTCTTCCATCAACTAACTCATTCTCCAGTCATTGCCCGTGGCGGTCGCCCCATTGTTATCTGCAACGAGGATGATCCCGAGTTCTCCTCTGCCCAGACCGAGAAGATTGTCGTTCCCAAGACTGTGGACTGCCTCCAGGGTCTGGTGAACGTCATCCCGCTGCAGCTGATCTCCTACTGGCTGGCTGTTGGCGAAGGCTTGAACGTCGACTTCCCTCGTAACCTGGCCAAGTCGGTCACGGTCGAGTAAAAAGAGGAAGAGGCGCTTTGAAGAAAGTATTCAAGTAGACGACTGCAATGATCTCCTGTTCCTTTACCTTTAGGTGTTAATGCCTGTGTTTTGTTAAGCTTATTCCCAAGAATGGAAGCCTTTATTTTGTCACATTGTCCTATCGTAATGAAGCATACGAATCCCAGCTATCACTGTCCTTGAAAATCGACATTTTAAATCAATATATACCATTTGATAGGTATATTGCAAAGCAAGTACCAATTGGCACTGTTAGTGTAGCTCCCCCCACGCCAAAGCAGAGCTTCGATATGATTTTGCCGTATTCGGCGATGACATTCCATTCCGCCCGCCCCGCCACGGGACACAGCAACTCTCGAATGCGGGACCACCTCCTCTCGTTCCGTCCACCAATCCCACTCTCCTTCAAACAGAATCCCTTCTAACACTTACCAATTCCTCCTTCCATCTATCTCAGATATACCCAACCCGCAAAAATGACCACCATCAAAGGCCCCGGAGCTGCGGAGACGTTCGACGGTATGACCCAACCTAATTCAACCCCGCGCCATGAACCCGGTACCCCTCGGAGATGGCCAATTCCTACATATGGACAAAAAAAGAATCTTGATACTAATTTGTGATGTTGGATATGGATAGGCTCGGGTCTGCGCATCGCTATCGTTCATGCTCGCTGGAACACGGCTATTATCGAGAACCTCGTCGCCGGCGCGAAGAAGAGCTTGTTCGCTGCTGGTGTGAAGGAGGAGAATATTACTATCCAGACCGTCCCTGGCAGCTACGAGTTGCCTATTGGCGTGCAGCGGTACGTTCCAACCACCCTTCTATCTATATTTACCACCAGTGGTTGTATACACTGAATACCTGCCCCGCCCTACCCTTCCTCCTTCCCACACTAACACACTCCAGCCTCTACGCCGCCTCCCAAGTCCAAGCCAGTAACACCGGCGAAGGCATCAGCGCAACGGACCTCCTCTCCTCAACAACAGACCTAAGCAAGACCCCCACCGCAAGCGCCCCCAAGAAGCCTTTCGACGCAATCATCGCCATCGGCGTGCTGATCAAGGGCGCGACCATGCACTTCGAGTACATCGCCGACGCGGTCAGCCACGGACTGATGCGCGTGCAGCTTGACACGGGCGTGCCCGTTATTTTCGGCCTTCTGACTGTCCTGACGGAGGAGCAGGGTCTGGAAAGGGCTGGACTTGGGAGCAGTGGGATGCATAACCATGGTGAGGATTGGGGTAGTGCGGCTGTTGAGTTGGGTGTTAAGAGGCAGGATTGGTTGGAGGGGAAGATTTTGTAGAAAAAAAATTGGGAAAGAAAGATGATGTTTTGTGGTGGGATTTATGAGAAATCTAAGCTCCGTCCCAGTCTTTATCCCAAAGTCTGAATCAAGGGTCCAGTTTGGCGAGCTCGAACATAGCTGTTACCTTCGTATTTGGAAACTCGATCGAAGATTGGCTTAGTTGTCTCATGAAAGTGTCTGACAAAGTAACTATAGCATATCAGTAAGTAAGTAAGCGCATGGAGATGGTATATTAAGAACATACAGTGTTTGTGTTTCCAGGTGCCAGACTAGACTTCTCACCATACGATATGCCACCCATTCCCCACTAGCTCATTAGATCGTTGATAAATATTAGTTTTAAAAATAGAAAGAGAAGGAATGTCAACTTACGGAACTGCCTGGAAAGGCTACGCGGATTTACTCTCTTTCGTAGCTTTCAAGAGCCCAAAATGCACCAGCTCTATCATGAACTCCAAGACGTAGCCTGGAAAGATTTCCCATATCAGCTAGACAATAAATCCACGTGGAACTAGCCCTCCTGTGTCCCGGGCTAATATTCAAGGGGCTTGTATATTACCTGAGAACTTTCGAGTAAGGTCTAGAAAGGTAGTTAATCCCAGCGGTGTATATCACAGCTTATTAGCCTCCAGCTCTAGTATCCGTATCATCTATTTTTTCAATAGGAAACCTAGATGTAGATTCGCAAAAGGAGATTTCTAAGTATATTCCCTAGGATCACAGCACGATGTTTCAGCAGAGGCGAGAGACATAAAGCTACATTCGTCATTTTCGTCCTTGTTAACCTGGTAGTAATTATCGTTTATCTTCTCAAGGATCTCCCTTCCACTGGGAAGAGAGAGGTTGATTAAAAGTGATAAAGTTCCCGGGTAATTCTCCTATGGAACCAGGTAGATAATGAAGAAGAGATTAGAGCTGTGTACTTTGAAGACGGGCTTGGGTGGAGAGGGAATACAATCAGAGAGAGCGTCAGGGCGTTACGGAAAAGGCCCTAGAAGCGAAAGATAATCTTATTACTACCTAGTTACTACTAAAGAAAAGGACTCTGCGAAGTCATCCGGCCCCAGTCCTAATATCTGCCCCTATCGAGAAACGCTACCGTCCTCGGTAAGCAGGACAAAAAGAAAGGATAGCTAGCTCTAGTATTATTATTTAGTCCTCGTAAGTAGAATATAGGTAAAGTAAAGTAGAATTAAGGTAAAAGTAAAGGATGTGCCCGCGTGGATCCACTTTGGACAGTCAAGTTCCGGTTCAGTCCAGACTCGGAGATTTACTGAAATAAATTCTGGGGGCATGAAACTATTACGAGATGCACGGACCCTGATTTTTGGGTGGAGAAAGTCTGATGGATATAGAGTTGAATACTACAATTTGGCCCGCATTAAACACCCCAATTTCACCATTTTTGATCGACCCTTATTGAAAATTGTCGTTCTTTGACAATCACTACAATATAAGGCTCTACCAAGCATGCTAGGGCGAACGTCTATCTAGAATACAGAAGAATTCGGAATGACAGTCTACACAGCTGGCAAGTTTAGTATGACGTTACTGGAAATACAAAACGCTAACCTATATAGGGACGAAGCCAGCTAATCAGTGTAATGCACAATGTTCCCAACACGCCCTACACCTTGCAACCTGGCCGGTGTGGATCACGAGTTAACAAATTAGTCATTTTAGCCTCAACGCTTCAGCCTTCACCCAATGAGCTGGCTTCACACAATGAGCTGGCCACAGCAGCAGGCCCACAGAGGCCCATGCCCCCGCACCGCAAGGCGTTGTTGGAAGGGACGGTCACCATTTCTACTTCCGCAGCAACACTATCACCGATTGACCAAACACACAGATAGGACCAAACCTCATTCTGAATTTGCGCTATGTATGTTCTGTATAAGGGCCGCGTTGATAGACCAACAATCTTTTCATCCTGGTGAGCGGTTGAATTCACGACATGTACGCTGCGAGTATTAATTTCTTTTAATAGGGCCTCCGTACACCCCAGAGTGACAGGAGTATGCGGCGCGGAATTCAAAGAAGTAAATAATCTGGAGGAAGCCCGGGCTTCTATGAAGGCGAAAGGAATTAAAGAATACGACGAGGTCATACGGTCTACAGTCCACGGCTCTCATCGGAAAGCCCGGGGAAAATACTATGCTGTCGCGCTTGGTAAAACGACTGGAATATTCGAAGACTGGGGGTAGGCATGGTTTTTTCTTTTTTTCATTCTTTTTTTGTGCACTGACATGTAATAGGGAAGTCGAGAATGCGACCAAAGGAGTCAAGTATGCGTGCCAACAGCGCTTCGATACTGAAAGCGAAGCGAAGGAATTCATTGACGACTGGAATGAGGCATTCGCTGATATATGGCGGCAGGAGATTAGAGACGGCTTGAAAGATGGATGGCGAGTCAAAAGTCTCGATCTTGATTTGGCTTCAGTCTTAACAAAGAGAAGTAATGAGGCCAATGCAGAGAGCGATCTGGTTTCCAGACTCAACCAACTCGAGGTTTCAAAGTTGGCGAGGTGAATGAATACAAGGGATAATTTGTCAACTGGCAATCTGAATCAAACTAGCCTGATTCTTTTCTACAATAAGATAAATTAGCTAGAAATCTATTCATTCTTATCACAAAGAAAGATACAAGAGCTTTCACAACCAAGAGAAATAGCAAGAATTTTGGAAAGGTTTCTGCATTTGCGTTCAATTTTCCAACGGGCTTTTGCCCATTTGGAACCAAAGAGATTTTGACGCAGAATGCTTTGCTGCCTTCTTGGAACTAGCCTCCGCAAAAGATTGAAGATCCCTATATTGGACTATCGCCCTCCATTTAGGAGGCTCAACCACCATTCGCTTCAAAGTATATCGCGGCACGCAAGATTCCATATCTCCCATCTCTTTCAAAGCACTTGTGTAGACAAAGTCATCATAAGTCTGCTGCGTCAATCGAAGTTCATCTGGGGATCGATAGAAATGACTTTGAGTGGAGTCGCTATCTCCAACACTCTTGTCGCAGTCATTCCCTTCAAAGTCGTGACTGGAATCTCCGAAAGCGCTTCCCATCGTGCTTGGAGAGCCTCGATTGGGTACTGCTCCCTTCCATATTTCCGCGTGGCATCGATTCAAGTATCTGTAAAGAATGTTCTGGGCTAATTTTAAAGTGATGAAAGGGCCTTGAGTAATTTCGGCATTCCGAATCACCATGGCACCGATCTGGCGGTAGAATTGGAAAGACGCTGGCTCTCTTTCTTCCAGCGACAGTAATTCGAGTCTAAGCTCCACGAGCATCTCATCATATGGAAGCATTTCTGTCATGACAACCTTTCGGATTCCCTCTTTCTTTCTTAGCGTTCGTTAGGAATACCGAATGTCTTGAAAGGAGCTCACTTTAAGTGAAGATGCATCAATCAGGTGCGGCAGTTTGAAGTGCATCCAAATGCCTATCTGAAACTTAGCCCACTCTAGACCTAGGAGATAGACTAGTCGGTATTAGCATTGAACATGGGAATTAGCGTTCAAAAACTCACGTCTATCCTCTAGGAAAGTGGACATTGTCATCGGATGGTTTATTGAAAGAGTGTCTAATCGATAGCCTGTCCGTGGTAAAAGGGCATCCCGTAGACTTCGTACTTTGTTCGGTGGCACAATATGAGGGGGTGTTTTGGGCACAACACGAGACAAAGCATGAGATATGCGCTAACGAGTCAGCTGGGCACCTCTTAGGCCTCCAAGGCAGATTTTTGCTGTGCAGTCAAGTCCTTCTGTTCTAAAAAACATATCGTGGCAACTGCGTCTGATTGGTCAACCCGGGCAACAAGCCGCATTAATCAGGTATCATTGCAGGTATTCTGCATCACTTCTAGATAAACCCCAGAAATACTGACTGGGAGGAGGCTGAGTATAGAAAGAGATCGAAAATCGGATGCGTTGTCGAGGTTGCTTGTCTTCAAAGAATCACATTTAAAACCCTCCCAAATTCCCTTCACTGAGCAAGCTACAGGAAGGATGGCCAAGATTCGGTATTTTATTCAAAGACTCAAAGAAATTAGACAAGGGGCGCCAAACGAGTCGTCTCGAGAAACTAGGAGCCTCGTGATAGATCACTTCGAAATGAACATGGCTCTCCAAGATGTTGATGCACCTCATTTTTGTGAGCTTGAAGCAATTGAGAAGCCAACAGTTTTTGAGTTGGATGGCTTAGTCTATGTTCGCAATGAAGGTCAGTGTTATTGTCTCGCTTAATCCATTGGATTTTTCCATTGAATTTTCGATCAGACATACCTATTCAGGCGCAGGCCACCCAGGCGCAGGTCATCCAGGCGCAGGTCATCCAGGCGCAGGTCATCCAGGCGCAAACTACTCAACATCCCTCTGAAACTAGAATTGATCACCGGCAATCAATCTCCGCCCAAGCAGAAAATGACCGAAGCGAGACAGAAATCGATGACCATGTCTACACGAGTGCCTTGAAAGAGATGGGGGATACTGAGTCTTGCTTACCTCGGTATCAACTAGTGAGAATCAGGCTTGAACCTCCCAGGTGGGGTGCTCAGGCTCAGTACGGGAATCTTCGATCTTATGCAGAGGCCAGTTCCAAAAAAGCGGCAAAGCACTCTGCCTCTAAGTCTCTCTGGTTACAAATGGGAAGAGGTAGTATTGGCAACAATTATAGTTATTCTTAGCTTCGACTCATCTTCTGTGATTGACTTCAAGTGAGATCCTTGTCCTCAGAGAGGCTAGGTAGTTGCAATAATCAGTCCTGAATTCTGGAATCTTGATCTCAAAATAGACTATCGTTGTATCAACTTACGCCTATGCCATAACCGGTATGTTCTCGTCACTCAAATATCCGCGAAAGTAGTGAACAATACCGAAAAATTATAATGGTTCCCATGCTTATTGACTTGTCTTGATTGATTGGATATATCCAAATGGGCTGTACTCCGCATCTATTACACTATCTGCAAGCTGACTTGAGTTAGTATGTGCTGGTGACGAGTGGGATGATCTTTTTTGACGATGATGCTTACTCTGCTCTAACATCATAAGTTATCCATTGTGGGGCTTGAGCTTCAGGAGAAAGTAATTAAAAGAATGTTTGTGTACTTGCTCGTCCACTGCGCTCCGCAGACCTGACAAGCCCGCTTCTAATTATATTTAGATTCCACCCAGCCACCATAATAAGTGATTTTCTGCTGAGTTGAAGCACATTTATCTACTAAACGACATATGCGGAAGAGGCTCTCAGCTAGACAGGATGATAGGGAATTTTGTTGCAGTATCCCCTTTATTATCAGCCCAATGAATTAATTTGTGGGTATTACCTTCTTTGGCCAGTGAAATGAACCATCATGATGGGTTGAACACACGACGCTTGGCAATGAGGCTCAGTTCTGCTTTAGCAATTTTCTGTCTAGTCCGCAGCCTGGATCACGCCATGCCCGTGCGCAATGGACATAGCCTCTGCATGTCGTCTAGCAATGAATTTACTTAAATCGACTTATCTTGACTCGAAGTCTTGAGTTTTAGTGAGTAAATATGTTCTACTAGGTGCATGAAGGCGGCTTCTTTTCGTTTCTATCATTCTAGTCAAATAACGGCTAAGTCCCCTCCAGAAAATCCTAAGGGTCTAAAATGGAGAAGAAGAAGCTATCGTGACAAAAAGTAGCTTCACGCAAGTCTGACTGGTAAAAAGGCTCTAGAGTACGGTGAAATTTGCGGGGCAGAATTCTGTCTTTGTATGCGTATGCGAGTTGAATTTGGCTTGGTAAGTAGGATCGCCGTCCGGAACCAGTCTATTTATTTCTATGCTCTAGGGAATCATGCCAACGATAGCGCAGTGTACACCTTGGGCAAGAACAGCAGTTCCTCGATAGGTGGCGGGACAGACGCATCTGCGACCGAGCTCACACCTGGCGGAAATTTCATCCAGGCTGAGATCCAGAGGCATCGAAACGATCCGGCATCAGCGGTCTCAAGAGCAAGGGAATGGAGCGCATCAAAGCTTAGGGGTGAGCAGTCTGACAACTAATGAATAGCTCATAGATGCGTACTTCGATCGTTTGTTGTTCACAATCCCATGGTCTGGCCACAGTTCGCGAACAGCAGGCCTTTGCTGTTCAGTCACCCTTCCCCGAGACCGAACCATTATCGGTAATCCCTCATATGTGGCGATGCTCGCTGGAATTTGATGCTGCCTTTAGTGTTCTGTCGTGTTAAGCAAAACAATGAACGCTTCAAAAATGACTGCTAGCTGCACATCCCTGTAACTCTTGGGTCCACTTCGGAGATCCAGTTCATCCCTCAGTTTTATGACCTTAAGGTGAAAACAATCACAATTATATCCTTATTTCGTTCCAGAAGCCTCCTCAAAGACACGCAACTTCGAAGCAACCGACTGCCTAGCTAGGTAGAGGACACGGGTTTTGAATATGCGCGTATTATCCTGCGATAGACCACGGTTTCTCTTATCCCATGACAGTATCTTTCGTCGGATAAGCAGTACTTTGCGATAGGCTATTGTTTCCTATCGTAAGGCAGCCTATTTCGCTGGACGAGTAGTTTTCTGTGGTAGATCACGGTTTCTCCTATCCCAAGACAGCTCGTTCCGCTAGACAAACGGCTTCCTGTGACAGGCCACAGCTCAGTATTCTAAAATAGCTTGTTTCGCAAGACAGGCAGTATCATACGGTAGACCCCGGTTTTCCTTACCCCAAGACAACCTGTTTTGCCGGACGAGTATTTCTCCTGCGATACGGTTGTCGGGAGCTTTGTCAAGGGGCGTGGCCGCTTGGGTTTAACCACTGGGCTAACAGACCAAAAGGCACGACGTTTGGTCAGCGACCAAACACCCAACTTACTATATATGCTCCATCCCTGACCAGCTTCATAAGTGATCCCAAGATCGTAGAACTCATCAAGCCGCACTCAGGAACTCGATGAGGACTCTCAGGAACAAAATGTGCTGCTCCTAGGGGCGGTCCAAGGGATCCTGGGAAGGGTCTTGGTATCCTAGGAATCTTGTCATTCCTAGAATCATGTCAGACAAGGACCTATCTTCGTTCAGCTTGTTAGCAGCCAACCTCCTATGATAGTCTAATAAATTCCTCCATGAGACGGACTACGCATCTTCCTATTAAAGTACTTCTAAATATCCGCGGATAGATCATGGACTCTCTATACTTAAAGTTGTAGTGCTAAATTATATAACGAGTAGAAGGGGTAAGGTCTGTTCTGCCATTTATAGCCTAGCTTATGTCTAGGCTAGTCTTGGAATTAAGAAGTAGAAGCTGTCAACATGTGGATGTGTGGTCATGTGATAGACCCACTGATCTAATCCCCTGCTATCCCCGCTCCAGATCTTACTCAAGATCTATCAGATTGATCCTCAACGATCTCGCATTGAATTGCCTACCTAGGCAGGAGACTACGTAACACTCCGAAATGCTCTTGATCTTTCATATGAACTGTTGCTTTGTTCTTGAGTTATAAACACTGCCTGTTTTCCCAGTTTAATAAAACAAGTTTGACATATTTGATATTCATGAGATAGCTCGCGGGCATACTTGACTATACTGGACCACTTCTTGGTCGCCCTAGTCTAATCAGCCGATATCTTGCTATCTTATATCTAGTCTTTCTTCACCCGATCTTCTTACTCTGTACACATACGCTTCTTGTGTACAAAGGGACTTTATGCACTACGCATAAAACTCCGATAGTTATGAGCCCGACACCTCTGCTCTGACCTTTCAATTAATCTTCTTTTATCTATCTCTCATTTTCCTCTTAGAGAGTAATGGATCTATCTTCATCTGAACTACGAGCCACTTAGCTTAATTACCCACTAAAATCTCATGTACACTGGGTTCCCTAGATTATAGCGGTCAAAGGCTATATAATCGCATACGATCTATGGAAATACGCCGATCCGGCCACTCCGTCTACCCCGCCCTAGGAACTAATCAAACCGTAGATATCTAATGTGATCAGAAGACCTATAAATATATTTATATCTAATCTTTCTAAGTAGCTAATTAGGCTAATCGATCTCACATCCGATTAACTAGCTATCTATAAGATACTACTAAGTGAATACGAATCATCAAGATTAGACTATCTTCGCTATCTCCGATCTATCGAATCTCTTAAGTAAGGTATTCGATCCTCGCTTATACCCGAAGGACGATAAATCGTTAATAGCCTATTAGCACACGAAGCAATCGTGAAGCTACGTGTTACCTTCGCGCTATCCGACCAATTAAAGAATCGTTAAATCCTACGTAATTAGGAAGATAATTAAATGACAGACACTACTAACTAAATCGTCTCTACTACCTATATAGGGCTAGAGATAGATTATTAACTAATCAGAAGGCGAGAAGGTAGAAATTGCCTACTTCTAAGATCCTCTTTCACTAATATACGATTTCCTAGAAGCAATTTAACCAAGAAAAGGACTCTACTAAGTCATCCGGCCCCGGTCCTGACACAGGGTAAGGCTCTTATGTGGGCCAACGGCTGGCTGGCACCTACCGCTAGCCCGTTTTGGGGGGATACAACCAGATATACCGACAGCCGCCAAAGGCCTTCTTACCAGTTCGGTAAATAATGAGCGTGTCTTCGTTAGTAATGCGTGCCGGTATTACAAGGCTGACTTTATGGAGGAGCAGGAAGAGCTCTCGGAGCTAGCTGTCCTTAGGGCTTAGAACTAGGAAGTAATAATCATTTCTTCCCGTTGATATCAGCCGTTTGTGCCAGGTTTCCAATCCCTAGCGTGGAAATACATGAATAGCACCTCACCTGTAGGTTCCTCTTAACAATTAATATTCTATTCATGGCCACCAAGCTTAAATAGTTGCTAACGCGTCCTTGATTACTATCTCCTATAGAGATTGTGATCTTCTGTCAAAGCTGTTCCTAGATTGAGAACCATCTAGCATGTAAGACTTGGAAATTTCCAAGAGTTGGGTGAGAGGGTAGATATAAGCTTAAGATAATCATGCAACGTTGCTGATTTGAATCGGTAAAGGCGGTGTCTGGAATTTATGTAGAAACCAGGGTAGAAAGAAGAGTAGAAAGACTAGACCATGATGATAGAGGAAGCACAAACATACGTATCGAGCGGGCCATTAGCCCTAGCAGACTTTAATTTTGACCTAAATAAACGCATACGGAACCAGATATGGACGGTTTAGAGGCTGCCGTCCTGATAATTCGTACTGTAATGAATCAAGTGTTCCCCACTTCTACTCCCATTGTGTTTAGAAAGACGCGTTTTTAACAAAGTTACTCTTTACTCGAAGCAACATGATATACTAGGATGGAAGATGGAAATTCGTTCGTTGCGGGGGTCTATTACGCGAGGGTTTCTTGACTCGCTCACTCTTCCATCTGCTCCCCAGCACCCTTATCCTCCTCCTCTTCATCCTCGTCGAGTGCTCGTCGAGCGGCCTTCTCAGCCTCTTCAAGGATATCCTTGGGTACCTCCTCATGTCGGCCCTTGGTAGGACCATCCAGAGAGCTGATCCACGACATCTCCAACTCAAACTCCTTGTCTTTGCTATCCTCGTGCGCGACGTAGATAATGCGAGCGGCCTCCTTCACACCCTCCAGCAGAGACAATTTCCCAGAGCTGAGGTCCAATTTCTCCAATTCGGCCTTGGCCGCCTGTCGTCCCTTGCCGGTGGCAGCACCGTAATATCCCTGTGTAAGAACATGTTAGCATACCGCTGTACAGTGATTGTCAAACGAAACCAAATGTCTTGGCTGTACATACCCAGTACAATCCACTGGGCTCGATCATGTATAGGCCAGGTCCGCCAGCCTTGGCACCGTCAACCTTTCCACCGGCACCAGACTTGGGTCCGGAGCCAACCTGGCCATCAACAGCCAGCTCGGCCTCGGAATCCCATCCACCAACAATGGAGGTCACACCGAATGGCCGTACGCTAGAGTAGAGAGTGTATGCTTGTACGTAACCGCCGAGACGGTTGGCGAGTGCAGAGGTAGGGATGGGACCCTTGTATGTGGCCCTCCAGGAGGAGGCTTCGTCGCGAGCGCGGGAAACGAAATGACGACCATCAGGAACGAGACCAGCCGATACCTAGAAATCCGGCGAGCGGGGATATGATTAGCCTTGGCCATAGCCAGAGCAGTGCAGAGATGGAATCAAGAGAGTAAGCAGCCTAGCGGGCTGCGCTTATGGGAAGGCTTGAGGAAGGGAGGATGGGGGGATCATCTCTCACAATGCCGACGTGGCGATCAACGGTCGCAATTCTCTTATTCGCCCCAGGCTTGAGGAGCTTGCTGCTGATGATTTTCTCCACGGCCAAGACGACACCATCCTTGCATCGAATGCCGATAGCTGTGCCGCCGTTCTCGACTGCCTTTACGGCATACTCGACCTAAAGGCGGGAAGGAGGGTCAGCTGCATCGAAGCTTGTAAAGAGCCCAGTATTGAGCTTCGGTGGATCTAGGGGTAATCGTACCTGGAAATTCCGGCCATCTGGCGAAAAGACCGAGTTGGAAAGATCGTAGCCCGTGCCGATTGACGTCTGTCCGCGGTGTGATTAGCTAGCTGTACCTCATCGGGAGGGCAGGGAGGACAATGCGTCGGGGGATGTACCATGATGAAGTTATTGTGTGATATCAAGGGAAGTCTTCCTGAATCCGGGACGTCAAACGGGTGGGAAGAATGAAGCTGTTGGGAGAAGCAGACGCGATGGAGAGAGCTTCCAGTTCGGGGCTGAAGCTGCGTCACGGGGGCTGCCTGGGTCAGGTGACCAGCGTCAACATGGGCGGAGTTGGCTGACAGTAAAAGGGACAAACTTTACATAGTTGATTAGTAGCCCAAGTATAACTGGAACAAAGTATAAATTGACAAAGTACGGAGTACTTTACGAAGTACTCAATCAAGGACTTTTATCAGATCCCCAACCGACTATATCTGCTCTTACATCATACTTCTACTTCGGGTCAGCTTTTGAGGCATACTTTTTCTTCTTTTTACTTTCTTACTTTTTAATAATTAATTTCCATTCATACTATTCACATTCAGTCTCCTTGGTACTAATTCCTCCCAGAACTAAAACATAAATTCCCTGACTAATGGAGTTCGCGGTGCGGCCCAACTCCTGGATTTCCTGCTTGGGCATCGCGGGGTCAGGCGGGGGATATTCTTCCTTCATCACTATTTCTTTTCTTGACTATTCACTAGATACCATATTCTTTTCTCTTTACTAAGTTATCTCCTACTTGCTAAGCACTTCTAGGTCAAACTAGCGACCTACAACATTCCACTACGATCCAAACCCAGTGGCCCCTTTCCCTGCATATTGATATCCAAGAACCGTCTTGATATTGCCCATCTTTCTCAATACTCTACCTTCTACACCCCCGAGCTATTCCATTTACTGTCCTTTCCCTTCTCTACATCCATCTCATCCACCACCATGTCATCTTCCATCCTACACCAGTGCCCCTTTTGCGGCCACATCTCCGACATCTCCCTCTCCCTAGCCGCCTTCATCGAGAACCCGCATTGCGCACAGGTATAGTCCACGCATAACACCCTACAAATACCTGCAGCACCTAACCAGGACTATATATAGTGCGGTCTCTCCGTCTCCGAAAGTAGCACCAAGCTCCAAGATGAACTATCAGCCCTATTCGACCGCCAAATGACCATGAACCAACCCCAACCTATCAACTCTACTCCTCCACCTACATCTACCACCTCGCAACAACCCATTACCTACAGTATCACCCAACACTACCACCACTCCTCCCACGTAGCACCCCCACCCCAACAAACCCCCGCACAGCCCGATCAAACCCAAGCCCTTACAACCCTCCTCCTCCAACACGGCATAAACCCATCCACCCTCACCCCTTCCCAACTCTCCCTCATCACCCACGCCGACCCCCAACAACAACAACGCCTCCTCCAAACATGGCAACTCTACGCCGTTCACAGCCAACCGAACTCCAACGATACCGCAATGGACGACTTCATGGACGAGCACAAAGGCCCCGATGCAGAGCCGTATATGGTATCCGGCTATGAGTCTGCGTCTGCATCTACGCTGCCGAAGGAACCGTCTACCGGCGAGCCGTATGTCGCGTCTACGGATCCTGTGTATATGAGCCAGCAGTGGTGGGAGGTTGCGCCGGGTTCGGTGGAGTCGCAGTATGGGTTGTTTGAGGAGAGGCAGAGGTATTCGAGGATGCATGGTTGTGCGGGTGTGCAGACGCCGCAGTGGTTATGTCCGAATTAGGGTGTTTGGGGGGTATTGGTTATGAGGGTACGGGATTTTGAATTTATGAATTTTTTGATGTGATTTCTCGGTTTTTTTTTTCTTTTTCATACTTATGGAGTATATAGTGCTTGAGCCCCCTAATTGGGTATCTCCACTCGTGATGTATGTTTTGTGGAATATTAGAAGATTGTTTGAATGTTGATTTCGAATTATACATTGGCAAACCTGTCCTAAGTCAACTGTAATGCTTCATTGGTTAATTTCATTGCACTTGTGTCATCTCAAAGCTTTCCGGAACTGGGGTAGTATGATCTCTGTTGGATATCTTCCCGTGTTCTTCTTATTTCCGAGGGTGACTGCCGAATGTTTTGTGCATGGTATTATGTAGATTTAAACGCAATGGTGATATGAACAGCAACTGCGAGATGTAGTTGTAACCAAAACCTAACCAACATCCTCTCCATGGAGCCAATAATACCAAAAGTGGTCGCCTTTTTACACCATGACACAAAATCACATGGACAAGCAAAAGGTGCAAATTGAAAACAAGAAAATGTCTATTGCTATAACTTGCCAGGGACATCGCGAGCTAAATAGAAAGAAAGATAATACATAAATGGGAATCATTCCAACCGGCTCAGATGCTGCAGGATCCACCGCAGGTGAGCCGATCGGGGCAGTCCCCAGTCGTAGCAGTAAGGGACATGGAAAGTGACGGGGTTCAAATTTACAGAGAAGACTCCATCTTGTCCAGAACGGCCCGGGTGAACTCGTGGGTGGTAGCCTGACCACCCATATCGCGAGTGCGGGTCTTGCTGTAATCATGGTCAGTAAACAGACACACACACTTCGTAGGTGGATGCGGGAACAACTTACCCCTCGCCGATCACATCGTAGACAGCCTTGGAGATGCGGTTGGCGTGGTCATCAAGACCAAGGTGACGGAGGAGCATGGAACCGGACAGGATCAGAGCGCTGGGGTTGGCCTGGTCCTTGCCCTTGATGTCGAGACCGACGTGACGGCAGCCGGGCTCGAAGACGGCGACGTCACGGCCCATGTTGCAGCCGGGGACGACACCGGGGCCACCGACAAGAGCGGCAGCGATGTTGGAGAGGATACCGCCGTACAGGTTAGGCATGACCATGACATCGAATTGCTGGGGGCGGGAGACAGCCTGCATGGAGGCGTTGTCGACGATCATGTCGTTGACCTCCAGGGTAGGGTAGTCCTCGGCGACCTTGTGGAAGGTGCTGCGGAAGAGACCGTCGGCCAGCTTCATGATGTTGGCCTTGTGAATGCAGGTAATCTTCTTGCGGTTGTTGGCGAGAGCGAAGCTGAAGGCGAACTTGGCGATGCGCTCGGACTTGGCGCGGGTGATGATCTTGAGGGACTCGACGACACCCTGGACGGACTGGTGCTCAAGACCAGAGTACTCACCCTCGGTGTTCTCACGAATGATGCACAGGTCGACATTCTTGTGGCGGGTCTCGTAGCCGGGGATGTTCTTGATCAGGGAGATGGAGGCGTAGATGTCCAGCTCCTGACGGAGAGCGACATTGAAGGACTGGTGGCCGGATCGCTCGACGGGGGTGTGCAGGATACCCTTCAGACCGAGCTTGTTGCGCTTGAGGGAAGCCAGCGACTCCCGGAAGAGCTCCTCGGAGTGCTTGTTGCCAGTGTCCACACCGCTAACGTCGACCTGCTCCCACTCAATGGGGACGTTGTCGGCCTTGAAGATGGTCTTGACCGACTCCGCGACCTCAGCACCAATACCGTCACCTAGCAACTAAAATCAGTATTCGCAGTTCTTTGTAGTGCGCGCGTCGACGAGAAAGATACGCGACCAATCGGGAAGATCTGCGACGAGAGCATACCGGGGATCAGGGTGACCGTGTACTTGCCACCATACTTGGTAGGCTTGAAGATGTCCGACTGCACGGTAGCGAAAGCTAATCGCGAGAAGAAAAAAAACCAGGGTTAGCTATACATTGCATCAATTGAAACTGACGGGCGCGTTCTCGAAGGGTCGATGGGCGTACTTCTCGCGGGAATGGAGCGACCGAAAGAGGGAGCCACGGAGGCGCTGCGAAGCAGAGTCTGAACTCGGTTAGTCAAGGAAATGCGCCCACGAGGAAGTGAGGGAATAAGGATTGGACGACGTACCCGGGCAGGCTGGGCCGTGCGAGTGAACATCTTTAGCAAAGGAATTCTTTGACCCGAAAAAAGAGGGGAAATAGAATTGGGGGTGGTGGGTGGGAGGTTGGACGAAGCCAGGGAAAATGGAGAGGGGGGAAAGGATCAAAGTGAGCAGAAGGTTGGCTAAGGGACGGAAAAAAAGGACCCCCGGATGGGCTCGGCATCGGACACGCGCGACTTTGGGAACTTTTCTGCGGCCTGTGGCGGCCCGATCTTATCAGTCAACCCGCTTCTTCTTATCAAACAATGAAATCTCCAAGTCACCCGCTTGTTCTTATTCAACCCCCGTTTAGGAAGTCCTCCTATGCTGATCCTCTACAATTGGTTGTGGCGTTTCTTATTCAAATACAATTTAGGAATGTGCTGATGCCTTGATTTAGTATGGGAGAATGGGCAAACAAAGAGACTGGGCTCTCGAGGTCAACCGCCTACCTCAGCCTGATTGGCTCCTGCTCAACTATGTGCTTCTCCACGCCCAGCTCTGCCATGAATTCTTGTCTTCTGGCAACCTCCCCGATGATGTATCCAGGCAAGATATTTACAGAACCTGACAGTTCTTCTCTGGTCTCTTGACTCAGGCACAAAGAATGTCAAACGAACGGTGGCGGCCTCCATGAACGGTCCTCAACGAGACTCGACCTCCTGATTTCCTAATCGGGATGTCAATAGAGATGAGGAGCCTCCATCCTTTGATCCAGACAGCAACATGGCTGAAGACGGACAATTAGGCAGGATATCCTGCTAGTCCTAGAGCCAGCAGAGCCGGGTATAAAGTCATCCTCGTTCGCCATGTCTGCTCCTACTTTACGATTCATCAATCCATCGATCTTCGTCCTGCAATCGTCAATTCAACCCAAAAAAATTCTCTCCAACCCAAACCAATCCTTTTTCAAAACCATTCCTTTTCCAATCCTTCAACATGAAGTTCCTCTCCATTGCCCTTGCCCTCATGGCAGCCACTGCTGCTACCGCTGCTCCCGGTCGTACCATGCAGAAGTGGTGTGGTCACCCCGGCCAGGGCTGTGTCAAGCGCTCTGCCGAGCCAGAGGCTATGCCCGAGCCTGAGCCCGTTGCTCAGAAGTGGTGCGCCCACCCCGGCCAGGGCTGCTACATGATGAAGCGCACTGCCGATGTCACCACCGAGGTCAAGCGCTCCGCCGATGCCCTCGCCGAGGCCATGGCTGAGGCTCACCCCGCCGCTCTTCAGAAGTGGTGTGCTCACCCCGGCCAGGGCTGCGCCAAGGTCAAGCGCACCGCCGAGGCTGTTGAGGAAGTCAAGCGCTCTGCTGAGGCCCTCGCTGAGGCTATTGCTTCTATGAACGCCGAGGAGTAAAAGGTAAACATCGCCAGATTCCCTTCTACAGAGAATGCAGTCATTCAGTTTGCTAATTGGAGTTTATACATAGTTCCCATTTCCTTGGACACTCTTGAAGTCCTGCGGTATCACAGCCGTTTCAAGTCCTCTGTTGATACCCCCGTTCTATTTTCGACTCGTGAACACCACTGGAGGGATGCTAAGTGAGGATCGGAATTCATGGAAACCTGTCTATGGCGAACGCTCCTTTTTCAATTGGCCATAATGACTTGTGTTGTCTGCTTTCGTTTTTTGAAAACCCCCCAAAGATTCAATCAGAAATGGCTACTGGTGGCCTACATCGCTCCAATGCATTCTTATTAGCTTATGTTTTCAAGAATTTCCTTGGAATTTAGTAAAAATTCATGTATTGTAAAGATGCTGGAAGTACTTTCAATCGTAGTGTTAATGGTATTCATCCGCACATACATGAGCGTTGACTATACTACAATTGAGGTGCTTCTTCTATAACGTAGAATGGTCCAACAGCAAAGTAGTATGTACCTGGTCGGCCTGAGTTCGAAGGTATGGGAGGATGTGTGTTGTTTTCTTTCTGTCGCCTGTTTTGAAAGACAGCGGCGATGACTTACAAAGTATTTATTTGTAGTCTATTCATGGACCTCGAGTTTTGTATCAGGTGCTACATACATAATCCGCATTCTATCACCACCATTCAAATTTACCTTAAAAATGTATTTCCTATTTCAAGATTTCACCACTTGAATACTGCTTCGAAAACAACTTAACGACTCATCAGATAATTGTATTTCTCTAGAAAGGTTTAGGCATAGACATGACTCGGTACTTGATAGCACCAACACAAGAAACTTTTGAGTAGATAGAAACCGAGCACACAATGGCCGACGTTGGCCGAGGCGAGAGTATACATCCAATGCGTAAGTCCCAAGGTCACAGTATGTGAATCTTCAAAGGACCAACCAGGCCAAGGAGTGTATTTGGAATGCTCCAGGACGTGACTGCCAGTCCCTCGCCTCATTGTCGACATGTGGAGGGTATCGTTATCGGCTGGAAAGAAAAGGGTATCACAGGACATTTTGAATGGCCATGCGCAGGAGGCACAGCCGGGCGATCGAAGCGATCACCTGGAGGGAGAGAGAAAAGGGATGCAAGGCAGGATGGACGCAAATCAGAAGGCGATACGTCGCTTGCGACCAGTATACTTGGAGTTAGCCTTGACGACCTTGCCCTTCTTCTGCATCTGCTCCTTCTTCCTCATAATCCAAGCCTTATCACCCTTCCGAGGCGGTCCCCGGGCACTATTCACCTCCATAGCCTTCCTCCGCGCATCGAGCACATTCACATCATCCATACCATTAACAACACCAGTGATATCACCCTGCAGACCACCACCACCGACAGTCAAAACCAGGTAGAGCTTGGCGTTCTTAGTACCGGGGTCATCCTCCAGCATACCAGCGCCAAAGCCAGCCTTAATAGCCGCACCACTAATCATGCTGCGCTGAATATCGTTCTTAGGATAGAACTGGCACACGGCCCGTCCACCACGGCGCAGACTCGCGTACAGACCCTCGAAAAACCGCTTCAGACGGCCCTCGGGACTGACGTCGCTCGTTTCCGCATTGCATAGCCACTGGATAGCACTGATGCTGATCGCCGCGTCGAAGGTACCTGGTCGGAAGGGGACACCTTGGCCGATGTCAGCGAGGAAGAGGTCGCCCTCGACTTCGCGCTGCAGGGCTACGTCCAGCATGCTGGGGGCAATGTCCATGCCCACCCAGGTGTGTGGACCGCCGTCTTCGGGGGCAACTTCGGATAACATCTCGCCTGAGAGACCGGAGCCACAGCCGACATCGAGGATCAGGGAGGGAGATTTCAGGTCGAGGAGCTCGAGGGCGCGGTGGGTCATGTCGGCCTGGATATTCCGGATACGCGACGAGGTTGTATACTTGCGGGACTCATTGTCGTTGTAGAAGAGATCGGGCGGGCTGTGCGAGAGAAGTCAGTTAGGCCAAATGATAGACCTAGGTTGTAAGATTGTCGTCAACGTACAGAATATCTTCGGGGCGCGACATGGTGGGCTGTGAATGGACAATGTCCGTCAAAAATTCCAGATAAGAAAATGAAAGCGGATGAATTCGAGATAATTTTTTGGGAGCGGGGTGGACACCTGAGCGATCAGGCACTAGTGCGCACTAGTCTGTCCGGGAGCGTCATGGCTGACTCGCGACACCTTTCGCTTTCCTTCCCAGCTCTCCGCAGCTCTCCGCTCTCTTCAACTTCCACCACAGCTCTTCCACAAACATATTTTTCACCATGTGGATTCTACCTTTGGTAGGATACTTGGGGGTGATAGTCGGCTTTGCCTTCCTCACCCTAGCCATCGGTAAGTTACTGCGAGCTCCGAATCAACCAGCTCACGAGATCACGAAGCCCGATCAAGCTGAAACTAACACCACTCCAGCATCGGGCTTGTACTACCTCTCCGAGCTGGTAGAGGAACACACCGTTCTCGCCCGCCGACTGCTGGGCCGTCTCATATACACAATCATCGGCATCCAAGTGCTCCTCGTGCTATTCGATCGCTTCCCCATCTCGCTCTCCCTCCTCAGCATCCTCTCGCACCTGGTCTACGCCAGCAACCTACGCCGCTTCCCAATTGTCAAATTGACCGATCCGCTCTTCATTCTTTCTTGCGTGCTGGTCCTTCTCAACCATTGGCTATGGTTCCGCCACTTTTCGAAGCCGTTCCCCGCGTCCCGGCGCAACGAGGGCAACTGGCGCCAGCCGTATCAGGTTGACTACGAGGCTATGCCCTCGTTCTCTGAGGTGGCCTCATACTTTGGGCTATGTGTTTGGCTGGTTCCCTTCGCGCTGTTCGTCAGTCTGAGCGCGGGCGAGAATGTTCTGCCTAGCATGGGCTCTGAGTATGCTACTGGCGAGCATACCTCATCCGGGCTCGGCCATAGCCGCGGTCCATCCGATGGCAAGGCGAAGAACAAGGGAATGGCCAAGGCCTTGGTGGACAATGTGCGGGACTGGGCTCGGGAAAATGGTGAGCTGATGGGTTTCTGGCGGGGCGAGCGCACGAGGCGGTTTTAAGAGCCCCTCGGTGATGAGGATGTGAATGACAAATTTTACGGTATATAACGAACTGAATCTATATATTTGTGTGTTTCTGCTTCTTGGAGAATCTGATTGGGCAATTTGGAAGTAAATTATGATAAAAAAAGACGTGTACTATATCAAGAAATATGACGCACGATCACGCTGTGTAGCTGAAAGAACATCGGCTCAAGTCGCTGAAAATCAGACCATCGAGTAAATCAGGAAGAAAGGTTGCTCAAAAAAGAGAGTCAATGGGAAACGGGACAAAAAGAAGGTTAAAATAAGAAGAAGAGAACAAAGAATAAAGAAGGGGTATAACGGTAGATCAATACAACGACAGATCACATAAAAGAAAAGAAAGAGAAAAGTCGTCAATGAAGTTAAAAGATAGTTTCGAGGCATGAAAAAAAGAATCAATGCCTCGAATATTGCAGCCTCGTCCTGATTACCATTATCATTAAACATTCCCTCGCGACTCTGCTCGTGCCAAGTGGGTGGTAAAGTCGTCATTCTGCGTGCAATTCATAATCAAAGAGGCGTGTAGAGGGTTCCGGATGTGAGTCATGGCTGTAAGGTAAAAGGGCAGCATGGGCGTTTCTCTGCTCCATTATTTATTGCCCTGGTGGAGAGAAAAGTCTTCGGGAGCTAAAAACCAAGTATTAGTCGATTTAGTTCAAAAGCCGAAGGCGATCAGGACATACTGCTCTCCATAAAAAGCATGGAGCTTTCCCGTCTCTTGGACTTGGCTGAACGAGTATCGTCCAAGTTAGGGTTCAACATTCCATTCAATGAATGATATTGACTCGGGGCTCCTGGGTTCTGGTTGTAGGCATCATTCCTGTAGCCCTGTTGTTCATAAGAGGGCTGCATTGGGATGAAGCCCGTCTCGTGTGGAGCCCGAGAATTGTCAACATTACTGGCTGAGCCATCTCCGGCGCCACGGAAGGATGTCTGATTATACGAAGGAGTTGGTATATCCGAGAACATCTGGTGGCGGGGCGAGCGAATATCCTCGGGGGAGAGACTGTGCTCCACAGTCAGCTCCACGGCCGGCGAATTGGAACCGGCATCGCCAAAGATGCTATCAAAGTCGGTAAGGAACATAGAGAACACAGGCGCCGGAATGTTGAGAGTGGGGGCAAAGACGATGCCCACGTTTCGAACGGTCATCTTGTTCACGTCCGAATTGTTGACAATCTCAATCAAGAAGAGCGACAGTGCTCGCAGCAGTGAAAGATTCGGCTTTGGCAATCGGTGTACCAGAGCGTTGAAAGCGAGAAGCTTCTTTTGCTTATCATCGAGTTCTGCGAGAAAAGATTGATTAGCTTCGGATGTATGGTGGGAAAAGAGACAAAGACAGGGGTCATACCGAGAACGCGAAGGAAGTCCAAATGAAGCTCCCGAGTCAACACTGTCGTCGGAAGTTCGCGCAAATATTGTTTGAAGAGAGATGCGACAGCATGCACATCGTAATATTGATCTCCAGTCAAGAAATCAACATCACCTTCATTGTTGAACCGCTCTTTCAATGCCTTGATCACAACATTAGAGCCGCTCAGACGGAAGATGCCTTCTTCCAATGCAGCATCCTTTGCATGCAGGTATTCGATGCAGCGATAGACCACGGCAGGAAGATCCGCCTCAACGCCCTGAGGACCGCAATCTTGAACAGCTTCAGCCAGAGGAATACCGAAGACGGGCTTGACATTCTCCCTTCGCTCGACTGGTGCGGCTGATGTCTCAGCCTGCGCAGCCAAATCGAACGAGGATCTTGTGCGGAAGCCCCAGATGCTGCGCTTCTTCTCCTTAACTGACGTGGTTGTCGTTGTTGGCTTATTGCCCCAGGCCCCCACATCATGGATTACCGCACCGTTGGTAGGACCTGAAATGATCTTGGGGGACTGCAATGCTGGATCAGCGGGGGACTGGTTGAAGTCTCGGAAGTCGGTGGACAGTGACCCGGGGATGCGTGGGGATCGAGGAGCTTGTTCGAGAGAAGGACCGAGGATAGGTGGCTCAGCTGCAACGGTATCGTCGAAACTAAAACCTTGCACACCTTCCTGGTCAGGACTATCAACTCCACGACCCGGTCGCTTGCTCCCATCTTTGGATCCCTTGGACTTAGATGCCGCACCCTTTGGTTGACCCTGCTGTTGATGCTTCAATGATGCATTTCCGCGGCTCTCCGTGTCCGAAGAAGGCGGCTCCACGTATTCCATCAACGCATCCACCCATTGATCACGCTCCTCGTCTTTCTCGGCACAAAGAACATGGCGCACAAGAGCCGAGGAATCCTTTTTCTTCGGTTCTAGGATAAGGAACGCATGGCGGTATTGATTGTCAGAGTCCTCTTCACCGCTGGGAGGTGAGTTGCTCTGGCTTGTGGAGTTTTGAGACTGCTTGCCAATTTGCGCATGAAGAAGCTTGATGGTTCCCATGTGAGCGCCACCAGGAGACTCATAGTACTTCAACTCGGGCCCATGCAGCACGAAGTAACGGGCCTTCCAGCCGCCAAAATTCTTGCCTCGCTTGGTTAGATAACCTTCCTTCCTAGGTTTGCCGTCCGGTCCTCGGGGCATATCCGGTTTCGATTGACCAGGGCCCTTCACAAGGCTGGTCTCATCATCACGAGGCTCGATGGCATCGTTGGTGAGAAACTGGCAAATAACCAACGCCGCTCTCTCATCCATGGGTGTATCCAGAAGGCTGTCAAAGTATGTGTTGAGTGCGGCGCGACGCGAATCCACCTTGGCCGGGGAATGGCCGCTGAAAATGCTGCGATCGGGCAATTTTCCAGTAAAGGTAGCCAACTGTCGGATCTGGTGATCCAACTGAGGGAGTGACGCTATAACCTTCTCCACGCGCCAGAGCTCTGCCATCTCGGATCTAGAGATGACGCTCAGCGTGAAGACAGGTTCCTCATCCAATGGTTTGGACGCCATATAGCTATTTCTGGAGGGTCGCAGTCGCGAGGAGGATACTCGGACCTGGATAAGCGGCAGAGCATTCGGGGGGAGTAGAAGACCGGGGTATTCATCAGACACCAGTCCTTGATAGATGCTGGTATCAGGGAACCGTAGAGATCTTGGGCTGTCAATTTTGACCGTGGGATCAATCGACGGGATCGGCCCCCCGGGTCTCCCGCTCATGGGGTGAGCATCTGCATTTGAGAAATTGGTTGGGTAGTTTACAGCTCTTGGAGATGTAGGCACACCCCCGAGGCTATAGCCTGCCTGAGATGCAAAATCTCGGGGCATCCGCGGCAGCGGAGATCCAATAGGCCGATCCTCTGGCCGTGGGCTCAATGGCAGGCCCGGGCTCTTCGGCATCGACGCTATAGAACGCCCGTTCGAGGCGGAGGGGTTGGATCGAGAGTTCAAAACCGATCCCAGGGACCCAGTTGCGCCGACGTTCGGTGGCGATCTCGTAACTAGCTCACGAGGTACCGGGTTGCCACTGGCAGATGCACCAGCATCCTGTGAGCCATGCGGGACCTCAAACTTGGCTGCACCCACGGAACCGTGAGCACCCATATCTTTCTGCAAGGCAGTCTCACGGTCCCGGTCATCTTCCTCGCGTGTTTTTCTCCTTCCGCGCTCCGAGCTCGATCTCTCCTCCGCGATCTGTCCATTCTCGTAGTCGGAGTCGGAATCAGCGTCTACAATCTCCTCGCGGGGATGGCCGCCTTGTCGGAGGTTCAAGGGCGCAGGAGGTGGCTTTCGAATCGGATGCGGGAGCCTTTGCGAATCCGATCCAATGGGAGAGGAAAGGCTCCCTGCTGAACGAGGGCTTGCGTCGGTTCCTCCTCGAGGTAGCCCAGACGTCGCAATCGGGGGAATAGCCGTTGCTTGTTCGAATCCTCGATCCACGCCCCTCTGCTCGTTACTCGGGACAATTGTAGCCTGGCTAGCACGAGCATCCGCGTCGGCCAAGATCGTTCGCGGGACCGAGGTATCAACAGCTGGTACCGGAGGCGCAGAGTCCTGTAGTTCTTTGAGTTTCTTTTTATATTTTTCCTTTTCTTTAAACGCGCGATCCAGATCCTTGTTGAGGCCCAGGATGAGTGTCCTCTGTTTGTCAACCAATTTCCACAACTGAGAGTTCTGCGATGCAGCTTGGTGTTTCTCCTTCAGGAGGTGCACAATCACTGCTTCCGCGGAGCCAGCAGCGGTGATAAGGTTGCTAATATCGGCCGGACTCAAGGTTTTGACATCGAAGGCCGATCGCTGTGAAGTAGAGGACAAAGAAGAGATGGCCGAGTCAATCGACGAGGTGCGAGGCATGGCGCGTGGAGTTGGACGCTCCCCGGGTGCCGACAGCACAGAGCTGACAGATGACGACGCGGAGCGATCGGGCTCGGACACACCAGGCGGTTTGGCAATATTGCCATCGCCATGCCTGCCGGTCATGTCGACCTGGTCCGCGCTCATCCTCTCGGGGAACTGGGATATGAGGTGGTGAGCAGCGTTCGAAGGAGGTGCCGGGAACGGCGCATTGGCAATACGAGATATAGGTGAACGGTTTTGGGAGGGAGACGGATTGGCGCTGGATCGTGGAGAAAGCGGACTTTGAGAAACGGGGGATTCTTCGAGTCGATATGATTGAGGAAGGGAGTTGGTATGCAGAGGTGAAGGTGAGATATGGCGAGTTCCAGGAGGCTCGGATCGCGCGCCTAGGTAATCTCGAGGAATGAGACCAGTATTTAGAGGCGGGTATACAGAAGGCTGCGGTTGATTCCTGGAGGGCCCCGGTGAACCCTCTTCACTGCCTCGCCGCTGCGACATGATTCAGGGATCAGCATCAGAGGGGTCTGACGGACTGGGGGGGGAGGAGCAAAGGCCCAGGAGGGGGGCGTGAGAGGGCGGGATGGCGGGTCCTCGGAGCTGAAGCTTCGGGCAGGAAAAGAAAGGGGGAAGAACGTGTCTCAGCCAGAGTCAAAAGAATCAAACAGACAACCCGGGGACTTGGTTTCTCCCAGAGCCGGTGGTGGAGTTAGAAAATGAGAAAGAAGGAAGAGAGAGAAAAGGGGTGTGACATTGGGAACTCTCATTTGATTTTAATTATTCTGGTGTTTAGTTCGTCACTTTGCGAGGGTTCACCAGTGGAGCCACCGCGGACGATCGTGATGAAGAAGTGACAGCTAAACCAGAAACGAACAAGACAGACGAGGAACGAGAAATGAGGGTTTTTGTGGCGATCCGCTTTCCCGGTTTCTGAACCTGCTTCGGCTGTGAGAATTTCCCTACTAAAATGAGCATTGAAATTAGTTGCTCATAGAGAAAACTAGACAGAGGAATGGCAAGAAAGATACAAAGGGCAAACCTAAAAAGACCTAAGCTTTAGTATCTCTAATAATCCTCCGGTCTAGATTCATTCGGAAAGTAGTTGAAATACGGTAATCAAGGATTTAGTCCTGCGCGAGAGATATCTAGAGAACGAGAAATTGGCGTACGATACAAGCCAGTGAAATTGTGTAGAGAGGAGCGAGTTTCCGCTCACAAGAAGAGAAGATGGAATAGATCCATGATATGCTCCAAACTCCTCAAAATGCGAAAAGTTGCTATGATACAGAGTCCCCAACGCCAAGATGACTTCGCACCAGATGCCGGAGAAGAGCCATGAGATAGGTATGAATGTACAGAATCATGCGATGTTGCCAGCCATGCCTATGAAGATGGCCTGGGCAGCCAGTTGAAGGGACCAAAACCCGACCTTCTTGAAACGCCGCTTACGGGCTTCATCGTCTACGACGTCTCGCGCAAACGCATCGTAGGTCTATCGAAAGGCGTTAGTATGCACGAAAGATAGCAGCAAAGAATACACGGGCAAATATGCTTACCGCAGCTGACAGATCGTCCATCAAGCCACTGTCGAAGATAGTCCAGCTTCCATCAAAGTCACTGGCACGTTTGACAAGACGACAGTTGATCGGGATAAACGTGCGTTTGGAGTTAATGTAAGCAACAATGGGTCGAATAAGAGCGTTGTTGATGTAGGAGAGGTCTCGAGTGAATATTGGAACCACGGCGCGGACATTGTTGAGATGAACCCGCAGGTCCATTGCAATGAAGCGCTTGTCGGCCTCGGACAACGACTCTGAGTCTTTTTGAGATCGCTGAGACAAGGTCTCTGAGTATTGGTTGGAGGTGACGGTGGCCTCTAGTCGGTCGTAAAAGTCTGCCATTACCTTGGCAATGCTCTCATCGTTTTCAGCCGGGAGCATAATGTCGGCAACAATATCCACGGTTCCTTCGTGGATCCATGAGAATGGACCCTGGACACCACGGTTGAGATGGTCGATATTCAATCCGTCGACCCGGATACGATTGTGTTTCTTCCATGGGCTGGGTTTGCCATCTTCCATACCATCCTCCAGGCGAGCTCCGGTAAAACCGTGAGTTTGGCGAGGGTGAATTGTGAAGAGCGAATTGTCAAATGACCCGGACATCATGTTGGCGGAGAGGAAATCATAGAAGAGCCACTGCTTTCGGAGCTGAGGGAGGTCGCATGAGAAGATGCTGACGGAGAAAGGTCTAAAGTTATCAGGCTGGTATATTGAAACGAGCACATCGTGCATCTTGAATGAATCAATCTCGAAATCTCCGGGGTTATGTTCGTGGCGATAAGACAAAGGGTCTAGATCTTCATCTGGCCACCAAACCTGGCGGCGATCGACTACACCCCGAATGCCCTTGACCTCGACATCCCGGAGGGGGCCCTTTCCGTTGAGCCATTTCGTAAATGACAATGTCACGTTGACGGTTTCGATGGACAGGTCAAATTGGGTGTAGTTCGTATCTTCTTCTTCTTCTTCTTCTTCTTCTTCTTCTTCTTCTTCTTCTTCGTCGGGTACTGCCGAAGGATCCTCGGACCCGTGTTCGCGGGCTGCTGCGGCTGCTGCGGCCGTCGTGGGGGAACCTTTGCTAACATATCCAGTGCCTTGCCCAGGCCGTCTTGACACAAACACATTTTTAAAGGTAATCACACCGCCTCTCCATGTAGGAACGATGGCAGATTCAAAGACAACCTTTATCCCAGATGACTTGGTCAGGTAGTTGCCCACCCACCCGGCGAGTGTTTCTATTAAAACAGTTAGCAGCCATTTTAATTGCACCCAACTTATACCTCGGTGACATACCTTGCGCAAAGACTGTATTGATAGCAAGGATGAGAAGTGAAAAGAATGTGGTAGTTCCAACCACGATCCAAACCACATGACCGAGAAGAACCCATGAGAAAAGCGCCGTAATCTCATCTAAATTGAAAGGCCGGACACTTCGGATAGAAAACCACTTGAATCGCACCTTGAGGCGCGACCAAAATCCCGTTGCTGCAGCCAGTAGCTCTTCTTTCGTTGGTCGGTGTAAATGGGGCATGTGCGGCAAACGATCCATTAAATGGTGGCGATGAGGAGGTGTAGTTGAAGACGTAGAGGGGGGCGAATCTTGCGAGGCGTTTGAGTGAGAGGATTGAGGGGGGAGGTCGTCAGTCATTTGGACTTTTTGTGTATGTTCGTCATCTTTAACAGGAGATTTGGAGCCATTAGAAGAGGCTCCTTCGCGTAAACGGTCATTCGGAGTATGCAAAGCTCGCTTCCAGATATACTGCGAGGTCAACTTTTTTGATGGGATAATGCAAGCGGCGCTAGTTTCGGCCGCTGTCGAGCTCGACGACACGAGGACGAGAAAGCCGCCAGAAGCAAATCGCCGCGTGAGCTGGGTGGGCTTTCCGGGTGGTGCTGATAAGCGTTTATGGGCGAAAATCGAGTCAAAGGCAGTTCTCGACGAGGCATCGGGACCGGGCACGCGATTCGGTCGTATGCGGCCGAGGAATGGATGTGCCGATTCCCAAATATGGGCGTATAGCCGGCGTCCGAAATTGGCGGACATTTTGGGGACTTCACATCCTGTGGTCTGTTGAAGAAAACAGGAGAGAGCGCGAGAGGTCGAGGCTCGGGCGGCCAAAGCTTAGAATGGGGAAGCATGAAATCATCGGGCGTTTGTCTTGTTTGCACCGAAAAATCCAGCGGGCGCCCACACTTCTTTTTTCGGCGAGGGGCCCGCCACTGATAATTTCTGCGATAACAGATTATTCTCGACTTTTTTTTCGTACGGACTTTTGCCAATACATCAACAACAATGGTTGCCCCGACTGCCCTTCGCCAACCGGCGGAATTTTCTGCCCTTCAGCAGCCCGTTCAATCCATGGGCTAGTACCAACAAAATACGTCCCGATCGAGTACTTTGCGCTAACTATTTTACTAGACCAGGATGATGAGGTCTTGATCGATGCCCAGGGAACGACAGAGCCCGATGTCGCCAACCCCGTTGCAGAGCCCACGGCAGACACCGAGATGCGCATCGACGAAGAGGGCCGCCCCGTTTTCACACCTGCGAAGGAGACCAGTACCGCTTATCGCATCGAGTCTCGCAAGGTGCCCGTTCCTCCTCACCGCATGACGCCCCTCAAAGCCAACTGGACCAAAATCTGCCCTCCTATCGTCGAGCACCTCAAGCTCCAAGTGCGCATGAATATCAAGAGCCGTGCTGTGGAACTCCGAACCTCCAAGTTCACCGCGGACGTTGGTGCTCTCCAAAAGGGTGCAGACTTTATCCGGGCTTTCACTTACGGCTTCGATATCGATGATGCGATTGCTCTTCTCCGATTGGACGACCTTTACATCGAGACTTTCGAAATTAAGGATGTCAAGACCCTCAACGGAGAGCATCTTGGTCGTGCGATTGGTCGTATTGCTGGCAAGGACGGAAAGACCAAGTTTGCTATTGAGAACGCCAGCCGAACCCGTGTGGTGCTGGCAGACCAGAAGATCCACATTCTGGGTGGCTTCAAGAACATTCACATTGCCCGTGAGGCTATTGTCAGCCTCATTCTCGGTAGCCCTCCTGTAAGTGACTGCTACAACTCTCTTTCGAGCTTCTCTCTTCTAACACAAAACAGGGCAAGGTCTATGGCAACCTCCGAACCGTTGCTTCTCGCATGAAGGAGCGATTCTGATTTATACACATCTATATCGATTCCCGGCATGGTATGGGCGTTCAGGAGCATTTTCAATTGGGTCTCTTTTTTACAAGATATCTTACACGCGTGACGACATCAAGATTACAAATCTTGAATAAAAATTATCCAGTCTTTCTTTCACATATACTTGAACAAAGTGATTCACCCAAGTCAAAAAATTCCTTGCATTAGAAAACTATCGTAGACAGAAATGACACCCTTCCTCTAATCCTTCTTCAGAGGGTGATACACCTCCTCAATTCCAGCCTTGGTGATAATGACCATTTGCAAATTATCACCAACCTCAATGTGTCGCTCCACTGCACTCGTGAAGGCGTCCCGTACAAGACCCTTGACTGTTTCTAGAGGCAGAGGCTCGGGCTTCTTCGCCACAAGGGCATGACCCTCCCCACTTCCAGGAATGTATTGGTTCTTGAAGTTGACCTGGTTATCCAGGAAAGGCATGATCAAGCTCGCAGCAGCACCGGCAGCACGGCATTGCTCCCTTTCGTATGAACCCACGGGGTCGTAGCTGTACAAAGCACCCTTGCCCTCCTCATCCAGACCGGCCAAGATAGCGTGTACGTAGTAAGGGAAGAACCGCTTCTGGTATAGAATAGTCGACAAGCGCTGGGCACAGGCGGAGACGGACATGGGTTTCCCGTGCTGGTACTTGTACATCTTCACCACGGTATCGAGTCGTTCCTTGAGGGCAGTGCCATCGGCGGCGAATCCCACCACGGAGAGGATGATGTTGGCGCCCTCGCCTGTCTCGTCATCACCGCCAATCTTGAAGACCTTGGGAACCATGCGAGAGTTGATATTGTAGCCGGATGTGGAACGGGTGTCGCCAGCCAGGATGGCGAAATCGGAACCTGTGATGCCCAGAGTGGAGCCACCATTGTCCGTGTAACTAGGGAAAGATGAGAGTGTAAGCTAAAGATTCGAAATCTGGTGGGTTGGAAGCTTCGTACGGGTAGAATCCATGTTGCTTGACACCAGCTGTGGACTCAGAGAAGGAGTATCCGACAGTCTCACGAGCTTGGTGATCCATGAGCGACGTCATCTTGAGGGTGATTGATAGTTTCGGGGTTCTATGAAGCTTGAAATAGGTTCAGAGGAAAGGAAAGAAAGAGGTTGGAGGAGAGAATGGGGGGATTTCGTTGAGGTAGTTAGCAATGGAGGCTGTCCGGGTGTCTGACGCGATGCTGTAGCTGCCTCGCTTATGTAATGCCGCGGCGGGCGGGAGCTGTTCCCTTGGCTTGCCCAGGAACTGGAGCTTGATACACTTCTTAATAACACCTTTTGAGCGATAAAGAAACGGCTGAGACGACTTTTGGGTGGCAACCTGACTGTTTGAGCTTTGAATTAGCGAACTTGGGTTACCAATCTTCCAAGAACTCCGCGCCAAAGAACAGCACCATGCTCGGTCTCGATGCATACGGAAGCAGTAGCGAGGATGAAGTCGAGATCAAGCCTACTCCTCAATCGCAATCAACAGTATGGCGATCCTGCAATTATTTACAGAATATGACTGACTCTGAGCTCAGCAGCGCGAAAAACAGCCCCCGGTTGTGCCGAAGCAACCCGTCCAGGACACCAGTTAGTTCCCTTCACTTTCTTACTCAGTTGATGCGCTTCCATACTAACGCTCCTTACTCTTCTAGAACCAAATCCTGCCGCTCAACCAGATCATCAACCGCAAATCCAGCCCAGTCAATCTATCAACGAAGCTCCCAATGGTCCAGCTCTCGGTCCCGCATCCGGCCCCGCGCCTATGAACCGGACACAATCGCCAGAAGGTCCTTCAACGAGCGGTCGTTCCTCGCCTTTCTCGACCACACGAGCTCTAGTGCACGACTTGACGCTTCCGCCAGTCCCTAATTTGGATATTCCACCTTCACCCCCGGGTTCACCGAACGCCGCAGCAAATGCCAAGTTTGAGCATTTCCTCTCCCTCAAGAAACAGGGCATTCATTTCAATGCAAAGCTAGCCAGCTCCTCGTCCCTACGAAACCCTAGCTTATTGATGAAAATGATGGAGCATGCGGGCATTGATGAGCAGTCACAATACAACACGGCTTTGCCATCGGATCTTTGGGATGTCTCTAACCTTCCCAAATGGGCTTTCAAGGAGGAGCTTCTCAAGACTCAGCAGGAGGCTCGCCAGAAACAAGAAGAGAAGAACGCTGTGGGCCAGCGGTCGTCTATCGAGTTTGTCTCTGGGGCGGATGCAAAGAGGAAAGCCCCATGAATTGAAATTTGTGGGATCCTGAAATGTCCTCTATCACGAGATGGCCAGTTTCTCAGACACATCTAGTTCTTGAAAGACCTAGAACAACTCGCTAGTGACTACAAGCCCATCAGCCCAGCCCTTGGACTACGAGCACCAGGGAGTTCGTCCCTCACCACATATCATTCGAGACGGCCCTTCCCATGCCCAATGGAGAAGTTTATCAAGCGGTCTCAGGCGACGGTCAGCATGGGCCGTGCTTCGGCTTCCGCCAAAAAACCTGGGGAACTCGGGATTGGGGCTCTCTCTGGGCCCCCGGAACAGCGTGACACGAAGGCCTTGCTCTCGCATTTGGTGCCTTAGCCCAACATGCAATGATACAGGTACCTTAGTGGTACCTGCATCTGATACCCACCATCTCGTTTGTACTATAATAAGCTAAATCTGCAATGATAGTGTTAGCAATTTGAAGAACCAAAATCACGTCTACAAATCCACAAAAAATGTACTTCGGCTGCATCGTAGTCCCAAATAAACAATGATCTCATAATATACAAGACGAGGGAACATCACAGAGGGAACATCAAAGAGGAAAAATTACGCATATCAAGCCATGGCTAATCAGCATACGAGCGACATGACCTTACGAGCATGCCAGTTCGAACCCACATACGATCTGCCAGAGATACTTCATCGTCCCAGTGTTCCATAACTTCACCTGGTGGACGAGCGATGGCGCATGATAAAATCAACGGCTAGATAGAAAATCAGGCAATAAGACCGTTTCGCGAAAGTGCCGGGTTGAACCCTCGACTTCTCGTTCTCCATATAAACTCATCTCGATGCTGTTCAGAGCGCCAAAAATGCCGATTGACGTTCCCCTTGGCCAGGCTCGATGCCGCATGCAACAATATAACACCGTTTTCTACACCACTAACACGCTTGAGATTTTTAAAAGATATACGAAATCAATAGTCTACTCTCAAGGATTACAATGATATAAAATTATCAAGAAAAATATGAAAAACATTTGTTAACCCGGCCACCAGGGCCGATCCCACCCGCCCACCCGAAGCCGCCACTGCCGGGGTCGCGCATCCACAGCGCTTTTGATAGCTTCTGATCCAGCTTTCTGCAACCTCATGGCAGTCCTCCAATTCCCGGAAGTGGCGACTGTGTGAAATATTCCACTGCACCACCCGGGGCTCCGGGTACTGGGAACGGGAGGAAGTAAATGATAACACTTCGGGTCCTTGCATTTGGGGATCTATTTCGGCTTATGGCCGACCCATGAGATACAGTTTTGAGGATCCTTATATTGATGGTTTCAACGTGCAATATTTTGGTGCTTCAGCCTGTAATTTAGAAATCCATATCATTCATGTAGCCATACAAGTTTCAGTATAGTTCTTCAGCCATGGAGCAGCAGTCTTAATTATTGTCTGTTCTCGACGTCTTCTCGAATATCTGGTTTCAAGACAGCACCCCAACAGACTGATCTCCTTTCAACCTCCACCGCCACCTCCTCCTCCACCAGAAGCCTTCTCGAACACACTCAGTCCAGAAATCAACACCATCTTATCAAAGTCCTCGCCATGCTCCGCACGAACCTGCAGTTGACCACACTTGGTAACCGACCTCTCCCTCGAAAAAACAGCCACAACCTGCCCGGTCTTCTCATCAACCATCTTAAACGACCGCATACTCAACGGGAAAGGCCTCGTATCCTCCACCTTGACGCTATGCGTACGTTTCCAAACAAACACCCGTCGCTCTCCATGTCCATTTCCCTGCACGCCGGGAATGGTCATCTCAAATCGATATCTGGAGTGGATGGGCGACTCTCGGACCATATCTTCCCACAGGGTGCTTTTCAGGTCTTCCGGGTCACCCAGTGCTAGTTTACAGTCTGCAGAGAGTTTGAGGAACTTGGAGGCTGCTATGATGGGTGCTTTTTTGTCGGTGCCGGCGTGGAGAGTGAGTTCGGGCTTGTTGTGTGTGAAGGATGAGATGTTGACGTAGTAGATTGGTTTGTCGGAGGGGGATTTGATGTCGTAGTGCCTGCGGAAGGCGGGTTTGTAGATATGGTAGATGCGTGAGGAGCTGGTCTCATCGACGTCGAACTCTGCGGGGACAGAGTCGATTGTGTCTGTTCTGGTTGGTGGGGAGGACATGTCGTTGACTTGTTGCGTCTTGGTACAGTTTGAAGAGGATTGTATAGTATAGTAGGAGTATAGTACGAGTAGAAAAGAATATGGAGCTTCGTAGGTCGGAGGGAAATATTTGTTGGTATTTAAACTTGCTATGTGCTGAATCATAAGTCGTATTCTGTTTTTGACGCATGACCTTGGTGCAGTGAGGTTGTTCCAATGGACGATATGATCGGCGGATACGAAGCTATCCATGGCCAAGAGGCTGAGCGTCGGGCAGTATCCTATGAGAAGCGCTCTCCCGTTTGTCCACCGCATACCCGAATACGATGTGTTCCCGGATTTGGATAATGGGGCAACGGGGCAGAATAAGTGCATCAAAGGGTCCAGTATTCAAGACGCAAACGTTGATTTAAAGTTGCTACATGTGATTACTGAGTTGGCGCATCATACCATCAGACCTCCAGTCTTCTCCAGAGTATATAATCGACGGAAATAAGGTTGCTTGATCGGGCTCAAACTTGGAACAACGAAGGTATACCTTTTTGTTATTTTGGGTGGCCATTTTATACTTTGCATATCTAGAAGTAATTTCACCTACAAAGAGAAAGAAACTATAAGCTAAATATACACAGTAGCTGGCCTTATGCACTGGATAGAAAGACTTCTAGAAGCTCGGTGCGAGTATTAAACGGTGGAAAGCTCAGAAAATTGTCTATTTTCCACAGAGCATGTTGGAGGCAACTCGAATACGAAAAGATCACAGACACTATATTTTCCAGTAGTAATCAAGCAAATTATCAGTTTTGTCCATTGATTCTAGTCGTGTACTTCCGAAGCGCCAAACGCGCGTGTAGAACCAAATGCTGAGTCAGCCAGAGCTCCGTCAGCTCGCCTGCCTAAGCTCTCCAGTCTCCGGCGTATCGTCATCGCTCAACCCCAACTCCAGCTCTCCCTCCCTCATCCTCTCGACTCTATCATCTCTCCATCACTTATTTCGTCTTCCACATACTCAATTCATAATGGACCACTTTCCAGGAACCTGGGGCCGGGTAAGCCTACCTTCTGCCACGCTAAACACCCTGTTGTCCATCGCTAACATAGACCTTTGCAGCCCAGGAACGATGTCTACGGAGCTTACGACCCTTCATATCTCCAGAGCACGGGCCCCAAAACACATACCACCTCGCCGGCCGTGACCGGTACGTCGGTCGTGGGTGTGAAGTTTAACGGCGGTGTCGCCTTGGCCACCGATAACCTGGGTATGCCAGTAGCCCTTCTCCCTTCCATTCAGACATCAAGGAAACAAAAAGTCTAACTCCATCTTAATCGGATGACAGCCTCCTATGGATCCCTTGCCCGCTTCACAGACACCAAGCGTCTGCGCGTGTTCGGCGACCAGGCCGTGGTCGGATTCGGCGGCGACGTGTCGGACATGCAATACCTTGACCGACTCCTCGAATCGATCGATATCCGCGAGAACTACTCTTCCCACGGCAACATGCTCAATGCCAAGAATCTGCACACCTACCTCGCCAAGGTCTTCTACAAGCGACGCTCCGAGTTCAACCCCCTGTGGAACCACGTGCTGGTAGCCGGCTTCGACGGCGAGGGCAAGCCGTTCCTCAGCTCTGCGGATCTGCTGGGCACCACGTTCTCTGCGCCGCACTTGGCGACTGGATTCGGTGCTCACTTGGCAGTTCCGATTCTGCGTCGGTTGTTCCCCGAGGAGAAGCCGATTGAGGAGATTAGCCGGGAGGAGGCGGTGGATGCGTTGAAGCAGTGTTTGAAGGTTCTGTTCTACCGTGATGCGCGGAGTCTGGATAAGTACTCGATAGCGGTCATTACTAAGGAGGGTATTGACTTGAAGGAGGATGAACAACTGGAGGGACAGAGCTGGGCGTTTGCCGAGAGGATCAAGGGATACGGAGCTCAGACGGTTTAGATCATGCTATAGCCTCTACGTCTTTTGTTTTCCAGCTAATTTACCTACATGAAGAGCCTAATGGATCTCTGTCAGGGAGCACCATGAATTGATTATATGAACTGATCGTATCGTATTGAGAATGTGCGTAGATGATAAACTGGATATGTATGATGACTGGCATCAGGTGGGTATATATAGAGAGCATCGACTACGATCTTCGCTCTTTTGCTCAATTCCCATCACAGCTTCGGGTTGGGCTTATCAAAGACCACACGGTTGGAGATCGACCCCACTCCCTCGAGGGAGACCTCGACCTGATCGCCATCCTTCAGCCACAGAGCAGGCTTACGGCCCATACCCACACCTTGGGGACTATACCAAGTCAGTATTATATCAAAATAGCAAATGGACAAGGAGATTCCTGGTGCACTCACGTTCCAGTAAAGATCAAATCGCCAGGCAACAAAGTAGTTCCCTGCGACAAGAAAGCAATAGTCTTGGCCACACCAAAGATCATATCCTTGGTGGACGACGACTGCACCGTCTCCCCATTCAACTTAGTCCCAATATGCAAGGCATTCGGGTCCCGAATAATCCTCGACGAAACAATTCCCGGTCCAAACGGCGCCCAGCCATCAAATCCCTTACCCAACCCCCACTGCCCACCACCACGCTTAATCTGCCAATCGCGATGCGAAACATCATTACCAACCGCATAACCAAGCACATAATCCAACGCATTCGCCTCGGAAACATTCCTGGCCTCCTTCCCAATAACGATCACAAGCTCGCATTCATAATCCAGTCCCTCGCCTTCCTGCGCAATAGGCGCAACAGGGATATCATCCGTGGGCCCGGAGATGGCGGTTACGGGCTTGAAGAAGAGGACGGGGAATTTGGGGATGGGCAGGTTGGATTCTTTGGCGTGTTGTTCGTAGTTTAGGCCCAGGCAGCGGACGGTGCGGATGTCTTTGCGGGCTAGGGGGGCGAGCAGCATGCGCACGTCGGCGATTTGGTCGGTGATGCGGTGGGTGCCAAAGATGTCGCCGGTGATAACGCGGGCTTGAGTTGCTTTGGCGACGTCGGAGATGCCGGTTGGGAGGAGGGCGTCGCCGTAGTAGACGTGGCCGTCTTTGGCGAGGAAGCGGATTAGACGCTGGAGGGACTGTTAGCTGTGGATGTTCTCTGGAGAGGTGGATGGTACTCACTGAGAAGGTGGCCATGATTGTAGAGTCGTGAGTTCAATGATGGTCTGTCTGGAGATTCGGGGAATGGAGGTATATATAGCTCGAGCCTATAGATACAATTGTAGACAGACTCGGAAAAATCAGGAAGGATAGGAGAAAAGAAAAGAAAGTCAGATAATCTCAGCAGATCCGTTGATAAAGAATAACGATAGCTGGGGTAATTCTCCCGGACTCGTCATTAATAATTTCTCCCCCCACTCTCTCCCCTAGAAATTCCAGATTTCATCATTTTCATTCGGCCGGGAAAATGCCAAACGCCCCCATCCCGCCCCGGCGGAAAACGGAGGAGCTCCCCCAGCTCTAACCCTACTCAACTCTGGGAGCTTGGACAACCACTCAAGGACCTACTAGTCTATGACTACTCCTATCCCGTCCACTCGGTGATTACCATTCGCTCGATTCCCCGCAAAAGAGTCCCTCCACCGAGTTCCTCCCCCCCCATGGCGCGGCTCTCCGGTCTACAGCGGGAGGTTCTATCCCTGTACCGGCAGTGCCTGCGTGAGGTCCGCAAGAAGCCTATCGTACGTGGATTATTCTTTGGTATCCCAGACTATATGAAGCAATTAAACCTCAGATCTCGCTTCAACCTCTTGTCTCTATCCCTTCTAACATTTCCCATCTCATCTTTTTTCCACAGGACTCTCAACCCAATTTCAAAAACTACGCCCGGTATGTCCTCTACTCTGCAGTCCTCATTCCCGTCCGTCTAGTCGCCTATGTCTCTCTAGCCATCGGTGCATTCCGGCTGACGAGTATTGTCGGCGTAGTGCGGAATTCCAAAAACATCTCTCGGTGAATAAGAAGGACTTTAGTGCCATTGAATATCTTCTACGAAAAGGTCATCGTCAGCTGGAGATGTATGCTTCTCCGGGCATTCGCAATATCCGATGAGGTCCGTCGTGTCACATCATCCTCTCGGAGAGTCCTGAGTCCTCTGGAGGATGACTATTATCAACTTTCCTTTCCGGCTTTTTCTCGTATGTCTATTCGTGCTTTGGCTGGTTTCTCCATGTCTTTCCCGTCTGAGAGTGCTTATGGATTTTGTATAGCTTCTTGTCTGAATACCACCTTAAGCTGTCCGATTCTTTCCGACACGAGGTGTTGTCGGGGTTGAGATGGTGATGGTCTACTGTATTATAGCTACACTCCGTACTGGTCGAGGCGAGCTTGGCCCCCGCCTGTAGGATATATTTGTCATATTTTTTTGTGTAAATGTACATTTAGTCTGATCAAGCCTCTGCCTAATCCACTTTGTAGTAAATTGTATCATTTCATCGATGACTATGCTACTGACAAATCTAAGATTCGTCTCTTCTATAGCCATCTACGCCTTGCCAGATATATATTGTAAGCAGCTCGGAGCTCTATAGTCATAATATCCGAAGCTAGGGACGATTATTCATACATTAATTCCATAATCGCAATATCTTCTTAGCGTATCACCTAGAATAATCATCTATACACCCTTATACCACCGTTTTGGTGGTGGATGTTTCCAGATGATTGGAGAAACTACCAGAATCGCCTTCCCGATTCGGGAATTCGCCGCCCAATCAGTCAGCGTCGACCATCATCTCAAGTATATAACAAGCAACACAGTCAGTCCAAAACCCCATCATCCATCTTTTCAATCATCTCCAGATCTCCACAGATCAAAAACAACTCAATCTCAATTCATCTACAAATCCCAAACAACATTCCAAGATCCACCACAATGGCCTTCTTCCAGTGCACATCAGACTTCTCCCCACTCTTCCGCCTTCTGGACGACTACGAGACCCACCTCTCCCGTCCCGCACCAACCAAAGCCTCCAGATGTAAATCGACATCTACATCTACTACTCGAACCCGCCGCACAGTCTTCATCCCCGCCTTCGACGTGCGCGAGTCAAACGATGCCTACCACCTAGACGGTGAGCTCCCAGGCGTAGACCAAAGCAACATCGACATCGAATTCACAGACCCGCAAACTCTAGTCGTCAAGGGTCGCACCGAACGCAACTACACCTCCACAGTTCCATCTGCCTCTTCGCCACAGATCGAGGCTCGTGGCCAGGACACTCCCACCACAAGCGCTAGTCGCACCCCGTCTCCATCATGGCAACAGCCCACCGTCGAAGATGATGACGAAGACGATGATGGAAATGTCTCCGACGCCCGCTCGTCAACTGCCAGCGTTCGCTCTGCGTCAAGCACCCGGTCAACATCAGCCGTGATCGTGGAGAAGCCTGCCCCCGCGCCTGCAGAAGAGTCTCCTTCATCATCTTCCACCCCCTCTACGGACCACTACTGGATTGCAGAGCGGTCTATCGGGGAATTCCAGCGTACGTTCGCTTTCGCCGCGCGCGTGGACCAAGATGGTGTTCGTGCCGCGCTGAGGAATGGTATCTTGTCTATCGTTGTGCCGAAGGAAGCTGCGCCTAAGATGAAGAAGATTCGCATTTACTAAGTGAATGCGGATTGACATTAATGGATGATTTGTCTATGTCTATGAATTATGCTATTTGCATTAGATTGGATTGATGAATGACATCGCATGGCATCTTGGCGCGACATGGCTCGGACACGTTTTGGATTTGGAATCGAATTCGGTATAATGTTTTGGGATTTGTATGATAAATTTGTTATTTGTCTTTTTATGTATGGAATGAAATGAATAATAACAATCACTTATAATAAATACCCCCTATTCCTGCTCTGTAAGATCAGACAACAATCTCAGAACAAATCACTCATCTGCCTTTCCATATCTTTATTTAAATACTGTAGTCATTGGCATATGACATGTAAAAGACCCCGTAAGCTTTCTAAGCGAACAACTCCCAGCATAACATGATGCCGTCGAATTCAGATTCACATCCCAATTCAAATCCAGGCCTGCATGCCCTCCTTGCGTCCCAGCCGCCCCGACAACGAACCCTACATAAGACTATAAGTGAGAGCAGACCCTGGCCCATCGACCGTCCACGCGGTGAAGAAAAAAAAATCAAAATTAAATACTCAAACAGAAAAAATGCCACATGGCACGCGTCCCCTTACTGCGGTTCCTAGGTCTTGCAGATTGATAATTCGGATGCAGGGCAGGGATGAGCTCGGGAGGTTGGGCGGGTAATCCAGTGGAAATTTAGAAAATCTACGTAGCAGTATTGAATCTAGAATGCGTAGCGGTGTTGAGTCGAGTCTATTGACAATTTGACAGCACAGGAACCAATATGCCGGCATACATACTCCGTGCTTGCTATTGTGGCGTCCGAACTCGGAGCTGAAATGAGTACCGGCAATGCAGTGGACAGCGCAATAAGCGCAAAAAGAAAATACCATCAGAGGCGAGACTAATCAGATCTTGATCAGTAATCAAAATCAAATTCGATTTCAAATCAGAAATTAATTCAACACATAATAAAGATTGCCAAACACCGCGCGTCAGTCAGCATGCTTGTGAATATGGGGCTAGTTCAGTTAAAAAATAAGAACAACAAAACACCATGAACGCCCGTGTATAACACCCAATAAATCACTTTCAACGAGGGTATATATCGATAAAAATCAATCCGAGTACTCCGATTTCACAAAAACAGAGTATCCAAAATATGACACCGTAAATAAGAACCACCAAAACAAACCCCGGCACAGCAACGCCGAGGAGAAAGCAAACTTTTCGTGTAGATGGGGAATCTCAGCCAAGAATTAGAACCCCGAAATGGAGCCGAGCCCAGATCGAACCATCAAGCCACCAAACCAAGAGAATGAAAGTAAAAGAATGAAGACACTGTCGCTCATATCTGTAACTGTAAAGAGGGGGCATAACAGGAAGTAAAAAAGATCGTCACATATGAATTTCCGCCTGAGGACGCGCCTTGACCAACTTGCGACGGCGAAAGTCCTGACTCCGACTGCGAGGCCGGCCACGGACAGTCTCGGGTGCATACAAGTCAATGTCCACTTCATCCTCGTAGAGATTATCCGGGGACATAATCGTGGGGAGAGGAGGGATCTCGATCCCAGGCTTCTGGGACCAGACCCGGCTGCCAGGGCGGCTTCGGGATCTTGATCGATACGCGGGTAATTCGTGTTTCCCTTTCACATCGACGTAGCGCTCCGATGCAGACCGGTGCATCTGGCTGCGGGCACTGCTGCCCCCGCGCTGCTGGTAGCTCGGCGGTGTGTCCGTCCCCAGTGACGTGGAAGAGCTCAGGCTGTGCGAAACATCAAGTCCGGCGGTGGTCGAACAGCGATCCGCATACAACCGCCCCCGAGAGTAAACCTGCTCTTCGTGAACGGCCACTTCGCCCGTGGAAACCGCGGAATCGAGCTCGATCTTCTGCGCCGGATACTCGGTGTATCGGGGAGCACACAGAGTTGATCGGCGAGTTCGCAAGGCAGCAAGGGGTTTCTCGGTTCCTGGGCCGATCGAATCGTACCAGCGATCAAAATTGGGATGTAGCCGCGAGTAGTTCCCCGTCTTGTACTTGGCTTCATGCAGGCTGAAATGCCGCTGAATCTCTTCGTGGCGGTGATGGCTGCGGGACTGGTCACAAGTGACCCAGACGGTCTTGGCGTGGCCGTCTGCAGTGCAGGAACCGGAGGTCTGCGAGTCGAACGATGCGCGTGAGCGGCTGTGGTGGTAGGAGCTGACGGAAGCTGCTGAGCTGTAGCCGCTGTCGGACTTGTTGAGTGAATGGGTGGTGCTTCGATCCAGACCGGTGTCTGCTGCAACTTTGTCCGTATGGCTGGTGCTGTCATCGAACATGGCGATTCCCTCATCTTCCAACTCGCTCGGGAAGATCGACTTTGATGGCGGGGCAGTTGTGACTGAGGGGGACTTTTCGAATGAGAATGGACTGCCTGGAACGTCGTCGGATTTCTTCAGGTCAGGTACCGCGGGAATCTCCAGGGTAGACTTGATCCGGCCCATAGTATCGACATTGTCCAGGCCGAGACCAGGCTGATTGAGAGGAACCCGTTCGCTGGGGCATGGAGACGCAGAGCCATTCACAACTCGTAGAGATCCCAACTTTAATGCTCCAAGTTGCGTGTATTTACTGTCTGGCGGACTGGTTGGTCGTATCGGGGGTGCCGCAGCAAGCTCTGGTCTCTGGCGCGGTGGTAATGGCCATTGTAAGACTCCAGAGTCGTTTAGATCATCGAGAGGATCCGTAGGTTCGCCAATTGGAGGTGGTACGCGACTGGCGGCGGGAGTTGTTCGCCTTGTAGCTACGCCAGGTCGAGTCAAGAGAGAACGTCGGCGAGTCAAGGAGAAGCGCTGGTTGCCAACCAAGAAGTGCGTATTGGAGGAAGTCGCATCTTCGTATGTATTCTCATAGATCACACTGTTGTGTCTAGTGAGGGTGGTTTGGACGGAGTTGGCTCGTCTAGGATGTTGTGGCACGTATGATAGCTGCGAGGAACCGCCATAGGTTCCGGGTTGGTAGGATGCTCTCCGGACAGAGTGTCTGGAAGACACGGTGCTAGAAAGAGGGGAAAGCGGCGAAAGCGGTTCATCCTGGACCACTGGCGACTGAATTGGAGACTCAATCACTTTTTCCTCGTTCGATGGACCTGTTTCAGCTTCAAACAAGGTTGGAGGGATCTCTCTCGCCTTTCCATGGCTATTCCTGACGTCCGTCGAGATATTCGATCCGACCCATGGGTTCTGCCACCCAATTAACCCAGTATTCAACTCTGGACCGTCTATCGATGTACGAGCCGATGAAGGTGAGCTCAGAGAAGCCAACTTCCTGGTCAACGGTTTGGAAAGCCGATTGGCACGGCGGGTCTCTTCCTTTGTCGCACTTGATTGTGAGTTGCCCATGGCTTCGCAGAGAGCGACCCAGCGCCAAGGTGAAATTGCGAATTTGCCCCAGGCTTAAAAGTAGAGCATGCACAGCATGAGTCGATGGAGGCCAAGCTCAATGATAATATACAGAAGAAGAGTAGCTTGGACCTCTCTCGGGGCGAGTTCAAAGTCCGGAATGACCGTGGGCAGCGTTTTTGGCTGGTAGGGTGAGATTAGATCGACTCGCAGAGTGTTGACGTCAAACCACGCCGCGATTGCTGAGCGATCGATCCGGGCTCCAGGCCTGTACACCCGGCGGGTTTCCAATTGGGCGCGCGATTGGCGGCTGAAAGCTCCCCGTGCGGAGATGATGGAGCAAAGAGGTGTTTCAGATTGGAGGAAGACGGTGGTGTTGGTTGGACGATGGGGCGACAACGTGCGAGGGTTTGAGTAGGCGGGGAAGGGTTACCTTTCCCAGGAAAGCAAATGGGAAGTGTAGGGATGAAGGTATTCACAGTCTCACAGGAGGGGTAAAAAGTATTTGTAAAAATGAGGAAATGAAGTCATTCAATGTCCAGCACACGGGGCCCTTGCAATTGACCCCGGTTACGTCTTACTTGTCGAGTATAGGCCAATTGATTGTAAGGGCCAGTGAGGGGGTGAAATAAACATCAAACGGATCGGCAGTTATGAACAGGTTGAAACGAGGAAATGACAAAGTAAAAAACAAGGAATAATTGTGGAGGAAGGGTGGGATAATTCCCATTAAAGGAGTGGCAGGAGGAAGGGGGCAGCGAAGATGGGAAGATAGACGTACATAAAAGTCAAGTGGAGAGAGCGACCTGCCATGCATCAGCCCATGGCGTGGAAAGACCCAACTGACGAAAGCGTGATGGTTGCCACAACAGAAGTTCATCGCAGAGTACCAAGAAAGACGCAGGAATCGTTCCCGGAGAGCAAAGCAAAGTAAATGGTGGATCCATGAACGCTGATAGGAGCAGAAGTCGTTGGCGCTGCAAGCGGAACAGGGAAGTGCAGATTTCAAGGAACAAAGAACAAGGACAGGTACCGGGTCATGGTACATTAACGATACTTGGATCTTTTACTGGATTATCATACGATGGATAAGTACCTTCTTCGTATCTGCCAGCATTTCCCCACCGCTTGCGGCTGGACCCAGCACGGACTCTGGAGAGTATGTACTCATCAACTAACAACTTCCTATGATTCCTTTTCCTAGACTTCCAGTACAAAATAAAACCTCACTCACATACTGTAGTTCCTATCTTTTATGAACACGGTATCCAATACTCCCTCGGCCCACACTTTCCTCGTACTTCTGTCAAGTACCGAGTACCCCCAATTGCCAGCTACTAGCTAAGCTAGTCAGCTAGTTGAACTACTTCTGAGGTATCAGACCCAGTTGTTCATCTTTTGCATGGATCCGCCCAGTCGTAAACCTGATGTGACATGGCCGATCCCTTCCAAGTTCCTGTCAACAAACTCCATTGTCCTTCTTTCCTCCCCGTCTCCGGCTACCTTTTCCACCCCCTACAATCCGATTATTGACCCTCTTTTATTGGATCACACACAACGGCCGCAACCATTTACCGCCTCCCAAAATCCCCAATCTGATTGATATCCACCACGGCAACGTTGACAATCGCTCGGCCCCTCCAGGCCTGGGTCCTGTCTGTCGGTAGATGCCTTGCTCCACTAATATACCCGTAGCTTACTCTAGCTTACTAGCTTTAGCCTCCGGGTCCTCTCACAGTCAGACAGACCACTCGTCTCCCCCACCCACATTACACCACGTCGAGAGGGTTGGGTAAGCCCGACGCTTCCGTCGAACGTGGTTGACGGCACCAAGGAGAGTGGGCACGATGGTTGATGGCGCAATGGCGCACACCACGCCGTCTCTGTCCGCCTTTCCATTTCTCACGCCGGACGAGTTTGACTCTGCATGTCGAGCTCTTGCCGAGCGAACCCGCAGCTGCACGGCCGCCCAAGTGGACGGAGGCTGGTCCTCGGTTCGACTGGTCACACAGGTATCTCCCTGTCGGCGTCCTGCATGAACTTGACTTTATTCAATATTGGGAAAGATGTGGCACTAACATTGATTGGGGGGCTGGACCCCCCCTCGCGCGATCGGTTTAGAATACTATCAGCCTCAAGATTACTAAATGCTTCGAGGTCCAGATTCCTGATGCAGATTTACAAGAAGTCTCGACCCACACCGATACTTCTACATCTACGCAGGCACAGGCAAAAGCAAAAGCAATGGAAGATGAAGATGAAGATCCGGTCTGCAGCCCGTCGTAGGGGGGTATCAATTGCCGATTTAATAAAAACACAGTCCTAATAATTTTCAATCACAGGAAGCCCTTATCCGCACCAATCTCCATCCCACTTTGCAGATAGATTATGATATCGTGCTCTCCCCCACATATCAAGTCCCCGTCTTGTATTTCGTGCTCCGGTGGCACAATCACCAAGGCCCCGTGGGGCTGGACGCGGTCTATCAATATGTAGTACCGGAGCAGTACAAGCAGCAATTGCAGAATGTCGGGGTGATGGGAGGGATCAGTTTCGGCGTAGGTGCACACTCTTTTTCTTTCTCTTCCTCAGGCCGAAAAAAGGGCAAGACTGGGATAGTGTTGGTCTTTTCAAGGGGCTCATTATGTCTTTCGTAGTATCATCCAGAATCTGGCGCTCCGGCCTTTTTTGTCCACCCGTGCAACACCGCGGATGCCATGGCGCATGTTGCAGATGGACAGAGCGTCACCACCGGAACATATCTCCTCATCTGGCTCGGTCTCGTAGGTCAATCGGTGAACCTGCACGTTCCCCGCGAGATCGTCCTCTCCGATGGGTCCAGCCCATACTGAAGGGCGAAAAAAAAGGTACCTGGCATTCGGGTACCCGACAGAGAGAGATATTTCAAGCAAAAAGAACGCCCCTCCCCCACCCCCACCAAGAGCATCGGTCTTGGCCTCCCTTTTTTTTGGCACACAATTAATCTTCATCGGAGGAGGCTTCCATGGGTACGTCGCTGTCCTCTTCCATCGGTGCCTCTTCCTCGTCACTCTCATCCTGGCGAGCTCGCTTGACACCGTGCGCCTCTCCATTCGTCTCGGCAGCCGGTCGGGAGGGAATCGCGCCTGGTGGTCCACTGAAGATAGACTTTTGGAGATCCGTCGAAGCTCCGGTCGGAGCTGCGCCGAGAGCGGGTGGGTTGTACGTGCCACGAAGCTTGGCCAGAATATCCGAGGAACCCTTAGCATAGACAATTTTCTGGAAAGCAGATCATATTAGTCAATCAGAATCCACGGACATGTGTAACTGCCGGACAAGATATCGAGAAACCCACCATTTCCTTTCCGAAAAAGTCAAACCCTTGAAGAGCGCGCATGGCTTGTGTGCTGGCTTGGATGTCCTTGAAGACGATATGGGCCTGTCCGCGCATTTTGCTAGTCTTCATGGCCACGACGTCGAGGACGGTGCCGTAAGTGGAGAAGAGGGAGTAGAGCGAAGAGCGGAGATCATGCTTGTTAATCTTGTCGGGTAGGTTGGTACAGTACAGTCTAGACAGCTGTCAGTTATCAGGTGCTTGGTCAATTGCGGCCGTATCGAGCTCACGTTTGGTTGGGATGCCCAGCGGACTTGACGTCGACTACTCGAGAGGGAGCGGTCTTGGAGGCCATACTGTGTTGTGGTGGAGCTGTGTATGGTTGTTGACTGGATTTCACAGACTCGGAGGGAAATGCGCCGTGGGAATGGTGGAGACTGGAGCTTCACTGAATACCGCGTCGAAGCCGATGTCCAAATCGCGAGAAAAGAAGACCCCCACACGTGACTAGCTGTCCCAGGCGGTCTGCAGAGGCCACGAAGGAAAGCCATCGATTAGACTGGCAGAATTGGGAATTTGGGGGCTAACATTGCACACCGCCTTCAAGGCGGTCGAGGTGGAGTAATCCATGTAGACACCGTAGAGACATGCGTGAAAGTATACAATAGATTAATATTAAATACTAGGCCATGGTGAATTAAAAGAGGAGACTCTTCAATTAGAAATGTTTTAGATGCATACATGGTTATGTACTAGAAAAAGAAAGTATATGATCTCAAGGGCGATAGTAAACAGAGAGTGACCTGCATATTGCGGATTAGACTGAAAACCATATCTAAAGTTAAGCCAAAGTGAGTATGGCAGCCCCTAGGTTATTGGTACCTGCTTCATTCTCACTAGTCACTTCTAAAACCAAGTTCAATGCTCTACATAGCAGTAGTGTATCTTCCTTGGTGACCTCAAGAGGGATCAAGATTGACCGCCTTCGCGACCTTTACCTAAGCGGTCAGCGTCATTGCGTAGCTTTCCCCGTCTCCCGCCCTGCCACGCCATTCCCCTCGTTCATACCCCCTCATCGACGGTAGAGAGCTCCTCCTGTCGAATTCCTCATTATGGCCGCTCCTCAAGTCCACCACCTGTTCCATGCTCCAATTGCAGACCACTCGTTTTCCTCGGACAGACAGACCCTCGCTGTTGCCCGGGATAACAATGTGGAGCTGTACCAAGCATCAGGCAGCAAGTTCACTCTGAGCGACGAGCTCAAGGGCCACGATAAGACTGTCACTAGTGTTGACATTGCTCCCAACAGTGGCCGTATTGTTACTTGCTCCCAGGGTTAGAATTGTACTCCCCCTTAACTATCGATTTCGCCAACTGATGAATATCCATCTACTCCACAGATCGCAATGCCTATGTTTGGGAGAAGACCGCTACTGGCTGGAAGCCGACCCTCGTCCTGCTCCGAATCAACCGTGCCGCCACCTTTGTCCGCTGGTCTCCCTCCGAGCAAAAGTTCGCCGTTGGTTCTGGAGCCCGCGTGATCGCCGTCTGCTACTTCGAGGAGGAGAATGACTGGTGGATCTCCAAGCACCTGAAGAAGCCGATCCGCAGTACCATCACCACCCTTGCCTGGCACCCCAACTCCGTGCTTCTGGCTGCGGGCTCCACCGACTCCCACGCGCGCGTCTTCTCCAGCTTCATCAAGGGTATTGATCAGCGCCCGGAGCCGAGCGCTTGGGGCGAGCGTCTCCCCTTCAACACTATCTGTGGTGAATACCTGAACGACACCGCTGGCTGGATCCAGGGTGTCTCCTTCTCCCCGAGCGGTAATGCTCTCGCTTTCTCCGGACACGACAGTAGCGTCACTGTCGTGTACCCTAGCGCACCGGAGCAGCCTCCCCGCGCGATGCTTAACATCTCTACCCGTCTGTTGCCTCTCAACAGTCTGATCTGGAACGGCGAGAACGAGATTATCGCTGCTGGACACGTATGTTGATCATTCCCACATTCCAACAGGATCGCGATGGAATGCTAATTGTATAAAATAGGACTGCGAGCCCTTCCGCTTCCGCGGTGACGAGAGTGGATGGCAGTTGGCCGGCTCTCTGGAAAAGCAGAGTGGTGCCGGAGCTGCCGGCGCTCGCGAGGAGTCTGCGCTGAACATGTTCCGGCAGATGGATCTCAAGGGTCAGACTACAGCGGATACTAAGCTCAAGTCGACCCACCAGAACACAGTGAACACCATCCGTGTCTTTGAGGAGGCTAACGGACAGGTGAGCTCTTTCAGCAGTAAGTGCCCCCTGACACTGGTCTATGAGAATCCATGCTAATGACCCGAACTACAGCTAGCGGTGTTGATGGTCGTGTCGTTATCTGGTCCACTTAAGTATTATACTACCCATAGACCCAAACCTCTGACCGGGGTAGGAATTGAACATACTTCATGGTATAATTGGCCTAATGACAGTAAAAGTCTGCAAGGTGTGCAGGATGTGGTCAGTTAGATGTGTAGGAAAGTGCCACTTCTACGTGAAGAAGGGTTTGAGACAAGTATGCTTATGTTCCCTCGTTATCTGGACTGAAGTCGGCAATGCCCCGTCATTTGGAAGTGTTTACGTACATTGTACGATTCAAAAGACCCCCGTCCTCAATTCAACTGCATTTGCTATGACGGGGAGATATATCCAAGGAGATAATTCTGACTCAAATTACAACTAGAATACGAGGACCTGTGAAATCGGCACAGAAAAGATCGCATTCGAGACTAGAAACGGCTGGCTTTGCATGCGCAACTTTGGACATCCAGCTAGCTGCCCCTTGACCGTCCACTGCCCCTTTGTAAGGTCAAGCTACCTCATGAGTTGAAAAAAAACATATAGCCGTCGCGTTATGCGCTCGCATGGCTACTTTGAAGTTGTCAAAAATCCATCCACCCGATTTGATAGCCTGCTGTATGTCCGATCAAAAGTCTCATCTTCGCCAACGCAGATTTTGTAGGAGACTCTGGCATATCCTTCAGCTTGAGACGCGAGAGTAGGCGCGAGCTCTCGAAATGCATTGCACAGAATCATCCAGCATGCCACCACTGCATCGGTCATCAGGCCCCATTTTTGGACAACTAATGGAGCATCTGAGATATGAGGAATATCTCCCCCTTTTATAACGAACCCAAGTGACTCTAGGCTCTTGATTCCGAATTTCACAGCCTTTTCGTGTTTGCCAGATGAAGCATAGATCGCAGCAAGAGACAGATATGGCGAATCAAGTTCAAGACGAGGGATTTCAGAAGCTGGTCGGTGATATGTGCCTGCTAGAGTAGAAATTGTGTCTTCAATCTTTGGCAAATTCATCTTGGGTCTCTTGAATAATCTTCGAAGGTCGGCTAAAAGTTTGTTTCGGTTTGATCGAACATCCTTGCTAAGGCTTCGTGTATCTTGGCATAATATGCAATCGCACTTGAAACCCCAGTGCTGTAGGTTGACGGGGGATTCTTTGGGATCGTCGGTCATGGGCGATTTGTACCAAAAGGTAATTTCGGTGTTAGGAGGCAGGTCCCTTGAAGCACGAACAATCATCATGTCTCCAATGAAAGAACGACGAGCATTGCTCAGACAAGAATGGTTAATGTATGACGCCATAGACCAGACACCACTGGAATGAAACCGTTCATTGGCCTTTTTGGCAGAACCGTAATCTCCTTTCATACTGTGAATGTGACTCTCGTGGGAGAGAAGAGGGCACCCGAAACCGTTTAAGAGGATGATTCTCTCAACGAGGAAACTGGACGGTGTTAGATTTCGTATCAAGATGGGGAAGCACTGACATACGTATCTACGACCGTAAAACCCCCCTGTAGGTAATCCACTGATTTGTATGTGCCGTGATGAAGATTGACAAAGTCTGGTAGCAAAGATGGATTTTTGTAAAGCTTTTGAACAATCAATTCAATAAGCTCTACTTGGGTACCAATCGTAGCTTTGTCCATGTCGACATTGAGTAATAGACGGAGACCCTTTGGGGAATCTTCACCGTGGAAAGCGTGAGCAAATGCCTTTTCACAGAACAGAAGATCGCCTGCCTTCACTGCCTGAGTTGTGAAGAGTCCTCTTCCATGAGATTGAGTCTGCTTCACAGCCACAGGACCAATGTAGGTACCGCGGTCAAGTCTCGGGGGCTGACGCTTCTTGGCCTCGAGTATCATCTTTCTGAACTCGTATTTCCCACTCTCCTGCTCCACAAGCCGAGAAGATGCTCGTGCATACTCATGAGCAGCCTGGGTGTTATCTGGATACTTCTCTGTGAGTAGTGCAAAAGTTTCACATGATTCCTTGAACCTTCGAAGTTGATATAGGGCTTGGCCCTTTCTGAAAAGAGCCTTTTCTGACAGCTCTGATATTGATAAGACATCTTCCACATCTCTCAACGCTGCATCGAAGCAATAGCTTTTCAAAAATGAAAGGGAACGGTTGAGCTGTACTGTCACCTGCAATTCGGGCGAGGAACGGGTCTCCAAGCACTTTGAATAGCTGAAGTTGTTCTTAGCATCTCTATTAGGCACAGCAAATCTGTTTCGGCTTACCGTTGGATTGCCGATTGATGATCACCCTGATTAAAATGCTCGTTTCCTTTCGCCTTCCAAAAAGAGGCGTTCTCATCCGCCTGCGTGACCCGTTTCCTCCAGCATAAGGGAACTAGCTCGTCAAACTCAGGGATAAATCTGACATCCGAGAGATGGTCCACTCGAATCCCATAGTCCCCGTCTGCCATTACTTTCACATAGGGCTCTTTCACAACAAGAACTGTACCCTCTCTGAGACTCTGTGGGCCCGATAGCTCTTGCTCTTGGTTGTAGAGCTGTATCATGAGAACACTTCCGTCTTCATCTTCTACGATGGCCATCACAGCAGTGATTGTATCTGTCCGAGTGACCGTTCTCAGAAGGAGGTACTGTTCCCGATGATGAGTTTCAAGATATAAGTTTTTGATCATGACCTTTTTCAACTTGCTGAATGGAGTAACACAGGGAGGGTACGCAGGGGGTAGGAATGAGGATCGGATATGCTTCGGATCAGCAGGAGTTTCTGGGTTCATCATTTGTCGAAACATGAACTGCATCAAGATTTCATCTCTAGACTTTTGGGGTCTTGCTGGACATCCCTTGACTGCCTGCGCGTTTTTCAGATTTTTCTTCTGTAACTGAAGGTGCTGAAAGTACTCCGGAACATTCGAGACGTCGTGGGTATCCATACTGATGACAAAAAGGTGAAGTGGTTGCAAGCCGTATTTGTTACTGAAGAGATGTAATGGAAGGGTAGGAAGAAAGATTTAAAATGCGAAATGAGAAATTATTTAGAAGATAGAAGACGAGAAGCAGGCGCGCTGTCAAAGTCCAAGCGGGGTAGGAGGTGAAAAGTGGCCGGGGGTTGGTTGGCAACAACGCATCAAACAAACAAGCTGAGTATTGGGCAACAAACAAAATACTTGAACTAGCCTAGGCAGGAAGTACAAAAGTCCTCGCAGATGAATCGCCCAACGCAGGACCCTGGACTCCTTTCTTCCCTCTTCGCTGTTTTAAGGCCTGGGGTGAACCAGTAACTTTAGAGTATGGCATTGGCAGCATGTTAGAGGTGTGAGTCTATCCACCACTGTGGCAGTCGCCTCTATGAGTCTCTCGAGTGTCACGTCTAGTGACATCTGAGATGCTCGCCTTAGTCTATGAGCCTGTTTCTTTCTGGGGTATTGTTAGGGGACTGATTCGCGAGACTCGGACTGAATAGTGTACTATTTGCTCGCACTGCGGACATGTCAAAGTCAACATTGCCCTTACATATAATCGGGCAAACCGTAAAGTCATCAAAGAGTAGCCCCAAAAATTGGTCTCCACCCTAATCTTCAAGCTAAGCTTCATGTTCTTGTCAGCCTTATGATTATACTAGCCTTGCATTCGATTAACTGCCAAGAGCGCCCCCAAAGTGATCCAAAATCTCGAAATATCTAGAATAGCTGTTAGAGACTGGAACATGAGTGTGAGCTTTTCATAGACCTAGCAAGAACGTACACAAGACTCTTCCAAGTGTCAAGTGGGTAATCTGCGTCTAGAATAGACCAATCAAATGATTGGTCTGCTATAGGCTCGTCGGTTGGATCGTGGTATAGACTCAGATATGGGTGGGTTAAAGCGGCTTCAGCGGTTATTCGTTTCTCTGGGTCCCACACCAGTAGATTTTCCAATAAGTCAAGAGCTATAATGTACTTAGCACCTTGTACCCATTTGACGGTTGGCAGGACATACCATCTGGAAAAGCCTGTTTGATTTTCTTCGCAAAAGGCATCTTTACCCGTTTAGGTAGCTTGGTGATATACTCAAATGTCTGCTAGAAATGTTAGTCTATATAATAGTCTGGGCGGCGTAATACGTACGCTTTTCGAGCATATAGCCTTGATCACCTCATGGGGAATAGAACCCAGGAGATCCGCAATAACCAAAAATTGGTCCGTGTGATTACGTCCCGGAAACAGAGGTGATCCTTCAATCATCTCTGCCAAGATACACCCGGCGCTCCACATATCGACCTCAACATTATACTTTTGCCAGGTGAGCATCGTCTCAGGGGCCCGGTAGAATCTTGTTGTGACATAGCCCGTCATCCTTGGATCAACTGTTCGTGCCAAGCCGAAATCACAGATTTTGAGATCACAGTTTTCATCTATTAAGATGTTGCTCGGTTTGAGGTCACGATGGACCACGCCGGCAGAGTGAATGTATTTTAAGGCACGCTGGAAAAATGAGTTAGTTGAGGATCTGTAAAAAGTGAAGAAAATTATGTAGAGATGAATATACCATGATTTGGTAGAAGAAATACTGGACAAACCGATTCTCCATCGGTCTGGATCGGATGATATGCTCCAGGTCGGTGGAAAGAAGCTCAGTGACAATGTATCTACCATTCAGTTAGTAGATATTCGATGTAGCTCAGGTATTCTAGAAAATTATAGGTCCACAAACATATCATCTAGAGGCGAGACAAAAATGTCACGCAACGATATTACCTTTGGCAACGGGGTTAGTCGATGAATGAGCATCGAGCAGCGATCGACATACATTTTCATGGGAGAGATGTCTGAGCAATTTAACCTCCCTGGCAGTCCGTTTCGCATCGATTTTGGAGTTGAACGGTTTAGAGATTTTCTTGATCGCAACGCCCTCTTTGGTCAAGATATCAGTACAGGCACTGCAGAGGAAGCACGGTCAGATATGGAGAACTATTCATCGCTAGAGTTGCAAGCGCGCCTTACCACACGACACTGTGTGTTCCTATTCCTAGCAGCTGTGGATCCGAGTATCTACAAGCAGTAGGTCAGTAAATCCCACCAAAGAGCGTGGACCTCGCGATCTCGGCTAACAAACCTCCCCGTAAGATCAAAAGTACACCCGCTAACCTGATGGGTCTTTATGTCGGGATCGTCCATGGCTTGATCGCCCACTGTAGAAATCAGGAATGTAGGCACCTATCGCCACGAAGGTCTATTTGGTTAAATAGGTGCCTTTCATCCTTTGGCACGAACTTGAAGAGCAAAGATCTATATCAGGGGGTGCTTTACCCCACGCATCTGATCGGTGAGGTGGTCCAGACCCTCGAAACAGGTTTCGGACCATCCGTGGTTGTCAATAGTTTCCGCCAATGATAATAGAGCTCTGCATAGACGCGGTCCATGGGATTCTAGCCCGTGGACAAGCTTCGATTTCCTTCTACCCTTCCATTATTCTGCCCGAGCCGTCAACCACAACCACATTCATCATAGGCCATGTGTGATCCAGGGATACAATGGGACTCGTATTCACAGTCACTATTCTACTATTCTACGATGCTCCGCTGACGTCATCAGCGTCGTTGGCGCACCTTGGGTCGAGGTCTGGAATGACGCCACAGTCTTGAAGAATGTCACGTCACACTCTATACTGAATAGACAATAGGTATGAGTTCCATAAGGCAATAGTTCATAATATCGAAGGGCAGTTCCCTTGGGATCGTCAGGTCCAAAGGCAGGGTCCCTGCGAGCATCGAGATTCTCGCGCGAGAAATGCAAGGTTTCGCCGAGTAAGGGATGATAGTGTGGCTATCGTCCCAGCTCGACGTCTATGGCGCTACCTAGTCCCCACGTTCTAACTTGTGGGGGTATGATGAAGATAAAGTAGTTGGGACTATGCAAGACTTGACGAGACGAGGAATTGGCTTTTTGATAAAGTTGTGACAGTGCGAGGCGGCTCAACGGTTCGTCCCGGGAGTTATGAATAGTCAGTGGAGTTCATTTGCCGCCGAATGAAGCTGATCAGGCCAATTGTGTTGAGAATTTGTAGGGCTTGATCGTCATGATCGTAAGAGAGTGAATGTGCACAGATTGCAGCCTCAGGCGTAAGTGGCGAAAGTGGGGATCATGACGTCAGAGCCAGATCAAATTCAGCCCTGTCAATCCCACCGTATAGATCATGATCGGCCAATAATCAATCCCAAAATACGCCAATTCTCTCGCGCCGGTCCGAAGTACAGACTCGTGGCGCACGAAGAAAGACTTTTTAGGGAATTCGAGAACTGTGGTGAATCCTCCCGAATGACTTCATGACCTGCCCTCTCGAGGTATATATTTACTTACGTACTCCGTCCCCCCCGGTCGAAAGATCGACATCCACATTATCCCAAAGCAATCATCACGAACACATGTCAGACCTTTGACATACTGAACATACTCCTACCCTTTGACCTCCACGGCCATTACACTACTATCGATCCCACTCGCGATAATCGTCTATCCTTCAAAACCCCCAACGCTCGGACCCTACCGAGCAACGCACTCGGGCATGTGAAAAGATTGACAGCCCATGAGGCTCTGTCATTTCCAACGGAAAGCAGACTTCAATGGCGCAGAGAGACTTGTCTAGACATGCGGACCGACTGGGTGCGGATGACATTGTCGCGACCAAGTCATCTAAGGTGGCGCACTCCAGGCCGTCCGAACCGCAAAGTGCCTCTTCAACACCGAGTAGTCGCTCTGCCTGGTCTACGCGCTCTCCTCAAGGGGTTGAAATGGTGAATAGTTTGCCCACTCCTCGTCCAGAGGAGTCGCCTTTGGCTGACTCTGTCCCCGTAGACAGTAGTGATGCCAATGGTTCTAGAGGACGCGCGCCCAACGCAAAGGTTGCTATCCCACGGGATGTCAACAGTCTGGGCCCGCCGTCTATAGGCCGGGTGCCACGGGCATGTTCGTCGTGTAGATCGCGAAAGGTAAAATGTAGTGGCGAACAACCCGTTTGTCGACAATGTCGTGAGCTCGATCTGGCCTGTCACTATCCATTGGGCTGGAATGAGAGAATGAAAAAGTAGGTCGTCATCTTCCCAATGCGATGAAAGCGTTTATCAATACTAACTAAATGTCTAGGGAGGCCAATGATCTCTCCGCTTTGGTACAAGATTACAGAAAGTTCGTCCAAGATTTGCTTGGCACTGCTGAAAACGCGAAGGCCCAATGGGCTCATTCTACTTTGCAAAAGGTAGGATTGATAGGTGAACCTTCCCCAAAACTCCTTCGAGACTCGACTGATATAAATTTTAGTACCAATCATTGATGGATGATCTGCCGGAGACAATTCAACTCCCCACACCTGCGACGCAAGATGAGAATAGTTCAGGCGAGAATTCCACCGACGTGGATCACAACGATCAGAACAACCCGCCCTCGGAGAACGAGCAATGGCTAGACCCAAAATTCGGCCAGATAGAACCAGATGGGAAGGACGAGGAGCAAGTCGCCGACGGAGTCACGACGGATACACTCGACTACGCTCTTGGAGACTTCGCCACGAACGTCCCCCAGCCTGTCAACAAGTACGGCATGCCATCGCGACAACTTTCAGATCTTTTGTTCGAGGAGTATTGGAATAACGTGCACCCTGGTTTCCCCATGATCAACCGACCGCTCTTCCGTATCCAATACCAGAGCTTTTGGGATCAAGGGCAACAACCAGGCGACAAGTGGTTGGCAATTTTGAACGTGATCTTCGCCATTGCGGCCAAATATGGCCACCTTACTCAGGCACCGTGGCGCGGCGAGGAAAATGACCACTTCCTATATTTCAATCGAGCAAGGCTGCTGAGCTTGACGGGCGAAGAGTTGTTCAGTCCCCCAAACCTTCAACAAGTGCAACTCGAGGGGCTGGTTGCTTTCTATCTGCTTGCAACCGATCAAATTGGCAGGGCATGGAGAATTTCTGCTTTGGCTGCGAGATCAGCAGTCACGCTTGGTGTGAACCGAAGTCTCACCAACAAGCTGCCAGCAAAACTGAGAGAGGCTCGCTTCCGACTCTGGTGGTGTCTTTACACCCTTGAGCAAACACTGGGCCTTATTTCTGGTCATATCTCGTCGATCCCCAAAGACAAACATGCCCCGCCTCTGCCAATACCTTTCGAAGAAGAAGAATTCGAAACCGACTCTTCAGCCTCGGCTCTACTTCAACATCCCGGAGTCCGAACGCAATGGCTCCAAACAATCATGCCAAGCTCAAAGATTTGGCCAAGCGATGGCTACAGCAAAAACACTAAACAAGAATCTCCACCAAGAGATGACGCATGGCTTAAGTTCCTGGAGCCCAATGCGGGCCTCTTCTACCTCTTCTACTGTGACTTGGCCGTCATCATCGAAGAAATCGTCAACCAGATCCACGTATCCTCCATCTGGATCGACAGCGAGAAACGAATCGACGACCTCCGTTCTCGCATCGAATACTGGAAGAAAAGCCTCCCATCATCTCTGGACTTCACAACAGTCGATCTCCAAAGCAGCGTGAGCCAGATGCGGTACAAGCTCGGTCTCGCATTCCACTACCAAAGTGCTCGAATCGTACTCGGTCGTCTCTGGCTATGTCGACGAGACGAACTTGGTCCGGACCAACCACAAATGCTCAACCATAATATGGCAATGATGACCCTGGACGCCGCGAAACAAATCCTCGACTTGCTACCCGATCAACCAAACACGGTACAACTCTACCAGATGTTCCCATGGTGGAGTGTCCTCCACTATATCTCCCACGCAGCGAAAATCGTCCTCTTCGAACTATCAATCGGATGCATGCACGTACGAGATAGTACACCGCATCTCGTCTGGCTCGCGAAAAAGGCTATCTGTTGGTTACACGCAATTTCAACCCGCAGTCCGGGCGCGAAACGAGCGTGGCGACTTTGCGACTCGTTTTATCGCAAGGTTTCGGAACAGGTAGGGTATTGTACGAATGATATCCCGCCGACGACTGAGACTGTTAATCCTTCTGAGTTGAATCAGCAGTATGGGAGTTCTAGTTCTGCAGAAGTTGGTGATTTGGAGCCGTTTGACTTTCAAATTGATGATGTGGAGTTGACAGATTGGATTACTTGATTGGTTGGTGGCGTTTGAGGTTGGGATTAGGGATAGGGACTTGGGATTCATTCTAGACTTGGATTGGTTTATATTGCATTTCATCTCATTCAACAATTCAAAACCCACACAGCCTTTCTGCTTTCGTAATTGTTTAATTTTAAACATCTTCAACTTCGCACTGTTATAAAAGCATGTCATAATAGCGAAATGACAAAAACCAAATCTTCAGTTGATCAAACATCCGTAATCCATTCAAATCCATAACCGTAGACAATCTATTCTTCAGTTGATGAAGAGTAGTAAGCTTTCCCTCGTTTCACGTACCATATCATGGCAGCACCCTACTTTTAGTATCAGCAAGCGCTCAATATAGTCTCTTTAATCCGCTTCAGAGGATCGATGTATTGTAACGCAGCTTGAAAAAGCCCCATTTCCCCCACGCAAGGGTATGCAGAAGCTTCCCCGCCAGAGCAAGTGGGCCGGACTACAAGCTGCGGTAGTCCTCGTAGAAACACGGCGACAATGATACACGATGCATATCGTCCCGTGTCCCTAAGGGCTACCGTCGCACCTTATAAGCCGACCAACCAGCCCGGGCGGGGAATCATCCGTAGGCCCTTATGTGGAGTACCTATAAACCATAGGCTCGATTAATGCAAACAGTTCCTCAAACTTCAGAGACACGATTACATGTGACATTACCTGTAATAGAGGCATCCCTAGGGCCAGCATATATCCAAAGTTTCCATGGCGCTTTCAACAACTCGCATATCCTCCGCGCTATCATAAAACACCGCTGCAATAATAGCCTCGACGGTATCCGCCACAGGACCAGGAGATATGATATTTCCTTGTGCAGGGTTAATTTAGGCACACTCGGCTAAGACCGTGGAGAGCCCCTGTTTGGAGAGATAGGCGTTAGAAACCTTTTGCTGGAGAACGGTATTTATGCAGTCTAAAGGAAGAGGGTCATGTTAGATCTATGTCTTCACAGTGAGGGTTTACAAATTGTGACACTGACGACGGGTGGCCTGCCGACGAACACACTCCTTGACGAGAACATGGCGAAGGAGTGTGTCGCCAAAGAGAGCGAGTAGTTTATCGCCAGAGAGGGCTCTTTGAAGTTCCAGCTGGTTCTTGAACTGTCGCATGAAAATGCGCTCAGCGTTTATAATTTTAGTATCTCCAGTAAGACTGAGATGAGTCATGACGGAGAGAAGTGCTGATACTTGAGATTAGGAGTAAAGAAGACACACTTTTGTTTTGCGATGGACCAATCTCTGTGCGATGTCTACCTCCCTGTAGATATGTGATCAGTACGAGAATGGTGGTTGAAGCGGTGGGGATGCTGGATCGTTGGACCGTATCGAGTGCAATCCTACTCTACCATTATTTGAAAGTTACTTATAGAGAGTCAGGCCACTTCAGTTATGGCGAATCAGTATTGCCCCTTACGTACGTTGAAGTAACCTTAGCATGGGCACTGTACCTGACTCGGGTCCATCTCATGATGTCATCATCCAGACCCCATCACGTTGACGCCCCACATGACCGCTTACCTAATCGCATCAACTTCCCCGGATTCTTCAACGGACGACCCTCTTTCCCTTCCCCACCCCGCCAACATGTTGCGCCTCGGGGGCCTCACACTCTGGTGTGTAGCCAACTTCCTCCTCGGACTAACAACGGCGCAAAATGATCCCAAACCAGTCTCAAATGAACTATTCAACTCCCTCGAGGAGTTATCCCGGCTGGTAGACATATCCTACTGCGTGGGAACGACGGGAGTCCAGAAACCATTCCAGTGTCTGAGTCACTGCGCGGAGTTTCCAAACTTGGAATTAATAGAGGTAAGTCCAACACCGCTGCAATAGCAAGAAATCCAAGTTCAAGTCCAAATACTAAATCACAGTCCAGACATGGAACACGGGTATCCTCCTCTCCGACTCATGCGGCTACATCGCACTCTCGCACGCACCAGGCCCAAAGCGCATCGTCATCGCTTTCCGGGGTACATACTCGATTACAAACACGATAATAGATCTCTCCGCCTACCCACAATCTTACATCCCCTACACGGGCGACGACAACGACAACGACAACCAAACAAGCACCGCCCCACTAACCCTCCACTGCGAAAACTGCACCGTCCACGCCGGCTTCATGAAATCCTGGCTAAACACCCGTCTAACAATCCTCCCCACAGTACTATCAGCTCTGCAAACATATCCAGACTACGAAGTAACACTGGTCGGCCACTCCCTCGGCGGCGCAGTCGCGACACTCGCCGGTTTGGAAATGCGTTTGAAAGGCTGGGACCCGCTAGTAACCACCTTCGGTGCACCTATGGTTGGGAATACCCCCTTTGTGGGATTCCTGGATGAAGTGTTCCAAATTGGGAATTCTAGTCAAGACGGGATTGACGATCCTGAGATCGCGCGTATTCGTCGCGTTACGCATGTTGATGATCCCGTGCCGTTGTTGCCGCTGCGGGAGTGGGGGTATGCGCCGCATGCCGGGGAAGTGTTTATTTCCAAGGCTGCGTTGCCACCGGTGAGGGAGGATGTGTGGGCGTGTACCGGCGATGAGGATGGGAAGTGTATTGCCGGCGCTGAAGCGTCTGCGGCTTCATTGTTTGATGTCTTCAGGGATATGGACGTTTCCTTGGATATCCTCGATACACCGGTTGATCCGTGTGTAGTTGATGGGGAAAATTTGGAGAATGGTGGCCAGCAGCAGGTGCTGGGTAAGAGGAGAGGTGTCGGTGCAAAGTGTGCATCCAATGCGCAGGATGAGACGGCTCCCTTATATCCTCGGCACTGGAACTGGTCGCTTATTCCGGCGAGGTATAGATTGTGGGAGCTTTTCTATGCGCATCGGGATTATTTCTGGCGGATTGGGTTGTGTCTACCCGGGGGTGATCTGTTCGGATAGTCGGGATTTTGGTTTATGATTGAGCGGGTGTTTGGAGTTGGGGTTTGAGATTTGTTTATATGGGATCTCTGATATTTGTATAGATCTGAGCCTCTCAAGGGGGATGCATCTAGGTTCTAGCTTACGTACATAGTGGACTCGCTAAACTAAGGATTGATCTTGCAAATGTAAATGCAGATTTCCACTGTCGAAACTATGTCAAAGAATGAAAAAGCTCGAAGCCAAGTACACAAGTCAACTGTCAAAATGTACGTAGATGAATATCTAAGAACGCCCAAAAACAAATCAGAGAAAAGTCCAAAGCTATGAACAGAATCAAAAAAGAGCATAGGTAATTCATAACAAAATTCATAACCACAAGTTCCATCCCAACTCATTCCCTACTTCCCAGCCTCCAAACTAGGCACAATAACCGGCCCAAACTTAACAACATTCGCATACGCCCCATCCCCCTGCACCATAAAGTCCGCCGCAAGACTCAACTTAGCCTTCTGCGCACTAAAAGCCTGATGCTGCATTCCAAACGCCGGCGTCGAAACAACATCCGGATCATACGCAACGATAGCAACATAATTCCGTCGCGCCATGAGTTTCTTATGCTCGCGCGGCTGGCCGTTAACGTCCGTCTGGAAGATCTCCATCATGTCCTCCTTTGTATCGGTTGGTTGGGCGGAGGAGCGGTGGCCGTTGGCGGGGACGTAGAGGGGTTTGGAGTTGCTGTGGAGCAGTTTGACGACGTAGGAGGGGGGTGGGGTGTTGACGATGGGCGAGGAGATGAGTTGGTACATTGTTTTGTGGTCGGAGGGTTGGGAGGGGTCGTGGACTAGGCCGGCGCCGCAGACGTTGACGGCGCCGGAGAGGAAGGTCATTCGGAGGGATTTTTGGTGGGCGATTCCTTGGAGGGTGCGGATGAGGTATGTGCGTTCAAGGTCCTGAGAGGGGGGTTAGTTAGGTGAAGGGATGATTGGAAATAGATAGGGAGAAGGGCGTACCTTGGACTCATGCGTCCATTGATCGCGCAACTCATCCATCAGATCAAACTCGCCAAATGGACTCAGAATACCTCCCATAAGCCCGGACTTTCCAACAGCCCGCTTAACAGAGTCGAAGCCCGAACCAACAAACTCCTTTGCGCCAACCACGCCAGCAACGGAGCTGGTCACTTTACCAAGTACATTATACGCGCCAGTAACGGCTCTCTTGCCGGTAGCAACGGTCTGTGCAATATGCTCGGCCGTCTCAAGACGGGGGTAGATCAACGGCATAGAGACCATCCACAGACAGTGCTGCACACTCGGCGGCAGCATGGCCACTTTGGGGAAGAGGCCCTGGTAAGTAGGACCGGCCATGACTTGGTGCGGGTTTCGCTCTGAGCGGCAGTCGGGTCCGACGACGACGACGCCGGGGCCGAGGTACTTGACAAAGTGCCAACCCGTGCCGGTGATGGTGAAAAGGTCGGTGTCGTTGTTGACATTGCGGAGGATGTCGAGGGTAGTATGGTGTTGGAAAAGGAGATACATCTCGATACCAATGCGTCCAATGTTCTTGAACATATTAGAGAACTGCATGTGCTCAGGATACGATCCAAAGCCATCGAAACTAAACACATAAATGTCAGCTCAAGTCCCGACCCACACGCAATCTTATCACTCCAAGAGTCTTACTCACATATCATGATCATCAATCTGGCAAATATAAGGAATCTGCGCAAAACTCTCTCGCAAATACGGCTGATCGAAATGACTCGTATAGTAATGGAAATACGCATGCGAGACATCCTGCTGATTCGCCGCCGTCCATGGTGCATTCTTCCTCGCCTCCTTGCCACTAATAGCAAGCCACTGCTTCAAACAAGGAATCTCCTTCCACATCCGATCAGCATAGATCTGACCGCCCAGACAAAGCTGTGTATGGAACCCGCCAATCTCATTGTGTTTCTGCATGATATCTTTCCACATGAAACCGACGCCGCCGAGGCGCGCGCGCTCGTTCGCGTTCACATTCAATGAGAAATCGTTGCCGGATGTTGCGATGAAACGCCAGTTCGTCTCGTGTCGGCCAGCGACGAGGAACTCGTATCGTGTGCAACCGAGATGTGAGGTAATGGCGTAGGTCCACTTCGCGGGACCGGCGTCGTCCATTTGCAGGTCGATCTCGTACTTATAAAAGGTCCATCGCTGGTGTGCGGCGATGTTGATTGCTTTAAGCTGGCGCGGGTTCGGAGATAGGTCCACACTTTGATGGAGGTGGATCGTTGGAGGTTGGGCGGCGTCAGTGACGAGGAGGATAGATCCTAGCCAGAGACCGCGCTCGAGGTCCATGTTCGTGTATCGCAGATAGGGACCGAAATAGACACCGTTTGTCGGGGCGGTCTTATAGATATCCATTCCACTGCTTGGTGGAGGACCCGTGAATCCCGCCATCGGTGACTGCAAGCTCTCAAAGCCAGGAGTCAGAGGGACACCCGGAGAGGCCAGAGGTTTGCCAAAGGCTGATAGACCAGGGGATGTCAGAGGGTGGCTACTGTATACGCTTCCCACGGGAGAAAGAGGGGTCTCGTTCAGGTTCAGAGGCGTGGGACCCTTAGGGAACTCCCACTGCGTTGATTGCGTGGGCAGATGGATATAATAGTACTGGCCAGAATTCGGATCTAGATGTGCAATCCAGCCCTCTGGCAAAGGTGGAGGAGATGCTGGAGGGGGACCAGAGGGTCCAGGGGAGGTAACCTGTGCCGGGTACTGTTGCGCTTGCTGTGCTTGCTGAGCTTGTTGCTGAGTTTGTTGCTGTTGCTGCTGCTGCTGCTGCAAATATTGAGCTTGGCCATTAGCAACAGCATTCTGAGGCGACTGCCCCGCGCCAGACTGCTGGCGCGGATCATTCGCAAAGGCAGGATGACCCTCCGTCGAGGCAGTAGGCGCAGGAGAGGGCGCAGACACGATAGCAGGGTGAGCTTGGTTGGCAACAGCAGGATGCCCAGCGACAGCTCCAGCAGCAGCTCCAGCCGCTACACCCGCTGCGACACCCGCCGCGGCAGCACCTGGCTTCTCGTTCGGATACCCATTAGCAGCACCCGCGCCAGAGACACTCGAATAAGCAGGAGGAGGCTCATCGCTGATGCGCATACGATCCATATCATGCTCCAGCGCATTCGCATGAATTCTCGACTGCTGGTCCAAGGGAACCGCCTGCGCTTGCTGAGCCTGCGGCGTAGGAGTTCCGTACTGACTGGGATGTTGCGGTGGAGGACTGCCGTACTGGCTAGGATGCTGCGGTGGCGGGCTACCATACTGACCCGGATGTTGCTGCGCCTGCGCCTGGCCAATCTGCGCAGCACTAACCACCTCAGCACCTTGATAAACCGTAGGCGGCCCATGAGGCTGCGACCCCGGCAACTCCGTCGGCGTCCACGGCCTCTGCGACTCCTGCTGACCAAAGGTCGGCTGCTGCCCAACATACTGCTCAGCCCGTCTCTGAGCCGCCGAGCTCTGCGACTGCAGACCCGCTAGCGTGCCTGTCCCCGCAATCCCCGCCGCCGCATACCGGGCCTCGATATCCGAGCCCGGTTGCTGGCCGGGACCAACGATAGGAGTCTCCGGGGGCGGGGGAGATCCGCGCTGTGCGCGGGTCGTCGATGTCGACGCCGTTGAACTAATGCGATTAATCCCGGACGAGGATGAGGATGGCGGGGCTAGATTCGAGCCTGGCCGGGACGAGGAGTTGACTGGTGGTGGGTAGTACTGCTGGCGATAGTCGTATTGCTGCTCGCCCGACTCGACGGGTGCCGAGGCCGTTGGCGGTTTGGGGTATGGCCGCGCCGCGAGGGCAGCAGCGTCCGGGGCATCAGGGCCAGGTGATTCGGGGAGCGGCTTGGGCGCTGCACCGCGACGCTCTGCTAGAGTAGCGACTCGTGGTTCACGGCCATCGCGAGGTCGCAGCGCGGGCGGATAATCAGCGGGGCTGACCGAGCCCGAGCCCGATCCTGAGCCTGCGCTGACCGGGGGCGGCGAGTTGTATCGCAGCCCATCGGTGGGACGGGCATCGTGGGAGCTGCTGGATGAGCGCAGTTGCGGGCGTGGCCGGTCATCGGGGTATGGGAGGGGGATGTTGGGTGGACTCGAGGCAGATTGCGGACTGGCCGAGTCCCGCTTGTTGATGCGCAGAGGCTCAACGCGGTTGTTTCCGTCCGGCCTGCCGGAGGAAGATGTGTTTGTGTTGGGTGTTGAGCTGGTGAGGAACAGCTCGCCGTCCGGGTGGATGGCACGGCTCTCGCCTGGATTCATGATGCAGGCCGAGGCGAACGCGCTTCGAAGGTAAGGGGATGTTGCAGGTTGCAGATCGTCAGGTAGAAAGGAAGGGGAAAAAAGTTGCAGAATGCACTACAGCCACTTGAAGGACGAATGCAATGAGAGTACCAATCACGGAGCTAGATGTGCCGATCGGTGTGATCGGGGGGTGAGTTTGGTCAGTGAGGGGCAGAAGCGGGCACTAAAGGCCCCGTGGCGGGGGAGAGAAAGATAAGGGGAATAGGGGGTGGTGATAAAAATAAATTCGACAGGGGGAAGCAAAGGGGGAGTATGTAGGTAAAGTATTCGAGAAGAAAGAAGAAACGAGAAGATGAGGGTAACGACAATAATCTGGCAACCTAGACTCGAATTCCCAGTTTCCTGTCTCTAAGCGCCAAGTTGGGCGAGACGCCGACCCCGCAGGTGTGACGGCCCATCACGGCGTGTACTTGGGCATAAAGTGATATTTTCGCACAAGATGAACCGATTTAGGGCTGTGATTGGCTAAAGTCGAAATAATCTTGGATTTATGTACCCGAAGGTGAGAGAATACCCAATGATAGTCGACGGACGAGATTCTCAGATCTACTTCGTGTTTACATCACATCTCTGGTAGTTGGGTACCTTGGTTCACGATTACTCTTGACTAAGGTTTCAAGCTTGTCATGACTAAGGATCGTACCAGCCCTACCTGATGGTCTAGACCTCGGACAACCAATTTATAGTTCCATAGACACATTATTGACAAGTCATGTTCGTTTCTATACATACATTCCATTCATCATCACTCATGCGAATAGTACAAGCTCCAAAAACCTTCCAAAGCTCAAAAAGGCGTCACCCCAAAAAAAGAGACTCACGTAATATGCCCAACAAATTCAATATGCCCTCAGAGAGAAAAACGCCAATTACCACCATTCCCAAAGAGATTCCATATCCCCCACTGATTCGACTAGAACCCAAAATTGACCATTTGCAGCCCCTCCTGAGCCATCAAATCAGCCCAATCCACATCGAGCGTATGGCCAACACGCATCAAACACTCCAACTGTCGCTCATAGACAGTCTGCAAAATAGCCCGGGTGGTCGCCGCATTGCGACCCATCCCGTCTTCCTCATCTTCCATGCTAGTCATCAATTCCATGGCCATCATCTTCAGGCCACTAGCAGACGCCGTAGCACCCGCGAGGAAGAGCGGGAAAACCAAAAAGTGCCGATCAGCACGACGAGTGTGTGTCGTCTGCTCGGCAATACGCAGGATCTCGGCTGCGTGGTGGTCAATCTCACCGTCGGGGGAGAACTCCGACTCGAGTCGTTGGCGAGGCCACATGCTGCTATAGGTAAACAGCTGGCTGACGTGGAACAAAGTGGCGGACTGCTGTAGGATCTCCTGCGATCGCCGTGGGAGGCTATCCTGGCGCTGATACCAAAAGGCGACATCAGATGCCTCCCATAGACGGTTCAGAGCTTGACGCAAGTCACTGATCTCTTTGGATCGCTGGTTGAAGTCGGCGAACGGCACGGACAGCTTTTCCTGACGCAGTCGTGAACCCAAGAATCCAATCTGGGTCGCCAATGAAAAGGTATCGGCATATAGGCGCATGAGGGTAGGCAAGCTTTCATGCTCATCGGGATAAATCACGCTGTATCCCTCGGTCGTGGATGGGTAGAGAAGACTATCTGATCCGGGGAGCATCTGGTGATCCATGATTGCGCGCACAAACTCGCCGGTTCCTGCGCCGCTGAACAGGGCGTAGAGGTCAATGTGGCAGATCCACCAGAGGATGAAGGGGTGTGGTTCGCGGCCGAATTTGGACCGGCGGAGGAGGGCAATGTGAAGGAGACGAGAGATATGGTGAGACCAGAGGTTGGAGCCTTGGGGTTCGGCGGCTGCGACCTGAAGGGAAAGCGGGCAATGTTAGTATGAGACGATTCGAACTATGCAAGGGTTGCATGAGAGGGTGATACCTCATAGATCAGTAGAAGGAAATGGGTCAGGAACAGTCCATCCGAGACGAGATCGTCATTGTTGCGGAGGCTGATCTGTAGAGAAGGGAATGCCTGCTGGTAATATTGCAGCGCATCCACGTTTTGTCCGGTCCCGCTGTGCGAGAGACTGAGAGCCGAGACGGTCATAATGGCATGGGAGAGCTGCTCAACATTAGTACACAGACGCTCAGTGTTTGACAGTGTGGATGACGAAACATACCGGAGGGAAATGGGCCGCTTCTCGCTCGAGGAAGTCGACACTTAGAGTCATACCATTGCGGTCAAACCCGTACGTGTCATCCAAACCACGGTCATGAGGAAACAATTGCTTCCAAACAACGTGTCGGAAATGCGCAAACAGCGTCGAATCTTGTTGCCTCTGTCGAGCCTGGTGATCCATGCGCGAGTCAACCAAGAAGGAAGAAGAGCCATGTTCTTCGCCAAGAACGGGAGATGGGAAGGAATCCATGATTGGAGATAGAGAAAGGGAGCAGAAGGGATCGGAAATCTCGGATGTAGGCGATACTCGTGAGGTTCTACCAGCCGAGGACGAGCGTCGAGTGACGTCCTCAAAGGTCTTCAGGATGACTACATTGGGATCATCGGTAGGGTCGGTCTCGGTTTTGACCACGCTCACGGGACTATTCGTTACCGAGTATACGGACTCGGTGACGGTGGACTTGAGCTTCTCCGCATCATCGGCGTACTCGGGCAACGAGCTGAAGCTATTTGGGACCATGATAACATGGTATGTGCCTGGAGTGGTAGTTTCGGCCTTTCTTTCGCGTTCCTCATCCGAGGTCAACAGTGAAAAGGCCGGGAGAGCATCTCCGAGAGAAAAGTAATCGGTTCCAGACCGGTCCTCACTCGATCCTGGTGAGGAGACTACAAAAAGGGTCAGACTAAAAAAAAGCTACACTAAATGGGGGTGGGGAAAAAGGAGAGCTTACGATCCCAGACAACATTGCCCTCGGTCTTCACATCGGCCATACGGCCCATAATGCGCGGGGTATCATCGCGAAAGGCTAGGCGCGGTCGGTAGTCGCAAATATGACCCAGTCGCGTACATTGCTAAACGAGGAACGAACGGTAAGCCTGAGGTCTCGAAAACGAGAACGAGAGAAGTGCCGAAGCCGAAGAATGTGCCCTACATTACATTGCGGGTGTCCCTCATCGCATTTCACTGTAAGGAATGTTAGATTAGCCAAGGGAATTCAACCACGGAGACCGGAGCCTTTTGGCATCTCTCACCTTTTCGACTCTGTAATGCACGAACCAAAGCAGCGGGTCAATTGAATGATTCCTGGCTAAATAATGGTGGGCAGAAGAATGAAGGAACTCACCCGACACGTCCTGCAGAAACAGAAGAAGAATTAGCATTGAGCGTTCTCTGTCGGCGGTTGTAAGCGGGAAGGGGCAACGTACCAACAGCCGGTCCGAGATCGCGGCGGAAGACGGATACGCGGCGGCGCGATCATGCTCTTGTCTGATTTGCCCTCGAGAACTTCCTCTTTCGGGGCGATAATGGGTAAATGGAGCGTGCGCTTGGCGGAGGCATGGCCCCGGCGGTTTTGCATCACCAAGCTGGTGGCCGTCATAAGGCTGACTGGGTGCCTGGCGAAAAAGGCTGGCAGGGGGGTTAGTGTGAGAAGATAGGGGGGGCAGACGGGATCACAATTCGTACTGTGGGGGGTGTAGATGGACGACCACGGACAGTCAATGGTCGAAGATGAAATTAGACGGTGACAGATGTAGATCCTATCAAAGTCCGGTGCCACTAGGAAGTATAGAGTATAGAGTGTAGGATATAGAGACGATCGCGGGTAGTGACTTAATGATCAGCGACTGGGGGGGGGGAAGGGAGTGGGGTTGGAGAGGGGAGGGGGGGGAAAGAAAAGGTTAAGGTTAAGGTGGGAGAGTCAAGGGTTGAAAAGGGAGGAGGAATTGGGAAAGGGAATTAAGGATTGCGGGAATGAAGGAAACGAGGAGATTGAAGTATGGGGGAGTGTGGTGGTGGTGGTCTGGACTTGAAGAACTGGAGGCGGGGGGGAAAGGGAAATATGGGAAGTTATGTAGGTTCACATCACGAGCAGGAAAATGCAAATCAACCTGCAGGAGAAAGAACCGGTGGACTGGCGAGACAACTGCATGGTTCGAGCGGCCGCAGCCTTGTTCCTTTCTGGCTTGACGGGTGGCGGGAATCTGAAGGGAAGAATCTCGGATGCGAAAGATGCAAGTACCGGGGGGATAGGAAAGAAAGAGAGTGTGATGCAGTGAGAAGGGAAGGGAGGGGGGGGGGGAAGAGACGAACAGGTCAGATCGCAAGAAGCTGACTGGTTGTATAATGGAAGAAGGTGGAAGGGAAACCGAAAAAAAGGGACGACGCCCGGTTCGTCCGGGGATGGAATTGGGTTAGCTTGGGACAGACTGAATAATAGTCGTAGTAGATGGACGAACCTGTGAAGGAAAAATAAAAAAAATAAAAAAAAATAAAAAAACCAAAGACCGAAACCAAAAACCAACAACGCTAAGACCAAAAACAATCCCAACGCTAAAAGACTAAAAAACACTAAAAAAACCGGATGGCATGCAGGTGCCAACCATGTGGTCGACGTGTTGCTATTCTTACCCTCTTGCCTAAACGGGCCAGGGTTCTGCAATCTAGCGAAACACTTTCTCAACTCCGATTACTAGTCATATTTACTCGCTTAAATCATTTAATCAGAATACAAATTATTGCTCCAGAAGAAATAGGAAATATCAACGATACACTCTATCTAGATGAAATTCCAATCTCCCAGGCCAGAAATAGGAGAGAAAAAGAAACGGATCGACTGGTAGGCTATTAAACTATAGTGACAGATCGACGTGACTGATTGGATGGAACCGCCCGGGGGTCCGGGACTCGGGAATAAGAAAGCGGGCCTGTCACTCTACGCATGGAAAGAAAAACTTGGTTGAGAAGAGACAAATATGGAGACCGGTATAGAGAGAGAAACTGACCAGACGTATAGAGATACGAGTTGGGCAATACAGTGCGAATGAGTAATCGGTGAACCAAAGACATGAATGTCAAATCGTCATTAGTAAAAGAAGTCATAGGTTATAGGTCATAGAGTCATAGATAGGAAATCGTCGATAGATTCAAACTGGGGCTTGGGCTTGGGCTTGGGGCTTGGGGCTGGGGCTGGCTGAGGGACACGTCGAACCCCCTCAACCGGAGAGACAAATCCAGACGCGATTCCAAGAACGGGGCAGAACCGGCGATATGGAAAGTGCAGCCTCCGAAAATCTTAGCGTAGGGGGGGGTGAATGTCGAAGACAGGGCTGAGGTAGGGCAGGAAAATCATAATGGTAATTGGATACGGGTTCCAAGGAGCATGGATGAGAATCATCTGGACATTCCAAGTCCAGGAAAAAAATCATAGCCTACAGTAGAAAAGCAGAACCCGCGCCACAGTACTAAGTCGGAGCCGAAGAATGCACATCTGGGGAAAAAGCTGGTGCGGCTGTTAGGCCCTCGATCGGCCCGTCTAGGCCGGTCTGGATCGGTTGTTCTCGATCGGTTGGGGCCCTTGCAACAAGTTCCCTGCTGCACTATCCTTTACTCTAGATCCCTTTTTTTTTTTGGTTTTCTCGTGATGCTCTCTATCTTTTTTCGCAACTTCATACTTGATCCCCCCTCCCCCTAATTCCACCTATCCGTCCTGCCCTACCCACCCGTCGGGTTTTGCAGATTTAGGGTTTTTCTCGTTTGCCTACCCCCCATCAAAATAGGTTCCTAGTATATTGCCCCTACCTCCCTTGCAAAATCCGTCCTCCTAGATTCTAGATTCGTGATGAGTCTGATCTAGACTGTCTAGACTGTCTAGACTATAATAGATACAATTAAATCTTCCCTTAACCATGTATACAAATTCCAACTACCGGTCCTACGATCCCGTACTCCGTCCTCATCCATCGACACTTCGTTGTACTTCGTACTAAGGCCCAACTCAGACTAGACCCGCCCATTTGGCAGCTCCCGCATCGCTAGTCACGGGCTGGTCACCGTACGGACGGACATGGCCGAGAATTAAGCGAGTGGCGTTTCACTAGTTCGTGTTTGCAGAACCGCATTCCCAATTGCCCTGCCCATCCTATTCGCACTTCTTTACTGCTTCGGCCCTCCTGGAGATGACTGGATGACTCGAACTGATGACCCCTACTTTGGGCTTAGATCTAAGACAATGGGCGGCCTCGATTTTTTTTGGGTCTCTCTCTCTCTCTCTGCTGCATTGCTTCTTTCTCCGTGCATTTAATTGTTTTTTAAATTTCTTTTTCATGGCCCTCGTTTTTCCTAGGACATTCCTAGGAAACAAGCGAAGTTTCCATCCAGCTCCTACAAAGCCACGGGCGTCAAAACAGTTAACGCCCAACGACGAAACTCAATCGCAGAAGTAAAATGTCACCCCCCGTTTACCATATTCGGTTAAAAGTGGTCTTGGCCTAGATTATACTTGGTTTTACTATTGTATAAACCTCTCGTATATCCACGGAGAAGAGCTATGCCCATCTCCGTAGATCACACCATCCGCGCCGCGATCCGAGAACAGCCCCAAGCACGCCCGTTCGCACGCTGTGCATTTGCCACATTTTGCCCACTAGTACCGGACAGGGAAGAGATTCGCGAAATAAACTAATTTAACCAACCTAGCTAAGAAGAGTAAAAATCAAGATTGGGAAATGCAAATCAACAGACCCATGTCGATCTACCACGTGGCCAGCCCTCTTGCGTGCTTACTCTGGGGCCTTATAGTAAACTAAAAGTAGTATGACTACTGTACGCACTGCCACTGGATGAGTCGATGGAGAAGCCTGTCCCGCTGAACACGGGAGACTACAGAAACTCGTGGTAAATACTCTGTTTTTATTTTTTTTGGTCTTCCCTAGTCGCCGGTACACTAGTACCAGCTAAGTAGGTGACCCAGTAGGTTGACCATATCTTCGGAAAAGGAACCAAGCATGTCTGACAGGGTCTATGTCATTCAGCTGGAGTTGGTGTGGGTACACCCATGACTCTCGTTCTCGTTTCCATCTCCTAGTCCAATCGCAATTGTCCAGTCTGTCTAGCTTTTGACTAGAGCTCTAGTTGTTCGTCTGGTTCCATACGCGATAACACTAATAGCTTTGATACAGAAAGTACGAACTACAAAGCACAACAACTTGTTTTTGCCTCTCCAGGCTCCACCGTACAATTCAAAGTCCGATCGATCTCCGACGGTCGGGTGGAATGGGGAGTGGTTGAATAGAGGAATGATGCATGTCATCGAGTCAATACTAATGGAGGAGATCTATACAGCTCTTTCACTTCCGACCAATGAGTTTCACGTAGAGATTCCAAATCTCACACCCGTCTCTACTGTATCGCATGTTATGCCCGGCCCACACCTATCATCGTCATCCCCAAGCTTCAGCCCACCACCACTAACGCCTCGTCCAACAGGCGCTGAACGGTACTCGATCTCTCAGCAGCCCTCCACACACGTAACGACTCACCCAATCGCGCCTCAGGCACCCCCCGTAGACCCGGCCGAAGTTTCAGGTACGCCAGGATAGCCTCCGCGCGACCCTTACGCACCGCCTCGACAGCGTCCCCGTCGCGCATGAGTAACGAAGCGAGCGATCGCATAGGGCCAGCGAGCACAGACTCCTGCTTAGACTCGGGCACTGGGTCCGACACAGCCTCCGTAAAGCCCGGCCACTGATCCACTCGGGTGTAAAACGCTTGGAGCTCCAAGTAGACCGTGCTGACGACCTGTCGGGGCCCGTGAGTCAGGGCCTGGTCCAACGGACCGATCACCTGTCGCAGGTATTCTCCCAGCACTATGGTTAGACTTAGCAGATGAACGGACGCTAGGGGGTTCCCGCAGGAAGGAAAATGCCAACAAGCCATATCACTGGTCCAAGGGATTTGGCTTAGATTTCCCCAAGGAGATCCTGAGGATTGGATAACGAGGACACGAGAATAACAAGGAAAATGGAAAAAAAAATTGAGTTGGAATAACCCAATTCGACAAACTAATCAACGTACCTTCGGTTTCGGCCGTGGCGGGGTTTAGACATTGCAGTAGGCACTGCACGCCTGCGGCCAGCGTCTCAGTTGCGTCGGGCCCCTTGCCGTCTATCTCCATCTTGTCACCGTTGTCATTTTGTTCGTCGATGACTTCGTCAATCACGGGGCCAATGATCCCAAGGGCATTAGGCATCAAGTCTATCTCGCGAGCCTGCGAGATTTGCCCCAAAGCCCGTAGTCCATGCGGCCGGTAGGTTGCGTTAGTTCGCTTCGCTTCGCGGACGGCGATAGTCTGGCAATGCGGGGTTAGTCTCCCGTTAGGCAAGTCGGTCCGGAGTCTCGTGAGCACAAGAAAAAAAGAAGGCAGACAGTAGTCCGTTGAACGCAAGAAAATAAAATAAAATAAAAACAAGGGAAATAATGAGAAAAATAAAATAAAATTCACATCCAAACATACCTTGAGCAACTCTGCCAAATCCGTTCGTGTCGTCCAGAGCGCCCGACCGGAGCGCGCGAATTTCACCAATGCCGTCAGCACTACTTCTTTCCCCTCCCAAGTCTTCCCGGACAAGGCCTTCTCCAGAACGGGCCAAACCAATTGCGCCGTCGGTAGGTCGAGCTCCCCCTCCAGAGACAGTACTGCCTGGGCAATAGCCCGCGCGGCCGTATGCTTGATAGCCCACCGTGCCGAATCCAGATTATCCGCCACCAGGCCCACGATCTCGCGGAGATACAGAGACACGGCTCGGTTGCCACCCACATTGTCCTGCCACGTCTTGTCGAACTCCTCCTTCACGTGCTCATCTGCGTCATGCTTGCAGACAAAGACAAAGGGCAGGGCGGCCGTAGCGAAGGCCATGAATCGATCGTTGGACAGCTTCGAGGCCGAGTATAGGATTTCGGCCGCAATGGTTCGGGTGTTTGCGTCTTCGGCATTGAGATAGAGCGTCTTGGCGTAGTCGATGGTCTTCAAGACCTGGTCATCGGAGGCGAGGCGCAGGAGGTACCCCATTGACGTGCAGTAGGACGCGCTGACGGTTTCGTTTCGGTCGACCACATACTTGCTGAGGAGTTGGATGAATCGGTCTGCGTAGGGGCGGAAGAGGAGAGTCTTCATACTCAAGAGTACGAGGACACGACTGCAGCCCACCTTTGAAGGAAGACCGACGGCCGAACGGAGGGTATTTTCCAATTTGGGTGCGAGCTCCTTCACGTTGTTCTCATCCAGATGGTCGATCAAGTATCGCTCGATGACTTCCATCATGGGTGATGTGCGAATACTAGAAAGACGCATCTTGTCAATCTCCTGACCGGTCAAGCCATACTTGTCCGCGTTGAGATGAACATAATTGACAGCTTGAGGTTCCAAAGCACTGAGCGAGCCCAGGAACTTCTCGAGGATGCTAGGCACGAAGGGGTGCAGCAACGTGCCAGGGCTCTTCTTGATAATCTGCACAAGGGCGCCGATGGCGTATCCCCGTACCTCCTCCACACTCGAGTCAAGACCCTTGTCACTGAGAAGGAAAGGAACGGCACTGCCGAGTAGAACGCCAGCACGCTTCTCAGAGCCGTTGGTTTCGAGCGTGCGGATCACCGAGTTGGTGATCGTCTGGCAGAGCTTCAGTGCAGCCACCCGCACGGACTCTTTAATATCATCCAAAAGCTTAAATGCCTTGCTGTAGATCTCATCGAGATATTGGGCGTACTTTTCGGGGCGGCGTCCCGAGACAAGATCCGCCACGGCGGCACAACTTGCCTGGCGAACACGCCACTCGCGCCCCGAAAGCATGCTCTTGAGTAAATCTTCCATGATCTGATCAAAGTGCGTGTCTACCACCACGGTCGGGTCCTTGACGAGAGCCTGCCAGATGGTGTTCATGGACCGCTGCACATTCGGGTTGGGGTCGAATCGGTACCGGAAGAGCTTTGGATAGATCTTGGGGTTCTTGGCGAGATAGCCATCGACGCTGGAATCAGAGAATATCGTGCTGATGCCGAATCGACCGAATGCCGCTCGGTTAGTCCAGAGAGCATTGTTGGAGGCCATAGACATGAATCGGTAGACGAGAGTTGGGTCTCCAGCCTCGGCTGCAAGGTTCATAATATCCTTGTAGGTATTGACCGACGACCCTTCGCCCGTTGGCAGAGCCCCCGGTTCGAATAACTGGGTATCGCTAGTGACATTGCCACCTCCGAGATTAGATCCCGTCCCCGTGAATGAATCTACCAGGTCACGGACCAAGTCATCCTTGAGGGACTGGTCACCAATCCCGTATACAAGGCTGAGGCCGTGGGCACCCGTCTCTTGTACCACCTCGTCACGGCTTCCCAGTAGGCTGGTAAACGTGGCTTGACACCTACGTAGGCGTTCCTGCATCTCTTGCAGGTGTCCGCAATTCTTCACAAGCGACAAGAGCCATATAGCCGACGCCTTCCGAAGAGATGGCTTGGAGGCGCCACAATCCGTGATGAGCTTGTCGCATACCTCGGCAAATACCGTACGTGGCACGTCTGATTGGGGGAAGCCTGCATCGACATCAAAGTCTTGGATCAGTGCCCGCGAATCCCATCCGACGGCGACGTTGCTTAGTGCCTCGCCGATGGTGAACTGGACCTCGGGGCTCTTGACTTCATGAAGGCTGTAAAGAGATCCCAAGAAGTCGTTGAACAGAGAGGCGTCGGGGTGGGCTCGGGAGAAGGTCAGAGTGAGAAGACCCAGCGCGGAGATAGGGGTGTTATTTTCGGTCTTTGCATCGGTCGCCAGCTTCTTCTGCAGCTTCTTCCAGCCATCCTCTGGGAGAATTTGGAAAGAAATGATTCCAGATAGACTGAGTTGGCCCAAGGCTAGCTCTGCCGTGCGCTGGAGCAGACTATCCCGTGAAGCATCAATGATGTCTAGAACTGTATCGATGAACTGCTTGACTTGTTTTTCAGAGACCTTGTCGAGGAGCTTCCTGTATGCAAGTCTGCTCAACAAGTATGACAATGACAAGACCGCACCGCGGACTCGAAGAGCAGCTTCGCCAATAGCAGTGCTCCATGACTCGGCGGTACGAGCCAGCTCAGTCACAAAGTTCTTCAACGCGCTTTCATCAAAGGAAGGATGGGACACGAGAATACCGAATGCTCTAGCAGCGTAGCCCTGCATATCTTGGTTGTTGCTAAAGATTGGCTTGGTCAATGATTGAGCGAGTGGGAGAAGCTTCTCAACTACATCATTGGGGGCCAACGAGCAAATCTCCACGAAGTTGAGTCCACACTGACGCAGGCCGGGAAGTCCCTCCTTGACGATTCCGTGAAGAATTCCGGACAGGAAAGTGAACACGGGTTCTTTGGCGGAGTTGCGGATATACTGTTGCACGGCGGATCGTGCCTCCACGCTGGTGGAGAGCTCAACCTCGAGTTTGTAGTCCCAGTCTTGTTCAAGTTCAGTTGTAATTCCTGCCGCTGCGAAGGCCTCCGAGAGGAGAGCATTTCGCAGGAAGGCAACGGCAGGAACGAAAGCATTCTTATAAGGGCCGGATAGTAGTTGAGGTGTCGACATGCTCTGAGCGGCAGACGTTCCACCTTGTTCACTTGAGCCGAAAAGGTACTGAGTTGCCTCGGCGAACTTGGGAAAGTCGAACCACGACTCGTCACGGTCCTTTTCTGTCATAGTAGCTTCCCATTTCTTGTCCTTGGTCGGGTTGAGGAGTCGGAACCAGTAAGGGTGAAGACCTTTCTTGCCCTCCTCCACGATTTCCTGCTGTCTTTCCGGGCCTCTGGCGATGGCCATAAGATCGACCCAGCGAGCCACCACGTCGTTATAGGGGAGGAACCGGTTAGCAAATCGCACGGCGGCATATTGCACGCCCCGAACAACGTCAAAGCCGGTGTCCGGGTCAGTATCCCCTTGATGCAAGCCCATCTGGCTCACCAAGAATGGACGTAGCTGGTCCTGGAACTCCTTGTCATGACTATCCAAAGAGGAGTTCAGAATACTTCCCAGAGCTTGGTCAATGCTGACAAAGATCTGCGAACTGGAGTCATCGGAGCTGAGGGATGTAAACAGCCATCTAACCAGGTCGAATTCAAAGTTTTCGCCGGTCTCATCACGTAGTTGAAAGTCAACCTTGGGAACCATGATACCAATACTTTCGTAGGCCAGGCCACGCAAGCTAAGGTCGGTTGCAGGGAGCCTCTGTCCACTGGCACCGGGACTGGGCCATCCTTGAGACTGGATGAAATCCCTCAAGCCGGCAATCAACTTGGGGGCAATTTGCTTCAGATCCGATGGAGAGCCCATACGAACGACCCATGTGGTGAAAGTGAATATTTGCGTTCTAAGCTTGGATGCTTGCAGACCCTGAGCGGATCTTGCGGCATCCGATAAAAGCCCATCTTCGATGAGCTTGTAGATTCTTTGTGTGTTCTCTGTAGCTTTGATAGATTTGCCTAAGAATACTAGGATTCTCACTTGCAGAGGCGGACGGACTGGAGGAGACCCATCTGCCTTTCCAGAGCCAAAATACAAATCATATAGCTGCTCCACAACGGCCGAATCTTCAAGATCGACAGCAAATCTCTTCAAAGTTTCGTCACCCAAATCAGCAAGCCGTGAGTTGGCGTCTGCGGTGGCAATTAACGAGGGCAAGAAGCGTTGGGAGTCAGCAAATGCGCCACTCCCGAGGAAGCGAAGAGCGATGACTTTGGTTTCTGTCAGATTCAGGCCTCCAGAAGCTGCAGGGTTCCAAGTTTCGTTTGCAGGCGCATCTTTGTTAAGAAATTTGTATTCTTCGGGTGACAAGCCAGGACATGTCTGGGCCTCGGCCGCAGCAGGAGAAAGAAGGAGTAGCTTTGTCAACCAGAAGGACAAAAAGCGAGTTTCTTCATCAGACAGTTTCAGACGTTCTTTCAATTTCTGATCCTCATCACTCCCCTTTGGTGGAATCTTGAAAAGGGGTAATAGTCGTAGCACAAGGTTGAAGACGATGGCACCCTGGGTAGCCGAAGTTCCAATCTCCGCTATTCCCTGGAGCAAGGGGAGCAGAATATCAACCCTGGCTTCCGAACCAAGACGGTCAATACCCTGCTGGGCATAAATCAAGTCAAAATGGCGGACAAGTTGAGACTTTTGTTCTTTGAATTGCTTCAATAACGCAGCGACTGGAAGTTGGATAGAGGGGGTCTTCACCCGGGCGTTGACATGCTGACAGACAGAGATGACCTTGTTTCGTACCGCAACACTGTCTGATGATAGCTTGAGCAGAAGTGGAGCCAGATATGTCATGAGCAAGGATTGGAGCTTCTCATCCGAGTCAGCCATCGCGATCCTAAACTCGACCTTGCCTATCAGACTCAACTCGCGAGCCTCGGGGCTCGGCAAGTCTGATGCCATGGTGAAGGAGTTGAATTGGGAATGCAGAACAAGAATGGGACATTGACTGGAGAAAATGGACAGGGTATTATTAATATGCGGCTCTTGGGAGGTAAGTTTCACAGGCAACAAAACACACGTCACCGTCGCTAGTTGCAGTGTCCCCAAATCGGCGATGCCGCTGGGGGTCCACTGGAGATTGCTTAGTAAGGATGTCGCAGTTGCCCCCGCTGAGTCAGACTAACAGAAATGTAAGCCTCAATTATCAGGTGTCTACACTTTGGGGAGTGGGGACGAAGGTAACTTTAGCCGCCTGCAGCGCTTAAGTGACCACTCACAGTCCCCCTCCTTTTATACTACCGTACTCGGGACATTCAAAATAACAAAGAAGCATGTGCTAGATCATAATGATATCCTTACAAGGCTACAGTCTTGTTTCTAGCAATTCTGCCATTATCGCCACGATCATTTTGATTCTAACCTGGCGTATCATTAGGTTCTTGTTGCTGGCACGACAAAAACTCGGCTCGCAAGACAAATTACACATAGTCAAGGGCAACCCCTACCATACTACCTTGAGAGTAATATTACCAGGCTAAATTTGAAAAAAATTCTACTGACCATCATCAAAGAGAGATAATTCTCAACCTATCTTCTGAGACGGTTCGAAAGATGCGTAGAAAGATCTTCCCAAAAGCCGTATCTTAGATAGGCTAAAGTATATCCAGCTAGCTCTTTCTCTGGACTTCTATTCAGAGAAGTAGCCAAACAAATTAGAATAATTTAAGGTTATCGTGTTGTTTGACATCTTCCTCGTGCCAGAAACGGGATCCTACCATTAGTCTCACAGCACAATGATGCGATTGATCCAGTACCGACGTGAAGGATGGCTCTTTAGAGATATTAGGGGCTCAATGCTAGTAGATTAAATGTGATTCACGAAATGTATTGGTAGCAAACAGACCGATCTGGTAGAATGGGAAGCCTAGTGCACACCTTCCTCAGTCTGATCTTCGGGCTCGTCCTCTTCCATCTCCTTCTCATCCTCCTCTTCTCGACGTAAACCATCGTGTACACAAACCCGTACCACAAACTACTTTCTTCCTCCATTTTTCTGCCTCCTTCTTTCCTATCTCTCCTTCTTCTCTCTTCCTACATCCGCTGGTCCTCTGCAAGAACACTGCACCGAGTGTCTCGCCCTATTCCCCGTCCATCGCTGCCCATCATCGACCACCCAACACCTCAGCTCAAGGAGTCTACCTGCCATCAAGGTAAGTGATGCAACATCTCATCAGATTCACAAGATATCCAGTGACTAACAAGGACCTGTATCCAGAGGAATTTTCCAGGCCATGTCTAAGGCAATCCGGCATCCGGATGGGATGGAGACCCAGGGCGGGTCGTCCAAGACCCATTCTACTAATCTGCTTCCTGGCCAGCAGCCGCGTGAGTTTAACCATAACCTTTCCCAATTTCCAGACACTGATATCTAGAGATGCAGCACGTGGCCTCGATCAGGCCTTAAACCCGATCTTGCTGCGCCATTTGAAAAGGACATCGAAGCTTGCCAACCTCTCCGCAACGTCGACTGGCGTGGAGATGCAAAGCCAGTGGAGACCTCCAACAATCGCAACGCTGCCCATGGTCAACGGTGCGGCGCTACTGCTGCTCCTCAAGGAAAGGAGTGCAACCGGTGCAAGAAGGGTGATGGTGTCTTCGGTACCTGTGTTGTCAATTTTGCGAGTGACTCGGTCCAGTCCAAGGGTGCATGCATGAACTGCGTGTTCGACGACAAGACCTATTCTTGCACGCTACGTGAGTGCTTAGGATATACGGTGGGATCTTTGCACAATTTATTGACGTTTTTATAGGCGAGCATGTAAACGGCCGATACACTGGGCGGTTCACCGAAGCATGGGTCACAGACTATGTTGCCCGCGAAGCCTCTCGTGCGCTCACTGTCGACGAGGATGTGAGTGAGAATGTAAGTGTTCCTGACATCACATCTGATCATTATCTAACGGCTATTAGCATCAGATCGAAGATGAGAATGACGACGCAACTGAGTACACAATTGAGCGGACCAGCGGCTCGGTGGCTACCAACAACAACCTCTCGACTCGACTGCTGGCTGCTAATCCCATTCCCCCGGCATTGGATGGCGGCCCAGGCTGGAACCCACGCCTGTATGCCTCCGTTCTGCACCAAGCTGAGCCACTTGATGCGAACACTAGCCTACAGCGGTTCCTTGACCTCGCACAGCTCAATCAACGCCTAGAATGGGAGGCGGCAGCCCTACTGGGAATGTTTGGAGATGAGTGGAACGCTCGCAGGTCCTTGAATATGTAGGAGTATCAAGCTCAGGCAGCGATAGGAGTGGTCTGAAACACCTTTGGTAGAACTCTCTGCCTGGAAATGGTGATATTAGTCGGAAGTTTTCATGGAATGCTCCGTCTTCTTTGCTCATTATTACATAGTAACAAATCTCCCATTCCCGATTAAGGATTCAGGTGTCCTCCATAATGTCATTTATCTACAGTTTCCCAACGGTATATTTAGATTGTAGCCTCCTCTCTTCTTTGCTCCGCAGCTTCCCCGCGCAAGAAGCGGCCAACTTCTCTCTCTGCATCGGTTGAAAGACCGCGATCGTTCTTCTCAGCGGTAGCCCCAAACAAACACTGCCATAGATCATCCTTTTTGACCATCTCTCCACCTGCAGCACCACTCGTCATTAGGTTGTTAAGGGTCGCATCCTCCAATTCCATGGAATTGGCCGAGTCAATTGCCGTCTCGGTTATATCGTTGATCAATGACTCGTCTCCATCACTTGGATGGATAAACCGGGATTTTTTCTCCTGCTTCTCTTTTTCCAAGATGTGGGCGAGCCGGCGAGTCACTGATAATTCGTAGATGGATTCCTCAACGGTCCCGGATACGAGGTACATCCACACAGTAGTGGGACGGTGTTGACCGATTCGGTGCACTCGAGCAATAGCCTGCAGTTCGATTGCAGTGTTGATTAGCGGCTCGCAAAGGAAGACATGCGTGGCGTTGATCAATGTTAGTCCGGACGATTGCGCCTTGCCATGCAACAAAAAGCATTCAATCTGTATGAATCGTTAGAATAACTGTGCCTCTCTGGCCGTAGGTGGATCACGTACTGCTGGATCTTGTTTGAACTTCTCGATCCCTCCCGGGGCATCGACACTGCTATTGACAATTCCGAATCGGTCGAACGCTCGCTTCAGGACAACCAAGAAATTCCTGTACTGTGAAAAGACGATTGCCTTGGAACCTGGGTCGTGCTCACGGAGCCATATGATATGACGCGCAAGTGTATCGACCTTGGTTCCAAATGAATCGCCTAGCTCGATATTTTCAATCTGTTTCAAAACACCCGAGCTAATATCGCTGTAAATGGCATTTTTCGGATGTCTTTCGTGATCGAACTTTACAAGCGTCACTTCTTCCTGGGCAACTAGCTCCTGTGCATTGTATGTGATTTGATGGAAGTCGTTGAATTTCAGAGGTTTCTTGCACATAGGACATGTTCGATGTTGGCGCCACCACAATCGCAGACAGTCCGAGCAATATTTGTGACCGCAAACAGTCAAGACACCTAATTTCAAGGTCAGTCATCATTTGTTGTAGCATGTTCGGGCGCGGGTGCGATGCTCACCAGTTTCAAAGCTCGACTGACAGATAATGCATATGCGGGATGTATCTTCTTCACCGGACTCATCTCGTAGGTGGATAAGATATCGCCTCTTGGACCTGAGGGTGGATATTTTGGCCTCAATCTTTTCTTCCTGTTTCAATTTGGAAGCAAACAGATTCTCATCCATCGGCTTTCCTGCATTCTCCTCGTCGTAAGGTGCGACTGTATCTGAGATTTGCTGGAGATGGCGATAATATTCCAGTCGGTTATTCATCGTGTCTCGAAACATTTCCACCTCTCTCTCTAGACTTGAGGATATTTTAAGCTGCTCAGCAATCATTTGGCCAGCATTCTTCAACACCAAAGTGACCATCTCAAGTTCGGCACTGGCACGCGAGCTTCCTCCTGAAGCTTGCCACTCGAGCGAGCCAACTAAGCTGCGCAGTTCACTCACGATGCCACGCAGTGATCCAAGATTAGGATCTGGCATCAGTGCACTGCGGGTGTTCATGATCGAGAGGAACAGTTCCGGGGACGGTCCTTCTCCTTTCTTTGCTTGGGCGATGCCAGCCTTGGCCTCGTGCGAAATGAGAATATTCTTCTGGCCAGTAAGGGCATCGTGACGATCTGCATACATAGCACGAAGGGCCTCCATGTAAACGTACATTTCGTCTTGATGCTTTGTAGATCGCTCATACTCATTTCCTTCCAGTTCAGCATCCTCTTCCTGGTCGATGAGTGACTGGGAGACTAGCCCGATCATGACTTCTCTCCACTGGTTGTATTGCTCGGCATGTTCATTGAGGGTAGTGCACAAATCCTCAAACTTGTTTAGCAGCCTGTAAGATTCCAGCCCCCTGCTGTACAGATACGGCTTCATGGTCGGAATATGCACAAAATCCTTCTTTCGATCTCTTTCCTTGATATTTTTCATGTACCGCTCGACCTTGCGGGAGATATCCGTCAACATCTCCTTACGAATCAGCTTTGCTGCCTCGTACCCATCCTCTTCCTTCTTCTCGAGAGCTTTGAATTCCTCGGATTCGGGCTGGGTCAAATTGGGATCACTCTTGATCTGGTAGTACGCATTTGCAGTGAAAAACACGGCAATATGCTGCACTTCCAGCGCAGCGCGAAGCTTCAGACGGCACTGACCAATACGGCTGTTCTTGTCTACTTCTTCATCGTTTTCGTCGTCAGTGGTGTAATCAGGAGTTTCAGGCATAGCTACTGTGCCATTCACAGCCATGCCTTTGTTTTTAAGCCGCTGTAATCGAAGCTGCTCTCTGCTGTCGTTGACCAGCTCGGTGGCGCGGTCTAGAGCTGACTGCCAAATAGCGAGCGATTCTTTCCTGCGCTTCGCATTCTCGAGGAGTTGGCCTCGGCGGAGCTGAGAAAGAAGGAGAGTTCGCTCCTCTGTACGGATCGATGTATCAGTGGTCTCAATCATGACCTCAAGGACCTCATCCACCGTACGCAGCGGGCCATTTGCGGAGCCCAGCGCACGGCGATTGCTGCCACTGACTTCAGGATGGAGACAGGTCTGGCGAAGGCGGGTCAACCAAGTACGCATTTTCTCAACGGTTCCCGGATCTTCGGGGTTCCAGTCTTCTGAAAGAGGTGCGCCAAATGCATCGAGGCCACACTGTTCGCACATCTCCTCGAACAACTGTCCATAATGCTGCTCCTCAATTGGAGTAAAAGGAGTGGTGATTACAATGCGCTTCTGAGGCGGCAAACGTAGTTCGTCGCGTACTCTGTCTTTGCTATGCCGAAGAGCGATTGAGTTGATGATGCTGACCAACACCGGGCCAAATCTTGAATAAAGACGTTTCCACAATGAGCTCGAGTCACAAAACGGCCTATACTGAAGGAACAGTAACAGCCCGAACAGATCATCGATATTCTTTCGCAGTGGTGTACCAGTCACAGCCCAGGCGTTTTGACGAGGAATCAGGCGAGCCACTTTTGCTGCGTTACTGACACCACTCTCAATCATCTGAGCTTCGTCTAGACAGACACGCCACCACGATATCCGAACTAGTGGTGTTTTTCGCGGCTCGAACCGTTTCTCATGACGGAGACTCCGCTCTGGCGTGGCACCGGCATAATGTATCTCGCGGGAGATAACGTTATAGGTTGTCAAGACAACGTCAAAATCTGCTATCTCTTCAATCATCAAGTCGTCCGATCGTTCTTGTCCACGCTTGATACCCGTATAGTGATGCACCCGTAGTTTGGGGGCATGGTGCTCGAGTTCTTGTTTCCACTGTTCCAGAATTGCCGGTGGTGTAATAATCAAAGTTGCGCCCGACACCCGCAAACCATCAGGGTCGGGTTTTACTGACTCTTGCGGGGGCCTGCGATTCAAGCTCATTAGAGCAATCATCTCAACTGTCTTGCCAAGACCCATCTCTTCCGCCAGAATTCCACCTCGCAAGAGATTCGCGGCATCGCCCCATTGGGTTATCTGGGTGGTAATCGTCATGAACAGATGACTGAAGTAGCAGAAATTTCCATCGGCGTCACGCATTTGCTTGAATGATGCTGGAAGTCCATTTGGCAAGGGCCTATCAATGGTGGCGACTGTCCCATCTTGCTGAATCCGGGTTCCTTCTCTCCACAAAAGCCATCTAACAGCTCGTCTCTGGAAAGGAAAAAGCTCACACTCCAGATCAGGACACTGTATATCTGCAGATGCACTTTCAGTATTCTGTGGGACATGAACGCTCTCGTAGAATTCACGAGGCAACCACTGCCGGTGGTTGCCGAGTAGCTTCTCGCGGCGTCCGCGCTGTGTATATTCGAGAGCGGTCACATGATCCTCCTGTAAAGCATACTTCGCAAAAAGCTCTAAAGCAGGATCTGGCAGATGATTGAGGTCAGGGAGTACAAGTGAATCTCTCCAGAGGCCCACAACTTCCAGTAGTAATGAGTTTTCACGTTCCGAGTGCTGTATTGTAGCTTGATAGCACGCCGTTGGTAGACGATTATAGTATCGATCGGCGGTAATAAGCCGAGTAGCATGTCCAAGCTGTTCAAGAAATCCGACTAGCCGCAAATCCTCAATCACACAAGAGAAAATTTCCTTTTTGTCTGCATCAGTCGTGGTCATTGCCAGTGTGTATGGAACGCGGTCAACATCGGGATGGTCAAGAACATCGGAGCGTGAGCCTGCATTTTGAATCTCGACGAGGACAGGTAATCGATGCGACGTATCAGAAGAGTCATTTATGGTAGCTCCATCTGATGCAAAGGCTTCGGTGTAGTTCTGTTGAAATTGGTGGCAAATTGTCAGTTATGCAATGTTAAGGCAGTGGAATGCGACTGATTACTTACTAATCGCAAAAACAATCTGGTCAGTGGAATATAGCCTAGAGGAATCCCATTTGAAGAGACTCCCATTACATCACTCAATTTAGAAGGGCCAGACTTGGTAACCTTCCGTCGCTTGACGGGGCGTCCATCAGCATCAAGATTGTCTTGCGCAATCGCGGTGATGAGGGTCTCGGGGACCGCGCCTGGAACAATAAGTTTTAGATATCAAGCCAGACAATCGGGTGGTTAAATGACCATACCTAGTATTTTGGTATACTCTGCGACCACGCTCATCCTGAAGACAGACCTGATACAGGTCTTTTAACGCCACGCCACGGAGAGGTATAAGGAAGATTGACAAATGCGAAAGCTGGGGAGCATCTTATCGATGCAATCACGTGTTGATACTAGCAATAGTGCCATGCTTTAAGCTCTCACCGCTTCTTGGCATTCTTCACCGCCTTAGCCTGTGACTTGCCTTCATCTTAACTTTGTAGACATTTAGCAACTGATAATTCTCAAAGTATAAATTATGTGGCCGATGATCCAATATTGTATAGAATACAGAAGAACATAGTCTGCCAATCTTCCATCTTGTTTTTGGGAGCTTCGATCTTTCCATTCGATCTACCGTCATCCGGGTACCTGTCGGCCAAAAATAGACAATCGTAAGCGAAAGCGAATCCTGAATTCCCAAATATTCACTCCAGATGATAGCCCTGACCAGTAAGACTCGTTGCATCTCAAAGTCGAGGACTTACCTATGAAAGGTCTGCGAAAACTAAATGATTTTGGCGCCAGAAGGGCTGTTAAGGTCTTCTCCGTATTACTAGTAACGTAAAGAAGTTCGGGGCTATACTTTAAGCCCTTCCGCTCTCGAAGGGTATCTTTAGAAGTGTTCTGAATTCATGGATTATTTTTTGATGCGTTGGATATTATTATCTCTTTGTATATTGTCTAATTTGGGACTGAAACCATGTGAAGCCCGGTCGTGGTCTCTATAGAACAAGATTTAGGTGTTTACGGCCGATCTGAAGGTGGTGGATACTGGATGGAGCATATCTATCTTGATGGAGGATGGAGCCAGGAAGAAAATTTTGATTGCGTACGAAGAGCAATAAATGGGGTGGAATTTAACAATTAGAATAATAGGGCCTTGAGATATATACACTTCGGGCGGGGTAGGTGGTGTATGACCAATCAGCTCCGAGCTTCTTGGATGGCATTCTTAGAGTCGTGGAGGCGATTGGACGAAGCTACATTCATATGCACGAATACTTCGCATTATCACACCACGAAGAAGCGCATAATACCCGCATGACTATTCCAAATAGCTAAGTTCCTGCGTAAAATGAATCCGCAGCATGAAATACCAAAACCTGTGTTTTCACTGATGCTTGCCATTTCACCGCCCCAAAAGTAATCCAGACGTGTTAGTCATTGTCATGGTCATGGAAAATGATAACACCTGCATTGCCTAATATTGATTTCAAGTCATTCTTGTATTAGTATGCAATAATTCGATTGTCTATAGAACCCAAGTCTGATCACTCGGTACCAGCTTGTTGTGGTATCAAAGGTAGTACGCCTGACTTATAGATCTTCTACTGAGGAGGAATAGGACCTGATAACATGCTCTGAGATTGGATATATGAGCTAAGGCTCGTGCATAGGTGGCGGCATGTGATGCTCAACAACTTCTAGGATGAGCTAGTGCTCGCTCTCTTTCCCATCGTAAAGCTGACATCCGCATTACGACTTAGCAATACTTGAGCGGCAATGCGGACAATACCGGTAGGAAGAGCTAGCCCCCGGCATCAGCCACCAGACGGCTTTGCAATAACCGCTCTTGCAGGAAAATGAATCAAGTCCATAACCCCTTTGGAGAAGAACTAGATCGCTTGCGAAATCTCTGGTCTCTCGCAGAACCTTTTGGAAGTTTTTGTTCAACTTCAAAGCATCAAGATGCCGATGTGAGGTCAACAAAATGAGGTCACGGAGGGCCCGGTCATCCTCCCTGGTAGTGTGGTAGAACTCCGAAATGACGCTCGGAAAGTCTTCATGTACCTTGGTACCCCTAAGTAGAGTCGCAGTTGTCTCCTTCGCGAGGACCTTGAGCTTCGGAATCATGTACTTGTCATTGGCAACATAGAGCATGACACTGAAAAGTGTGGGGGACACTTCAATCGGGGTGGAATAGGGATCGAGTTGATAGATGAATAGAAGAATCGCCTCGACCATGCCGGGCGGATCTCCCTTCAGAGTGATTTTGTTGGTTTGTAACTCCTACCCTCTTGTCAGTAAGAACTTGATTTGGCTCTACTGGAAGCCACTTACCTTCCATGGACCGCTAGACACACTAGCAAAGTAGTCGCATTGAGCAGAGAGTATGACCTTGTGCGCATGAAAAGTTTGGCTGCCGGAAATAACAGTGATATCCGATAGTTCCTTTGAGTTGAAAAACCTTGGAACATAAGTAATGATAGATAGAAATGTTTGCTGAGTACTTACCTCTGGAATCCGGATTGATCGGGACTCGCGTTGTTCATCTCATCGAAAGTGCGCTTTTCACCTTGTTTCTGCCCCGAGGAGGTTGCCATCTTGGGGCTTTGGGATGCTTTATTCGAAGGTAGATGGTCAAGGATCTGGTTTTGATGTAGGATAGTGGGAATAGAGAGAATATTGAGAGATAAATACCTTAGAGAGTTAAGAATCTTAGTATCAAAGTGAGGGCTAAGTTTATCCAATTTGATATCTAGCGCCCCTAATATATTACGCTTACCTGCGACTACCTATCTTCAATGTAGTCAGATAGCAATGTAAAGTGAGGCTGGGATATCTATCTTTCACTGTACCATATTTTGAAAAGAATACCCATACCTAAAGGCATGGTCTAAAACCGTACAGTGTCTAAGAAACACAGAAAGTTCCAGTTTGTGGTATAATGACTCGACTTAGTCCATAGGCATGCTTGTTGTGATTCTTCGTGGCTTTCTCTCATGCCCTCAGCACCCATATCTAATTAACCTACAAACAGCCTTCATCTTTTTGGCTAAAGCTTCCGAAGAATCCACTTTCGATACATCTCCATATCTGGCACTTAATGAGAATATCTTTCAGTATAATTTAGGGATTGGAATTGAACAATCGGTCTATTCATGTGCCACGACACACGGATCTTCTCTATGATCAACAAAATCCATGATCCTCAACCAATGCAAGCAGATAGCCCACAAACTCCTAATTCGACGGACTACCCGGTCCTCTCCCCAACATACTCCGCACACTCCCCCGACCCAACGCAGTCATATCATTAGACACCTTATTCGCAGCACCCTGAGTATCAGAGACCACACTGCCATTCACAGCGCTAACAGATCTCGAATACGAGACCCCATTCGCAACGCTCTTGAACTCATCAGCCGTGTTACCAGTCGAAACTGAGCTGGACCCCGTAACCGATTCATACGTCGCATTACCAGACTGGGTTGTAGACAGCTGAGACGGTCCGGAGACGAATGTGTAAGTCGATAAGCCCGGACCACCAGAAGATTCAATCTCCAGACCTCGCTCCATCCATGCATCGATCGTGAGGGAGTTTGTTGTGATGCCGTAGGTTGCGTTGACGAGGAGGGGGTAGCTGAATGTGGTTTCGTTGGAGCTTGATTTGCTTCCGAGTTGTGATATGGTGTTCTTTCCTGAAGTAAGTTGCTTGTTGACTTGGCTGTATCCTTCTTGGTTGAGGTAGCCGTAGTTTGAGAAGGACAGCTTTTGGGACCACGAGTACTCGGAGGATGTTGCAGTGAAGGTCCGTTCTGCTGTCACCGAATACGACAATGTGTCATTTCCACCGGTACTGTTCTGCGCTAGGTGTCTAGTGACAGTGAATTTAGGCGCAGGAGCCTCAATTCGAGGAACGGTGTTCTTCTTCGAACTAGCCTTTTCCCCGGTGTAGAGGAAGATGTTGCCAGTGACGACCCAGTAGGAGCCCACGGTGTCAGCAAAGGAGGCAGTCTCACCGGTGACATTCAAACCGGTGACCCGGATCTCGAACGAATGTTCTTTACCATCTTGCATCAGTGGTAGGAAAGGCGAGATATCAATCTCCGGCTGGCGAAGATCAAAGGCATCAATGCCGACAATTGGTCGCCAAAAGCCCGGAGCCACACCTCCAGTGAAAATAACGGGGAATGGCCACACGACGCCAGCAAGAATACCGTCAATATAGAGCTGAATCTCTCGGAAAGGAGTGTAACCGTATAGCTCGCCAACGGTGGTAGTGAAATCTTCAGTATCCTGGGAGAAAACATTCGACCACCAGAATTCCTCCTCGGATTGACCGCAGGCAGAGATAGCAACCACAGCCCGGGAAACCGTGTCGGGAATGGTATAAGAGACAGTGGTGTTATCGGTAGGAACCGTGAACGCACTCGAAGAGTTGGAAGCAGAGTTCTTGGCCGAGATGGGAAGAATAATGTCTGCGCTTCTCGCATTCTTGGTGTAGGAGAAGTGCGCTGTCAACGTGACATTGAATGGTCCCGTATACACATCCGTAATAATATTGCCCAGATCAAAGATCAACTTCTGCGGCTCTGCCCACAAAGCATTATACTGCGACATCTCCTTGATGTATGTCCACACAATTCCCGTAGCCGTCGGCTCAGCAGTCGAGGTACGGAAGACCTCTGCATCGCCCAGATACATCAGAGCCAGTCGATCATACTGGTGACCGCTAGAAGTGACGGTCATATTGATTCTGACGGTATCAAACTTGCAGCTTGGAGGCTCATAGCTTCCTAGATGTCACCGAGGTTAGAACTACTCCCAAAAATGCAAGCTAGTAGGGCAATTTTTACCTACGAACGGCACTCCGTAGCTCTCGCCAAAGACGTGATCCATCAATAACATCTCCGTGTTGCAGCCATTGTCACTTTTAGGAGCAAATGTGACGGGCTGGTAGACCTCGAATACATCGAGGAGCCCTGTAGATGATGCGGCGTGAATGCGTTCAACTTGCCCAAGAGCAAGCAACAAGCCTAGGAGCATCATGGTGATGGTAGCGACGAGGTTGACTCTTAACAACCAACGATCTACCCGATAATTCGATCTAGGTCGTTTCGAGTCGCTAAATTCACCAGACGAGGCAACAACGTGCTCCGATCTGTCCTTTGAAACTGCAAATTGAACTCCTTGAGACGGGTGAAAGTTCCCAGAATTCCTCAGTATCGACCACTGTCGCGATACAGAGATAGCCCCCCCCAAAGAAGCAAAAACAATACCAGCAACAAAGCAAGCTCATCCACGATGGGAGGGGTCGCCTTTATGTTTCCGAAATCAACTCGCCGGGTAAACCACGACGCTAACGACTTGAACAACGCCATAATCCCCAAGCAGGCCGGTACCAGACTAGTGGAGATTAAATCCATGTGCTCCGCACGAGGATGCAACAGTCACGGCCGATCATGCAGGCCAGGCCGCGTTGGCCCCCCGCAAGATAAGCTTCAGGGGAAGGTGCCAGGTACACCAACCGGGAGTTCGGCAGTTGCGAGGGGATCCTGGTGCCTCGCTTGAATGGAGAGTGTACGATGTATTAGATGAGGATTCGTCATTAGAGGGGGGCTTTTCGGGGAAATTTGGTCGTGAAAGCTTGGTGTAGATAGCGTTTGCCGAGCATCGGCTGCTATTATAACGTCGACGGACTAGCGTTTATTTGGGGCCGACGGTGTCCGGGTATAGTACAATTCGTTTTGCAGAAGTGCCTGCCTAAATGGGTTATAGTCAAGTACTTCATTCTGATTAAAATTATCCATACTAGAAGTTGTGTTAAATTGTCTGTATGTTGTGTTGTCAAATTGCCTCGTACAGCATTGGGACCCTTAGTCAAGCGAAAGAGGGGACCTATCGCAGACAAGATCAAATGAAAAGAAGCAAATTTTATCACTGTCTAAACCATCTCTGCTACAAACCAGAGTGGAGAGAGAGCGGAAACTAAGTAATGATACAAAAGAAAAGTCCACTCGAGGAGACACCAAGTCGAGACACCCTGTCTCACGAATAATGTACAATCAAAAAGAAAACACGCTCCGTAGCCATGCACACCCAGAAATCTATACACACCAGCAAATCACATAAACAGGCGCCAAGCACCAAGAATCAAAGCAGCAGTACCGGTGCAAACACCCCTATAGCAAAGAATATGTCAGCATCAATCTACCAAGAGATAAACGAGTTTGGAGCCCATACATCAGCCACTGCAATGTCGAGAACTTGACAGCCTCGACACGCTCCCGCAGACCAGCAACTTCCTGCTCAATCCGTGTCTCCGTCTCTTTAATCCGCATCTCCTGGCCATTAGCCTCCTCGCGGATCCGGCCCTTTTCGAGGTTCAGATCTAATCGGACGGACGCCTGCGTACGGCCAATCTCATCGCGCAGCCGGGAGTTAAGCTTTGCGAGATCCGCTGCGATCTTCTCGTGCGATGAGCGGGTCAGTTGTGCCTCGGTGGAGTCGGCGTTTAGGAGTTCGGAGCGAAGTTTGGCGAAGTCGACTTTTTGGGTGTACGTTGATCGCTCCGAATCTATAACGGGATTACATTTGTTAGGTATGAGGTGTGAAGCAAGGCAGAGACGAGACTCGCGCAAGTGTCAAGGTGCGTACCTTCACGGAGGACCATCGTCCGCGTCAAGTTTTGAATCGACTCTTGGATGATATCGTTCAACACTCTCATCATGGCTACGGCTTGTTCTTCGCTGAACCCCTCGGCCTGGAGCCTCTTGACGAAGCGCAGGGTGTCAAAATGGTGATCACGGGGTCGAGAAGGTGTCGCATGGAATGCGCGCTGTGCAGGCTTGAATGCCGCGACGTAAACGCCATTGTGTCGGATCGGACTGGTAAGAGGTTGTTCCCTGGCTGGGTGTGTCGTAGTGGAAGCGGAGGGTCGACGGGAAACAGGAGAGACGAAGTGGGAGTCGCGGATGGCAGTGGAAAAGGCCCGGGAGGACTGGTGACGAGTGGTGAGAGAGTGGATTTGACGGTTGATAGGACTCCAGCCCTGAGAGGAGTTCGTCGGTCTTTTTGTGAGTGCGGGACAATGCGAGGGAGTGACGGTTGGCCGAGAGGAGGCGCTGTTCCAGGTCAAGCGAGGCAAGAGGTTGCGCGGGACCTCCGCGACATGTTTTTGGGACGCCATAGTTCGAGGATTTGGTTTTATCCCATACAGGGTAGAATGAGAGAGACTTTTCTTGTGGTTTCAAGGTTGGATGCGATTTGTGACGCAGGCAAAGAATAAGACGGATGACTAAAAGCGGATCGGGAAACCTTGGAAGATCGACGCTTTCCCCGATGCGCCCCGCAAATTTCCGGAAAACACCAAAACAGACGCGATTACCAAGGGTCAGACATTCATCATAACAGTTCATGAAATTAGGATTGATTTCTATCGACTATCGTTCGACAAATAATCTTTCAGAGCACCCGATAAACCCCTTATAACGGGTTCTTCCAAGCTTTTCAATATGCATACGCTATTTCGCAACATCATGCCACTTCCGCGGATAACTCACGGCGCAACTCGTTCAACGATTTAAAGATCAAAGAGCTCCTTCAGCTGCTTCATGGTATCCTCGGGACCATCGACAGAGTGACCGATCGTGCGAGGGTCGGAATAGATCTCGTAATCGTTGCCACCGGGGAAGCACTTGTCACCGAAGAAGTGGATGGTCTTGTACTCGATGCCGGAGATGTTCTTCTCGGCCTCAACGTGCTGCAGGCAGTAAGTCTTGTCCCAACCGGTGGGGAACACGTCGAAGGAGATCTGGCCACCGACGGAGAAGCTGTGATTTGCAGAACGATGGTTAGCTTTATACATTTACGGTGAATTCTGCTGTGTTGGCGTGAACTTACGTGAGACCGTAGTCGGGGAACTCCTTCTTCAGGGCCTCGACCATATCCCGACGAATGTTGTGGATCTTGTCATAGCTGTTTCCATTGTCAGCCAATTGTTCTCCCATACCCTGCTATGCCATCGAGCATAGCTGATTCTTCGGAGCTGTATGAACATACGCCTCAAACTCGTTCCGCTCCTCGATACTAGCATTACGTCCGATGGGGCTGACATTGATCATGCCGTTGCGGAACTCAATGAAAGTACCACGCTTCTTGGGCAACTTGATGTTGGAAATATAACGAAGGCAGAAATCGGCGAGATCCTGGTACTTCTCCTCGCCGAGCCACTGGATGAAGCTGTTGCTGTCGAGGGGCTTGCCCAGGCGCCAGGCCACGAGGCCGTTCTCGGAGAAGCAGAAGTCGAACAGGGTGGTCACTTCGGTGGTAGCATTGCCCAGCTGCTCCTGCTGCTTGACGTAGTTGGAGCCGCCAACCTGAATGGTGTTTTCTTGTTAGATTGCGACGGTGGCATAGGAAGGAAAGAGGATGGTAGGTACGAACGTATCCGATGGCGCACTTGTGTCGCAACTGAGAGAGCAGCTCGTGCATCTCAGGGGTGGCAGACTAAAGTAAGAAGGTCATTGTATTAGCAATTGCTCCATTGAAGAGGGTGTTGTCGCAAACATACCCGCCGGGCCTTGCTCAGGGTCTCGTCAACATCGAAGAGAACAATGGTGTCCTTGAGGGGACGGTTCTCCAAGGTGGGGTAAACAGCTGTAGCGGTAGTCATTTTGGGGACGCAATTAACAATGTCAAGTCAAAGAACAGGAGAAAAACCAGCGAGGCCAGGGCGGGGATAAATATAGACCTTTGATTGAGGGGTGTCCTTTTTGACCGCAAGCGGTGAGCGCGGGTGGGGGGGGTTCAAAGTGTTGGCTAGCGTGGGCGACGGTCCAGAACTATTGGAACTGGCGGAATGCCACCTAGACTATTTTAAATTGGAGGCAATGCCTTAATTATGGTCATGTGCTGGAATCGGAAAAGGTTAGTTGCGATGTGGTCAGTTTTCTTTGTAATAAGTGTATGGTCCATAAGAAGGTACTTGGTCGGAAAGTGGCACTGTAAATAAGCCCTCGTTATCGATAAGAACGATCTGGACAATCTTGGCATGGTCCCTGCACATACTCGCTCTGTACATGGGTCATGGACAATGGCATATCTCTTGATCATTTAGATTCACATATCTACATACTTCATCTAGCTAATGAGACTAATACGTTGACCACCACAGCACTTGCGTATACTGTATCCCAATTCCATCCAATCCCACAGGTGCCCATAAAAAAAAAACACAGACAAGACCAACGCCAAATCCAAGCAATAATAATTCCCATCCAATCATCAAAAACGACTCTACCGACCCATCGTAGACTGAAACACCTTAGCCGCCAACTCACTCAAGAGCCTCGTCCGATCCGGCTGTGGAAGGTCCAAGAAAACCTCATAGACACTTTTCCCCTTGGCATCACGAACAGCACCCAACCGATTCCCAGCAACAGCACCAGCCAACGCACCGGGAACATTACCAACGATAAAGCCCAGAGCACCCCCACTAACACCGCCAACGATCGCCCAAAACCGACCCGTGGGCCGAGTGCGCCGGTTACCGTCTTCCTCAGCGAGCCCTTCTTCGCGGAGCATCTCCTCAAAGACGGACCCGAATTGATCGGAGTCGCGCTCTTCACGACTGCCGAAGCCAAAGGCGGACCATGGGAAGCTGTGGGTGCCTTGGGGGATTTCCTCGTCAACTTCTTCTTCGGCTTGTTCGAAGGCGCGGGTTTGGTCGTATTCGCGGCGGCGGGTCGGGTCGGAGAGGGTGTAGTAGGCGTCGTTGATTTCTTGGAACTTTTGCGTTCGGGCTGGTCGTTCTGGGGAGTCGGCGGGGACTCGATCGGGGTGGGATTTTAGTGATTCTCTGTGGAGATGTTAGTCTGATGGTCGTTCGAGGATATGAGGGGTGTCTGGTAATCTTTGCTGCTTAAAGACTTTTGGTCTACTTGCCTTTTGTATGCGCTGCGAATCTGCGGCTGGGTCGCATCGCTGGACACGCCGAGGATCTTGTCTGTAGAAATCGTTAGGCTCGATCGTTGGGCGCTGGGCTGGAGTATAGACATACAGTAATCTGGGGTTTCTGTAGGGGAGATTGGTGGTCAGTTTATCGCAGTATACTCCATGACTGGAAAATGTACATACGAGGCATTTTGAGGTGAAGCAGAGCAGGGAATCAAAATGAACTAGAGCAAGCCCCGAAGAACAGGCATGAGTATAAGAACCACGGTCGACGCCAGTGACGTCGGTCCAGCCTTGATGCCTGAGGCTAAAGGGCCATGTCGGAGCAGAACCAGGAGTGGATACTCGGAAGAAGGAATTACTATAGACCCGCATGTATTAGTCATTATTTTGCCCACCAAATTGCTAGCTAGGGGCTTCTTTGAAATTCAGACCTGTTGAAATCCGATTGGTGCACCTAGATGAGCTCAGCAGCCCAGTGCCGATAGGCCAACCCACAGAACATGTGACAAACAAGTTTAAGGTGTCAAGGTGTCGAGGCACCCGCAACCCAACCATAGGGTAACGGAGGACGGGTGTTGCGGTCTTACTACTATGAAAGTCCGCTAAGACAAGCTGACGTGCGATTCGCTCCCCCAGCCACCGACATTTACTTTCCCAGGGGGTCACCTTCTTCTAACCCCTCTCGTAGATTGACGAGTTTCACGATCTCCCCTAGATCTGGATCTCTCTCTCGTCTCCATACCACTCTAAACAGTCTTGAATTCTTCTCTCCGTTCGCCACTACAGTACAATACAGCAAACTGCCTCGGTGGGGTCCATAGAAAGTACACAACACCACGGCCTAGACCTGACGAGGTGCGCATCGCTGCAGCTTTTAGCGGCCTGACCTGCATCAGACTCTTTCCATCCACTTTCTCGCCCTTTGCCACACAGTTGGTCCAGAATTTGTTCGGCGAAAGGAAATCTTTGCCGGCATATCGTGCACCTGCACTTGCAGCAACATTGACATCTACACATCTCATCTGCATCTACTCTCTAGACAGCCTCATTCTGTCATCGGCATTGAATGCGACTATCGCTACTCTGATTGCAATCGAGATCACTGTGGAACAGCCCCAGTCAGAAACTCCACTCGCAAGATCAAGATCAAACGAGAATTGAACAAAGACCGGCATCTATAATTCCACCACCATCTGATCCAAAAAGGTCATCACCAACATACACACAATCCACACACTCACCTTTCATCCCCAATTCCAAATCAATTACTCTCTCTACACTTACAATGGGCTGGTTTGACGGACCCTCCTCAACCACCAAATCCTCTTCAGGAGGCTACTACGTCCGCCGCCGTGGTTCACCAACCCGCAGCGTAAAATCCTCCTCCTCCAGCCACAAGGGCTACTCCTCAACCCACCACGGCCGACACTCGGCGCCCTCAATCTTCAGTCTGGGCCGCGGCACCACCGGCCGCTCCTCCAGTCCCTCCGTCTTCTCCTCGTTCTCGTCTTCGTCGCGCCGGGCCCGCCCGCGCGAGGGCTTTGTCCAGCGCATGATTCACTCGATCAAGAAGCTTTTCCGGGATATTTACCGCTACGCGCGTCGTCATCCGGTGAAGGTGTTTTTGTTGGTTATTTTGCCGCTGTTGACCAGTGGTGTTTTGCCCAAGTTGTTGGCGATGGTTGGGTTGAGGTTGCCGCATGGTGTGGCGAGTGCGCTGGGTAGTGCGGGCGCGGCGAGGGGGGGGTTGGGTGGGATGGAGGGGGTTGGAGGTGCTGGGAAGGGATTGTCGGAGAGTGTGAGTGGGTTGGTGAGTTTGGCGAAGATGTTTGCTTGAGCGGATGCTTGAGCTTGAGATGAAGCGCGGGGGTTTGGGGTTGAGATGTTTAACCCCCCAGTGAAGACCTACTGATGATATGATGGCGAGGTGAAAGACGAAGAAGCTGGGAGTCGAATTGCCTTGGGGTGATACATCGATAACCCGTAACGACTGTCATGAATACCTACCCTCGATTGAACGTGTTTTTCCTCGATGCTTTCCCCCTGTTATGTCCTTTCCTGTTTCCATTTCCATTGCCTTTCTCTGTCGCCATTCCCCTTCGCACAGTTATATTATAACCTTGTTCTGGAGGCTTACTGAATTAAACGACCATTCCCTATGCGATGCCCTACCATTCCCCGAAAAGAAAAGCGACACGTTCAGCAGCATGTATGTTGAGTCATTTGCAGCCCTAGAAATGAGTCATAGAACGATGAAATAGCGGATCCTGAATAGAAAGACGTAGAAATGTAAAGAGGTAACGAGAGGGGCTCGTCCGAGGGGTCCCTTTTATGTACGAAACTGCCCCATATGTCGGTGAAGTGGTCGGTACCCAACGGTGGGTATGGGCCCCGTTGGTCTTCCCTACATTGGTTTAGGTGGGATTTGCGGTCGATGCTCACTGGTAGGACCCTTGATTTAGGGAATTGGAGACGTGGCTGGTAGAGCTGGGGTGTGGGTGTTTACTATGTCATTGTGTGTGAGGGCTTACTTGAAGTGAGCTGGTTGGATGTTGTACTAGTAGGAGGGCACGCGAGTGTTATGAATACCCGATCAAAGGGTGAACACATAGTTGTGGGTATCCTTGTTTTGGATTCGATCTATTCTATTACATTTCAATTGCTTTTGCTTTGTAAATCAAATCAAGTTGTACAAATAATAAACAACACGGCCGAAATTGAAGCTCATACTCAAATCACAACCCCCTGGAGCTCGATCTATGACCGCTGGTTACGCTTGCCACGACGACGGGCAGAAGACTTGCTAGTAGCAGTGGCCTCCATAACCTCGTCAACGAGTTCCGCAGCCTGCACGTCCTCTTCCTCCTCCACAGCGTCCGATGAGCCAAGCACGCGACCCACGGTCTTGCGGTAGGCCCACACGGGCAGCTTGCAGACGACGGTATCACGGAATGACGGACGCTGGATCTCGTTGATATCCAACAAGAACTCCTGCTTCTCGCCCTCCTCGGACTCCTCCTCGAGGAAGACATTGCCAATCGAGTCAACGATCAGCACCTTGCCATTCTCCGCAACCACACGCTTCCGCTCCCCAGTGGACACGGTGGGTTGCTCGACAGGAGTGGAGGTACCCGAAGCCGAGGCCGAGCCTACACCACGTCCATTCGCCCGACCACTCTTCTTCTCCTTGCGGTTCTCCTTGTCCATCATACGCTTCTGGCGACGGTTCATAGCCACCGCGCCAGCCTCGGGGGCCTCGGGGGTAGGAGCAGGAGCAGGAGCACTGACCGAGTCCACGCCGGGAATACCACGCACACCCAGCTCATCGCCCCAAGCGGCACGACGTGCCTGGCGAATATACCGATCGACAAACTCGCGCTGACGCTTCCAGCCCAGGTACAGGGCACCATAGTGGGCCGCGCCGCCAAACACCAGGAACAAGCCCAACAGCACGGAACCCAGACCGGGACGGAATCGATCGTAGTAGTAACCGGTACCCTTCCAGAGGGGGAAGCCATTCTTCAAGAAGTGATCATAGCGCTCGCGGCTGGGGCCCTTGAGGACGTTGGCGACGAGGTTCAGGCGTGCGGAGCGGGCATTGGCGTCCTTGATGGCGGCGTCGACTTCGCGCTTGGAGGGACCCTTGTTGACGTTCACCCCCTTGGAGGACTTGGCCTTGGTCTTGTCCTTGGAGTAATTGGCGATGAAGGAGCGGCGGACCTTGTCTGGGTGGAGGTTCTTGGACTTTTTGCGGTGGGCCTTGACGATTTGTTCTTGGTTGGCATTGGGGCGAACCTCGAGAAAATCTATGAAGAGATTTGGGTCAGTTTGTTTGTTCATCCCCAATGTATGCGATTGCCACTGCGATAGGGGGCCACGTACCGTAAAAGGTCACATTGGTGCCTTCAGTTGTCGCCAGCTCATCGCGGAGGCGGAAGATCTCATAGTCTAAGAATTGTAATGAGTATGTATACAAGGAATTGAGGCTCTAGGTAGAGAGCTCCGATATGGGGACCATGAGAAGCCATTGTGGACACCTACCCTCTTTGGACCAGGCGGCGACCAGACCGACCAGTGCCAACAGGAGCAACGAGAGAGCGGCGGTCTTCATAATTGCAGGAGAGAGCGGTCAACACCGCAAGGCCGAGGAAAGGTGCGGAGCAAAACGGGGAGGGGGGAAGAGAAAAGTAGGATTATGCTGTGCAGGGGCCCATCGAGGATCAGTTTGTCGAGTCGGAACTACTGTAAAACAGCAAGAGCTAAGGGCAGTGGATCGTGGAGGAGGAAACCGTTTGGGCGAAAAAGCGGTCGGCCTCCTCCACACTGCAAAAGCCTCCGACGTGGCCCAATTGGACCAAGCAAGAATGAGGGGGAAGTGATGACTCTCATGTATGTGACGAAAGGGTTGGATTTTACAGCCTATTTAACATAGTAATTCCCACTGAATCTATATTCCCCTCTTCTCTCTCTCTTGTGGATGGAGTTGACTCGGTGGAATTGTCTTTCCGCATCCAGAAGCCCACCACAACAACCAAACATGAAAATGGGACCCTGCTATTCTTAGCCCTTCACAGGCCTCACGGGAACATCTTCAATCAAAATATCGTAACTCTACGTGGCTGAGTGAGCAGCAAATTACTCACTCTAGGCTGACGAGTTTGACCGTGAAAGGGCGTAAAGTCCGGCAGAAAGCCAAAAAAAAAAAGTGACTGCCTCCCTTGGACCAGAAACTTGTCCACTTTGGGCCTTCCCCTAAACTGTCATCTCGTGTCCTCGACTTTCTCTTCTTTCACTTTCTTATCCACACCACCTTCACCTTCACTCACGAGAACCCCCTTTGGGAAATTCACTCTTTCTCTCTCTCTCTACACCCTCTTCTTCATTTCTATCGCCACCCTCTCACCATGGCCATGCAAATCCCCATTGACGCGATTACCTCGCGTTTCGGCGACCGATTCAACAGCATCCGCAGCCAGTCAATGAGCAGCCGCTTCGCCAACTTGCGCCCTGTCTCCGAATTCCTTGACCTCAAGCGCCTGTCCAAGCCCGCCAATTTCGGTGAAGTCCAGAGCCGTGTCAACTACAACCTCGGCCACTTCTCCAGCAACTATGCCGTCGTCTTCGTCATGCTCAGTGTTTACAGCCTGCTGACCAACTGGTATCTCATGTTCACAATTGTCTTCGTCAGCGCCAGTCTCTGGGGAATCAGCAAGCTGAATGGTCGCGACCTGGACCTGGGCTTCCGCCGCTTCAACACCTCCCAGCTGTACACGGCCCTGCTCTGCATCGCCGTGCCCATGGGATTCCTATCATCTCCTATCTCTACCGTCCTGTGGCTTATTGGTGCCACCGGTGTGACCGTCTTTGGCCACGCCGCGTTGATGGACAAACCGATCGAGAATGCTTTTTCCGAGGAGGCGGTCTAGGTGGTCGGCCGCGAGCTCCTTACGATATGCCCCGATGGGGAAGACCACCGGGGGCACGAATGGGGAGACACGACAGGGGAGGACGCACGCAGTGGGAGGATTCGAGGCGAGTGGAGGAGATTGAGAGCGAGGAGGATGAGGATGATGCGTATGGGCGTGAGCTGGTGCGGAAGGCTCGCGCAGGGTATATGCGGCAGCTGGAGTATGGGAGTCGGGGCCCGCGCAGGCGGTCCGAGTATGATGACATGACCGACGAGACTGAATCGGTGGAGGGAGGGGAGTTTGATCTGTACGATCATGAGGATAGCACGGTGGCCTATGCGGTGCAATTGGCCATGCGAGACAAGGAGGATCAATTGGTGGACAAGGCTCTGGAGCGCATTCGCCGCGCCCAGATGCTAGGGAAGAAAAACGTGCGACTTTCACAACGCGAGCTCGATGCCTTGGAGCGCAAGCGTCAACAGACCGACAACAATGGCTCCGGTAGCTCACGTCGCAACAAGCAGAGTGGCAACGCGACCAGTTCTCGCCCGGTATCTCGACGAAGTGCTGCTGCAGTGTCCGAGCAACAAACGGGTCCTTACCCACATTTCGCTCCGGATCCTAACCGGGGCACTGCTGCGCATGGCCGACCTTCGAGTTCGTCATCTGCTCGTCCACGAACCCCGACGATGCAATCACTGCGGCCTCAACAGTCCAACTCTCCGCTCCGACCAACGTATCCACCATATCCTAATCCTCCTCCGAACGGTCGTCCACAATCGATGCCGATGTATTCTCGGCCCTTACCGGACGACCCTCAATGGGCACCACCATATTATAACCCTATTCCTATGCCGATGAGTCCTTATGGGGTCGAACCACCTCCATACCAGCCGCAGCTGCCCACCGATCTTCGAGTTGGACCTCAAAGCCGGATGAGCCATCCCGCGGGGATGTCACCGATTCAAGCTCAACATCGACATTCATCGGGGGGATCACAGCCGCGAGGCGGTCGTCGTGGCCCGTCCAAGTCTGATTCTGAGCAGTCCAGCGAGGAAGAAGAGGAGACCGAAAGCAGCGAGGAGGGTGACGATGAGGAGGTGCAGATCGTCAAGGTGGTGCAACGTCCGACTCCATCGGGGGTACAAAGGCGCACAGTCTCTGGAGGTAGTCGAGGCAGTCGAAGTGGTCGTGCGCGGAAGAGTAGATGACGATGATGATAATGGGCCCCGTGTCTCTTTCCCCCCAAAAGCCCTTTTTAATGTGTTTCGGTTTTATATGGGCATTCAGCATTCATTATTTTGTGTTATCCCCCTCCCCCTCGGTATTTTCTCCGTTGTTTTCCTTCTTTTCTATGGGTTTCCAGCAACGGATCATGTTGCTTTGCAATGGCGTTTGGTAGATCGGGGCCTTCGTGAATAGATCCCCAGTGCATACAATATCACGCATCCACATTACCCACATCATCCATAAGCCACCCGAATACTCAAATACCTAGATTCAATAATGACTTACCGTAGGATTATTGCGAGACTTCTCTCCTCAGCCACACATAGATCGTGGATCGGGTGTGGCAGGGCAATCAGTCAACAACATTTCTTACGAATCACCAGGCCCTTCTTTCTTGGCAAGACTGAAAATTGGTAATAACTTACCTACTGCTCTAGTAATCTAGACTCGACACAATTCTCCCTGCTCAGCCCGTTAATGCCAGAGCCACCGAGTGGGGACATATTACGACTGGCAATGCCGTTGGATCCGCGATTCGGCACGATTCCTGGCCGTGATGACGTCGGCTGATGATCCCCTGCCTGTTTGTTCTTATTAGGTATTAGTTTATTACCAACCGAGATTTCCCTTCTCTGCATCGAAAGTGCCAAGGGCTATTGTCTTTGAATAATAATATTCTTCCTCCTCCTCCTCCTTAACCTCGACTTCGATTTCAACTCTCCTCCTTTCTTCGTCACGGTATACTTTGTCTCCGGTCGGCTTCCCGAATTCCCACAACCAAGTTTCCAGAAGACATTCCCCTGGTTTACCCGAGCGCCACAACAATAATCTGCACGGTTCCTTAATCTTAACCTTTTTCTTTGGCGCAAGGCGTCCCGTCGATCGCGAGAGGAATTTACTGAGGGGTTTTCAGTACTGGGTTCCTTTTTGAATTTCTTGCAGGTGCGCGGATATACTTCTTTGGTTGGGTGAGTCTTTGGTGATTGGCTTGGAGTGTTGTGTTCGGTACCTGAGTGTGTGACTACTAGTCGCTTGATGTTGCAATTTGCATGTTGCACGTCGGTGAACCGGTTGTGCAAGGTTTACTTGAAGAATGCGCTTTGACTAACGCTTTGGATTTTGCGCAGAGATTGTTTTTTTTCTCATAACGGCGAAGACAGTGCCAGTGTGACGATTGGTGGATTGTCGGCTTTCGGTTCTTTCGGATAGATTGAATCGGTGCATATCCAATACATATAGATTCGACTTGACAAAAAGATATCGTCAAGATGTGGATTATCTCATTTTGGGTCTTCCCTCTTATATCGGCGTGCATGTGGGTTGGTAAGTTGACCACCTGTTAATAACTCTCGCTTCGTGATCACAATCTAATCAGATGTATTAGCCATGCTCATCACCATGCTCTGTGTCTGGGCCAGGGACGGGAAACCAATTTACCCCAGCATGGAAAAGGGCCAGACTATTGCGTACGTTTTTGATGAATTCCCCCGGAAACATTGCTTGTTTCGTTGTATCCGCTGACATCCGCTCGGGGACAGGTATATCTCAGACGTAGGCGCATACGGACTAAAACCGCTGTTCATCACGGGCAGCGTCATTACCGTCGTGTTTCTTGATCTGGCATTCTTATCAGAGCGCTGGTTGCGCCATGCCGGCCAATTAGTCCCGAATAAGGGCCTTTGGGACAAATTATGTGCCATTGCGTCGATCATCTTCGCAATTGCCGGTGCAGCGGGTCTAATTCTCTTGTCCATCTTCGATACGTATCACCACCCACACATGCACGACGGGTTCCTGGTGATGTTCATGTAAGTCGACAAGCTCCGAAACTCGGCTATACCCCCCACAATACCAATGCCAATGCAAAATACTAACATCGATCAACGCTGCTAGTGGCGGATACATCATCAGCGCAGTCCTCATCTGCGCCGAATACCTGCGTCTAGGTATATTCTACCGCCGCCAACACCGCGTCCTCCTGGCCAGCTTCATCGTCAAAGTGACATTCGCCATCATCGAAATCGGCCTCGCAATCGGCTTCGGCATCTGCACGAAGAGCAGCGATAAATCGAAAAAGAACGTCGGCGCTATCCTCGAGTGGGTCATTGCGTTCGTTTTCACCGGCTACGTCCTCTCTTTTGTGGTCGATTTGTTACCGTCCGTTCGGACGCGCACACATGTTCCCCAGGGTGAGAAACATGCTAGTATGATGACCACCCCGCATGGTAGCGGGGAATTCGAGTCGGGGGCATCGATTGAGGAGCCGTTGACGACGGATTCGATGGGGCCGAGCTATTACCGCGGCCAGCGCGTTTGAGAAATAGATCTCTTTTTTTTTTGGGAATGTGGGGGATTCGCCCGGTATAGGTTTGGGTTATAATGATATAGAGGGTTTGAACTTTGCGGAGTTTTGGTGCTGCCTTTTTTTTTGCTTTTGGCGTTGCCATGACACGTCATGATGATGCTGCCACGTTGATGCATACCGTTGGATGTTTGTTTACTTTTGATGATCTGATACCTTTTGCCTTTTTGTTTTGGTTTGATATGCTTGGATCGCGTCATCAATGCGGGGATCTACTATGGTTCATGTATATGCTTGTATATTATCTACTTTGCTGTTCGATGTCTATAAAAGTGGAGATGATCTTTACGTGTTTGACTCGATCGATTGTTACTTTTGAAGATTTCTAAATAGAGTATGTCTTTCTGTGCTTGTATTTCACGTATAGGTGTATGTCTCATGCTGCAATCATTATCGTATCCACGTATGCTATGTCGTATACAAAGAAGATCCCATGCCATGCCGATGATGAACGTAATGACTCGCCCATAAAGAAAATCAAGCAGTCACTTCACAAATTCCCAGCACAACCAAAGGCCGGAGAAAGTCACAAACAAAAGAAAAATATAACGAAAAGTGAATAGGGATCCAGTCCCAGCAAATGCCCGAAACGTCCAAAGTAGATCAAATGGATGCCCGAATGCCTTCAACAACAAAAACCAGAATCAAACCCAGCAAGAAGAAAAACCGCCCCCAACCCCAGAAAGCAAAAGCAAAAGCAAAAGCAAAAGCAAAAGCAAAATATCCAAAAAAAAAAATATCAAACCTGATTCAAAAGTTTCTGTCGTATCAATTCCTGCATCCCCCCATCAATCCCAATCCTCTCCAAATACCCCCTCACCCCACCATACCTCCTCTCCAAAAACCCAATCATATCCGGCACATAATCCGGCGGACACCTCGTATACTCCTCCCCCAATCCAAGCACCCTAATCTCGCGCATGCGCTCCTCAAATTCCGGCACAAGCTCCAATTCCGACCGGGTATAGTCATCCGCGACTGCGTCCATGCGGACGCCCGCAAGGAGCAGGGCCAGCAGGATAATTATCCCCGTGCGGTCTTTGCCTTGGGTGCAGTGGATGAGGATTGGGTAGGCGGTGGATGTGGCGAGGGTGGTGAAGATGGAGCGGAATTCGGGGATGCTGGATTCGAGGGTATCTTGGGCGAGGCCGGTTAGGCCGCGGGGTTGCATGACCGTTTCGCCGATTAGGCGGATTGCGTCTGGGCGGTAGCCTGTTAGGGCGAGGGTGATGACGCGGCTGGGTTTTATTTGTTAGTGAGATTTATAGAAAGGGAAAACGATGAGGCAGTGGCTAGCTAGGGGAATTGGGAGGATCCTTGAGGCTTGGATAGGCCAATGGAGAGAGTGGATTTGGTGATGGGGGATGCATTTATCAGTATGCAAGGGTCTGGGTTTAGGGACTTACAGATAACTGGGCCAATCGAGTTTACTGAGCAAAGCCCGTTCAAAGGATTTGCCCGTTAGACTGATGAACAGGCGCTGAGAGTCGGGAATCTTGCAGATGTGTTCGTCCGGCTCGGCAGGTACGGGCGCCGATGTCAAGTCGATGTCGTCGGGGGGTGAACCTGCGCTGGCGATCTCTGCGCGCCGTTTGCGAGTCGCCATTTGGTGTTCTGTTCTGTGGGATGTGTTAATCGAGTTTCTCTTTGTTGTGATGTCTGAGACAAACCCGCAACTGGGGATTTCTTACTGTGATCGTAGATCGATTACCGTAGCAATGTGCAGTTCCTCGGCGAGACGCCGCTTGTCGCGCTCGGAGGCATCGTCGGGCTGGTTTTGCGCGTTAGCGATGGACTCCTTCCTCTTTCTTTTTTGGATCGCGATGATATCTTATCGCGCTCGGGAGGAGCTTGAGAAGCTTCGTGGGAGGGGTGTGTCAATTACCCTAGCGCTGCGGTAGAGAATACCCTCTTTAAGAACTCTGGTGTCACAGTCAGCATATTCCAATCTCGACAGACGCTATGCGAAAGCTAGGAATGGGAAGATCACGCACTCTGCGCCGCAGAAATGGTTGATCGTTCGGCCGACATCGCGGAAGTTGATGATGTTATCGAACGGGCGATCGGGCGAGTCTAGATCGATACTGGATTGGCGAGCCATGACTAGTGTGGGGATTATTTAGCGACTAGGGTTGAGGAGGAGCAGAGTAGGAGCGAGCATTAGAGATTGAGGTCGGGGGAAGCTGGAGTGTAGAGTTGAGGGTTTGACGTTGACTGTTGAGGTTGGAGTTGGAGAGATTGAAGAGCCAAAAAAGCAAAAGCAAAAGCAAAGCAAGAGCAAGAAAGGGTCGAGACAAAAGTAACAAAGTCGGTGCCCGTCAAAGTAATCAAAGCGGTAGAAGTGGAGAAGGGAGAGTCTCGTTAAAAGAGAAAGTGGGTAAAGTGGTCAAAAGTGGATAAATTATTGATACAGTCTTGTTCAGTTAATTAACTGGTTAACGGGGGAACTATCGTGTGGATGACCCATCGGGTGGAGATGCAGGAAGCCATGATTCAATTACCAGTGATCTAGCTAGAAGCTAACTAGAAACTGGGTTTGGACGGTCAAGTCTAGACGTCAGGGTACAAAATAGCGGTGGACGTTGGGCAGGAAAACTAGAAACAGTAGACAACAAAACTAGGAAAACAGGAGACTAGACTTGGGTACTAAAACGTCAGTCAAGCAACCTAACCTAGGCTAACTAACATAAGTTGGAAACTAGTTCTTTGTCCTGTCATCGGCCCTGATTCTGGACTTCCCCGGGGACTCCACCAAGAGAGCTTAGACCAGTTTATCTTTCATTCTGCTGACTAGACTGGCTACTAGGTGTAACTAATTACTGTAAACTAGAGCTAGACTCTGTATAGGAAGACAAAATTGGCCATAGATAGACGCTCTTTCTTCCACCGCCCCTTTCCAGCCCTAAACACCCCCCTAAATACACTATATACACCATCCCTCCACCTACACATACGACCCACGATTATTCTTCCACTTGGGCTGCAGGTACGTCCAATCCTGATTAAAATCGAACCCGGTCCGATACGCCCCGTACGCGACCAACTCCACCTGATCCAACGCCGCCCCCTCATCCGTCAACGCCCACAGACTAATCGCCAACGTATTCTCCCCCCGATTATTGATGATACCCGGCGGGAACGGGAACAGCGTCTGTGGTCCAATATGCGGCAGGTAATGGCCAAACTGGTACCCATTCATAAACACCTGCACCACCGCACTGGTATTAGCCGCGGCCCCGAGCTGCAGCCCGATCGGGACGTCCAGATCGGCGTCGAGATTGAGCTTGAAGGTTGTCGTGTAGAAGCGTCCTGCGGCGTTCGAGACGCCCTGCAGGGGGGATGAGCTGCCCGCGCTCTTGGGTGCGGTGTATCCCGGGAGATGCCAGCCGAGTCGTTCGCCGTACAGGCCACCTTCGTTCATGGGCCCGCGGACGGGATCGATGTTTGCTTCGCCACCGGCGTTGCCTTGGATGCGCCAGGAGGTGAAGTTGCCGCCGCCGAAGAGGGTGGCCCCCAGGATACCGCGGGGGTTCTGGGTACCGGCCGGCTTGACGTTGTTCTCGTCGTGGCCGGTGTAGTCCATCACGACCGTGAGGACGTTATCGGTGTCCCGGAGGGAGGAGCTGTTGAAGGTTAACAGGTCGGAGGTTGATGCGAGATCTGGATCGCCTAGGGCACCGCCAACATAGTCGCCGTTCAACCAGGCTGCCCAGCCAGCGGCGACGCCGTTTTGCACCGTCACGTTGGCGCCGGTCGCATTGCGTCCGTCGAAGCGACCGCGGTAGATCTTGGTGCCTGCGTGGTATCCGTAGTCGCCCGAGTATAGGACGGGCAGCGAGAGTGGCGCGATAGAGTTGACCGTCGTGCTCTTGTTGCAGACCGTCCAGCGCGAGTCGTCGTAGTCTTGCTTGATCTCGGGAAGAGTATCTTGAGACTTCCAGGATTTCAAAGAGGGCAGGGAGATCTTGGCGTTTTCTGCGCCCTGAGCTGAGCCGATGAGACTGCCGTATGCGGTCTTCTTGGTTGCAATCGATTTGCCGTTCCACTTGATCTTGGTTACCTGGGAGTTACCAGGGTAGACTCTATGAGAAGGTTAGCAAGTGCGGTTCCACCGAATACCCTTCCATGGGAATCAACTTACTCCAGTGTGGTGGTATTCGCATTATCACCAATCAGGCTAACGGTATCATGGCTGATACTCGCCTCACGAACCAAATACGGTCCAAGAGCAAGAATATGTTCGCTGGGGGACACGTTCGGGTTGGACGTGGTAGGCACAGCAAAGAAGTTCCAAGCGGTCTCCTTGTCCAGCAGATATAGAAGAACCCCGTTGGAGAACTTGACAGCGGTCGCGCCATCTCCTTGGGTGTACGAGTACTGCGTTCCATTGGTCGATGTGGTGGAAGTAAAGTTTGAGTTACCGTACGTCTTGAACGTCAAGTGGGATGGGGCATTCTTGAATGCGAACACGCCCTTTTGTCCGATGTTCAGGTAGAGCACCAGCACGTCCACGTCGAGGGTAGCGTAGGTCAGAACCTCGGCGGATGAGTAGAGTAGGCTCGAGGCCTTGCCGACTTCGTACTCCGTGACGATGATCTTGCTTTGGCGACCATCCAGTTCAATGTCAGGGATAGTCAGAGCACCTAAGAAGCGAGTTAGTCAAGATATCTTCAGAGCACACCAGCATGAGTAAACATACCAGCCGAAGTATTAACATTCAGCGAGAACGTCGTCACCGCACGAGACGAACTCGTACTATGCGCAAGCACATAGAACCCAGCGTCCGTCTCGGGATTCCGCAAAGCCCACGTATAAATACTGGCATCGCTAGTATAACCCGTTCCATTGCCCTCCATGGCAGTCTGCAACAAACCCGAAGAAACCCGAGTAAACAAACCAATCAACTTAGTCTGCTTGAGTTTATCCTGAATCTCTCTCGTCTCCCTTAGCGGCGCCGCATAGTCATACGAAGTATAAACGACCGGCGTCGCACTATGACCCCAATTCGTCCCGCCAAAGGCCATATACAGACTCTGCAGGGTGACCCGGGACCCGATGTTATTCTTGTAATAGACATCGGCGAATTCGGGCGAGTGCTCTGCTGCACACTCGTCGTAGAAATATCCACCCCAGGGCTGGAACCAGCCGCCCTCGAACTCGGGGAGGTATTCGGGCTGTGTGTAGGAGTAGTTCTGGAACCATTGGTAGTAAGTGCGGACGAGGTTGAATCCCGAGTCGGGGTTTGTACAGGATAGACCGCCGGGGTATGAATCGAGGCCGTAGACGTTTACTGCACCGCCGACGTCTTCGTAGTCTGTCGACCAGCTTTCCGCGCGCATACCCTTTTCGTTGTGCGAGCTCGGCACGATAACACCGGCCTCCTCGAATGCGGCTGCGATTTGCTCCATGTACAGAACTAGAGTGTTGGTCGCGCTGTGGGTGGTCTCCTGGAGCTCGTTCTCGTGCTGGTTCAGGATCACCGGTCCGCCGTTGGTGATCTGGTTATCCGCGATGATCTTGCCGATCTTCAGGATCCAGGGAAGCCATTTGTCGTAGTAGGACGAGGCACTGGTTCGTTCACTGCCCATTTGTCCGTTCGCTGCCCACAGGGCGAATCCGCCGGCCGAGGTTTCACCGTTAATGTAGGGTCCTGCGCGGGCAATCACATACAGACCGGCTTGTTTGGCGTAGTCGAAGACGCGCTGGACATCGTGGGCGCCGTTTTCAAAGTCAAATGTATCTTCTGAGGCGGAGTGGAAGCTCCAGAAGAAGTAGACTTGGAAGGTTAGTTGAATTGGTTCCAATTGATTGAGTGCGGAGTGTGGAGTATGGAGTATATCGGTTTACTCACTGGATACCGCGTTGAAGCCATTGGAGCGCAACTTTTGGAACACATCAAGCCACATTTCCGGAACAGGAAGACGCATATAATGGAATTCACCAGAAAAGACAAATACTCTCTCCCCTTTCACGGAGAGACTATATTTGTCCCAAGTAACATCGGTAGTCTTGCCATTGTCCGTCGCAGAGACAAGGCTCGACAGCGCCCCGATAAGGAGCAACGGGAGGAATGCGAAAAACCGCATTTTGGGGCTATGATCTCTTCGCGAGCATCACTGACTGATTTCATAACTGCTAGAACTAAATATCACCGGTATAAATCTGTTTTGTGTATCTCGGGGCTCGCGGTAGCGATACACCGGTCGAGGATTGGGATTGGTGGATGTTTTTGTGACGATTATTGACGCTTTGGGCAATTCTCCTGGAAAATGCGGGGGTTGTAATTTCGCTGCAGGGGAGAGGGGTTCATAGCGGGGTGGGTCTGGGGTTGTAATCGCTATGTTAACGAGCATTTTGCTCGGTTGAAAGGATATTTTGTAGTAGAATGGTGTGCTTTGGATAGAATGTTAGCGTGCAATGGCTCGGTGTTGAAAAGCCGCGAAGCCCCCTCGGTATTTCGATTGCGAAGTCTTTACCTGCGCGAGCAATTCCTATTATCTCATTTCGGCTCTTCGGGGCATATCAATTTATTATGAGAGTAAAATAAAAGTCATTCAAAGATTCGTGTATGTACTGAACAGGCAACGCCAGAGATTCCCTGGGTAATAGTTCCGACCAGAGCGCCAAGAGAAATAGCCAGCCCATATTATCGAAAGAACTTGAAAGTCATTAGATCAAAGAAAAGGGTAAATCACAATATTATCGTAATCATAGATCCTCAGAGAATCTCGATTGCCGGCGTATACTTAGAGAATCGCTGAGAACGGGTGGTGCGGGCAGACCTTGTTCGACAGCGCTGTCACGTAATCCCTGCAACTCGCTAGTAGGAATAGCTTCGGAGCTTTGACGCTTGTGGTCGGTACCGTTAGTTTTTAGCTCTTGTGAGTTGCGTGAAACGGTTTTCAGCAAACTCCGGCGAAGACGATGTCTCTTGCTAGTCTCGTTGGAATTTCCATTTTGCACCGCCTGCTGGATGTTTCCAGGCTCCTCATGTACTCCGCCGTTTTCACCGTGCTCGGACTCGAGGTCTTCGGTACTAACGGGGTGCGAGCTTAGCGCTGCCCCGCGAGGTTCGATTCTCCCGGTGAGAGCTGCTCCCCCGGTGAACGCAGACTCGCTGTCGCTGTATTCCGGACCGGGCTGGTGGGGGTACAAGGGTTGGGGTTCGCTTGTGCGACGAACGAGTCTATCGCGGAACCAAGTCTTGAGCTTCGAGTCGGCGCGTGGACTGGTAATGGGCTGAATATTTTGCATGGCGGACACTCCACCGGTGGCAGCAGCGTCGCGTGGTCCGGTGTGAGATCTCAGCATACCAGGACGATTATCGTCCTGAGCTGGCTCGTATGTGAGACTAACAGGTGGAGAGATCGGAGCAACGCCCTCCAGATTTTTCATGCCGGATCTGGAGGGCATACCACCGTTCTGTCGAACAGCCTCACTTGGAGCGTATACGGCTTCCTGCTCAGGTTTGGATTCGTCCTTGGGCTCTGGAGCAGCGGCGCTGACAGGCTCTTGAATTTCGGGGGTAGGAGCAGGAGCTTCTTCAGCCTCGGGCGCAACCACGGCCCCTTGAGCTACAGGGGCCTCCTCAGTGGGCTGTTCATCAGTCGCTTCTTGAGCTGCTGCTTCTTCGACATCCGCCTTCTCCTCCTGCGGTTGCTTGCTCTTTCGCTTCCACGTGAAGAACTTTAGTCCCTTGCTCCCACGCTTCTCTGAAACTATATCATTAATCAGCTTCGTCGTATCCTGGTCAACGTGATTACTATCAAAACTCACCACCATCTCGTTTTTCTGCTCGGTTCAAACTTGCTTCGCGCTCCTTCTGGATTGCAGCCTGCCTCTGTTTCTCTTCCGCGTCAAGGCGCGCCTCCATCTCTTCAGCTCTACGTCGCTCAGCTTGGTCCGTGATCTCGTCCAGCGTTGGTTGAACACGGGAACGTGCAACGGCCTCGACATCAGCCTTGTCCATGTACCGTGATGCGCCGATATTGACCCGATTGGCGGGGGCGCTCTCGGCTTCTGCGGCGTCCGCTTCCTGGCGAACTTTTTCTCGGGCAGCTTCATCCCATTGTTTTTGGATGGAAGGCGGGGCTCGGCCAGTGTCGGCATATACTCTCATTTCCATATCGTGGATTTGAGCATCGACGTTGCGACGGGCTGCTTCCATTAGCAAGTCACGATCCTTTTGTCGTTGTTCATCGACTTTGTTCATTTTATTTCGCAAGCTGAACATTTGATTACGAATCTGTCTCGATTGTTCTGCGTCAACTTGAGTCACATCTGCGTCACTAGAGGTTCTCTTTCGTCGAGCAGATAGGAGCGACCGTTGAGGCTGAGGGGCGGTGCCATAATACTGCTGCATCTCGGCGTGCTCATCTCGCATGCGGGCCAACTTCTCTGCAGCCCGCCTTTGCGCCGTTTCCTGCAAAGTCAAGGCCCGTCGGCCTGCTGATACAGTCGCTCCGCTGACGGTCTTCCGTGCTTCTAGTTGACTCTGACCGTTTCGAGCTGCAGAGACGGCGGGGTCCAGGTTGTTAGCCTCGCCAGTCGGACCAGTGATATCATACATATCCCTCGCCATGACGAGAGCTGCAGCATGGAGCGAGTTCCTGCGATTACGCTCTTGAACTTCACTCGCGATGGGCGGGGAGGAGGTGTAGAGACGAGCATTAGTCTTTGCTGCATGAGTGATCCGGCTCTGTTCCATCGCGTTATCAAGGTGGGCCAGAGGACCTCCGTTTTCTACCTGAGCGCGGTGCGATAAACCAGCAGCAGAGAGCGCCCAATTCGAATCGGTTGTCTTGACCGGTTCACTGGGTGCAGAGTCCGCCCTTTGGCGAGCCGCATATGCACCGGTGGCTGCGCGGCGCGCCTTATCCTGGATATGGCCCGATCGGGAAGCATCATGCTGGGTGGTGGCCTGTTGGTTTGGCGATTGGCCAGTCATGGCTCTCTGCTCTCGCACAGCAAGGATGGCTGCCCCCAACCCTTCTGCGCTATATCGGGTACTCGGTAGAGGAATCTCGGGAGGGGAGAAATCTTTCACATGGAACGCGGCCTTTTCGGCGTCGGTGAGTCGACCCGGGCGCCATACTTCGATCGGTTTCTGATTCGCATGCGCCAGGGCAGAAGCGGCGGAGGCATGGCTAAGATCGGTAGTGGCGCGTGTTGCTCGTGTATCTATTGTGTCGAGCATAGCTTATCAGTATGGCGGGGTCGGCGTCTTCTCATTGCAATCTACGAGGGGGAGTAAGGGCATCACTCACTCAAGTATTGAGCATCGGATGCGGAGGCATCACGAACAGACGCCTTGCGTCGAGGCTGCGTCGCATATAGTGCTGCGGTCGCGGCTGTTTCAGGGACGCATCAAAAGTCAGCGAACAGTGCGAGGATTTCGTATGACGATCCGTAAGGAGCTTACCGTCATCGGCTAGCCGGGCGGACCGGGGCCCCGGGGGCATTTGCTGTGCAGTTGCCATGATGGAAAAGCTGCGGATGAATGCGAAAAAAAAGGGTTGATCTACATTCCTCGCGAGGACGAGAAGGAACAGTAGCAGACAGCGAAAAAAAAAGTTAAGGGGGAAGAGATGGGAAAAGATGGATGGGATGGAAGGCCGGAAGCTTCCTTACACCCCGTGACGTCGTTGGCTCCGCGAGGTAGAAAAGATTAGACTTCCCCATTGCATCATTACATCATCGCAACCGAGTCAATCGATCGATGAATCAATGAGAGGCGATGCCCTTACGCGGGGAGGGCGCACTAAGAGAGACTAACCAAGTGAACAGTGGATGACTGTGGGAATAAGTGGGGGATTAAAGTGGGACTTGGTAGCTCAGCTTCCGCTTTCGATTCGTCTGGTGGTGACGTGGGGACTCTTGGAGGCTTGGATGGCTTGGGAGCTTTTTTCCTCTTCTTCAGACTTCGGTGGATCAAAGGGCGATCAGGTTCGTCTGGTGGTGAACGCCCCTTTTCACGTTTTTCAGACCTCGTTTATGATCGGCCGGGGATGGTTCTATCGTCATGATTACCTCGGGCTAGCGACGAAGAATATACATTGCTCTCACTAAACCCCATAGTGATAATACCTTCGCTGAAGATATATAGTTATACAGACAGCTCCTGATACAAGACGTTGCTGGAAGGTTATCCCGGAAGTAGCCTTATCTCCCCGGTGGAGGCCGACTTGGAAAATCGTGTGAATGGACGATGGATTAGGTAGCAGGTCCTATTACTCCATCTTCGGTGACGCTATCATACTTTGCCAGTTACTGTAGAACCAGGTAACTGGGACCTGGTGGATAGTCATGGCGTGACAGCGTTGCAGAGAATCCACCTCTATGGTTACCCAAATTATTCGACAACCTTGCAATCGTGGAAGAGATCCACACTACACAACTTTCTTAGGACTATATTAGGGCTGATGAGGAACCTTCCGAAATTCTATGTTCCACATAGTATTGAAGACCGGCGGCAATGGTGGCTCAATGGTAATCCTTCCGTTCCTGAGGATGAGAGTTAACTGCGACGAAGAAAGCATCCGCCCTTAAAAAGGGTCTTTGTATCCCTGATAGAAATACACCAACCCAGGTTCACAAGCTGCACGAAAACGTATTGTTACAGAGAAGAGAGTGGAAAAAATGACATGTCATATTGACAAACAAGAACCATTCGATGGACCGGGCCGCGTAAGGATCATGTCGGTACTGGAATGCGCTTTACATGCGGTCCAGGCCAAGCGAGTATCGCTTTCCGAATGATTTTATTCTACTTATTGATAGCCCGACGAAAGATTGATTCTTTTTAAATCAGTGTAGTGAGCTCCCTTGATGGATCTTTACAAAATTTGACAGTCCTGTTACTCAATTCATGTTTTGTGTGAAGCTTTAGGTGCCGCACTCCTCGATATATATACATCGAAGAAATCAGCGTAACCTTAAAAATCCTGCACAATAAAAAAGCAAATACCGATCGCTGGTCTAATACTCAAGAACTTGCGAACCACTACCTTACCTTGCACCACCTTGTTTAGTTTCCCTTTCTTCTCGTTGGTGGTGAAGTAAGTTACCTAGGTAGGCTGATCGCAATGCCGTACTTTGCATCTCGAGGGCCAGTTTTGCAGCTCTGTCTGTGGGAAGCAAAAAGTCAGGATCTATGATTATTTATTAGTCACTTAAAAATAATTCTGAGTCTCCTCCTCAAATATTGGGAAGTTTCCAAGACAGGGGCCAAGGACAATTTACTTCATCAGTTGCCGAGAGACAGGGCTGGCCGCTGACCCATACCCGTCCTCAGCATTGAGTGTGCTACTGTGAATTCTCTCTTAATGACCATGATATAGAGAAATAATCAATCGTAGATCAATTCATTTACGAATGACATATCTACTTATCATTAGAAATACAGGAAATGGCGAAATGAATAAGTGGAGTCCACCCTATGAAAGTCCGTGCATGGCATGACGTCCATCCGCAGTGGAAACCACAAAGCTTAGCCCCAGCCCAACCACACGATCCTCCGACCATCCTTACTTACAACTCCCTCTCTCTTCGACCCCCAAACACGGCGCCATCCAATGCGCCGCAACGAACAATTCCGACCGGGACGTGAACCCCTATCCGACCACCCAAGTCTCACCCTCCGCCGCAGCCATGTCTCAGGACCCTTCTCATTCCTAAATCCCACCTGGGCGCGGTACGCGCCCACCCCAGCCCCTGGCCAGACCAAGCCCGGAACCCTGGCACAGGAAGAGGAACAGCAACAACAAGAACCAGAACCGGACACGAGCGCACCAACACCACCAAAGCAGACACGCTCAATTGAACACCTCTGGCGCTCACGCGATAATCGCAAGGGACGGCATGCGCTGAAAGTGGACTACCGCGCCCCGACGAAAGAAACGGGATACGTCGTCCCACCACCGACGACGACGCTTCGAGCTGTAGCGCGGGGAATCCTGCGGATGGTGACGTGCGCGCCTGTCTGGGATGTATCGTGGCTTGTAGCTGTGACGTTTACGCTTGGATCGGTGATTTGGATTATCAATGCCTTTTTCGCGTGGTTACCACTCGTTGACCCGGAGACGGAGTTCTCGGGTGAAGTTTTGCTGGGTGGGGGGATAAGCGCGTTTATCGGCGCAACGGTGTTCGAGGTTGGGAGTGTGCTTTTGCTGCTGGAGGCTGTGAATGCTAATCAGACTGGTTGTTTTGGGTGGGCGTTGGAAACGGAGTTGAGTAAGGTTGAGCAGAATCGTGCGGATCGGAGGGTTACCAGCGTGAAGACTAGCCAGGACGAGTGTCGGCATCACCATGTGAATAGGAGGAATCTTGTCGGGCTTGGGAGACACTTGTCTCATCAGTTCTCTCGTGATCTTTCGAATGGGTATACGACTTCTTCGTCGGATGGCAGGTCTTTTCGCTGGTTGCCGTCTTGGACTGAGTTGCGGACGCATTATCTCCACGAACTCGGCTTCTTGGCATCTCTGATTCAGTTCTTCGCCGCTACCATTTTCTGGATCGCTGGTTTCACTGGTCTCCCCGGGATCATTGATCATATGAGTCAACGAGTGACGAATGGCGTCTACTGGGTTCCTCAGATAGTTGGCGGAGTTGGCTTCATTCTCAGCGGATTGCTGTTTACACTCGAGACGCAGGAGAAGTGGTACCGACCGGCTTTTCATGTCCTTGGCTGGCACATTGGAGCCTGGAACTTTATCGGTGGCATTGGTTTCACTCTTTGCGGTGCACTGGGGCCAGCGAGCAGTGCTTCTGGTGTCGCGTATCAAGCTTCGCTGGCTACTTTTTGGGGATCGTGGGCATTCATGATTGGATCAACGATACAGTGGTATGAGAGTCTGGAAAAGTATCCAGTCGAGAAGAAACGCGGTGATGATGCATCGATACAGAGCGACGAGTAAATATGCATGAACCTTCTTGGGTGTGATAAATTCATTGGATTGATTGCAGGCTATGGAATACATTGTACATTTGACATGACGCTGGAAATATTCTATAACGCATGACCACTGCTAAGTTATTATGTGGTTATAACTTCATATAAAACTTGTTCATAATCGTAATAAAGCACTCCACCCTGCCTTTACCAGAGGTGAAGAATTTCGAGGATATCATGGCGCGCAAAGAAAGACCGATTCCACTTGCCGAAAACATCTGAAAATCAGGGAATTAGTCAACTCCAATAAAAGTTGCTTCCTGAAGACTTACACATGGGAATACTCAAGCAACAGATACCCACTTGGATGCTGCCGAGAATGATCATGGTGTGCTTCACACCTCCATAGGCCATCCAATCGTAGGCAAAGAATGTCAGCACGAAACTGAACATATTCTTGAAAATAAGCAGGCAGGTAAACGCCTCGATTGCAATTTGACCTGTGAAAATTAGCGGTGTCACTTTGAAGAACGGCTGTAGGTTCCAACATACGGTGGGCATCAACGATATACAGCGACGCAGCAACTGCACCCATCACCATCCCGATAATCACGAACGCGAAGAAAACGTCCGGCAGCAACCAGTGGTACTTCATAGTATCACCTGCCGTCCATCCAAAGCCATAGAGACCCATGCATGCAAAGACCAACTGGAAGACGACCAGCAGAATGCGAAACTCTGGTTCATATTTGCCGTGATTCATTTTCACCATCAACTTGGTCATGGAATCAGTCAAGACACCTGCCAGAACCAGACCGATCATGGATCCAATAAATGCTCCACTGTATAGGTAACCCGTTTGGTCCTCGTGGAACCAAAGTGGTGGACCTTCAAAGACAAGGGCGAGGATGACACCGATAAAGACAGCCCATCCAATGACTACACCTTGAATCAAGCAAGCCTGCGAAAATCATCAGCGGTTCAGTTTCCAATTTGTGATGAGTTTGGAGCTTGGAATGCATACCCAGAGAATGCCTGGATGCAGGAACAAGGGAAAAGGACGAAGTAGCAACTTCCAGAACTTTTCGTCCGTCTTGCGTCCGGTGAAAAGTCGTAGAGACCTCAGGAATGAATCCTTCTCCGGGATCGGTGTCGCGGTCACCTCCGTTCGTGAAGCACCTTGTACAGCTCCAGTCTCCGGGACAAAAGATTTGGATTCTTCGTTGACAGGGTCGTGGAGGGCCAAATGGGACTCGGTAGACTCGCTATGTCCGGATTTGTGCTTGAAGTCGGTATTAAGCTTGTCAGATCGTCGGTATGCCGTTTCTGGTACGAAGAATATCATCAGAGGTAGGGAAGCAGCCAAAAAGACGGCCACAAAGTAAAAGGACCACTGCCAGCCAATGGTCACCGTCATCTTTCCGACAATAACTGGTGTCAAGAATGCAGCGCCGAAGAGAGCTACATTGGACACTGCCATGCGCTTGCCTCGTTCCTAGAGTGATAAAAGTCAGATTCGGACTGTCGGGACAGGACCACGACAACTTACATGGACAAAGTAAAGATCTCCGACGCAAGCATTCACTAATCCCTCGAACGGGGCCAGAGCAACTCCCTGGAAAATTCGGGCCCACAGCAGACTCTTGTGATTCGTACCACTAGCACCGCCCCAGATACAACTTACAATCATCAGGATGTGCCCGAGCAGAAATAGATGGCGTTTACCCCAGACTCGAGCCGTGGGCACAATGAGGATTCCGGCCACACCTACTCCGCAAAGGTGGTATCCAGTGAGCAAGGCTGCCTCGACATAAGTAATCTGCTGGACGTCTGCGATTTTGACGGTGTTTGCAGCCAGAATCGAGCTAAGCGTGGTGCAGAGCACCGTGACGAAAGACAAGATGGCTAGAATAAGATCACGCCTCCATAATGGCCAGTTCTATCACCAGAGTACCTCATCAGTTTCTGTATATATACTGCATTGCGATCTCACATACCAACGGGTCGTTGGGGTCGTCACTCGGCTGGGGAACGAGAATCGTGGGTTCTTTGGTCGTCCAGTCGTGTTTCAGCCCTGTGGTATCGGCGTGGTCGCTCCGATCATCGTCTTGTTCGTAGATATTGGAGGTACCTGGAGGGATTGCGCAGGTATTAGTCGGGTAGGTCTATGCAATATTCTCGATATACAAGTACAAGCTCAAGCTCACCTGGAACGTGCTCGTTCTTGACATCCAGTACACCTAGACCCATGATCGCGATAGGTAGGCGACACGCCCGAAGGTGTCGAAAGTTCGACGCGAAAAAAAAGTTGATAGCAGCTAAGATCGAAAAAAAGGAAGGAGCGGGTGGAGCTCAGGAGTTAAGCCTCGACGGACATCGCTCGACTCAGGTGACCAACACAAAAGGAACTTAACGTATAGCTAAAGTACACATCACAGCACGTCCTTTAAATGAGATCGCGACCGACAGTGAAGGAGAGTCCTTTCGTACGATGGTGAAGTTCGAGGAGGTTTCAGGAAGATTATCATCGCCGGCGCGACCAGACCAGCACCAAATCCGAAGAAACGGGGCCAGCTGTAGTGTGAATTTAGGTCGAGGCTGGCACCCCTCTTCCAAGCCGTCAGACCTCGGCGTGATTGGTCTCTGGGAGGATAATTTCGAGTCCAACGACCGGACTAGTGGAACGGGGGGTTGATCTGCGTGATGTCGAGTACCACGTACCGTACCTTTTGTCCAGGGATCCAATATCCCGAATTTCAGGGTGCACTAACGGCAAAAGGTTTCATATCGCGCATGGCCACCATCGTCTATACAACAATAATCCTACGGGTAACCGCGCCAAAACATACAAGATCCTCCACTAACTACGGACCACAAACTTCAATAATCTTAATAAAATTTCCCACTGGAGGAACTCTCACTCAAACCCAAAACCCCGGGGTGATAGGATAGTCTGGATCGGCGTGAGATGGAAATTTAGGCCGAGGCATCACATTCGTGGCTGGTTCTCGACGGCTCACCAGACAAACCCTATGGGAGGAGAACTTGGACGATACTTTTGCGGATGCCACGCGGCCCATGGCTCTTGCCGTGGCCAAGTTTCGGTGATGCTTGACAGGAGGAGAAGAAAAACGTACCGAGCGTGAACCCTGAGCGACTTTTAGCGGGAGAACCCTTGAACCCCAAGGAGCTGGGGGAATCAAGGCTCCGCTGTGGAGTTGTGGGGAGCTCCGTGTTCCGTTCATTGGTCGAGATGGTCCTGTATGGAGCCTGTTACAATACACAAGCTGTTAATCCGCCGTGTTTGTACGGCTGGTCTGACTGTAAACGCCACAGCCTCGTGAGCGATAGCTACATTTATGCTGGGCGTAGTCTATACATTTTGTTGGGGAGGTTTGATTCCTATGACCAAACTTTGTTTGACAGAGATTGGGAACTGATCAAGCGGTCAATTGTTATTTCCAATTTCTTTACACTCTATCGTCCCCAAGTCATCGCTATGCTTTCGTCGTCGAACATGTTCGTATGGAAAGGTTCAAGGATAAAGTATCTCGTATCTCCTAGTCATCGACAGAGCACCTTGAGAGAAATACGATGAATTTATGTTGATTTGAGGATTTCATTCAAGATGTTGCTATATTCATCACAGTATACTAGCCATAGGCACACAAACGAAGGCCGACGTCTTTTGATCTGCGATTAGGTTCTGACTATTGTAATAGGCGATGTAAGCTTTACTGACTGATCCTCTGCGACATAACGCTACAGCAAGGCCGGAAGTCCCACCCTCCACCACATCGCAATGGGGCATAGGTATTCGGAGTGGTGCTCATCTTATAGAAAAGAAAGAGGATCTGGAGACCTAGGGGATATTAGTAGGCTCAATTAGGCCTAAACCCTAATTTTTAGTATCAGTACAGTCAACTTATGGTTTATCTATAGGAAATCCGGGTGCTAAGGATCACTTATAGCATCTTACTACAAATGGAACTGGTCATGCCACTAGTCTGTTTAGGTCCATTCGTAATAGCGCAAGAATTCTGTAGTGAAATCTTCATTGAAGAGTCTCCTTAAAGGCTACGAGGTTCAGATCTCGCTCGGCCGACAGAATCTACTTTAAAGCGGTAGAATTTCTTGTCCGCCAATCTAAATATAGGTATCTTTCTATATTCTCTTCTTGACCGCTTGGCATTATCTATAAGGTTGGTTTGTTGTTTTCCTGGTGATGATAAAGAGGACTTCGAAAGTTTGTCATAGGTTCAGCCTTAGGAAGCCAGGCTGTACTTGTTGAGCCTATCAGGAGAGAGTAACACCCGGTTAGAAAATCCTCTTCTCCTCTGATCCGTGATAATGGATCCGTCAGCAAGCCAGTTTCAACTTTACTTTTATCTGGCTTTATATGCGTTGGGCACTAAGCGTTAAATCCACGCCAACTTTAATTCAAAAGCCACGCCCTCGGGTGTAATACCATCTTACAACAATAATAATCCAGAGGGAGAACAAAACCACTATTACAAAGGGTCCAAGCCACGGGAGAATAGGACCCAATAACTGTAACAACAGCAACAGCGCGGTATATCCAGTTGAGGCGTCGATTGGATCTGCAGCCCCCTTGGGCGAGACCAAACCCCCAATTCAGCTGTAATCTGCGCAGCTACTTTAAAAGGCGGGGAGAGCAAGTCGCTCCTTCTTTTTCTGAGCAACCCCCTGTCAGCTTCGTCATTCCATTTTAAAAGTCTTGGACTTCACTCAATTTTTTCCTCCAAACTTCCTCCAGTTCAAAACCACAGTCGCCATGAAGTTCACTCAGTTCACTCTGGCTGCGGCCGCTCTGCTGGCTACTGCTGCAGCACAGGGTCTTGACTCACTGCCCGACTGCTCTGTATGTTTTTTTCTCCCTCGTCCACTATTGTATTGCCCGATGCTACCTCAGAAATAGACCGAGAACTAACAATTGACCATAACAGAAAACTTGCGCCACAAGCGCTATCCCCGCAAGCTGCGGTCTCAACGTCCAGTGCATTTGCTCTGACAAGTCGTTCCTGAGCAACATTGCCTGCTGTGTGGCTGACAAGTGCTCCCAGGCCGACCAGGAGAGTGCGTGTTCCAATGATCCCGGATAATTCGAATATCTGCTGACCAAGGCCTTCTTCATTCCTGCAGCTACTCTGCAAGTCGCCAAGGGCATCTGCTCTCGCGGCGGTGTGACCGACCTGCCCAGCACCATCTCCTGCACTTCTTCGGGCTCCTCCACCGCTACCGGCACTGCTGCTACCGCCACTGCTTCGGGCACCACTACCGGAAGCACCAGCGAGACCAAGACTGGCAGCGCCCAGTCGACTGCCACCGACACTACCCTGTCTGGCTCCGTCACTGCCACCAAGACTAGCGCCTCCACCACTGGCTCGGCTGCTTCGAGCTCTTCCTCTTCTGCTTCCCAATCCGCCTCCTCTGCGGCTGCTACTACTGGCGCTGCTGTCCATGGCCAGACCCGGGACTCCTCCCTGATGGCTGCTGCTGGTGCTGCCGCCGCCTTTGCCATCTTTGTCTAGGCGTGCAGTGGCTCGGTATCAACGGTTGATGGGTGATGGAATGAGATGGAACGATTCCTCAATGTTTTAGCAACGATTCGCGCCTTCAAGGGCTAGTCTATATGTAATATTCATGACATACTTAGTCAATCGAACGAACACAATTTCTCTAATGACATAATTTTCGACGGGGGCTCCTCGAGATGTTGTAAAAGGCGCCCAGGTCTTATTTAGCCTCCTCGCGAGCATCTTCCAAGAGCTTGGACAACTTTTGCTGACGCTCTTCACGACAAGTGATGAATACCTGTAGACAAAAATTAGCTTACCAAAGTTGTATTGCACGGGAAAACAGTGATAAAACATCCGCCTGCCGAAGGGGAGAGCAACGTACCCAGAACCACACCATCATCTCCATGAACGCGTACGTGAAGACAACACGACTCTTCAGTTGCTGCAAACCGGAAGGTTCCATCTTGGAAGTATAAGAGGACAGCAGGTAGCTACCACGAGCCTGGTAGATGAAGAACGAAATGCCACCGTACAGGGCGAATCGCAGCGCGGAAATACTGACCCACACGTTCCAGTACATTGTCAGAGACCGCGTGATATACTCGGGCAGCTTCGCCAGCGCTTGGAGATCCTCGGCCGGCAGGTTTGAGTTTCGCAGAGGTCGGATATAGGGCAGGGCCTCATCCAGGGCTTCGTGGTAAGGGAGGCTGGAGAGGAGGATCATGTCGACCAGAGCTCCGGCGAAGAGGAGGACGGAGCAGAAGACGAAGGGGGATTGGGCGGGACTCGTAGCGACGGGGAAGTCCTGCAGAACAATTAGTTTCTTGGGATCATTGTGGCAAGCAGGATAGCGATTGGGCATGCGCGTACAATCTTCAAGGCCTCGCCCATCATAAACACCAAGTCGGAGTCGGTAATATAATTCGGATTCTTGACTAGATATCCGGCAATGACAATTAGAAGTACGGCATGTGCCTGGATGAGCGTTTTGGACGAAAGCAGGGCCATCTTTGCGGTTGGTGATGCTGTTGGAAGGTTGAGAATGGGGGAAAAAGTGGCCTTTGGAGATCGGACTGGTCCGAGTGTCCCGCGAGCCAAAAAATGCATGTGGGGAAACTCTAGCTGTTGCTGTTCCTCGAGTTCAAGAAACCCCACCACGACAAGTCGCAAGTGCGACCGCGATAACCCACGCTTGATTGGAAACAAATCGCATAGACTGATGGTCATATTTGTGCTTGGTCCCAGCTAATACCTCAGATTTAACTGCCATATCCCCTCGATCGCCATGGCGGGGCCCATCTTCAACACCGAGCGCCATGTCAAATATTATCTCCGCTGTCTCAAGACCTTCCTCCCCTCAGCCTATATCTCCAATGACTCGAATCGCATGCTTCTCGCCTACCTGACCCTCGGTGGCCTCGACGTTCTCGGTGTTTTACAAAGCAAAACGACCCCGGAGGAGCGACAAGGGTACATTGACTGGCTCTACCATTGCCAAGTGCCTTCAGGCGGCTTCCGCGGATTTTCAGGCACAGACTTTGGCGATGAGAAGCGAACACCAGATAATGAGGCTTGGGATCCGGCCAATGTCCCCGCGACCTTCTTTGCGCTGGTCAATTTACTCATTCTGGGCGACGAATTGACGCGCGTGAAGCGGAGGGAATGCCTGGAGTGGCTACCGAAGCTGCAACGTGAAGATGGAAGTTTTGGTGAAGTTTTAGGTCCCAATGGGACAGTCGAAGGAGACCAAGATCTACGATACTGCTGCTGCGCGTCAGGGATACGTTATATCCTACGAGGCCAATCTGGAAAGGGTGTAGAGGATGTACCGGATATTAACGTGTCTAAATTAATCTCATTTATCGAGGCTTGTCAGGTAAATATCTCCATCTGTCAATCTAATCGTCTGAGCCTGACTGATCGCTTTCCCTTCGAGCAGAGCTACGACGGCGGAATGGGCGAGTCGCCTTTTCGCGAATCTCACAGTTCGTACTCCACTCTTCCCCTTTGCGTGATGCTTTCCTAACCAAGCGATCCAGGTGGTCATACATATTGTGCAGTTGGATCTCTGCACTTTCTGCGTCAGGGAACAGATAAAACCCCGTCTGACCAGCTGCTGTCTCCGGGTTCGGCGAAGTTTGAGTCCTTGGTAGGCTGGCTGGCATCGCGGCAGACGGACAAGTTGCTCGGCGAGGAGGATGAACAGGAGGACGAGGCGGAGAAAGATACTGAAGAGGAACCACCCGCCGAGGTAGAGGCACTGACAGGGACCGAGTCGGTAGACGATTTGATCCGTGGACTATCGAATATGACCCCCTTGTCAGGCGAGACGATATCTTGCGCCGGGTTCAACGGGCGATGCAACAAACTGGCAGATACTTGCTACTCCTTCTGGAATGGTGCGGCTCTGATGGTATGTATTCTTATCACCGGTAATCAACACCTCGCTGATCAGTTGTATAGATGCTGGACCGATATGGCGTGATCGACGATGCGCGGAATCGGCAATATCTCCTTGAAAAGACACAGCACTTGGTCGGTGGGTTTGGAAAGGGTGTTGGAGATCCTCCAGGTGAGGTGAAATGCTTCTTTGAGTGGCAATTTAGTACTGATCAAATGTCCAGACCTCCTTCATTCGTATTTCGGCATGGTCTCGCTGGCATTCCAGGGTGAGGCTGGACTTGCTCGGGTTGATCCTGCTTTGGTTGCGACCGAAAGGACTGTCGAGCACTTGAAATCGCTGCCTTGGTGGTCATAAACCCAATGACTTCCTGGTGCGGTTTATCCATGGAAGCAGTGACATGCAGTTACGTCATAATGTCTGTCCTGCATCGAACCTTAATTTTAGGTGGAAAGCCCAGAGACAGTTGATTTGTACATATCTCAATATAAACTTATACATTCCAATCACAAACTGAGGTAATTTTCTTCACTACCATAGGCCCAGACGTTGATGCTCATAGAATGTCTCTACAGCATCCCCGCTCGAGTATGATGTGATCTCATGATAGAGTAGCGGGATTCGTCCAATAGAACAATCCACTAATCCTCGATATTCTTCGGGGGAAAGAACAACTGGAGGCGGACGCTCCCAAAACCTATCTATAACTTTCAACACCACATTGTTTATCAAAAAACAGTCATGTTCTTCCAAGTTCTCAAAAGGCGGAACATTAGCTAGCATCGATACCGCCGCTCCGTCGAGAACTAAACAAGCCTGATAACGTGCCCGAGGCCATAAATCAAAATTCTCTTTATCATCCCATTCCTCAGAGGATGACTTCAAGTCCCGAATTTTGGCTTGAATGAGTGCTCGGAACTCTGAACGAATGCGATCATAACTTGCCCCTTCCAGAGTCGCTTGGTCCTCGACTAGATCAAGTTTGAAGCGAAGGAAAGCTTCCTCGGCATACGGAAGGCATGTCCAATATCGTAGCTTACGCTGGACAACGCCCAGAAACGTCTCCATTGCTTGGTGAATATTCTCAGAGACCTCTGTCGAGTAATCCGTGACGAAAACGTAGAATCCCCATGTCGGATCTCGCTCGAGGAACACCTTCCCGTCATCCGAGCGTATATTCTCCCAGCGTTCCACAACATCGAGAAGGTTACGAGTTGTATTGTTTCTCGTCACATTGTTATAATGCAAACAATCGGCAGGATGGAATGACTCCGGTACAGCCTCTGGATCGATTTCTTTCAGGGGGCGCGCGGTCTTGTGGATATCTGCTGTGGCCCCGGGACCAAATGATCGCCCGGTGAATGTGCGTTCTTGTGGCACTGGACGAGTCGCGAGACTGGGGTCGAGAGGAGTGACCGGTCGGCGGATTATTGGCCTCCCTCGTCCAGACATGATGATTGAATGAGTTTTGAGTTTGGAATAAATCCAAGACTGTCTGGTTTTGTGACAGGATAAAGCCAGACTGGCGCCAAGTGTTGCCTAGCTTTGGCTAACGCGATCGAGATGAGCTATCTGAATATCAATTGAACAGGAAAAGCGTTTTCCACTTGACAATAAAACTTGATTCCGTCAGATTTAGTATACACAGAATCGATCGGATCCAAAGGATGGTCATTCTGGCGCCTTCTCCTCCCAAGAAATTTAGGTTTGCTTTCTTTTAGCCTTGGCCAAGTAAGAGTCGTCAGAATTCAGAGGATCACAGGATCCCGTTCCTATTCTCGCAACATCTCTATATCTTGCAACTTTGCTAGATATGGACTTGAGCCTAATTTCCTGTATAGTGTCATTCTCTGGAGGGCGCAGGGATTTGAACGTCCCTCAGGCCTCGCGGACTTCTAACCATTGTTCATCAGGGTAGAGCCGGTAGATGAGTCTAAGATGGTTGTCGGGATTTTCACTTTGACCTTCCTTTTGTTGCGCCTTGTTGACTTGGCAGCTTCATCAATTCGTCGAAGTCTATTTTCCGCAATTGCAATGACACTTCATAACTTCTCTAGTCCAGCTCATAGACTCACACAAGTCCATCACACAGGCCGAAGATATCAGACGGTTGACATCCATTGCAATTGCCTGTATCCCTTTGACTTATATTTCCGGGATATTCAGCATGAGTGAGCCATATGGCCCTGGCCGCGAAGTACTTTTGGGTTCATTGTGTCGCTGCAGTGCCCACCGCTGCAATTCTTATCGGCCTGTTGATGCTGGATGGTAGACTTCCGACATTGGCTGTAATCTGCAAAAGCCTGTGGACGACATTGACGGGAGCCTTTGGTTGAGGGATGAACAATGGGGCTATAAACTAAGTTTGTGGGTCAATATCTCATCCTTGTGAGCATCGGAGACATGCCCAGGAATGTATTCGCCCCCAACTACCCCGCCACCCTCAACCAACCCTGAAAGAAGTGAGCTGTTTTTTCAGATATTCTTTCTTAGTATCCTTATGCAGGCAGCGACTTTTCTTTCTATAATATAGTGGCAATATATCTTATTCAGCCCCGTGGTCACGAGTGGCTATCCTGATCGTGAGAGAGTTCAACACTTTCAAACTACCTGTCGATATAGCGCAGGGCCTGCGTTAAGTCGGGATAGCCTTTACTTTCTAGGATTATACCTAACGCACCTAATTCACGATGGAGCTGGCCTTGTCACCTGAACAAAATAACAGTGCCTTTTTGGTGAAACTCCCTGTGGAGATTAGGCATCGAATCTATGAACTCATCTTTGGAGACAATGTCATTGCCTTCATTCTCACCGGAGGCCCAAGGTTACGACATTGTGTGTGTCCCGCCAAGAACCAAAAGTATCACTTCTTATCATACAAACTCAATGACGGTTCCTGGTGTGGATGTCTGACACACAAAAAAGATTCAACAACTCATCAGAAGCGAGTTTCACTGCTCCTGACTTGTCGCCAGATGTATGCTTCCGCTTTTTGCTTGACTCTTTATCCAATATACTCACTGAATTCACACAGTTATTCGGAGTCCGTGGATATCCTATGGTCGCACAATAGAATTCATCTCCAAATCATGGACTCATCGGATTTTCGAATCCTTTTCGACATCAAATCTGCCCTATCATCTCGGACCTTTCGTGCGATTCGATCGGTTGAGATCTCGTTCCTACATGCATGTCTTGAGCGCCGGATTCAAATACTCGACGATGAGTGGTTCGATCAATGGACAGGCTTGTGGAACGTTATTAAACGCGCCAAGGGGCTTTTGAATATTCAAGCCTGGGTCAAAATGGACCAGGCATCAGGGAATGTGATGACCGCAGAACAGGAGGCAAGGCTATTTACGCCGCTCATGGAACTTGATCGGATACGACATTTCACAGTCGAGGTAACATGGCCGGCGAATGAAGCTTCTGAAGCCTTACTTCTTGACGCGCCATTTTATCTAATTAGGGATGACAATCCCATCGCTGACAAACCTGAGCTGGCAGTCGAGACTGTGGCATGTTCTTTGGGAAGCTCATAATCATTATGGGCCTTGGATAAATCGGACATCGGAGTTGGAGTCATGTCCTTTTACTAGAGCTATGTTATTTCAAACGATTAATGCTGTCCTTAAGCTACGGGCTATCAAGACAATTCAAACCAAGACTTTAGGGTGAAGATACATAGAAACGAAACGGAGATGACAATAGAAGATAAGCTTGAGTATTTCCAAAGCAGCTGCTGACATGCTTCGCCACAAATCATCGGTGCAGCAGGAATTCTCGCACCGTTAAATGTTTCCAGATCTTGCTCTTTAAATATACTTTGGGTGTAAATAAACAAAACCAAAAATCTTTGACTTAAAGCAAGTTTTAATCATCTCGCATTCCACAGCTTCGTGACCACTTCCCCGGCTGGTTTTGCTGCTTTCTTGATCTTTTGAACACTACCTTCCCTAGTGAATTTCCACCCGCGAACCTTGATCATGTCCACTCCTGGAAGCAGTTAGTAGATGGCCTGTCAGTAAGAATAGGACTAGGTTGACCCGTAGCGAATAGAATACGAGTCCGCATTCATGCACCCGACCTCCCGATTTCCCTCGGCAATGCAGTCAGTCCACTTATAATAGAGCATAATCCAAAGTGGAATCCACATAGTCCGGCAACGCATGTGTCATCTAGAATTGTTCTAATTAGCAAGATAAGATTGCCAAGTTTTATCTAGTCTTTCGTAGCTTCATGCGACATAAAGCTAGTTCATACCATAGGCAACAATGGGGGTGCTGGCGGTTCCATTGATTATAGCTATGGGAGATATAACTTTAGGCCTTCATCTGGTTAGATATCATGCGAGCTTGGGGTGCTATGGTATTTCATCGGGGGTTTTAACTTGAGTCTCTGGGATTAACTAACTACTTTTCTTTTTTTACACACCTAGAACTCAGTTTGAACATTCTGACTGATTGCAGTACGAACGAGTGTTGTGATAGCCTTAAATCTACTTATCCAGTTTCATAGTTTCATCAATCTATCATTGATTTGCTTCTAGTTTTGCCGGTCTCTTTAGTAGCTGTATCTCGGAAGGGAGCGAGCTACTCTGTTCGATATATTCAAAAATCAAGTTTAAAGATGGGCCAAATCGAAAACAGGAATGACTGCCTCAAATCTCAGGCCAAAAAACTGCCAAAATCGCAATCGAGCCGAGTTCATTATCACGTGAGTTTCGGCAACTTCTCCATTTTCATCGCGGCTCTCGCCTCACATAAACGTGCCTCTCTCGTCGGCTCTCAAAATTCCGAAGTCTTCTCTGTGCAGAGCTGAGACTTTGGTGAATCCCTGCTGGGAGGCATGCGCTCTTACTCCGGCTGGTACGTGCACGATCTCCGCTATCATGTTTTCCTTATTCTTACCGACCTCTGCTTTTCATGAAAATGCCGTGACTCACGTTTTAGTCTGACTTGCAAACGGAGGAAATTGAAGTGTGACGAGGCCCAACCAGCATGTCGCAGATGCAGGAAAGCGTCGCGTGACTGCGCTTATGGAGAACAGTCTATATTCCGTAGCCAGGAGATTGGCTTAACGCCAGATCGAGTAGTTCGGCGGGCCAATAGGTCCAGAGAGGTGACTACCTGGGTAGATCTTCCAGCTGAATGTACGTTTCATATTCATATGCAGTTTCATATGCTCACATAAATTAGTTACATTTGTCGAAGAGGGCTCAAGGGTCACAGAGGCAAGAGATGCAACAGTGGATTCCGAAGACAATGGCCTCATAGATCGGACTAGAGAGGCCAGTAAAGAAAACCAGGCTCTTGAAACCCACCCAGTTGCACATAATATTCTTCCGGTGACGCCTTCATTCCACCATACGCCAATTGCCGCTCACTGCACACCGCGAGAACATGCTTCCCCGATTTTTGGCAATCGACCAGAGGAGCCGTTGGAGAATGTACTCGTTTCATACCTATTGCGACACTTTAAGCAAGAACCTGGCCAGTGGTGCGTATCAATAACATGGTTTAGCCACAAGTGGGTGCTAATGATCTCCAAGGATGGATCTTTTTGATACGACATCTTATTTTTCATCCAAAGTGCCTGTAATTGCGGCATCAAAAACTTTGCTGAAATCGGCAGTTTGTGCTCTTTCTGCAAAGCATCTTCGACATGTCTGTCGAGTCATGAGCCAAGCTGGTGTGGACCCAGGGTCTGTTCCTAAGTATAGCGGCCTGCCTTTCTCAAACGAAGAAATGTGGCGATATCACTCAGCAAGATATTACGACCAAGCTCTTGGGTATCTCAAGATTGCTGTCAGTTCAGAATCGTTCTCCCATAGCCTACCAGGCAAGGAAGAGATGCTTGCCTCTGTGGCTATACTGTGCGCTTTCGAGTTGATGGATGCTCCAGGGAGTGCATGGAGAGCTCATCTAGGTGCCTTACCTCTATTCGATGATAGAGCTGCCTCTGTGCCAGTCCATTCTTCAATCATAATTCCTCAAACGGCTGTCAAGGGTCCAATATTCTGGAGTTTGGCGAGACAAGACTTGTTATGTGCCTGTGAGTTTCAAAATGATTTTACTCATAACGATGGATCTCCTGACCGAAGACTCAGTCATAAGCGAAACCCCAACTCGATTGGATTTGAAAGACATGCGTCTCTGGCAAAATGCAGGCTTGGCCACAGACGAGAATGGAGAGTTTCTACCCTACAGTCCATCAGATGTAATTCAAAACCAAAATACCTCTGGACTCGAAGAAGACATGAGGAGCAATGAACTCGCGTGGATTCTGGGTAAAATTGCAAACTACCTCACGGCAGGAGACGCTTTGGTCCCGGCGAGCAACAACCTTCCACGCCACCAGCGGCCTCGAATCGGGTTAAGTCAGGAGCATATTCTGGAGAAATGGAAGTTGTTGATGGCTGATCTAGAGAGATGGCATGACTCTCTTCCCGCATCATTCACTCCAACTGCTCGAACACGGGGACTGGGCAGCGCTGCTTCGGGGTTTGAGCTGAGTTTTGATACCTTCGACCAGATCTGGTTCGACCTGCCACTTTGCGCAGCTACAATGCAGAGCTATCATCAAGCGAAGATATTGTTATTCGCGAACGAGCCGCAAGAGTCCACAGCTATTCGGTCAACCGTATCAGCACGTTTAAGATCTTACCGACATGCTCTCCGAGAAGTCGTCTATCATGCCCGGGAGGTTTGCGGGATAAGTCTCGCCAACCCAACCGATTCTTTCAGAGTCAATTCTGTACAAGCCTTGTTCGTCGCGGGGCAGGTCTTCCAAGAGCGCTGCGAGCAGGACGCTGTTCTGGAATTACTTTCTGGAATTGAAAAGGATCTTGGCTGGACTACTCGATATCATGTGGCCAAGTTGAAGGATGAATGGGAAAAGGGAAGAGAAGGCAATCACGTTGATCGTGATGAGCAGGGCCAGAGCCACGATTCGAACTGGTTTATTTCCTAGCTTCCAAATCCATAAAAACCCCGAATTCAAAACATTAAAATCTTGATTTACGTTCCCTTTCATTTGACTCAAACGAAGGGCTGAAACCCCAAGTCTATATACTTCACGGGAAAAGGTCTGAGACATACTGTTTCATGGCGGCCAGTGTCGACGACTTGAAGCTCCCCAAAGAGGATAGCCCGAGCAGGGTTCCAACGAGCACGATGCTCCCAGCAGCAACCAAGAGTGGGTACTGTGGAACAACTACAGCCTCTCGAGGAGATCTCCTGAGAGATTTCTTGTAAACAAAATCTGCCCACTGGATGAAGATGCTGCGGAGGTGAAACTTGAATTGCCAATCTGGGAACATGATGGTATTTCTCCCAGTGCTGGGATCAATGAACCATGAAGTGCAGCCAGTGGCCCAGACCAACTGCTTCGCTTTATGGTCGGTCATAGAAACGTCCCTACGTTCCGCTATCGGAGTAACAGCAACGGATTCAGGGTATTCAATTCCAGGCAAAAAAGGCAGCAATGAGCGATTAAGCCCATTCAAGATCGGACGGATGACCCGGACAATGAAATTTATCTGGCATTCTGTGGTATAAAGCACAGACAAATGTCCAGAAAGTGTATTTGGCCCCATCAGAATGAAGAAGTTTGGAAACCCCGACAGACATGTTCCGAAGTATGCTTCAGGGGAGCCATCTGCGAACTCAAGCCACTGCTTACGAGTTAATTATCTTTCTTTTTTTCTTCCAGTGGGACCACTTACGTGATCGGAAATATCTTGCGCGTTTTGCCCGCGGATCTCCATTGGGAACAATGGCTTCTGGGTCTCGAACCCATTAGCGAGGACGATCGCATCCGCATCAATCGCTCGACCAGACTTGGTCAGGATTCCACTCTCGGTGATATGGTCGATTGGATCATCATAGATTAGTTCAACGTTCTTCCGATGCAGGCAGGCAAGATAGTCCGTATCCATAACTCTACGCTTACAGCCAATGACGGTGTTTGGGACTAGGAAGTCCCGATATTTAGCTGGACAATTCTTTTGAATATACTCTGTAGTAGCGGCTGTCCAATCATTTCGGAGGTTTTGGCCATTTTGCATATGGAAGCCTGCAAAGTCTTTCTCTTACATGAGAAAGAGATATGTTCGGTAAAGGCGTTGGGCTCCGGGTACCCAGCGCATCAAGAACTGAAAACCGGAAGAGTATTCAGGGTTCGGTCTCTGAGACAGCCAGTGAGCCTGACGGGAAAATTGAGTGATTCTCCTGACTTTGTTTGGACCGGTACTCATAACTGGCACAAACTGTGTGGCACTACAACCGTTTCCTAGGTTTTCAGTGAGTGAATATCTTGCAAGGAATATCGGACATGGGTACGTCACTCACCAACACAGATCACTTCTTTGTCTTTATAATCGAAGCTGTGCTCCCACTTGGCTGAGTGGAAAAGTCGGCCTTTGTAGTTCTCGGCCCCGGGGATATCGCATTTCTTTGGGACCGAAAGGGCACCAACGGCCGAAATTAGAATCCTACAGCGCTTTTGGATTTTGCGTTTGGTTCTCTGGTCTTCAATGACCACTTTCCAGCTGGCCGTATCGGGATCGTACTCGGCCAATACAACAGCAGAGTGGAATCTCACATGAGGACGAATATCGTACTGGCTGACAACAGACTCAAAGTATTGATGAATCTCTGGCTGCAAAGCAAATTTACGTGACCAGTAAGGATTCAGAGCAAAGGAGAAAGAATAAAAGTGCGATGGAACCTGAATTTTTAAGGATGTTCAGCAAAGGAGCGCGGATGGTCAATAAATAAAAGGTACTAACATCACATCCGCAGCCTGGATATGAATTAACAAACCACGTTCCACCAATATCGGATGCCTTCTCAATGATTTCAAAGTTTCGTGTCCCGAAGTTGCGTACGAGCTGGACGGCCATGCCTATGCCAGATGGGCCAGCTCCAATAATCAGAATATCTGTATCGATAGACATTGCGTTGAGACGTCTTTAAGATTGAGAGTATGTAAGGATATGGAGGACTTTAATGATAGGAGTAAGCCAAATTTATAAAGATGGTATTCATTAAGATATACAAGGTAATTCTTCGACCAAGACTTGGCGCTGTGTTCTCGAAGTATGTAATCTTCCCGGCACGGAAATGAAGCCGAGATGTATCATTATTCATTCGGAGATGCGGGGTGCCTGATCTCATCCCCTGATTGAAATATGTGTAGTACAGTATCTTAGCACCGTGGCCATCGCGGCGATATTAGGGCTTTTCTTGATTTGGTATCAATCCCGAGCGTCCCGAGCGGACCTGAGTTATGACATCGTATGCCAACTCTTTAACTTCATCGTCATCTTGAGAGCGTGTGTTTTCCCACATATCAGTCGTCAACTGTGGGGAAAGCATTCCAGAATAGCAATTCCTCTTGTTGGCCTAAATGTGATCCAGTTAATCAGGAATTTGTGCCGAGGGGACTGTTGTGTAGCAAGACTAACTCTTGAAAACTAGGTGCAATAGGCATAGAATCTACAAGTATAAAGCCTGGAAATGAAAGCAAATTATTACTGTCATTTACTCACACCTATCTTCCGCTTCACCTTGCCTCAGAGACGATGGTTTATCCCGATACTTTTGAAGGTTTCATGGTTAACTCCCACGAGCAATGGAGTTATTTCCAGAAACAAGAAGTATGTCTTCTTTCATACCCTTTCTTCTACGGCACCAGATACTGACCTTGGACCTGCAGTTCAAACCTAAGCCACTTGAAGATTGGGATGTTGAGATTGCGATTGAGGCGTGTGGTGTGTGTGGGAGTGACGTCCACACCCTCACCGGAGGCTGGGGCCAAGCAAATCTTCCTGTATGTGTAGGACATGAAGTTGTTGGCAAGGTGGTTGCTATCGGTCCAGAAGCTACTACCGTTAAGATTGGTGATCGTGTTGGTGTTGGTGCCCAGGTGTGGGCGTGTCTCGAGTGCAAAATTTGCAAGTCAGGCAATGAAAACTACTGTCCTCACCAAGTTGGTAAGTGGTCTAACCTGTAATGCTCCAAATATATTCCTGATAATTACTTGGAGACACCTACAACTGTTACTATCCCGACAAGTCTATGGCATATGGTGGTTACGCAAGCCACATCCGCGCACACGAATATTTTGTCTTCGCGATTCCCGAAAGCTTAGAGTCAAGCCTTGCAGCCCCGATGTTGTGTGCTGGTATCACGTCTTACAGTCCTCTTTCGCGCGCCAAAATTGGCCCGGGAAAAACTGTTGGAGTAGTTGGAATGTGAGCGCACAATCTCTCTCGAAGAAAATTATAGCTCGCGCATATCTAACGCTTTAGTAAGCGGCGGTTTGGGACACTTTGGTATTCTTTTTGCTGCAGCTCTGGGGGCCGAAGTCTATGCAATCTCACATTCTCCAAACAAAGAAGCTGATGCGAAGATCCTCGGCGCTAAAGGCTTTATTTGTACCAAGGGCGATGGCTGGAACGAGCCCTGGAGAAACAATTTCGACTTTATTCTCAACACGACCGATGCTACGGATCGCTTCGACATGGCTGCGTATTTCAGTCTCTTAACTATCAATGGTACATTTCACACTGTTGGTATTTCGGACAAGGCATTCCCGCCTCTCCGAACGCAGGACATGATGGGCAATGGTTGCTCGATTGCTGCTAGTCATATTGGCAGCAGGCAAGAGGTACAGGAAATGCTTCTATTGGCCGCTAAACTCGATATCAAGAGGTGGGTCCAGAATTTAAAGCTAGAAAATACAACCTCGCAGGCTAACAAAACCAGTTGGGTTGAGACAATCGATATCAGTGAGCAGGGATGCAAAATCGCTGTCGAGAAAGTAGTCACTGGTGATGTTAGATATCGAGTCACGCTAGTTGGCTATGATAAGGTGTTTGGCGCCAGAAAGTGAAAGACTCTCCCTGCGCGCGTTGACTAGCACAGTGATGGCATTCTACATGCACATGTTCATAGGAAAATGAAGTCCTCAATCGCCGATCCAGTCAGCCAAGTTTGCAGATCTTTGAAGGCATCAATGTCGTTCTTTTCGATGGAAGTTTCCACAGCAGGGTCATGCCAATGATGAGTTCTTTTTGTTTCGGTGCTGCGCAAGGACTCCCCAAAGTTTCGGCAGCTATCGAAGTCGATAAGGATAAGCATCCCCTCTTCGTCGAGCATAAAGTTGGCAGGGTTGATGTCATTATGAACAAACCCAAGCGAGTGAAGATGTTTAATGGCAGCCAGGAGCTCTTGAAGGCCACTTTTTATACTCTCCGTTACTAGCTCGCGGCCACTCGAAAGAAATGCGGCCTTGTTAAGATGTTGAGGATTGACTGCTTCAAGCAACGTAGACTTATATCGTCTAAAGCATAAGCCTGAGACTCGGCCGTTGTTTTCATTACAACCGTAATAAGTCGCAATATTTGGATGGGGGTTTTCCCGAAGGATTTCGCAGGTTTCAACTTCGCGAGAAATTCGTTTTTCGAGATTTCCATCAGCATATGCGAGGAGACTAGGTGTTTTCACAAATACCGCAGACCAAGTTGTTTTAACTTCAGGGCCCCTGTCCTCGATCGTGATGCGCTTAAGTTCTTGGAGTTCTTCAAGGGTATTCGGAGATTCTTGTCGGTTTAGCCATTTCCCAGAGTATAGTACGCCATCCCGCCTGGCAAAAATCTGAACGTAAGAGAATCTCAGTTGACCATTGTCAATTCTTTTGAAGGCCTCATTCTTTTGTATAATTTCCATGTTTATATGACGAATACCTTCTAGGGGGTGGTGGTAAGGTAACAGAAGGGTTTTATGGGTTGGGGAGCATTAGGAGTAACTTCAGGCAGTCTTAAACCCATCCCTCGGTGGGGGATGCACGTGGCTTGGTACTAACGTGCGCTCTCTATCTTCGGATTGGTTCATGGATGCAGAGTCAAGCACACACCACGAATCACAACCTTAGAACGACCAAGATTCGTATTATTGTCAACCTCGCCAATATCTACCAACAACTCGCGTCATATAGGGTGCTCATTTCTAGTGGAGCGGCCCTAGCAAGCAACCAACAATATTTAGTAGATCTAGGTTGGTTTATAAGTTCTGTCTGCGAAATGTATGCCAGCAGAATTTCTGAAAAGCTAAAAGATGGATGTGGAAGCATACCTCGGTCTAGGTGTATCACGCGAAGGGTATTCAAACGGATCTGGTTCACCGCACAAAGACGGCGGCAATCAGGTGCCCTCTGGCGAACATGATCTGTGATGGTATACACTACCTATTCAATAGACAAGTGCCCCATTCTTCACCGTCAAAGCGTCTATAGAGTATATCATTTTTTTTCTATCTTTGCTGTTGTACAATCTGCTTCCTGATCATGACGCTTTCTCCACTTTTTCTATCTCATGGAACAAATGATCGTCCAGGCCAGCTGGTCTAGCTTGTTTTCCCAGCATGCTCCCGCATTCACGAAGATGCGATTCTGTTTTGTCGGAGTCCTCGGTAAACTCCAATTTTCGGTATTCGCAATTCAAATAGCCAGTTCCTATTAGAGATAAAACGTCAGTTATGTCCGAATGGAAATAAACCAGTCAATTGGGGAGCCTACCTTTGCCCTGCACATAGCCTGTCCAATCCTCCGTGAAGTAGTGCAAGAACCCCCCGTGAGTCACGAGCGCGATATGCTTTTCTGGCCTGTTGTAAATCCAGTTACGCATTTCAGCGGCCCTTTGATGCACTGCTGACAAGTTAGACGCGTAAATTCCTCTCTATGAGTCACTTAGTGCATTGCTTCTCTGTATCCCAGAGCGAATCGACTGACCTTTGAGTTCCAAGAATCGTCGACCAATGTCGTGTCCAAGTTTGAAGCATCCCATGAAGGGACAGCTTCGGCAATTAGCTTCGGGGCTTCTGTAATTGTGACTTCGGCATCATGACCAACATCGCACGCCAGACTACTAATCTCTTGTGCCTTGGGAACCAAAACTATGGGTATCTGTCGTTTCTCTAATTCAGGCGCGAAGGTGTAGGCGACAGTCTGGACAGTGCGTCGGAGTGGAGATGCGAGGATGACTTCAACGTCCTGAAGGAACGGAAACTTCTCCTGAAGCTCTTTACATTGACTTTTTCCCGTCTCCGTCAAAAGTGCGTCCCGCAGGTGGTGGGAGTCCTATGAGCATTGTTAGAGCGCTAGTATTGGCCAGGTGGGACGACAGTGAAGGTATTGTACGTTGACATTGTGCTCGCCTTGTGCGTGACGAATGACATAGACAGTTGGAGGCATTTTAACTTGAAAAAACGCGAATACCTTATTTTGATTATCGTACGGATTGCCGAGGAAATCAATTAATATGTCGAGAAAGTTGAGATATCGCCTTTGATCACCAGACCTGTGGAGTCGTAGAATTTTCAAGACTAATTTTGTGAAAACGTGGCTTCCGGAAAGATTCCTCGATGGGTCTAAGGATGTTGAGAATGGAGCTTTTGGATGTTTAGAGACAGCAAGCATCTCGGGAGGCCGAGCTCGGCTCGGCTTCTTCTTACGATGTTGTGGCGGCTCCCGATCGATTTTTCCCCTCGGCTTGATTTCCAACTCTATCGATCTCCACTTTTTATTGCCCCTCAATCAGAACAACCCGGGAAAATGGCATCAGAGTGGTTTCTTTACGGGGTAATCATCGGCTTGTCATAATTATCTTTGTTCTGCAGGAATATAGTCTAAATTGCTATTTAAAGAACCTCAGCACAATATTCCATACTGACCAAACCAAACAAGTGATCTCTTCCCTTCATTTCTTTGCGGCCCCATCTCTAACCATCGCTCATTGCGATCCCGAACTCCTCCTGTAACGCAATATGGTACAGTCATTTCGTTTACAGGATAAGGTTGCCATTATAACTGGTGCCTCTTCTGGCCTAGGTCGAGCTATCGCTATTCGTTACGCGAGAGAGGGCGCCAAGGTAGTCTGTGCCGATTTGACACCAACAGCTCGCTCCCAAGAGGAAGCTAGTATCACGACTCATGACTTGATCACCCAGGAGAGTGGGCAGGCCATCTTTGTTAAAACCGATGTTGGTGATGCTACACAAATGGAAAACTTGGTCAAGGAAGCCGTGAAAGCATATGGAAGACTTGACGTGTATGGAACCCATCTCTAATTTGCGTTAGTTAGCCCGAGTCCTCTAATCTTCTTCCTAGCCTGGTCAATAATGCTGGAATAAGTATCGAGGCCCGGTTCCCAGCTGTTCTTCATTTAACCGATGAAGCAACCTGGGACTCGACGATGCGAGTGAATGTGAAGTCAGTCTTCCTTGGCTGCAAATATGCCCTCGCGCAGATGTTAGCACAGGAGCCACATGCTTCAGGGGACCGGGGATGGATCATTAACATCTCATCAATTATGGGCATGATTGCGGGGCCAGAGAATCGTACGTCTTCCACAGCATGTACTTCCTCGCATCTGAACTAACCTCGAGAACTTATAGCCTCTTACTGTGCATCAAAGGGAGCTGTTAGCCAGCTCACGAGGCAGATCGCCTTGGATTATGCTCCTAACAGAATCCACTCTAATGCGATTTGCCCTGGATGTCAGTTACAAAATCCTTTTGTTCATGACGATCGAGACTGACCATTCTCACAGATACCCAAACCGCTATTTTCAAGGAAACAACAACTAATCTTACTCCTTGGGACGATCTCAACCGCCGACACCCGTTGAAAGGCCCCGGATTCCCTGATGATATTGCCAAAATGGCTGTTGTTTTGGCAAGTGAAGATGCTAGCTGGGTCACGGGAGTTTGTTTGCCTGTGGATGGTGGATACACTGCCCGCTAGAAACACAATGATATTGTTTCAGTTTTGAGAAGAAGTCAGGCTTGTTACTACCATTTATCATCTCCCGTGGCGATGCTCATGATTGCAACACTCAGGCCATATCAGTGTAGAGTATGTTTCGCTCATCTTTCAGACTTGGATGCGATGCTTCGTGTCAGACTTCTCGACTCTCTTGCTCTAGTATATTCAAACCTGGTTTTCATAAGTGAATCTTAGTAAAATTCTTCTTCTTCATAAGCATATGTTACCACTGTGCCCGGACAGACTAGCCGAACAGGCCAAAAAGACGAACTATGCTACAACGCTATGTTCCAGCATGCCCGGGACCAGTATAAGAAGCGCACAACGTTAGGCCTAGGGGGGCTACGCCTAGGTCCTAATAGCACAGTACATCAAATTATAGAGAAAGGTTTTTGTAAAATGTCTAATCAGCGTTATATAATCCAAAATATCGATCTATAAATATATCTATAAACCCATGTCTATTAACGTAAATCAATGCTTTTCCAATCCCATTATGCTTTGCTAGTTTCGCGCTTCCAAAGACGGCATCCCTTGGCTGAACTTCCTTTGAAAGCTTCCTCAATCTGTGCGAATGTTCTCCCTCGCGTTTCATGCATGAAAATAATGCTGACAACCACAGTGATCACACAACATCCACCAAATAAGAAGTAAACCCCGAAGTTGCTCTTTGCGAGTAACACGGGAGTGATCAAAGCCACGGTGAAATTACACACCCAATTGCTCGAATGGGCCAGTGTGGTAGCTGATGCTCTGGTGCGCTGGGGTTGTATTTCGGCACTGTAGACTTTGACAGTGATCCCCCAGGTGGCGGAGTACAGAGCGGCATAGAGATAGATGCAGATAATCACGATCCAGCGACCAGCGCCGGTGTTTTGGTGAACAGCATCTCCGGCATATAAACCGCCCATCAGGAACATCAGTATTCCCATTCCAATGCCGCCGAGTATAATACTGCTTCGGCGGCCCCACGAGTCGGCGTACATTAGCCCAGGAATCGTCACAGCGAAGATAAGCAGTGCCGATACACCGGAAGCCAGGAAACTTGCTTCTGAAGAGGCGAGTCCAGCTTTTTGAAAGAGTTGTGGAGCGTACTATAGTACACGTTAGTTATCGTAATGCCTTATAGTAAAAGGAGATTTAGGGCACTTGAACATACGTAAAGCACTCCATCAATACCGCCCAGTTGCTGCATTCCCATCAGAAAGACTGCAAGTGCAGTTCGGCCCCGAACATCCTTTGCAAAGATATCCAGAACCTTGGCAGTGGGTTCAGCGTTTTTATTCTCCGGGACAGAATCGAATTCCTCTTCTGTGTCAGACCCAACTTCTTGTACCTGCACTTGAGCCTTGACTGGTTCGCGATCTGCGAGAGTCACGCCCAAACTTTCCCATGCCTCTTCAGCCTCTTCATAGCGACCCTGAAGACCTAGCCACTGGGGTGATTCTGGCAAAAAGGCCAAAGAAAGTCCACAAATGACCATGGCACACGCTGAAAGAACAATCCAGGGCGTGCGCCACGATAGGGATGACGGGATATTCGAGGTGCCATAACTGACAAAATACCCTATCACCAGTCCCAGGGTACAAGCCAGCTGAGGACCAGTCGTGAGGGCACCTCTAATTCTGACAGGCGAAATTTCACAGATCAAAACCACCAAGTTGCCAAGGAAAAGGCCTTCTCCAACACCTTCAACAAGTCGACCGACGATGAACATAGCAATATGAACAGCCCCAGCTTCGATAGCAGCTCCGATGCCAAAGATAAAGGTGCCGATACATATTCCTTTTGGCCGACCGAGGCGATCGGCAACATGGCCAGCAAAAAATGACGAGAGGGCAGCTGGAATCAAAATAGAGGAAACGATGAGGCCATGAATCGTTGCGTTTTCGCTACCCCCAAATTCGGCCTTGAAGTCCTTCATGTCAGTCACAGGACCGATGATCCCTGTGTCCATCCCGAAGAGTATGCCATTTGCTGAGCATAGAATGGAGGCCAGTAGGTACTTTGGCGGACTCTTTAATTGGGGCGGAATCAGGCCCATGATATTGTCTTGAAAGGAGGCTTCGGTTCTCAAGTGCCAATATACTGGGATAACTTGAATAATTGGATATCCGTTATATTTGCATAGGATATGAAAGACTTCGTAGGAGGGTGTCGGGACATGAAGGCATTTAAGTCTACAGATAAGATGGGAAATCAAATATCCGTGGCGTCAGCCCAAACTGAAGAGTTTTCTTTTCTACCCCTCTATACAATCTAGATAAACCCACAGTGGGGGTGGATCTATGCTTTTTACCGACGATATACCACTCGCCGGTCTTCAATTGACCTTGTGACTGTATGCCACGTGCAGAATTGTCAGCTACCAAAGTCCCAAGTCCATTAATGATCGTGCGGTAGTTATACGTCGTTGTTGGGCAGCATATCCACTTTGTGGTGGCTTCTTTCCCGGTCTTCCCCCCCAACCCACCCTTCCAACATCTAGGCTCAAGAGCAGTCTTTTCCTGTGTATTCGAGAGACTTCCAATGCGCTGCAAAAGCGTATATTTCTCTGCAAATTGTATCCATTGTGCTATATGAACACTATTATTAAATTCTTTCGCGTCAGAAATCAAAGACATCTACTAAGTTCATACGTCGGAAAATTTGAGCTCGGTAGAACTCCGGCAGAGCCAGCACTATCAACCCGAGGCGATCTCGGCCCGAAAGTGGTAATCGAGCCGAGTCGGCCCAGGCCTACAAACCTGTGGGGCAAATAGAAAGCCAAGAACCTCTACACAGAACGACTATGTACTATGTGAAGGAGAGAAAGGGTAGTCGGGAATTCCAGACCCAGGTTCGACTTTTCCATCGAGAAGATCAGAGCCGATGCTTAATAATGTACAACAGTACCTTAGTCTATACTTATCACACCGGTCCCTGAGCCCCATATATTCCCCTAGGTGGCCCTGGTAAACCGCGATTACATAATGTTTGAGCTCGGCTGTGTTGCTTAGAATGTCCATCTACAGTCGGCTGGAGTAGTTGGTGAGCATCGGCAAAGGTATTTATATAAATCTTGTGATCAATATAACGAGCCAGGGAAAGCAATGAGAAGTAACTACCTGAAGAGCTACCCTTAACCATGATCAACACAGCTATCGCGTCCAGTACGAACCTAAGAGTGAAGACACAAGTCTACGAGCACAAAGCGACTGAGAATCCACAAGTATTCGTCATATACGAGATCAGTTTTATCACTCTGTGAGTCATTGGACGAATGTGCTGATTATATTGAAGTAGGCCTCCGTTACCAAATATAACGTTAGATAATTCCGAATGGACAACCGCAAGGCTGATTAGACGGACTGAAAGAACACTCCAAATAAATGTTCGCTGAGATGTATCTCCCACCAAGGAGAGTTTTTACGGCATTAATGAAGATCGCCAGAGCTTAGCACGACATAGAGCCTCGGATATTCCAACTATCTCGTTCTTAAATAAGACGAAAGGCAGCCTCCAGAGCAGCTCTCCGTTGGAACTCTCATTTGTAGTGCGGTCGATAACGAAGTTCTTTTCGGCTCCCTAGCTGCCAGCTTAGCTACTGATTAGGCTTTCTCTCGGCATCTTCCTGGGCGTGGCAGAGTCAGCGTTGCTAGAGCTATTTAAAGATCCAAAATTGGGAGTCTAGTCGCCAGATTCAGACTTCTAGACATAGTGGAAACCAATAAAAAGAAGGTTTAGTTTTTCTTTATATCATTTAAATGTTTGTCATGGGTACTAGTACCTAACCGAGTCTAAAATAAAGGATCAAATTGAATGCCACCGTCTTCTCTGTAGCTGCCACGACTCTCCTCCGGGTCAATATCTACGGGTTCTCCTGTGGGTGCGATATATCCAGCGCCTAGCACCGCACTGTTAAGGAGGAATAGCCATGAAGAAACAACTCTAAGATATTGCAGTATAGAATTTTGCTAAAGAATTAGTAGATGAGGAGATAGTTCCACCCACGGAAACTCAATGATATCGAAATATATGTGGGGTGTAGCTTCTAACACAGTGGGCGGGCAGAGAAATATATATTTCGCGACGGAAAGGGCGGACTCGAGATATGAATCGAATTTGGGATTGAAGTAGTGACAAGCGTTGAGTTGATGCATGTTTTAGAGTACATACTACTACTATTATTGTTAGAACCTGGAATACTACCTATGGTATCGCCTAGGGGTTGGTATTATCCCAACTGGTCACTAAATTGGAAGTAGCCCTCCTAGAGCATCGCGCCTAGTAATAGACAGACGGGATAAGTCTTAAGGCGTAGATTTAACGGATTTCTAGACAGGATTGGATCTTTAAGCCTAAGGAAGTTTATTAGATCGACTTTACAGAGGGTAAATATTCTGCGCCCGCCGCCAAGGTACTCCAAGTACCAATTGGTACTGCACATACAGTATGCACCGTATGATGATCGCTGATCTCGCTTGGGCGGCAGAGGTCTGATTGGTCCATGTCATCAAGATGCGAGCGGCCAATGAGCGCGCGGTTGTAAATTGAGCGCAATGACCGAGGGCCCAGGATGGTGGTGTTGACAGTTGCGTGATACGTGGGATTCGTGCGATGGCGTCGTGGCGTAGAAGGAGCGGATTGTTCTGCCTGGTGTCTATGCAGTCTTATTAAAGTCTTATAGGTCTGTCTCATAATACCGGTTTCTGTACCTTGTCTATACTTGGGGTCCTTTTTCGCCCCCCCCCGTCAGCGTGTGTGCTAAATAAAAAAAAAGAAGTACCATTACAGTAATTAGGTACACCACGCGACACGAAGTGAATAGTTGAGATGAAACGGGGGTCAATTTGTATTCAGGGGCTCGTCCCGTGTATGATCTAATTCCTTAAGAGCATAACTAATAATAATAATAATAGTCCGGCCCAGGAGAAAAGCCGTTCGAGTCCACAGCCGAACTCCACACGGTCCACGTTCCCGTTGACGTCTTGCTCACAAGAAACTTTGTATGCACCACCAACCACCAACCACCACATTCCACATGAGGTCCTTCTTCTCTACAACTCATCCACTCCTGCAATCCACGACTCATTGAACTCTCTCCCTTCCCTTCCGACGGTATCCCTGCCCTGCGCCCACCCGACATTCCCGCCGGAACCTGTTTCCCCGACGCCCTCTCCGTGTCTGTTTGAATGGCAACACCAAGTCCCAGCAGCCCACTTCTCCACGTCTACCTACCCGACACGCGCAGAGATCTCCGTGGCCGACGGCAGTCCCGGAGATCGATCATAACACATGCCGCCCAGGACGAGAGCGGGGGTGCAAAGCCAGAAACAAAAGGAAAAGGTACGTCGAAGGGGATCGCGGCCCGCCGTTTGTGGCGGCCATAACCTCCTGAAGGCCCCAGTGGTCTTGAGTGAAAATGTAGCTAACAAGGAGTCCGGCCATTTCTGGTCGCGTGTGCCAATAGCTTGCGAACTCCTACAATGAATTACTCGAGTAAGCTTCCTTCGATCCCTCCGCTGGATGCACTGTGCTAACCCGTATCCCTCGGCAGAGAGTTCTCGTCCAAGGATCTGCGGAGCGTGGGAAATTACACTCTAGGGAGATTGATTGGGAAAGGGTCCTTTGGAAAGGTTTATCTCGCATCGCATAAGCTCACCAATGGCTCCAAGGTACGGATTGCGCTGTGGCAGGACGGCTTGTGCGGATTATGTTGGATCGTACTGACCGCTGGTACAGGTAGTGCTCAAATCCTCCAGCAAGGAGGATACCAACTTAGCACGCGAGATCCATCACCATCGTCAATTCCTCCACCCTCATATCGCGCGCCTTTACGAAGTCATTGTAACAGAGAGCTTGGTGTGGCTGGTGTTGGAATACTGTCCTGGTATGTCGGTTCAAAAGCGCGACCCGGGGCGAGCCTGTGCGGAGACATGGACTAACGGTGAACTATTCATAGGCGACGAGCTTTACAATTATCTCCTCCGCCACGGTCCCCTTCCTGTCGATAAAGTGAAACGGATATTCACCCAGCTGGTGGGAGCGGTGGCATACGTTCATAGCAAGTCATGCGTGCATCGGGACCTCAAACTGGAGAACATCCTACTCGACAAGCATGAGAATGTCAAACTATGTGATTTTGGGTTCACGCGCGAATATGAAGGCAAAGCGAGCTATTTGCAAACGTTCTGCGGTACGATATGCTACAGTGCGCCGGAAATGTTGAAGGGGGAGAAGTACGCGGGCGAGAAAGTGGATGTATGGAGCCTGGGCATCATTCTCTACGCGCTTTTGGCCGGCGAGCTACCTTATGACGATGACGACGACCAAGTCACCAAGAGCCGGATCCTCACAGAGGAGCCAAAGTACAACGACAAGTTCCCTGATGACGCCAAAGCATTGATCAATCTCCTTCTCTCCAAACGGCCATTGATCCGGCCGAGTCTGGACGACATACTCGCTCATCCGTTCCTCTCTGAGCATGCCCCCGAACAGCTTGCTATCCTCAAGATTCCCCGACCCTCGCCTTTCACGACGCCGCTGGAAAAGACGACACTGCAACGAATGAAGAGCGCCGGTGTCAACATTGATGAAGTTATTGAAAATGTTCTTGCGCAAAGGTGTGACCCGTTGGCTGGATGGTGGGCCCTGTTGATCGAAAAGGAGCAGCGCAAAGAACAGAAGCGAGAGCGCAAACGCCGGGAGCGAGAAGTCGAAGCAAAGAATCTCCGCCGACTCAGCGCTGCTAGTAGCCGGTTAGAAAAGCTTTCTTCGGCCTTGGTGGAAGTCGACGAGGAAGGCCATGTCACCTCGGGCTCACTACAGGACCGTGGGCGGCGTGACAGGCGAAGTCTACCATCCCAGCTGGCGGTACCAGAGCTTCCTGCGCTCCCCGAGCCATTGCCTGTTCATTCACCCGATACGAGCAACCCACCAGCGCCCATTGATAAAGACTCTGTCGTTGACAGGCGTTCGATTACATCGGCATCGACGTCGGTTCGTCGCCGTCCCGTGCCTCCTCCAAAGGACACGAGAAGGCGGCCTAGTATGCTGCATGTCAGTGCATCCCAACCAGAGCTTACGCAGCACCATGGAATCTTCCGCCGGCGCACTCCTCGACGCCATCACCCCATTCTTAGCCAGCTTGCATCGCTTAAGCATTGGTTTGTGGAGTCTGCCAAGCGGGCCAAGTCTCCCAGTGCCAGGTCAGGTGGCTCGCGCAAATTCCTATCGGAAAAGTTCAGTCCTGCAAAGAGTCAAGATTCCGGAAAGAAGACCGCGTCAGCATCTACTGTGGGCGAGGCTCCGACAGAGGTCGTGACGCCGACTCAAATGAAGCGCATTTCCACTGCCAGCAGCCTGGCCCCGAGCAGTGCCTCGTATCGTCAAAATAGACACTCCTACCCGCGTCAGCCTCGGCCACTAAACACCGGCCATTCCAGCAATCGCAACTCTCTCTCGCCTTCTCCTATCACGCCCCGGGGCTCTTATCGACGGTCGTCAGCTGGACTGCGTGGCCGCAAATCAACATCATCATCTGTTTCATCTATCCGCAGCATACATCATACCCGTGCGCACTCTAAAGCATCTTCAATTTCCTCCAATAGCATCGACACCGTTGCGACGCCAACGGCACGAATTTCCAAGTCTCCTCATTCGTCTATTAAAGTTCTGCCTACTACACCTGGCTCGTCTGCCCGCTTTCCGAGCAGCGTTCGGTTGGTGCGCGGTCCCAGTGGACCTCAGAGAGAGCTAGGTGATCATATTGGGCATTTACCATCCGCTTTTAATGAAGCCGCTCCTGGTCCGATTCTTTACTCGCCGTCCTCAAGTCTAGTCTTTGCTCGCCGAAAGCGATCTGCTTTCAAGGGACCTATGATCCATACATCGAACCTGATGGGCTCAGGCAGCATGATCCATTCCCCTCTCCCTGGTCAGGCTTCAGATAGCGCAGATGCGATTCCCGCCGCTGCACGCCCTGCTGCCCGCAAGAGCCAGATCATCGAAGAAGAGGAAGATGATGAAGGTTTTGAGGACGAGATTGAAGAAGTCGACGAATTTACCGGTCCGGAAGAAGACCTAGACACGGTTACCGCGGAGGGTGACCTTACACCCCGGGTATCCGCCGCACAGGTCCCCGAGCCTGGCTCCCCTGAATCGGCCCGCAGGCCGGCACTTGAGCCTGCCCCGGAGCTAGAGTCTAGCCCCAGACCCCCACGGTCATCATCGCTTCGTTCGCCGCCGTCTGAGGTAGGAGTAGCACTTTCAGACGAGGCCGTGGAGTCGGTTCAAGACGGTGATGTCAAGGTTGACATGACCACAGAGGCCGCTAGCGAGGTCACTACCAAGCCAGTCGCCGCCGAGTAATATTGCCAATGCTTTTCCTTTTGATGCTGTTTCACGGTGTCACAACCCTTCCCACGATTCTCATTTTCATTGCGCGAATTGTTAGACGATAGAGCTGCTACTTTTACTGTTTCTATTTCCCTTGTGCTACCGCTTGTGATTCTTCATATACCCCCCATGTTTTTTTGCGATTCCATACACACCCTGTGTACGTGTTTCTCATTGTTTGCACTTTTGATACCGATATCTTCTGGCTTCCTATGGCATTGTATCATCATTTCCAGCCCGTTGTTGTGGCTGTGATCGACTCTCGCCTTCACCCTCGCTCCAATTCTCCTTGACTCATTTTGTTTGACTACCCTGCGCTATGGCGCCCTTCCTCTGTCGAGATTTCCTATGACCTCACTCATCTCCATCGTTCTGAATGCCAGATACCTCTTTTCTTTTCTTGCCAGGCTCGCATTACTACATTGCAATCCCCATTATAGACTACTTTTGTTTCTCTGATTTGCATCATTGCCTGCATAAAGACATAAACCTCCCTTTCAGCGAGATCAAGAACAGAATACCAAGAGCGCTGCTGGTTCGAGGCTCTTTCCAAAGATGGGTCATATCAAAATCTATTCTACAGGAACAGTGAGATGGTATCATATTTCAATTTGGACCATCGCATAAAATCGTAATATCATTCTTTCTATCCCAACGGGAATAGGTCATTAATTGCTAAGTGGATGAACACAAGCCAATATGCCCCTCTGTCAATAATCTATGCACCCAAGCTATTACCGCTCGATATGCACCGGACCGGCTTCCTTATCCAAAGCCTCAGCGGCATGACCCGAATCCTTCTCGTTAATCTCATGAGACCCAACGACAGCCTCCTCATCTTTAACATTCTGGTTCTGTAATCCGACAGTGCTCTCACCAACTTTATCGACCGTTATTTTGTACGAAGGGACATAATTGACCGCAACAGCGTATGTCCACGCAACAACCATAAACTATAGAAACATCGTATGTCAGTGATGGAGTCTGTCAACGGTTTCGAGAAAGCGTAACTTACCATCGTCGGAACGATGAACGCAAAGCCAGTGTCATTCCTCATATCAGCGACATGGCCCAGGATAGGCGGGACGATTGCACCACCGCATACACCACCAACAATAAAGCCCGAGCCACGCTTATAATGACGACCAAGGCCGCGGATACCCAGTGCCACGATAGTAGGGAAACAGACCGACTCAAAGAACAGAACCATGTAGAGCATCGCTATTAGACAAGTCAGTCGTGTTTTAGTACCTATGACAGTCCCTCATCCAGGTACTTACCAATACCAGTCTGATTTCTCTGCGTCACAGATGCAGCCAGGAATGCCACACAACAAGACAAATAAATACCAAAGACATAGCGAGCCCTGGTGTACTTCATAATCCCCGAACCTAGGAATCGACCCACGGCGAATGCACCCTGTGCACCGGCAAGAAGTTTCGCGCCCTTGGCACTGTCAGTGCCGGGCCAGGTATCGACGGCGTAGTTGATGAAGTAACCCGCAATAGCAACTAACCCGGGGATATTAGTACATCATCTTTCCGGATAACATGAATGTAATGCAAGAGCGGAGCCAAGCATTTCGACATACCTTGAGCACCAGTATACGTAAACTGCGCCAACGTAGCATGGAACAATTTCCACTGTTTCCAAAACGGCTTATCCTGCTCATCGACATGGGTACTGGCCACCTGGAATGCCATATCCTCATCCGTGACTTCGGGAATATTCGAGACGAAGAATACGCCTGCGAGACAGAAGACGAAAATGCCAATGGCTAGGTAGACCCATTGCACACGCTGCAGGGCTTCGACGTTATCGTTTGTCGTTGTGAAGAATGCATATGAACCTAACACGGGTCCGACAACGGTGCCAATGGCGTTGAAGGATTGGGCGAAGTTGATTCGAATCTCAGCGTATCTGGGTGGTCCGCAAACTAGATGTTATCGAGCATGGAATCAGTATTCACGCAGTGGCAATTTTCGCCTCACTGTATAGCCTAATATAGAGAAGAGAGTACGTACCGGTCAAATACGGATTCGCAGCTGTCTCGAGCGAGCCCAACCCCGAACCAATGACGAAAGTTGCACCACAGAATCCACCGAAGGATTGATGTAGGCCTGCAGGCCACATACACAGTGCACCGATGCCGTACAGCGTTAAACCGAAGATGAAGACTGTTTTATATCCATAATGACGCAGGATCCAATTTGCGTAGCCGAGCGAGGCTAGTGGGTATGCACTACTAGCGTCAGGATTGCTAGATAGCATGGGAGATGAAGAATGCGTACCCGAAGTATGCAGCCTGGAGACCTGCTGACCTTGTACGGTCAATGTGGAGGGTGTTCTGAAAGTGCTTATTCAGAGTATCCAAGAGACCGTATGCAAAGCCCTGTAGGGGTGAAATTGTGTAGTTTAGTATAAGAGGTGTGATTGCTCAAGATGGGCGACGCATACCCATAAGAAGAATAAAATAGTAACTAGACTGAGAGGCCACAGACTCTGGCGTAGGGTTAGTGTCGCGGCAGAGGTAGTCTTGCGATTATCGACGCGCAGGCCGGAGCGATTCTTGAAGACTTCTTTGAATCCCATGGCGTGGGGGTCCCCTAGACCGGGAGATGCTGTTGGATGCTATATAGTACTGATAGCAAGTATAGAAGCAACACTTCAAGTTATCGTTGCTATATAGATACAAAAGGGCCCCCAACCTATTCAGTAAGGAACAACAGAAAGAAGAAGAAAACACCAGACCAGAGAGCACGTTTGAGCAATCCCAATGATACTTAAAACCCTCACATCCCAAATACCAAGAATCTAAATACCCGCTCCCCTCCAAGCAAGGGATCAACCAGAATTCACCCGCACCTCGCCCCCGGCACTTAAGACATTTAAGCAAACGGGTTTAACCCACTTTCCACGAGTCAAAAACCAAGGTTGACTGGTTGAACAATAATAGACGGAGAGGTGAGGGGGAAAACAAGACAGGGTCACACCAGAAGGTCACACCTCCAACTAGATCTCTCCGCATCTTCAGTCCACAACTGAAATCCAAATCCGGGGTGCGCGACCCCGTCGATCCCTTCCCGTGAAATAGACCACTAACCAAGCCTAATCTCCGCTAGAGGGAAGCGTAACCAGTAGGAAGGAACACGACGGAGGTGCGCCAAGGCTCGACGTAACTCTGTTTGAGGGCCGAGGGCGTAAGTGCGGGGGTGCAGACACGGGATGTGGGTTGCGGGTTGTACAATATCAGGCTATAAGGTGGCGTTTGCCATTGGCTTTTGGGCTTCGGGATTGGCTTTGGAGTTGGAGTAGGTAGCTCTCGGGTATTTAAATTGAATCGGATATTTAAATAGTGTTTGATCTTGGCCTTGTGGGAGGACAGTTCGGGGTAATGATCCCCGTTGGACGTGGTCTGTTGCTTGGCTTGCTGGAGTGGACTGGGACAGGTGGGCTGATATTCTACAAGGATCGGAAGGGATATTGCATGATCAAAGTTTCATTTGCAAGTCTTCATCTATGAGCGTCATGATATAAAAAAGTGGAAAGGTGATGATCCAGAAACCATCTCCGTCATTCTTGGAGACATCGGGCAGTCACAGATCAACATCTAACATGTTCTCTATTCAAAATTCAGTGATTCCACCCCGTCTTCCTTGTATATGCTAGATCGTCTGATCATGTTATCTTTCAGGATCTGACTTTTACGCCTTCTTGGGCTTGCCAGCGCTGCCGTTCTGGGCAGCTGGGGCCGGGGTGACCTTGGTGTTATACAGTTGGCGCTCGAAGAACTTGAGAACTTCGTCGATCACACTGAGATAACGTTAGCACTTGAAACCCAAGAAAATGAAGACTGTCGACTTACATAACGGGGGCGCTGATCACCAAGACAGCCTGCCACTCAGTCCAGTTCAGGGGCAGAATGGCGAACAGGGTCTGCAGGAAGGGAATGTAGAGAATCGCGAAGTGAAGAGCCATCGACAAGGTGATGGCATAGATCAGCATCGGGTTGTTGTGCAGGAAGAAAGTCAGAAGAGACTCGCTGGACGACAAGGCGTTCATCGCGTTGAACATCTCGATCACAACCAGGATAGACAGGGAGACCGTCGAGGCGGACTTGCCCATGTCGTTGCTGAACATCTCGCAGCCAATCTCGGGGAACAAAGCAGAGCACTGGTGGAAGTGAGACTGGAAGAATCAACTGTTAGTAACCATCCTATGGTTTGATATCCAATAAAGACTTACCAGCTGGTAGTACGAGATTTGGGGACCCTCGGGGTTGTACATGAACCACCACACATATCCAAAGACGGTGGCAGCACCAACGTAGGTACCGATGACCATATAACGGAACAACAACCAGCCACCAACGAGAGGCTCATCGCGACGACGGGGAGGGCGTCTCATAACATCATGGTCGGCGGGGTTGAACGACAAGGCGGTAGCGGGAAGACCATCGGTGACCAGGTTGACCCACAGAAGCTGAACGGGAACCAAAGCCTCGGGCATGCCAAGGGCAGCGGTCAGGAAGATAGAGACGACCTCACCGATGTTGGACGAGATCAGGTAACGGATGAACTGCTGGGTGTTGCTGTAGATGGAGCGGCCCTCCTCAACAGCGACGGTAATAGTGGCAAAGTTGTCATCGGCCAGGACCATGTCGGCGGCCAGCTTGGCGACATCGGTACCAGTACCCATAGCAACACCAATGTCGGACTTCTTGAGAGCGGGAGCATCGTTGACACCGTCACCAGTCATGGCAACGACGTGGTTCATAGACTGAAGGAGGTCGACCAGCTTGGACTTGTGGGTAGGTTCGGTACGGGAGAAGAGGGATGCATTCTGAACGGCCTTGATCTGCTCGGCCTCGCTGAGGCTGTCGAATTCACGGCCAGTGAAGCTCTTGCCAGTCAGGTCCTCGTTGGGTCCAAAGACACCAATCTGGCGACAGATGGCCTCGGCAGTGTTGGGGTTGTCACCAGTGATCACAATAACACGGATACCAGCCTGGTAGCACTTCTTGATAGAGTCGGCAACCTCGGGACGAGGAGGATCCAGCATACCAATCAGGCCAATAAGGGTCATGTTCTGTTCGAGCTTGGCGTAGTCCTCGGTGGTCGAGGCCTTCTTCAAAAGAGGATTTCCAGAGACATCGCCGACGCTGGCGATGGCCATAACACGTAGACCGCGGTTGCCATACTCGACAACCTCCTCGGCGAGCAACTTAGCGTGGCTCTTGGTGAGAGATACGCGAGAACCTTCGGAACCTTGCAGGACGTAAGAGCAGCGTTCAAGAATCGATTCGGGGGCACCCTTGACAAGCAGCTTTTGCTCAGTGCCGTCGCCAACGAGGACAGACATGCTCTTGCGGTCACGCGAGAACTCGTAGGTAGCCTGAAGAGGGAGCTGGGATTCATAGTGGGCAGAGACGGCGTGGAGACGCTGGGAGGCAGGAAGACTGAAGAGCTTCTTGTTCACAGTAGCGTCGGCGGTACCAATCTTCTCGACCAGAGCACGCAGAGCAGCCTCGGTGGGTTCACCAATGTTAGAGAACGCACCAGACTTGGCATCGTAGGCCAGGGTAGCGGCATTACACAGAGCAGAGACCTCGGCCAGCTGAGCGACAGTCGACGAAGATGCAGCAACATTCTCCACAACCTTGCCGTTGCGGGTCAGCTTTCCCTCAGGGGCAAAGGTAGTACCCTCGACATCAATCTCCTCGAGGCCACTGCCTAAGCTGTTCACGTAGACAATCTTCTCCACACTCATTTGGTTGGTGGTCAGGGTACCGGTCTTGTCAGAGCAAATAACGCTGCAGCTACCCAGAGTTTCCACCGAGGGCAGCGAGCGAACAACGGCGTTCTTCTGGGCCATCTTGCGAGTTCCCAGAGCCAGGCAGGTAGTAATAACGACAGCGAGACCCTCGGGAATAGCAGCGACACCCAGGGAAACGGCAATCTTCAGGTAGTAGATAGCACCCTTGGTCCAGCTGCCGCCAAAGGAAGGATCGTTGAAGTGCTCGATATTGATCAACCAGACCAGAATACAAATCACAGTGATGACCTTGGCAAGCATATCACCAAAGTCGTTCAGCTTCTGCTTCAGCGGGGTGGGCTCAGAGATCTGGGAAGTAATGCTGTCGTGAATGTCACCGATAGCAGTGGATCCACCAGTCAGCACGACCAAAGCATTGGCGTGGCCAGTGACCACGGTGGTACCGGAGAAGAGCATGTTGATCTGGTCCTGCTTCACAGCCTGACGGTCCTTGACAATCTTGGTATCCTTGCTCACACTCTCACTCTCACCGGTCAGAATAGCCTGGTCAACACGGAAGCTATTGCTGTGGATGGAGAGGAGGCGGCAGTCAGCGGGGACCCGATCACCAACGGCAATGTGAATCACATCGCCGGGAACCAAATCCTCGGCCTTGACTCGCTGAACCTTTCCATAACGTACAACCTTGGCCTCGTTGGCTGAGTATTCCTGAAGAGCCGCAATTGCCTTCTCCGCGCTGCTTTCCTGGGTCACACCCACCACCGCATTGAGAATGAGAATCGTCAAAATCTAGACGAGAGAAGAAATCGGGTTAGCAATTTTTTCTACAGTAACGCATTTCAATGGCAGGATAGGCAGGACGTACAACCACAGGGTCGACAAAGGCAGTCCAATCGTCGCCTTCTTCAAAGAGAGCCAAGACGAACGATACGGCGGCCGAACCCAAAAGAATCAAGACGAGCTGGTCCTTGAACTGTTCCAAGATAAGTTCCCACATGGGAGTGGGCGGCTCTTCGGGAAGGGCTGTGAATGATTGCGTCAGATAACTATACCGATCACGTATGATGCGCGCTAAAGCGGTTGAAAGCAATGCTTACCATTGGGACCGTGCTTCTCCCTGGACTGCAGGACTGCATCCTGAGTCAAGCCAGTTTGTTCCGAGACATTGAAGTGTTCCAGCGCCTCCGCTGGAGTATAAAGGAAGGAGTTCTCCATGATAGGAGTCTCTCAGGCCGGGTTGAGGTTGCGGTCCCTTTGAGACAGACAGCTGGGTAAGATGCGGAGATAGAGGCCGGGGTAAGAAAGGGAAAGAAGCAGAAAGGAAAAAAGGAAAAAATGAGAGAGGAATCCGGTTTAGTTGCAATACATGGGGTATCACCGGTGGCCAGCCAGAGACGTAACGAAGCAGAGCCAAGAGCGAGCGAGGGGACAAGAAGCGCTGTTATAGCTGGATTTTCTTGTCGACAATCGGTAGGGACCCAGCGGCGAGCGGAGACACAACGTGTTCTCATCCAGTTGTTTCTTTTCCCCATCGGGGTTTGTGGCTGACTCAGCAAGGGGCTGCAGGGCTGAACTCCGAAGTCCCGTGACCAGATCTAGTCACGGGAACGGCCCGATTCTGGGAGCCGCCTCCAAGGGCCTTGCACATTATACATGTCCACGACAGGTTTCTATATCTTTGGTCTCCACATGCTATACTGCTTTTAGAGACCCTAGATCATTTCTTCCCCTTTTCTTCCCGAAGGTGTTAATGATGCGGATGAACTCTCTATCATCGTGATGGTACTTGCGTCAGGGCTCCCCGGCATCTCAGCCGATAACTGGGATGAATTATGGGGCTTCTCTCTAGGCTGCATCGTTCCTATGCCTATCGGATGTGACCAGTGGAGTTTGCTATCTTCCTTGGCAAGCGAAATATCCTCCGCAGCCACCGAATTCTGCAATTAGTAGTCGATCGACTGGGGCACAGATACTGGAGTGAACTCGTCTAGCGAGCCACGACTGGGTCGCGGTCAATTGACTGGTTCAAAACGAAGACCCCGCATCCTGGCGCTTTCTTTGGGAAGCCATCATAACTAATGATTTTATTCGAAGCGACGGGAGACTTGACTGATCTCTAGCCACTACAGCAACGGTCTCGGATAGCTTTTCAATAGGATAGTTATATGCCGACAGACGCAATGCTCCTTCTCACAATGTTCCGGGAGCACGCCTGACAGACCCATTCTTCGATCGTTTTCTTTTTCTGCCGTGGCAAGTTGCATAAGCACGCTAAATTTTTCTCGCCTGTAGGGCTGAATCTAGCTCATCCACACCTGCATCATAAATCGTATGGCCTCCACTTGTCCCCATCGAGCCACCAAGGACTCTGCCCGAAAGAGAAAAGAGACGGGGCCTCTGTATCCAGTCTATATACTCCGAGAGTCCCATGGATGGGTTTAATAAACATAAGTTTGAATTGAAATGCTAGAAATTGTTCGTGGTGCGCCATCACTACCAAAGCCTTGGGGGCCGTGAGGCTAGTATGCAGTCAACATGCAGGCAGGGAGCGCCAGTGAAAGTCAATCTCTTAATGCAGAATGTGGACACCGAAATTTTTGGCTTCTCTAGTCCATTTCGACTGAAGATTGCAGTTTTATAATTCGTATTGTATTGGCCAGCCGCGCTGTCCAGGCCGAGTGAAAATCGAGCTGTCAATTTCATCAGGTTGTGCTATCGAGGCTGGCTAGCAGTCCGAAGATAGGCACAGAAAATTAAAAACTCATTGTTATGGAGAGCCCGGGGAGATTAATGTGTTGATTATTGTCAAATGTCCCCGCCGAAGTTGATAATATTCCACAACATAAAGCCGCTTTGAGCATTTCCTGCTTGTGTATAGTTACTGGTTCTTAGGCTTGCCTAACTAGGTATATATTGGCGCGGCTGATAACCCTCGCGGTCGCTATGAGCTACTAGGCCCAACTAACCAAAGGCTACTTCCTATCTACCGGCAATTAGGTGTACCTGATCGATAAATGATCGGCCTCGAGTGCTATATAATACCGTGATCAACGACACTTGCGATGATGGGCCGTGGAGTTGGAATGCCCACTACATCATAGCCCCCGTGTCAACCTTGCCAGTGCTGGAAGGTTCGATTCCGTCATTGTCGGTCTCTAGACCTTGTCCCTTGCTCTGCATTGACCCGACACCCACCATGCCGCGGTCCCTTCTCTTCCCAGACTTTGTAGGCCTATAAAGAAATCCCTCACGTGTAGCGATATCGAAAAAGGGAGTGATATGGAGGAACTGAGGCTGCTTTTAAGTGATCTCTAGCAGAGTGACAATACATAGGTTGGTCTATAACTTGTATTGTATATACGGGTGTATGTATGACGGTCGCTCTACGGTCGCGAAAAGTAAACAGACACCCGTCAGCACAGGATCGTACATATGGCTTAGAGACAATTTATGATAGTCTTCTCTCAAGTATCGGGAATAAATTTTAGATTCTTGATCCTCTATCAGATTGACAAACCAGCGGAGCCTCATAAGAGACTCGTGATGACCTGGTTATCGAGAGGACAGTTGGGCTGCATAGCCGTCAGCTGTGAAATATACCTGGTGTATTGAATGTAATCTGAAGTACTGGACGTGTGCCCAAAGTACTCGAGACCTGCGACAGACTCCGTGTTTGCTAAGAAAAAGGTCAATACCACTAGGTATGAGCAGGTATCGGGTACGGGAATATGGGTGATACCATGGTATTGTTTGTATTGTCATTAGAATACAGCGTGTACTGTTATGATGCTCACCCCCAACTTCACTTCGACTCCATCCTCTCTCCTCCCTCTTTCCTTCCCCCCCCCACTTGGTCCTCCTCTAACCTCCATCACTTCCCTCCTCTTCAATCTCCCACTCTCTCGAATCTCTTGATATCTAACCTCTCCAACTACCACCCTCCCAACCATCCCCTCCTACAAAAATCCCCGTCAATATGGGTTCTGAGGTACGTTCTTGGTCCTAAACTCTGCCCCTCCATCGGGCGCTCTCTGAGCTGTCACCGCCATCGCAATCCCACCCCGTCTTCTGACTGCCTGTCCCCTCGCGCCCCATCCACCCCTATTCATTTTGGGAGATTTGACACGTGCTGACTTGCATCTCCATCATGCAGCGTGAGAAGTAAGGATATCTTAAAGCCCCAGCGATAGCCCGATGTGGCATGACTGACCCCCTCATCAGCAAGACGTTCCTCGCGAGGCTCTGCGAGCAGGCCGAGCGCTACGATGGTAAGATTCACACGAGCGAGGTTGTCGGGACTTGCCAGGACTAACGTGATGTTTTTTGCTCTTTTCCAGAGATGGTCAGCTACATGAAGGTCAGTCGCACCCGTGTTGTTTTGCTTTATCTTGTTGGATCCCGGCGCTAACCAGTTGAACAGGAAGTCGCCAACGTATGATACATATCCCTTCACCTCTGGCCTAATCCGCCCATATCGAGTCCGTGATTGACACTGTTTTTTTATCCAGATTGGTGGCGAGCTTACCGTCGATGAGCGCAACCTCCTGTCCGTCGCTTACAAGAACGTTGTTGGTACCCGCCGTGCCTCCTGGCGCATCATCTCCTCCATCGAGCAGAAGGAGGAGTCCAAGGGCTCTGAGGAGCATGTCGCCATCATCCGTGATTACCGCCAGAAGATCGAGACTGAGCTGGAGAAGGTCTGCCAGGATGTCCTGGACGTCCTGGACCAGTCCTTGATCCCCAAGGCCGAGACTGGCGAGTCCAAGGTGTTCTACTACAAGATGTGCGTTATCTTATCCAACTTGACCCATTTTCAAAGCATTTTGAAATTGACTTCTTTTATAGGAAGGGTGACTACCACCGTTATCTGGCCGAGTTCGCCTCTGGTAACAAGCGCAAGGTTGCCGCTACCGATGCCCACGAGGCCTACAAGGTAATTTCCCGCTTGATTCATCGTGCCAATTTGTCTTCAACGTGACTAACACACCAATTTAGAGCGCCACCGATGTTGCCCAGACTGATCTCACCCCTACCCACCCCATTCGCCTTGGTCTCGCGTTGAACTTCTCCGTCTTCTACTACGAGATCCTCAACTCTCCCGACCGCGCCTGCCACCTCGCCAAGCAGGCCTTTGACGATGCCATTGCCGAGCTCGACTCCCTCTCCGAGGAGAGCTACCGCGACAGCACTCTTATCATGCAGCTCCTGCGCGATAACCTCACTCTCTGGACCTCGTCCGATGGCAACGAGGGTGCCGAGGGTGCTGCCCCAAAGGAGGACAAGCCCGAGGAGGAGGCCGCCGCCCCTGCCGCCGAGGAGAAGGCCGAGGAGGCCGAGCCTGTCCAGGCTGCTTCTTAAAGAAGGGAGGGGGTTTTCAGCACCACGCGAAGAGTTCGCAATCAACCGTATGCCGAATTGGTAAGGAGGGCGTTCACATTTCTTCCCGGATGTGGTCATGCAAGTCACAAGTTCGTTTTCACTGCAGCGTGGCTTGATTGGGACCGGCACCCTATCTCTTGCACGTGTTCGGGACCGTGTGGGGTCGGCCGGCGGAGTTTGATATTCGGTTGAGGCGAGCGCAGAAAAGGGGCTGAGTGGAATTTCTCTCTCTTTTATTGTCTCTATTCCCACTCCAGCAAGATTCAATGTGTTTATTTTCCAATTTCACCTGGTCCCTATTCCAACCCTGTCTTCGTACTCGTAAGATCAAGTAGAGGTGGTGTTTGAGCGGGACATCCTAGAACACTGCATCAACGGTGTACTTCAGTACCCAATAGCTCACAACCTAGCGGCACAATAATAGCAAGCCATACCATCAGATAGACTTTTTGGTCATGCCTCGGCCCGCATCCATATCTGCAACTCTACTCCAACGAACCTCGTACTTACGTTCTGTCGATAGTTGAAGTTGAATCAATATTTAGATTACTGCATGATCTTGCATAATGAGGGCCAGTGGTATAACAGAAAATCAAGCAGGGACATGCATAAATCCCATGCTACGCATACGATCAGCCTTGGATGGATACTCTGTTCTGTCTGAGGCTGTAGGGTTAATGCGGGCTGCTCACATACTCTGCTCTGGATTTGTAGAGAGCTCCCTGGGATTAAGCGTTCGTAGAGTATATCGCTGGCGGACTAAGATCATGCAGTCATATATTCCCGAAATAAGTGGATGGCTTTAGGTATGCTTTAGACCGGAGAAATGACTGTTTGACAAGGCCTATACGATAGATCTGTCTGCATTGAGGAGGCTCCTTTTGTAATGGATGATGCCGTATTGTATGCGAGGCTGTTTGTGGTGAGAAATCGATGTGTCTTGCTGTTATTAGGACGGAGTGTGAGTAGGGTAAGGACTCCGGAGTTTAAGTGTCTGGGGGGAAATTGCATGCAGTTTATGAATGATATCTACAGGATAGGTGAATACGTCCCATGTTCTTAATGGGGGAAGGAAGTATAATGGGAATTTCAAGTTCATTTGTTCTATACTTGGTTGGGGCTCATGCAGATTTTGACTAGGGCGATTTGAAGAGGGAGGGATGTACATGTTGGTATTCAGGAGGAGGGTGCATGAAATATGAAGATGACGGGGAAAAGAAAATAGAATGGTGACATCCCAGAATCTCTAAAGAAGAGAGATCCACAAGACGAGAACCACGTTTTCTTCATGGATTGTGTATATTCAAGTGTCACACATCCAAGGACAAGGAGGAATCAAAAGCAAAGACTGGAAAGAAAAAAAAATATCCCAGAACGGAAAGAAAAAGATAAAGAAAAGAGAAGGCGAAAGGAACAGCGATCATTGTTTCGTGGATTACATGAAGTCATCATCGCCGAGACCGTCATCATCACCATAGGAGGTGTTATCGATCTGGTTATCACGGTTGGAAACGAGGGAGACCTTAGTCTTAGCAGCCTTGGTCTTCTTGTTGCCCTTATCAGCAGCACGCTCCTCACGCATCTTCTCGTTGCTAGCAGTGGTCAGAGCACTGGCAATCTTCTTGATATCCTGGCTAGGTAACTCCTTGACCAGCTTGCGAGCAAAGTCCTGCGCCCAGAGAGCGTAGTGAGGCTTCTTGGACTGCGGGGCGAGCAGGGGGATAAGAACGTCGGTCAGACGGGCGAACTGGTCCTTGGTGGTAGGCTTGAACAGCGGCATCGAGGAGAGATCGATCGAGTTGGTAGGGTTGGCGCTGTCGGTGATGACGACGGCCTTGGGGGCACCGCGGTTACGGTTCATGTCGATGTCGGCGAAAAGATCCGAGGCGTGCTGGAGGTCGGCGTCCTTCTCGGTGCGGCGCAGGCGATCACGGCGCTCGGCCTCGGTCTCGTCCTCGTCGAAATCGCTGTCCTCCTCGGCCTCGCGCCGACGCTGGTCGCGGTGCTCCTCTATCCGCTGGGCCTTGGTCTTCTTGTTGGCAGCGGCGGCGGCCTTGGCCTTTGCGAGGGCCTCTTCGGCCTTCTTGGCCTTCTCGCGCTCTACCTCGGAGTCTTCGGCGGCGTCCCAGGAGTCGAGGACCTGTCGTTTCAAATATATGTTAGCGGCTTTGTTCTGGCTTGCGTTCGTCGTATGCTGCGTCTCTCGGATGTAGTTCAAAGGGCTCTTACATCTTCGTCTTCCTCATCGTCGAATCTGCGGCGGGCAACGGGAGGGGGAGGCGAAACGCTATCCTCCTCTTCATCTGTGAGAACGAAAATGATAAGTTAGTATCTATAAATTTGGTACAGACATCATGTCTCTTTGTGATCTAGATCGCGCTGCACTGATGGGAGGATAAGAAACATACCCCACTTTGAAGGCGCCATGTTGGATAAGTGAAAACTTTTGGATCGAAAGGAACGAGGTGAAAGAAAAGATGCGCTATACGCAAGAAGGACGGGAAAACGAGGGCGAGCCCGACGATAGGATGCTACTCCGACTGTAGTGAATGGAGGGGCGAGGGCAAATTTTATGTGGGACACTTATCGCAGGAGGGGTGGTCACGTGCACGGGTTTCTTGGTGCCCGACGACTATGATTCTATTGACGTCCGAGAGAAGAAGATCTGTTTACTTGAGATCTTTATCTATACGTTTACAAGGTGCTCATTTTATTTAAATATTCTTGTATTCAGAAGACTTTATTAAATTCATAATCATAACTGATGGTAGCCCTTTATGCGAGACTTAAAAACCATCCATTTTTCTCGTTCCTTTTCAACCCCGTGCAGTCATTCGTAGACTACAATTTACAGGTTGACAGAGGTGCGGAAGTTCTTGCCGGCGTAGACAGCGTTCTCACCGAGCTCCTCCTCGATGCGGAGGATCTGGTTGAGCTTAGCAAGACGCTCAGAACGGGCAGGAGCACCGGTCTTGATCTGGCCAGAGCGGAGACCGACGGCAATGTCGGCGATAGTGACATCCTCGGTCTCACCGGAGCGGTGGGAGACCATGACACCCCAGCCGTCGGCGTAGGAGTCCTTGGCAGCCTGGATGGACTCGGTGAGGGTACCGATCTGGTTAACCTTGAGGAGGAGGGCGTTGCAAGACTTGAGCTCGATGGCCTTCTTAATGCGGAGGGGGTTGGTGACAGTCAAGTCATCACCGACAATCTGGAAGTCGGAGGTCTTGTAGAAGTAGCTCCAGGCCTCCCAGTCATCCTCAGCGAAGGGGTCCTCGATGGAGACAATGGGGTACTTGGAAGCGAGCTGCTTGTACAGGTCGGCGAGCTGCTCGTAGGTGATCCACTTGGTGGGGTCGCTCTCGGGGTTCTTGAAGTCGAGGTCGTACTTCTTCTCCTCAACCTTGTAGAACTCGCTGGAGGCAACGTCCATGGCAATGGACATCTTGCCGGTGTAGCCGGCCTGCTCAATGGCATCGGTGATGAGGTCAAGAGCCTCCTCGGCGGTCTGAATATCGGGAGCAACACCACCCTCGTCACCGACGTTACCAGCGGACTGGCCGTACTTCTTCTTGGCAAGGGTCTTGAGCTTCTGGTAGACCTCAGAGCCCTGGCGGAGGGCCTCAGAGAAGGAGGGAGCGGAGCTATAGTTGGGGACGCGTTAGTAAATTTTGACCGCAGAAGATTTGACCACCGTGATGACTTACTCAGGGACAATCATGAACTCCTGGAAGGCCAGACGGCCACCGGCGTGGGAGCCACCGTTCAGGACGTTCTGGAAGGGAACGGGCAGGACGTAGGGCTTCTTGGTACCGGCGAGGTCGGAGATGTGAGCGTAGAGAGGGACACCCTTCTCGGCAGCAGCAGCCTTGGCAACGGCCAAGGAGACACCGAGGATGGCGTTGGCACCAAGGTTACCCTTGTTGGCGGTGCCGTCGAGCTTGTTGAGGAACTCGTCGACCTTGGCCTGGTCCTTGACGTCAATGTTCTCCTTGATCAGAGCGGGGCCAATGGTCTCGTTGACGTTCTTGACGGCCTTAAGGACACCTGTAATTAGATCTCGAGTTAGTTTTCCCCAAACTCAATTGCAATTGATGATTTAGTTCGTCATCACTTACCCTTGCCGCCCCACTGGGACTTGTCACCATCACGGAGCTCAACAGCCTCGTGCTGGCCTAGATACGATCGTTAGCTCGGATGGATCTTTCAATTAAGATATATGATTTAAGAATGCATCATTACTTACCGGTGGAAGCACCGGAGGGAACAATGGCGCGGTGGAGGCCGGTCTCGGTGACGATGTCGACCTCAACGGTGGGGTTACCGCGAGAGTCGTACACGGAACGAGCGTGAACCTTGGAGATGGGCATTTTGGATGAAGAAGATCTGATGAAGAATAAAAATCAGTCTGGTTTCAAGAAAAAAGAAGTAGAAAAAAGCAGCGCAGGCGATGATATATTAAGGCGAATGCCGGCGTGTGACTAACGGCGGGGGAGCAGGTTCACCGATGACCCAAAAAGACAGGCCGGACGGGGAGAAGGGATTGGGCACAGCTGATTTGCTTGGAGCTCAGCAAATGCGGATGGGGCAATTGGCCACGGCGGTCACCGAAGCTCAGGTTAGGTTACCTTTCTTTTGCCGGGGTTTCCTGTCTGGTGGTTCAGGTGAAGGGGATGGAAGAGGGATGGGAAGGCGAGAAGAAGACGGAGGAGGGGCAAGAATGGCGGGGTATGATGTAGTAGGGGGGGGAGGAGGGGGGAACCAAGAATATATGAGCTATCAGAACTCACCTTATTTTCAAGTAAACAACGAATGATTAAAGCAAAAGAGAATAATAGCTCTACGGGAACACCCGATGCTTTAAATACTGTCCAGTACTGTGACCAGCCGGGAAAGGTCACAGCTGCTCCTCCGATTCTTTCCAATGCGGCAGTGGGGCTCTCACGGCCAGCTACGGCCATCGCCAACGCTCGCTGGCTATCTGGTTGATCCCGACCGTCTGCGGGCTCCCATCCCCTACGAGATCTCCCGTCGCCCTCGGGAGGAACTCTACAAAATGATGTGATTGCCCGAGCAACTCGTGAATTGCCGTATCCATAGGATCCGTAGAGCAATCTGGAGTCATCGTACCTTGGGGATTCCCGAATAACGACAATCGGGAACTTCCTCCATAGTCTATACAACATCAAGATGTGCTAAGAGCTACGAATTTAGCAGCAGACTCCGAGGAATGACACATAGTAACTTGTTCATCGACCTAAAAATGCAATGATAATGTATTTCTACAATGACTAGAGATCCATTGGCTGGGGAAGCATCCAACGTCGCATCCAGCCCGTCTGGCAAAATGAATGACGAAAAGAGAACGCTTGCATGCCACATTCCCGAGGCGGCAAGGCGTTAAGGTGTCAATACTTTAAGGCCTTATGATATGGGCAGAAATCAGGCGCAAAACACGAATGCACTGATGACTAATATTGACGATGATGCAAGTCACATGATCACGGAGCGCGTCGTCAGGTGACCTTGTTGGAAGCTCCTCGACCGGGTGCTTGGAAGCTCACCAGCTGGACTCCGTTATCATTTCCAACACCTGCGCTTTCCGATCATCCATCCGCTGGACCATAGCTCTCGTATATCCTCCAGACCCTTGCCCTTGAAGTCTCGCCCAATCCTTTCACCCTCATCCCTTACAAATCGGTCCGTCGCCCATCATGACCGGCGGCAGCGACCCCGAGCGCGACCAGGCACTCGAAGATTATAAAAAGAGCTTGTTGGAGCTGCGGGAATGGGAGGCCAAGTTGAAGACTCTCCGCATGGGCATCAAGGATCTCCAACGGGAGTTTGATGTCTCGGAGGAGAACATCAAGGCACTCCAGAGTGTTGGTCAGATCATCGGCGAAGTGTTGAAACAGCTGGATGAAGAGCGATGTATGTCTTCAAAGTGATACCTAAATTGTGTACTGGCTTAACTAATCCCTTTCCATCGCAGTCATCGTCAAGGCTTCATCGGGACCACGGTATGTGGTCGGCTGCCGTTCGAAGGTCGACAAGGCCAAGCTAAAGCAAGGCACGCGAGTGGCCTTGGATATGACAACACTTACCATCATGCGCATGCTTCCTCGCGAGGTCGATCCCTTGGTCTACAACATGTCTTTGGAGGATCCCGGATCAGTCAACTTTGCCGGTATCGGTGGTTTGAATGACCAGATCAGAGAGCTTCGGGAAGTCATCGAGTTGCCATTGAAGAACCCGGAGCTGTTCCAGCGAGTAGGTATCAAGCCACCGAAGGGTGTTTTGCTGTATGGCCCTCCGGGTACGGGTAAGACCTTGCTGGCACGAGCAGTGGCCAGTTCGATGGAGACCAACTTCTTGAAGGGTACATTTAGCCTCCCCCGCCTGTTAGTCGTCTATTCCTAACGCGCTTCCTTCTCTTAGTGGTTTCCTCCGCTATCGTTGACAAGTACATCGGTGAATCCGCTCGATTGATCCGAGAAATGTTCGGTTATGCTAAGGAGCACGAGCCCTGCATTATCTTCATGGACGAGATTGATGCTATTGGTGGTCGTCGTTTCTCGGAGGGTACATCTGCAGATCGTGAGATTCAGCGAACACTGATGGAGTTGCTGAACCAGTTGGACGGATTCGACTATCTCGGAAAGACCAAGATCATCATGGCCACCAACCGACCAGATACCCTCGACCCTGCACTGTTGCGTGCTGGTCGTCTGGATCGTAAGCTTGAGATTCCTCTTCCCAATGAAGTTGGTCGTTTGGAGATTCTCAAGATTCACTCGAGCACGGTGCAACTGGAGGGTGACATCGACTTTGAGAGCGTGGTCAAGATGAGTGATGGTCTCAACGGTGCCGATTTGCGTAACGTGGTGACGGAGGCGTAAGTGCATACTTTCAACCTATATATTGTGCTATATACTAACTTTGCTGCAGCGGTCTATTCGCGATCAAGGACTACAGAGATGCCATCAACCAGGACGACTTCAACAAAGCAGTGCGCAAGGTGGCGGAAGCCAAGAAGCTGGAGGGCAAGCTGGAGTACCAGAAGCTGTAATTGTATCTACCGCTGGGATACTCACCCATACAATTTCATCCTGTTAGAAACCTGCCTTCTAGAATACCATGCATCGTTTCAACGGGAAGTATTATGGAGGTTGCTCGATTGTTGTAGACTGAGACTAACTCCGAATGGGGGTGAAAGTAACTACAATTAACGGGGGGTCGACTGTATTACTAGTTCGGAGATGGACATGCATATTTAATGGAGTAATAACCCGAGAAGTTTGAAGCCATTTGTCTTTATCGAATATCATGTAATTTTCTATTGCTGGCAACTAAGCAGAACTGACCTGCGATAGTGGATCGGTCCCGGCCAGCTTCATATTTACTCCGCTTTCCCCGACTGTAGCGTCTATCCCTGACAATAATCCAGCGTCGCATCCAGTTACAGCGAAGGACCACGCTTTGGAGACACGTCTCGGATCGCGGATTATTCCCCTCTCGATTAAGGGACGAAGACACACCCAAGTGCACAATCGGGACAATTGTCGACTTAAGCACACGCTGGCATGTTTCGCATTGACCAGTAGCTACGACCCGACACAACTTCTACTTCAGCACGGAACATACTAGTGCTTTCAAGACGGTAAATTTACTCTTGTGCGATTTGAAAAGCACAGTAAACAGACAGCTAACTATATTATTCCTCCAGAGGCCACTGTCATCGAAAAGCCGCCCCGCGCATTCGCCGCCACCATCAAGCTCCGAAGACCGCATTTCCCTACGACGCGCCACCACCACTTCCAAATCCCATGCTCGCATACTAGGTAGTCGCAAGACCGACACGCATCTCGCGACGAGGCACTCACCAGGATAACCATGTCATATCAGGGACGTTCCTTCGCCACGAGCCCATTCCAGGATAACCGCTCCCGCTCCAACCAAGGCCTTGCCGGACTCGGCCTCTCAACTGGCCCAGCAGGCCTCTCGAATAAAGTGGGAGGATATTTCGAAAACAACGATCGCACTCTCCCCATGTACAAAGACAAGCCATACTTTACGCCGAAGCGCACGGCTCCACGGAGACGATGGAGACCGTTGTTTGTGCTGGGGGTGTGCGTGTTGACGTTTTTGTGGTATTATAAGTCGTCGATGCCCGTATGGCAGGACTCGAATTCGAGGGACGTCGGCGTTGATCTCTGGAAATGGGCGCAGACGATTGATGACGAGAGTCCTTCAAAGAATGTCGATTGGAATGAGCGTCGGGAGAAGGTGCGGGATGCGTTTGTTATTAGTTGGCAAGGATATGAGAAGGATGCATGGGGTAAGAAAATGTTGCGAGGTGAAGCAGGTCCAAGCTGACATTTAACACAGGCTCGGACGAGTACAACCCGGTCTCGGGTCGAAGCAGAAACATGATTGAAGGTGGTATGGGCTGGATCATTGTTGATGCGCTTGACACTATGATGATCATGAACTTGACCACCGAGGTACGCCATGCGAGGGAGTGGATTTCCACTTCGTTAAAGTATAATCAAGACCACGACGTGAGCACCTTTGAAACGACTATTCGTATGCTGGGAGGTTTACTCTCCGCACACCATCTGTCGACGAAATATCCGGACCTCGCCCCAATAGCGGATGACGATGTCGGTGCTGCTGGCGAGGATTTGTACATTGAAAAGGCCACTGACCTCGGAGACCGCTTGCTTGGAGCATTCGAGTCTCCCTCTGGTATTCCCTACGCAAGTGTGAACCTGAACAAGTCGGAAGGCTTGCCGTCGCATGGTGACGGAGGTGCCTCTTCTACTGCCGAGGCAACTTCAGTCCAACTTGAGTTCAAGTATCTGGCAAAGCTGACTGGCGAGGCCGAATATTGGAGGGCCGTGGAGAAGGTTATGGAGGTTATTGATGAGCAGCACCCTCAGGATGGCCTCGTTCCTATCTTCATCAACCCCAAGACAGGTCACTTCCATGGCGAGAATATTCGTCTGGGCAGTCGGGGTGATTCGTACTACGGTTTGTCGCAGGAATTCACATTCTACGGGGAATTAGCTAATCGTGTCGTTCTTAGAATACCTGATTAAGCAGTACCTCCAAACTTCCGAGCAGGAGCCTGTCTACAAAGAACTGTGGGATGAATCCCTGGCTGGAATTCGCAAACACCTGCTTGCATTCTCCCAAAATGCCCAGTTGATGGTCCTGGGAGAGCGACCCAACGGTCTGAAGGAGAACCTCACTCCTAAAATGGACCACCTAGTTTGCTTCCTTCCTGGAACATACGCTCTTGGAGCTACAGGTGGTCGGCCCCTGGCAGAGGCAAGAAAATCTGCGGATTGGTCTCAGCAGCGTGAGGAGGAGATTTTCATCTCTAAGGAATTGATGAAAACTTGTTGGGCAACATACCTTGCAACAGCGACTGGCCTTGCGCCGGAGATTTCCCACTTCATTCTCGACTCCCCACCTGTCATGATGGGAGACAAGTATCCCGATCCCAAATCCGCTTCCGGAATGTCACCGCAGGAACTGAGGTCAATCTCTCAACCCCTCTCACCCCAGTTTGATGGCTCGGAGCCCTGGCGCAAGGATATTGAGATCCACAACATGGATCGCCACAACCTGCAACGTCCAGAGACCGTCGAATCTCTCTTCTACATGTACCGCATCACTGGAGACGAGATCTACCGTGAGTGGGGTTGGGAAATGTTCAAAGCATTCGTCAAATACACCGCCGTGGTCGAGGGGGAAGACTCTGAACTGGCGGAAGGAGAGGCTACGATCAGACGGATCAAGGGTTTTACTTCCTTGTCCAACGCCAACACCATCCCGCCCACTACGCGTGATAATATGGAGAGCTTCTGGATGGCCGAGACGCTCAAGTATTTCTATTTGTTGTTCTCAGACCGGGACTTTATTTCCCTCGAGGACCATGTATTTAATACCGAGGCTCATCCGCTGCCACGGTTTAAGCCGACTGGTGACTTGAAGACTGGCTGGCAGCGGAAGCCAAAGGTCGCCGACGCTGTTGAAGCTGCCGAGTAGTGACCTGCTTTTGTTTGATTTCATTAGATATTGGCGTTTATCTTGTAATGTCTACAGCAGCGTTGAAAGCCCAGTGGCATGTACTTAGGACAAAATACGTACCATTTCTCCTATGCTAGGCGGGGCTTTCCTATCTTAGCTGCCGCCGCTTTTATGAGGGCGCTCAGAGTCAGGCTCACAATAATTTTCAGCCCGGCTCAGACTCCCTCCAGGGAGTGCTCAGTGCCATCACGGTCGTGCCCGGTTAAATCGTGTATCAATGGGTGCTAAGGCCAAATTTTGCGGAGTACCTCCCCGGTACTAGGCAAATACTGACAATGCTCGTCACTTTGTCACTGCTGTGCTTGACGCTCTGGCTAGCGACAAGTACTCTGACGTTGCTCAGGCTAAGCACCTGGCTGGCTCTGCCAAGTTTGGTATCAGTACTCCCCAGCCACGCTGGAGTCTTGAGGCCCCGAAAAAGCTCAACTGGCTGTTCCCGGCTACTTCCAATAGATGCCCCGTATGTCATACCTGCTCACATATCTTCTATGAAACACTTCCTGCACAATTAGTAGGGAAATAGCGAGTTACAGAAATGTATTAATATCAAATTCAAATGTTCCAATTGGAATAAACAAAACTAGCACACATTCGACTTGATTTGATATGTCATTATCAATTGAGACCCGCGCAGGTATAATTGAACCCGCAGTCAACTTACGCACTGCTACTAAATTTCTCCCGGAGCTTTTTCGCAGCCAGCCTTCCAATATCAAGCATGCTGCCTCCGCTTTTCATTTCAAGCACAGATATCTCCACTCCGAGGTTTTGCTTCCACCAATTCCGTACTTCGATTGCTACCAGAGAATCTACCCCAGCATCTGTAAGAGTGAGGCTAAGGTCCAGCGGTTCTTCACTCTCTTGCCACATCAGGAAGGCTGCCACGCGGTCTCGGAGCTCTCGAGCCAGAAATTCTGCAGCTGCAGGTTGCTGAAGTAGGGCCGGATCAGCGTTGATTTCCGAGAGGAATGATCTCAGTCCGTTGCTCGTGGTCTCCGTTTTTGTAGAGGTTGTCTCGATGTTCCGATAGATGGCCATTCGAGGGTCACGTTTCCAGATGATGTGGTTCTCTGGGTGCATGATGGGTAACTGACAATCCGACATTTGGGTGACTTGGCTTGGGTTGTGGAAAACAAGACCAGTTCCCAGGCCATCCATTCTGGCAGGGTATGAGACTGAGTGGCTGGATGATTTCGCAATAGTCAACTGGAGTGTATCGAGGAAGTCCTGCTCGGTGATCAGTCTGGTTGATCCGGCCTGCATGGAGACCTTGACAGCGGGATTTTGACTGATGAACCCCACATCATTGATAGCGCCGATATCTTGGACCGAGGCACACAATCCTTGAGAATGTCGATACTGCACGAAAGCGTCGAGGAAGGTGTTGGCAGCAGCGTAATTAGCCTGTCCATAGTAACCCATCTGACCACAGACCGAAGAGAACATGACGAAGAAGTCAAGATACTCGGTTGGCAATGCATTGTGAATATTCCAGGTTCCATGTACCTTTGGTTTGAGAGCAGTGTGGTAATCCTCAAGACTCATATCCAAGATTCCCACGTCGCAGAGGACCATCGCCATTTGCATGACACCGGCAATTGGCACTGGCGCTTGTTGGATGGCGTTCTTGACGGTTACGGGATCGGCGACATCTCCTGCCCAGGCTTTTACTATGCAACCCCTTGCTTCAAGCTCTTGGATGAACATCTTGTCATTTTCTGACGTCCCCGCAGAGCGCGACAGGAAAATGAGATGCTTGGCGCCATGAGTAACCATCCATGTAGCAATGGCCTGTCCCAACCCGCCCATTCCACCGACGAGGAGATACGCTCGATCTTGTTTGAATGATGGCGTAGGTGCCTCTACACTCCATCGAAGTGTTCCTTGATCCTCCGGAAACTTGATGACGACCTTTCCGATATGGGACCCTTGTTGCATGTACCGGAAGGCGTCTTGGACCTCATTGGCGCCGTAGAGAGTGGTGGGATCGATGGGCCGGATGTGGGCCTCAGTGTAGAGATGCAACATCAGATTCATTAGCTTCACGATCTTGGTAGGGTTGGTGACAATGTATCTGCTCAAGTCAATCCCGATGTACGTGCGGTTATCTTCAAATCTATCAAGAGCCAGCTGGCCTCGACCGATCATGTCTCTTTTCCCGATTTCAATCATGCAGCCCGATGCGGCTACACATTCCCATGAGGCGTGCAACAACTCTCCCGACAGAGAGTTCAGTACGCAGTCGACGCCTACACCATTCGTCACTGCCATGATGCCATCTCGAAAGCTGGTATCACGTGAATGGAAAATCCGATCGCGAGGAATGGCATGCTCTTGGACTAAGAATTCCACCTTGCGTTCACTACCCACCGTGCAGTAAATGTCCAGTCCAAGCCACCGTGATACATTGATAGCCGCAATGCCGACACCTCCCGTGGCTGCATGGATGAGGATGGACTGTCCACGTTCAAGACGTGCCTTTTCCACAACACCAAGGAGTACCGTGACATACGCGGCAGACATGGTCGCCGCATCCTGAAAGCTGAGACAGTCCGGTATCGGCAGAGTAAAGCACCCCTGTCTCTGAACCTCCGTCGCCAGACCAACCGTGGAAGCTCCGATATAGACAACCCTGTCTCCCACCTCAAGATGGTCAATGTTTGAGCCGGTCTTGCTAACGTATCCAGCCCCCTCTACACCAAAAATGGCATCCTTTGAGGCATTATCCACCACGCCCATGGCAACAAGCACATCTTTGAAGTTCAATCCAACAGCTTGTGTTTGAATCTGTACTTGATCTGCTCCAAGCTGAGGCAGAGCACATCCACTCCAATACAGAGATTGTAGCAGTCCATGGGTCCCAATCTTCAACACCTTTGTGGCAGGTTCGGCTGCCGTTTCTTTTAAGGCCTTCTTGACTGGGTACCAGTGGTACCGTCCAACATGCAGGGCACCATTAGCCCAACAGTACTCCATGTCTGGATCGAGGTCCCCGTCATCTTCATCACGTTGTTGCAATTTGTTGAGGACATCAACAATTGCAGCTGCCGCTTCCAAACTATGGTGAGATTCCATTTCAAGAGTGCTGAGGGGCATTGCGAGCTCCGAGCGGATGGTTCGAGTCACCCCAAGAATCAATGCTGTATGCGGATCGTTCGACTTTATCTGCGTCAGAGGTAAAAGCCAAAGAACAGATGTCTGTTGCAGAGTCTCGATTATATGAAGAAATTGACCCCAGTCTGCTTCGCTTGGGGCTTTCAAGAAAGGTTGGTCAAGGTCAAGAAACGATATCAGATCCTGGTCCGGGATAGTATGATGCTCATCACCCAATTGGCAGTGCATCGTCTGGTATCCTTTTTGCTGTAGCAGTGTCTCCACCTTCAATGCCAGCGGATGGATTGCGGATGGGCCAGAAAGGAGCGTAATAGGTCGGGAATATTCAACCTCGATGGCTGGCCGGGCCACGATATTTGCATTGAGGTGATATGGCTCCTCATTATCAAACTTGACCGTCTCGCACCCGTTAAACCCTGCAGAACGCAGTCTTTCATCCCATTCTTCAGGCGAAATGAAAGGTTTTCCGTCGCGGCCGTCTGCTGCCCCGAGCCACCAGCCCGAGAAGATGCCCTTTTCAAGTCAGGATTTCTTTCACTTGTAGAAATGAGAAAAGGACTTACCATGATATAGCCCATGCTGTTTCCAACTGCAGTCATCAAAGCTTAGTCAACATTTTGTCACAACTTTAGAAAGCGAAGCCTAAGACTTACCTGGAGAGAGCTCCTGTAAGAAGAGCCGGCCCTGAGGCTTCAGTAAAGTTCTGACATGAACAAGCGTATCATGCAGAATGGGGGTGGCATGTAGAACCTGTAAGAGATTTAGTGGGGTTATTCCAAAAGAGTGTGGTGGTGCAGTTCTCACATTGGACGCAATGATAAGGTCGTACTCCTCGCGCTGGAACCCCTGCTCCAGCGGATTTCTTGAGATATCGAGTACCTTATACTCGATAGCCTGGTACTCTGCAAACCTTTTATTTGCAGCAGGAAAGAAACCAGACGACACATCGGTAAATGTGTACTGCAGATAAAGCCGTTCCCCATACGACGAGCGAAGGTGTTCAAGAACCTTGGCAGTCAGCCCACCTGTGCCAGCTCCAATCTCGAGGACTTTCATCTGGGGTTCCATATGGCCGAGGAGCTGGAAAAACTCGCTGACGTCCCACATGTCGTTGGCCCATTTATACACATTTGACAGTGTCCCATCGTTGATGACAAGATCGAGGAAGTCCGTTCTCCCCTCAAATATGTTAACCAGCTGGTCATATGCCTTCCAGATTGCGATTCCAATATCACCACAACCGATCGCTTTGCATTGCCCAAGAATCTTGGGAATCAGCTCGCGGCGATCCTTGGAAGCCATGTTGACCAAGTCAACCGAATCCTCGACCAGAATGTAGCCCGGCTCTGCCAATCGCGCACATTGAGTCCCCAGCCACTGCCTATACCGCTCAAGATGTGGCTGCGCTGTTGAGACGCCCTGTAAGGCGATGTTGGATTCAAGGGCACAGAGCACATACAGTCTCTCGCCCAACATGAGTTGTTCTCGGATGTCGTAAATTGGTCTGGTCAGTTTGCCACTGTCCAGGAAGGAAAAGTCGGGTTTCCATTCCAAAGTGACAGCCATTGGCTCTGGGGCATCACTGTCCTTCTCTAGGCACATATGCACTGGATCCTTCAGGTAGAGGAGCAAGTCCCCGTCTTCCCCGATCCCGTACAGATATCCACCAGACGAATTTTGACCGCCGCTCGTGGAACAGATATGGATCTTTTTACCTGTTCCATGGCCGACATAGATCTCTCCGAGAAACTTGGGTAGAGGGAGATAATCAACAGTGCGATAATCACCCTGAAAGATGGCTACTGTCAGTGCCTGAAAAGCCAAGTCCAGAGTGATTGGGTGGA